CCCCAATCCCAACCCCAACCCCAAACCCCAAACCCAACCCCTGCGAGTCATCTTTATTAATGTGATATTAATTCAAATTTTCTTTTTGTAGATCAGTTTTTGAACATATCAAATTATGTTTTAAATAATTTAATCTTTCTTTGAATTTACTAAGTTTCACCCTTTATGATTTTACTTGTTTGATTAATGATTGGATGTTCTTTTTTTTGAAAGTGCTTTTAGTTTAATTTTTTTAAATTTGATTAGTAATAAGGATTTATATATAATTTCTATTAAGAATATATGATGTAAATACTTTGTGATAAAGTGATATTTATTTATAAATAATAATTTATATCACAGATTTGATAAATTATATTAATAAATGGGTTCATTTTCATCCAAAAAGATATGAGGAGAAAATGCCTAATATAAATAAGTATTTGTTGTGTTTAACCAGCTTTTTAGAAGGCCACATATCTAAAGAGGAAATAAAATAACTAAGGGAAAAGTTGATGGAAATCTATAAATTAATTTTTACATAAACGTAATTCTGATGCTGATGGTTAGAGATCTTAATTAGAATTTTTAGTCATATATAACAAAGCATAGAAATGACGATCAAATAAATTTTCGATATTGTGTTACTTTTTGATGCTTTGGCTAAGAGGCTTTGAATTTACTCCTTTAGATTTTACTTCCTAAATTAGCAAATTTTTGAATCTATGAGAAATTATATATTTCATATTCTGAAATGAAAGATCTTTATTACTAAAATTCATAGATATACAATCTTTTCGTAAGGTAAATTTTTTATTTTCGATTAGGATACAATATTAGATTTATTTATAATTCATTGGCTGATATGATGATAATTAACTTTTCATGAATTGAGAGACAAATTGTATTTACTCAAAGAACAAAATTACATTTGATAATGTAGATCCTGATCTTAAATAAATTGCAAAATTTTAGTAAGATTTATTAAACGCAATATCTATTCTCAATCATCTCCTTTTATTTAATCAACTCAACTACAAATGTAAATATATATTTTTAAATAAATTTATCAAGATGAAATTAATGGAACATGTAATTAGAAATTGGTAATTAAATAAGCATAACCTCAACTATAAAATGAAATATCTTACCAATTGAGAATATGAAGTTAATTTCCTAAGAAAGTTATATAAATTTGTAATTGAGTTGAAAAAATGATTCATACTGATTTTAGATTACCTTAATTTTGATAAGCGAATAAATAATAAAAAAATTGGATTAGACAGTAACCTTCTTATTTAAGGATTATTCAAATTTATAGAGTTAATTATAAAATTTAATCAATAATTGATTCGTCCAAAGCCTTATTTGAAAAGGTTATGATTTATTTAGCATCTAAAAAGTAGATCAATTTTAATATTATAAGTGAAGATTTTCGAAGTACATAAGTAAGTTTAGCGAATTGAATCAATTCATAATAGTTTTTCCAAACTTATTGTATGATCAATTATCTAAATCATAATTTTATTTTTTTGAAAAGTAATCTTTAGAAAAAAAGAAATTGAATTAATATCAGGTAATAAAAAGGAATTATTTCATTCAATGTTCCTCCACTATACAACTGTTATAAATAAGAGGTTGGATTAAAAAAACATTCGAATAGGTTTCAAAAAATCATAATAAACAACTTTCGAAATCAGCTTTTTAAATAGTCATCGAGAGACTCATGTAAATTAGCCAAAAACAAATATTTTCTTCTATTCCTTTATTCTTGCCTTCTTCATATTATTGAAGCCTGGCTATCTTATTGAATTTATAATTAGGTATACAAAAATTCTATTTTTTATTTATCCCTTAATTTTAAGATGAGAGATGAATATGACAATAACATTAAATTAGAACTTGTTGAAGTATATTTGGACTTAACTTTTACATAATATTTTCTTCTGTTTTGACTTATTTAAGTCAAAACATGAATAAATTGTAAGTTGTAAGTATTTGGTTATTTTCCTCTCTTTTATTACCATTATTATATATTAGATTGCTGAAACTGTTCAATTTTATTCAAATTTAGTGTAAAGATATAACATTTCATTTGTAAAATATTTTTGAGCAAATAAATTAAAGGAATTTAATGTGATTAAATCATTTTAATAGCCATTTTGGTCTTGGAATACCGATTTGATTTAAAATGTTGGAGTTAAGGAAGGCTAATTATAAATAAAGTAGGTGTGTATTCTACATCATAATATAGATAGTTTACTTAATTTAAAGTACATAAAATCTACTTTTAGGATTTTATCAATTTTATGAGAAAATTAAGAAGTCTCTCTAATGATAAATCGATTTAGAACTTCAATTCAAGATAAGAAAAATGTGCCATCGAATAGACTGAAATTATAATCTCCATGTTAAACTAAATAGGAATACAAAAAATATATATTATTAATCTAATACAATAAAGAAAACATAGAAATCATCATTTTAAAGTTGAAGAATTCTTATAGTTTTTTTCAATTCCTTAATTAGAAATAAGGAAGCACTTAAATTTTAATCAAAAAACTTTGAATGGGTTTAATAATTTATTTGTAAATTTTGAAGTTAAATCTGTTATTATTTTTAAATCATTCATTTAAGTTAAGGTCTATTACCAATCTAACAGAATTAATATCAAGTAAAATGAGGCTCAAACTTGAACAAACTATAGATAAAATATTCAGTAGGTTTTCTTTGAAAGAAAGACTTTAATGCTCATTTTAGGTTGACTCATTTTATCTTAATCCTTTGAAATTATGATTTATTGCAAATCTATCAATTTGCGGAAAAACCAAAAGTGCTATTTTGAAAAATTCAAGGCGATTTGATATTTAAATCTTACGTTATAATTCAACATTATATAGATAATATTATTAAGAAATAGAAATTTTCACTCTTTTATAATTATACATATTGATTTTCTATTTTTTTTTATTACATCATATTGTAATAAATTTCATATTTCTCTATTAAATAAGTACTTCCAAATTCTTTTGGAATGTTCTGCTAATCATTCAGAAAAATTTCACAAATCTTTTCTAATTTAGTTAATTTTAGTTAAGGAGTAATATTTATTCAATTTTATTAGATTAACTAGAACGATTGTTGAGATTCTAGCATGTGTAGTTGAGACTGATTACCTGTGTTTTATTAGAATACTTATTCATAATAAATCTGAGTGTTAAATTAATGGTTTCTGTGTAACAGAGAAATCTTGAGGTAAAGATTGCCTTCTTTTATTATTTTGTGTTTTTGATAACTAAAGAGTTTGACATCTTATGTTTCGAATCTCCATTGTCTTCGGCCTGTGTCTAGAAACTGCATCTCTAAATTTACTCTTAAATTTCTTAAGATAGTTAGTTGAATTTAGATAAATTTTCCTTGTAAAAGTCATAATCCAAACATTATTATAAAGTGAATCTATGGAGAGGATTTTTTCTCACCTTAGAAATAATAAAAGACTTGAGTGATTAAGGAATACAAACTTTGCCATAATAATTAATTTAATCATTCACATTTTATCTAAAAGTGTCATCTTTTGTCTTACTTTTGAACGAATGAGAATTATAAAAGCTATTTAATTTTGTTATTCTTACACTTCATATATAATTATACCAATACTAATCACATCGCAGGACAATCCATGCATCTTTGACTTTTCTTGATATTCTATAATTTCTGGTGCATATGCTGCTATTGTTGTTTGATTTAAGTAGAGAATCCAAAATCTCCTATTCCAAATTGCCAATCTAAAGGATCTTTGTTTTTATACAGGATATTGAATGGCTTTAAATCTTGATGCATAATTCCCTAATTTAGCTTTAAATACTTTGGTGCGCCTATAATTAACTGTTTCAATTAATAATTTGACCACCTCTCTTTTGAATAGGAAATTAAAATTTTTGATTTTATTGATAAATTGTTCTCCTTGAAGAGACAGATGATTAATCGAATGTGTTCTATTTATTAATAGAAATTCTACTTTCTGATTCATATATTTGATGCAATTTCATGATATTTGGGTGATCCAAACTCCACATCATAAATATTTCTTCTAACGATGTTTTCGATCTCAACACACGATGTCTCCCTGTGACTTGTTCCTTCTCAATCTATTTTACTGCATATAATTTATGGTCTATACTATTTTCTGCTAAAAAGACCTAATCTATTTTGAAAAGTCTAACTTGAGCTGTTGAACCAGTACCTATATTTTGAAGCGATTGGTGTTGCTAATCAAATCCGTCGATAATACATTTCGATAGTTCTTTCAAAAATAAATCGATCTCAACTGAATGGTTAATAATAAAGTTCAATTCTGCTGTGAAATTATTAGAGTAATGCAATATTAGGGGTAAATTTTTTTGGTTAGTTTAAAATAGACGCTCTTCAAAACAAAGAATCTTCCCAACTCCTCATTCTTTCTATTAAATTAAAATTTTGCACCTCTCTAAAATAAAACAAATCTTATTAAATGTTTTATATTGTCTAGCGATTAATTTTTTTAATATTGTCCCTGTTTTATATAATGTTATCATCTTGGAGCAATCCTTACATAAGTTCATTCATTAATTGATAATCTATTCTTTCCAAAATTATTCAGATCCAGAATTATATAGAAAATATAAGTTTGAGCTTTGCATTTATAAAAATAATAAACTACTATATATTTTCTCAATGTATTAATAGTATAACTAGAGCGCGTTGATTAAATAAATCTAAACTCTCAACATCACACCCAGATATTTGGCTAACAACCATAATATCATTATTCCAATATTTAAAATAGTAAATCTATAACTTATTGACAAATATCATCCTAAATTTAAATACCTTTCAATCAATACCAAATATGTTGTAAATATCATCAAACAACTCTAAAATTACCCATATCTGCCATCTAATTATTATATATTTTATAATCAATTCATTCAATTTTGAGTTATAATGACAGCGAATAAAGCATATAAATATAAGAATTGCAAGCAATTGACTAAATGAATACATTTTCTAATTAATTTTGTAGAATAATCTTTTCATAAAGCAAATATTATTATTCTAGTAATCATGTCTGATAGTCCTTTGGGCTCTTTTAGATACATCTTAGCATGGGACATACCTTTTAGATCCTTTTTTTAAACTTCAAGTTTGAAAAGTAATGTAATTTGTTTCTATAGTGTAGAAAATTAATTTCAAGATATTCAGTTGAATGAGGCTCTTTGAAATGCTAAAAATGAATTCCCTTCTACTAATTTGCTTAATTATTAATTATTACTAATAAATAAGCTTATATGTTCCTTCTAAACATACTCTTTTATTTTCTTTAATTATTAATATATAAAACTTGGATATAAATGTTCATCCATGTCTACTTATCTGAATGAGCATCTATTATGATAACTAGTTATGAGTATTTTAGTCGGTCTAAATTACATGTAAAACTATTTTATCAATGAATTAAAACATATAAAAATGCAAACTTATTCAAGTAAATTAACATTCTCAATTTACAAAGATGAAAAGAATCAAAGAATAATAAAATTAGAACGAATAATTATTTTCAATTAATTTTTAATTTGTTACTTTCTTTTACTCAAACGATATTGGTCTAGTATGATTCCTGTATCCGAAAGCATTGATGTTCGCAATTTTGGTTTGATAACAATCAACTCTATTGATTTAATAACACCTATTAATAATTTAAGTGGCGAAATTTTTAAATATCCAATTTTTAAGATACCTTCAAATCGAGTACTATTCATAATTTTAACTACCTGATGTATTTTGTACCCTAAACTTATTATCACAAAAACTAAATATTTGAACAAAAAAATAATTAATTTGTCACTCTATTGTAAATCTAAATTTTAATCTATTTGATAGAAATGAAATTTTTTCAGAATAATTAAAGTGGTTCACCAAAATACCTTAATAGTTGAGATCTTAAGTAAAATGTAATTTAAGATTGATTTATATATTAAACTGTACATTTAACTAGTAACTTAAAATATATAATATATAAAAAAATTGAATAAATATCTTGTGATTATCATAGAACAATTAAAACTAAAATCATATTTAATAGGATTTAATTAGGTTTTTAATTTTGGTTTACATTTGATATGATTTTAGTAATTCTTTATTCCCTTTTGCGCTATTCTGAGCAGTTTGAGGAGGTTTAATTGATTCTAAATTAAATGATGTACCTCTCTTTCTTTTAGGTGGTAATTAGACATGATTTAAATTATTGATAATTAAGAAATTGATGTTAAATCTTGGTTTTTCAAAGCAGTATTATTTTTAGCTCGCTTTAGTTTAAGGTCTTTTGAAGTGAGTTTATCTAAAATTGGTGATATTGATATTTTAATGGTTGCTTACATTCTTTTCCTTGAGATAGATTTCTGCAACTTAATTAAGTCCCCATTTGGGAGAGTTAGGTTTATTTTTATTTGTTGTAGAAATTGATCTAAGTTTCCTGTTTTAAGGTTTTGAACCTTCATAAGTGTTTGTATCTATATTTAAATTCTAAACCTTTGTTATTTAGAATTATTATTCTTTAAGGGAAATTGCTCTCTCTTTAATTAAATAGGAACATTTTGCTAAAGTATAATTGAAATTGATACATTTACGAATGATTGGAATGACAAATCCACATTTTTAAGGTTCTAATAGAGGTTTCAGAAGAACGATCTCATAATTTTATTCATGCTTTTGATGAACATCTTCTTAGATGATTTATTTGGAAATATCATGAAATCTATTGTGAACATTCAACAACTAGTTGACCAAGGGCATATCCTTGGGAAAATATAAGTAAACTAACTCCAATGCTCTGGATAAATAATTCTCAGCTTCTGTAAATTGCAATGGATCTAAGATTTGCTCAATAAATCTTGATTCGGTTGAAGTGCAATATAGGGAGATAACAAACAGGGACAATATATGGAGGAATTATTGATTGCTGGGATTCACCTGAAGGAGGAGGGAATCAAAGTTCAAAGGAGTCATCTAAATGTAACTAAGGATGTTGGCTTTTTCTATATATTAAGTGGGGCAATTATTGAAGATATACAGAAGATTCTCTTGGGTTAATTGTTAAGTTTTTGAGGAGGGGAAGGTGATAATGATTCCCTATTATTTAGGCTTCAATTGGGGCAGGGCTATGGACTTCCTTAATATCTCCTCTAGGAGTTTCTTCTGCAAGGATTCTTCTGAATGGGAATGGAGATCGAACATTAACTTTAATGCTTTTTTGATTGCGATTTTAGAGATGGCCAATGCTTCATGATGCTAACCAATTTCTGATAAAATTATGCAACATTGGAGAAAACATTGTAGTCTTATAGTGTCTAAGAGGATTCTCTCTTGTGTTGTTTGATTTATATACTTCTTCAATATCAAAATAGTATCTTCGAAACAAGTGAAGGCATTTTCCAACCATCCTATGGCGTAGAATGAGACACCCTTAATATAAAGCATGAGTACCGATGTTGATTTTGTTGATTAGTTGATAATGAATAGGAGGACTTGCTATTGCAGTTAGGATTTATTCTGCTTATTTAAATTAGAATAAAGCTTATTGGTATTGATGTTGTTCGTATTCCAAGACTCCGTATTTGATGGTCTCCTTAAATTTGGATTCAGATTCATCCTCATAGATGTATAGGACAGATTAGCTCTTTTTTTTGGAATCCTAATATAGGGGATTCTAAGTACACTCATTCTAATAATCTCAACTGGTTGAATCTTTTGGAACAATTGCACAAAGTAAGCTTGTATCATTCTGGTCTTGTACATTCTGCTGTTTTTTCTACCCTAAACCATTCAATAGTTTTGGAGACTTTAATTCGTTCATATTAAAAGTATTTTATATAATATATATGGGTTAATGTCTCAATTGTTTTAAGAAGAATCAGGATTGCCAGCAGGATGTTGTTTCTTAGCAAGCGAATACTAATTCCAAACCTCTCAATGAGCATTAAACGGAAACCATCACCTTCTATAAGCAAAGCATTGTTCTTACCAATGATTCTCATAAGCCCATTGTCACAGACTTCAAATTGCTCAAGACCATTGGTAGGGGAAATTTTGGGAAAGTGCTATTGGTTCGAAAACGTTCTAACGGAAAAGTGTATGCTATGAAGATTGTAAACAAATATGATCTGCAAGTTAAAAAATAAGTGGAATATGCTAAAACAGAAAGGATTATATTGGAAAAGATCGATCACCCTTTTATAAGTAAACTCCATTATGCCTTTTAAACTCAATAAAAGCTTTATTATGTTATTGACTTTTGCGCAGGTGGGGAATTGTTCTTCCACTTAAGAAGGGCTTATAAATTCAAAGAGAATTAAGTGTAATTTTATGCTGTTGAAATTATTATCGCCCTAGAATATTTGCATGATTCCAAAATCTTGTATAGAGATCTCAAACCAGAAAACATCCTCTTATGTTCTGATGGCCATATCAAATTAATTGATTTTGGATTATCTAAAATTATCAGCAATCGAGATAAACCATCCTTTTCCATCGTAGGAACTCCAGAATATCTCGCCCCTGAAGTATACTCCGATGATAAACTTGGCCATGATGAGTCCTGTGATTGGTGGAGTTTGGGAGCTCTGATGTACGAAATGTTAACTGGGGCTGCACCTTTTTATAGTCAAGATCGAACCCTCATGTTCAGAAATAGAACTGAAAAGCAAACAGAGATGAAACCTTGGTTTTCCGAAGCCTGTTCGAGTTTGCTCACAGGATTATTAAATAATAATGTAAAAATATTCCATATTATCAGCCTAAATAAAGAATTAATATATAATAAATTAAAAAACATCCATTCTTTTCAGATATAGATTGGAATTAAGCCTAAAATCGCTAATTGGTACCTCCCATTATCCCAGAATTAAATGATGAATTAGATTTAAGATATTTTAATAAAGTAATCACATTATAATCGCAAGATGTTTTTGGATGAACCTCCAATTGATAGTCCAGTTAATAAAAAAGAACAATTTGACAATTACGATTATTTTACTTACAATTCAGAAGTATTAACAGAATCTTGAAGATTAATCAATATATAATTAGAATAAATCATTATCATGTACATATTTATGTTTTTCAAATACAAATAATAAAGCTTTTAGTAAATAGTTTATTTATTTTTATCAATTATCAAAAGATTTTGGATACAATATTATAAATTAAATAAAAAATCAGAATAGTAGTCAACTGATAATTAATCATAGTGTGAATTATGAATTTTCTATATCATTTTGTATGTAAAAGGTAAATGATGTTTAATTATTATTACTAAATTGATAAAGGTTAGAATTACCATTTAATAATAACTTTTTTAATTCATCTTAATTACAATATTATTTTTTAACTAGTAAGATTTAGCTTAAATAGAAAATAATTACAAAATAATCAACTCTAGTTTTATCTATATTAATAATTTTACAAAAGCTCTTCAACACTCAAAATAAAGTATCCATCAAAACACTATCAGCTAAGAAAATACATAAAAACACCTATGATCTCAAAATGAATTTTGATATTAATAGACTTTACAATATCTATTGACCCACTCATTTATCATTCATAAAATAAATCTAATATATAGGTAAACAAAAAAATAAATTCAATTATTATACTAAATTCAAATTATGAAAGTCAAAATAAAAGAATGGAATGCTGTGACTTCTTGGATATGGAGTCTCGATACAGACAGATGCACAATATGTTAGTTAGCATTTGAATAGCCTTGTCCAAGATGTAAATTGCCAGGAGATGAATGTCCCCCGGTGACAGGAGCATGCAATCATCATTTTCATTTACACTGCATAGTTAGATGGACTGAAGAATAAGATTATTGCCCGCTTGATAGATAAAAATGGAAAGTGAAAAATTGATAATGAAAAATATATTGGCTTCGATGTTCATAATTTTCATTACTATTATGGTTATTTTTTTGGTTTTTTCTTATTCAAAAATCTCTCTATTGCTTGTAAATCTTAGTCATTTTCTAAATCCATCATCTCCTCTATATTTAATGGCTCCAAACTAACTACAGCCTATTGCTTTTTCCTAGATTAATAATAACAAACAAGTCATACTGTTATTGATTGCCAATACCTAAATTAGTTTTCATATCCAGAATGGCATCAGTAATCAATTGTTGTCTCTTTTTAAGCAGAGCCATATCATGGTCAATTCTGGCAGTAGGATCCCCAGCAGAAAATTTAAACTCTGTGTTCTTAAACATCAAATATAAGGAATCTGCCATCTTAGACACTGCTTTTAATAAGAATTGGTGATCATTCACTTTAGGTCTATATAATATATTAACTTTTACTCTATAAATTCATTCCAAAATTGAGCCACTGCCCTTATTGTGTCTGGGCAATCAAAACAATTTAACCAAGCTTTGATTCTTATATCGCTTGCCAAATTCAATTCAATTTCCCCCTTCATTTATGTCCTATAAGCAAAATATTCCCTAAAAGCTGATTGCATCCCCAAAGCCCACTTATTTAAGAGACACTTGTTTGGTAAAGCTGATAATTTAAAAATAGTCTAAGGAGTCAATTTTACTACCTCAACTACCAATTATGATTTAATGTTGGAAGATAGTGCTTTAACAACAGACCTCCACCCACTTCTATTGGTTCTGATATCCTTTTTGTCGATGGTTATATCTTTGAGAGGAGCACCTCCCTTTAATTCCAATAGTTATTTACCTGGTTTAAGTTAATAAACAGGAATAGATCCATAAGCACAAGATATTTGAATTAATCTACCCTTATTGGTTGAATAAGTAATAAACTCGAAAATCAACTCTATCATATTATCCATTTTCTCATCGAAATTGCCCCATCTCAAAAACATCGCTTATTCCATTGCAGCAGAATCGAAGATCCATCTGTCTTCGTATTCTGAGTTCCATTGAGCAGGAATATAAATAGCATTGCCATCAAATTTATTTAATGCTTTATCCATGAGTATAATTCCTACTTCTCTTCTCAAAAAGGAACTTCTGGGGACATCTTTTTCATCTGGAATTGGTATTCCAGTTGCCTCAATCATTCGAATTTCAGCTATATAATTGTTTTTGATATTAACTTTATCAAGAATACTCTATTTTATATTGAAATTGGCAGCATCTACGTAATTTAATCCTTAATAGAAAAATCCACAATTGTCTAAGACAGGTTTCAATTATTATGAAGGTAAATTTTGTAATTTTTTATTTTGACTGCGTACAAAACTCATGATAAAGTTTTAAGGCAATGTCAAAAATATTTCCTTTAAATCATGCAATGATATTCTTCGACTACCCTTAATGTTCATAACAGCAGCGGATGCCTTTGCTGACATTCCTGATTAATTCTTCTAAATAAAGTAAATAAACTCATCAATATCAATTGAACCTGACTTATCCTCATCTATTTCAATAAACAAGTCCTCAAGTTCTTCGTTTTTTATTTGAACTCCCATATTTTAAAATACTTAGCTAACTTATTCTTTTGATAGCATTCTTGTTGTTGGATTACAAACTTATCTAAACTCTCTTCTTAGATCTTCTAATAAATCATCTGCTTATAATAATTCTTTTTTTAGTATATCTTTAACAATGTGCGAAAACTCTTGGTAAGATATGGTCCCACTTTTGTCTCTATCAAATTATGCAAAGTATTAAGTTAATTCTTCAGTGCCTGGGTTGAGTCCTACTGATTATAATGCTTTAAGTAATTCCCTTTAATCTAGAGATTAATTTTTATTTTCATCAATCTAATTGAATAGTTCTTGGATTTCTTACTCAATATCTTAACTCATGATAATTTATTCAGCCTTGTTTTTGTTATTATCTCCTTATTTCGATTAGAACACTAGTCTAAATTCATTTATTGAAATATTTCCACTTGAATTTGCATCTAAATAATCGTATAAGTCTTCGCATTAAATGGCTGTTAATCCAAATTAAGCTTCAAGTGCTTTTTTGACAAATATATTTTTATCGATGGTACTGGCTGAATTAGGAGGGAAAAAGTAAAGTGCAAAGTCATCATATGATTTATTTCTCTTTTTCAAGAATTCATTTATGATTGGTAACATTTTTGTAAACTTTTCTTTGTTTTGTGTATTGAGTATACTCTTTCTTTAATCTTTATTGGCCAATCCAAATTATTATTTCTCATCATCCTAATTAAATTATCCTGTTTTGCTTCTATCAACCTTTAAGGATTGAGCCAAATCACTTAAATTGATAAATCCATTTAATTGTAATGTTTGCTTGATTGCCTTTATCTCTTCTCCTGAAATAGTTCCCAATAGCCTTTTACTGATTTGTAAGAAATCATTGTAAGGTATTTAATTATATCCCTTCTTATCAAATTATTCAAACAAATTAAAGCAATTCTTCGAAAGCACCACTTCAGATAAGTGTAATAAAAATGCATCTAAAGTTTATTTCAATCCTATTTCCATCTATTATGATTGCTATTGCAAAGGATTATTATTCTTTGTAGGCACAATGATTTGATTCAAATTTAATATATCGTCATACATCCTATAAGTAATCACTCCTGATTATTGAGTATCCCAATATTGAAATGCTTCTCTTAGTTCTCTTTCATTCAACCCAATCTTAAGATTTTTGTTAATTTTTATTAGCTAAGGCATTTGCCAAGTTTGTTATTATTCTCCTATCAAATTCCATAGTTATTGTTTTGTATACTATTAATGTTTGACCATTGTAAAGTTGAGTGCTTTGGCTAATAGTTTTCCAGGGTTGTTCATTTTTAGATAAGGCAACACAATACTCATTTAATTTTATCCCTGCGAATAATAATAGTAGAATTATTGGATATGTGGAGTCGGTGCCATAACTTCTAAAAACAAAAATGCCTATTCCAATTACTCTGGCCTGGATATCTTCAATTCTGGTAAAGCAGTTTCATCATACTAACACAATACATCGAAAAGGTCGACATTTTTCTAGATACATTTCCTATGCAATTCTTAATCATAAAAACTTAGATCATATTCTTGGGGAATTATTGATTACTGATTCTCTGGCTATCTGTCATTGCTATCTTTCCATTGGTCTGGACCTTATTTGGGTGGAAACATTTATTGATCGGATGCCTAACTCCATCGTTAATCGATTTTATTGTTATTCTACACCCATTGTTATTTTATTTCATTATCACCTTAATTATTTTACTAGTTATAATTAGTATTTTGAGGAGGGTAGACAATAGATTATGATATATTTGATGGATTAAAAGAACCCAACATTGGATTTGGAGGATCATTTTAATTCTTAAATTAATTTTATTACTATTGCATATATTATGGTTATTATTGATATCCTTAATTACCATAAGACTATTAGAATTACTATGGATTAGGCGATTATTAGAATTGATTTGGTTATTAAAATTATTAAGACTAATATTATTATTATTATAATTATTATTATTGCGATTATTAATATGATTATTGCTATTAATATTATTATTAATATTACTAGTTTGGCTATTATTATTATTATTAGTATTGCTAATTTAGTTATTATTATTATTAGTATTATTAATTTGGTTATTATTATTATTAATATTATTAATTTGGTTATTATTATTAGTATTACTAATTTGGTTATTGTTAATATCCATTAGGTCCAGGTGGATAAGGTTATTATTATGGAATTTACTCATACTATAGAGTAATTCGAGTTTATTATTACTTAAATGATAAAATAAATCTAAATTAATCTAATCGTTCTGCATATTCTTTATCAAAATACCTGAAGAATTAATCTAATTCCAAGATCTTATACTTCTTGAAATAATTCATATACATTGTAAATTATTTGAATTCTATGGATTAACTGCCTTAAGATATGATATTAAATAATTCTGAAATTTGTTATTCAAATTATGGATTGCGACCATTCAGCATCACTAACTTCATATCTTCTATTTACTATTTTGTTAATTCATTTCTTTTATAAACTTGATACTCAAATTCTGTAAAATTTATTTTTCCATCCTTATCCATATCAAAGATTTCAAACAATTACCTTTGCACATCCTATGAACTTGAATATCCGATTGTTCTCAAAAGAAGGTCAGTGAATTCCTCATTAGATATATAATTGTCCCTATCTCTATCGGTTTGTCTATACAAATAAAGCAAAGTGCATGTTTCCTTTTCCATATATTAAGAAAAAGAAACAACGATCTTGTCAATCTCTTAATTGGTATTGATCACGATAACCTTTCTACTTTCCTTATACTATGCCAATCCTTTATTAATCAAGTCATTAAGTGCAATATAATCGATATAATCCTATGCATCTTATTCCAAGATTGTCAATAACAAATCCCAATCATTATCTGTAATTTGGATTGATTTGTCAGCAATTCCTAATTTTAAACCCTTAAGCTTCACTTTGCCTTTCTTATTAAGATCAAACTCTTAGGCTATGTCAATAACACTGACATATTTTTATTACAATTGCTCTCTTAACTTAGTTAAGATTGCATCTATTTTATTCTAAGGCGTATCTATATGATGCTGCTTAGCTTTTTAATAAAGCATCTTATAATTGATTTAATTGCCTTACAATGCACCCAATTAATCGGCAATTCCTTTCATTTCAAGTGTTTGAGGAGTAGGTCCGTTATTCTTTTTTAATACCGAAAGAATGCTTTCCACATCTAATTTATTGGTGCAATCTTCATCCATTCCCTCAAAATCTCCCAATATGGTTGCTGATGACTTAATAAACTTAATAACCTCATTGAACATTCCTCCTGATTATTGTTTGTTATCTTGAGATAGTACTTTTGGCTTTTCCTTAGCAAAAACCTTTGCTTTGAATTCACTGATACTTATTGAACCATCACCATTGGAATCAAGCAATAGGAATAGGTTATCAATTTATTTATTCTTTATGGAAGGATCAATGTCATGGATCAATTTATTAAACTCTTGTCTATCTAAAACATCATTTCCATTTTGATCATAATTATAAAACAGTTAAGCTGTAGCATTTTTACCTGCTGAGATAGTTTGATTGAGACCCAATAATAGTTATTCGGCTTCTACACAATCATCTAAAAGTAATTATAACTTTTCATATTACAAAAACTTTTTATCATCAGGTGATTATAAATATGATGCTAAACTTCTAAATTCAGCATAGTCGAATCCAAAATGATTAATAATATCTTGGAATGCGTTAATTAATATCTCCCCTCTACCTCTTTTATCAAAAATTTGTAAGGTTTAATTATTTTCATTCAAAGCATCTTTGAGTCTGAATACTGATTTCATAATTTAAGGCGTCAATACCTTGGAATCGACAGCACTAGTTCTTCTAAATTATTATTATGGTTCTTAATATTATTCTTATTAATATTATTATTTTGGTCTATTTTATTGTTAATTCTATTTTGGATTTTCATCATTCTAATTAATAATTTTCTATTTAAATTCGTTTAGATTAATTGTATTATCATTATTTGCATCAAATTTATGGAACAGTGTCTCCAATATCTTCTAATCTACATTGCCTACCAATTATTATAAAAATTCTTAAAACTCCCTCATTTCCAACTTTGTATTTCTATTGGCATCATACTTTCTAAACAATTATTCTGGCTTACTTTATTCGTATGCCAATTCAGTGTTGAGATCTTGTAGTAATTTATTAGCTGCCTCGTCTAATTTCAAGCCTTGTCTCAATTTATTTAAGGATATGTTTTATTGATCTTGTTAAATGCAAATTAAAAAATCTTTAAATTTTTCATCTTCTGAATCTATCAACAATTGTTTAACTAAATAATCTTGCAGATGCTTTTTCTTTAAGGTACCATCCCCCAAAGAATCTAAATCTTCAATGTCAGTATAAGTCATTTTCTTTTTTTTCATCATTTTATTAAGTTGCTCAAAAAAGATCACTGCATTATGTTGACTAAACCTAATCTAGTCATTTCTTTTATCCTTATAATAAAGAATGGCCTCTATTAGTAAATCAATATCGACAAATGTTCTATCATTGGGTACCAAAAGATTATTAATCAATTCCTCCTGTTCAACCTCAAAATCTGCTTTATGCACTTGTAATTAACGCAATTTATCCTTAAATTATTGAATCGACATTCGTTGAAATGTACATTTGAAATATTATCTAGGAGTTTCATCCTTCTCTTATAATTCTTTAGAGATGAATTGCAACAGTTTTTTTTAACTATCAAATGATTTAGGATTGAAGTTAATGGATTTCTGTAATGATAACTCTGGGTCATCGAAATTGCTCTTTCTTTCTTGAACGCTATCTCCTCCGTCAGCCTCTTAAAGTTGTTTCCAATTTTACACATGCAATTCTCTTGCCTTTTAAGCAATTGCCTATACAAAACGAGGATATTCAATTTCCTCCTTTACCCCAAAAGTATTTAGCAGGAATTAGAAATCTGTTTAACGAAGATGATCATTGGATTGTTTGAGAGCATTGAAAAATTAGCTTTAGGATATAATACTACTACTTTTTGTGCTAGATCTAATTAATTAAGGCAAAGTCATCTATATCCTAAGGAGACCATTGACAAGTTGAGTCAAAATATCTTTCAAATCTTCATTCACATTGGCATCAAAGTACGTTCTCACATTGTCGAAACTAATCATTTTTTTATTGTCTGGGTCTAGATTAAACAATACTTATTTTAGAATCTCAGGATTGGGTTAATATTTGATCTCGTTGAAAAACTTGTAAATATCATCATATCCCAAATATCCTTTTGATTTGCTATCGTAATGTCGGAAAAATGAAATAAACACATTATACACATCCCTTATGGCTTTATACATCTTTTTTTTTAAATCATCCACTCCTAATTATTGTTAATTCGTCGATTTGATATCATCGCAAAAGCTTTCATAATAAATGGTATTCTTCTTATTGGGATCATACTTCATTTTCAGGAGGGGAATGTCTTCAGGATTTAGGTTTATTCCCTCCTATCTGATTATATTATCGAATTTATCAAAAGGTAGAATTCCCAACTATTCTTAGTCACTTGCTTTCAAAATTTCGATCAAATTTATGTTGCTATCTTCTAAATAAGTATTAATGTCTTTTAACATTTCAAATAACTCGTGATCCTATGCCTAACTCAATTCTCCCAGTTTTACTACTTCTTTCTGTCGTTGAATCCAAGATGAAAGATCAATTTCATCGGTCTTTTGCACATCGTATGTTTGTAATAAAATTGCTTTTTCTTTAAAACTAATAGATATCTTGAGATCTTCTAAGGCATCCCAGAAATTTGTAGCTTTTATTTTTCTACTGACTGGTTGCAATTGATATTTGGACAAATATTAAACAACTGTCTGTTACTTCTATTAGGTGACTTTTTATTTTAATTCATCCAATAACAATTCAGGGTTGGGTTAAAGCAGATTCTCATCATGCTGGATGACATTATCACTGAAGAAATCTTAGATTGTGTCTTCCAATTCATGGATTGGAGACCTTGTAGAGGGATTCCTTTCCAACATTCTTTCTATCACATTGTATAAATGTTATCCATACAACTTTTTGACTGTCTCTTTGATTTCAATTGCTTTGGCAGAATCTTAAGTATTAGAGTCTCTAAAGATTATCAATTCTTCAATGTCTTTTAATGAAGCCATCTAAAGAAAAGTTAAACCCAATTACCAAATATCAACTTTGACTGGATCTCCTCCCAACAAATCTACGGCTGAACTGCCAGAAGCAAATCTCTAACTTTAATTCTTTTTTATTGCAGCCAAGGATTCAGGTGGCAAATATAATTCGTTATTCTCATTAGAGAATTAAGTGAAGTCTGTTACTACACATTCGCTCTCTTCATCCTCGAATAGATTTGATGGTTTGATTCTCCCATGGAAGTATCTCTGATTGTCACCCTTCTTGGATTTATGGATTTTATCAACCCAATTCGTGAATTCATTTACGTAAGTTTGCATTTTATTCATTGGGATATACACCCCTTGTCTCTTATGCTATTTGATTAAGTCTGCCATTGAACATTTAAATTTCTTATAAACCAGACACAGTGCCTGCTTCTCTTCCCAATATCCTTCAGGAATGTAAATGCCTGCTTTAGATAATCGAATTTTCATCTAATCCATTTCATCCACTAATTCCTTTTAGGTTTTCTTCTAAGGATTGACTAATTTGCATATGAAGAGCTCAGCTCCTTTCTTTTGCATCGAAGTCTTATTGTTAAGTGGATAAACGAGTTGAAAGTCTGCTTATTGGAATTTTTTCAATTGTGACATAATTAATATATGAAAAAATTTTGTAATTTCATATGTTGTGCTTTGGATTCAGATGAGGAGAAGATGGGTGAGGAAAAATAGATTTCAATCAAAAAGGAAGAAAAAACATCCTTGGAGCTTTATGGCAATTTCGAAACCCAAAACTACATGCTGGTTAGAATGACCTAAAAGAATTTCTTTGTTGATTTTTCTATGAGAAAATCCAAATTAGTAGAGAAGAACCCCTTATCTGTCTTCATATCGTACATAGACAACGATGCCAAGTACGAACAGGACGAATCAAGTTATCTGATACCAGAAAAAGTGCTACAATACATTGGCAGAAGAATGAGGGAAGTCAAACCATCATTCATAGTTGATGGCCTGTCCAGGAGTGGTATCAATGCAATTTAGTTCTCCTCTGAAACCAACACTTTTGTTTTGGGAAATAACTTTTCGATGTAATAAATTAAAAATGCTAATCACAATGCAACTATTTGTAATTTAAACATAAGATGCGATTTTCTTCAGACAAATCTACCCAAATTGCCAATCATAGAAAATGATGTCTTTTTCATCTAACCTGATTATTAAATTATTGATGGAAAATTGACATTAAACAACATTTTCCCTTCAATTTCAGATATTCTAGATTACTATTTAGTGTGGAGTAAGAATTTAATTCTAGTTTTACCCATCTAAGTTGATCTCCAAGCATTTTGTGAGGTTTTTTGTTAAAATTTGAAGGAGAAAAATTAGGATCAACTGATTTTTGAAATTCAAAAAATCCAAATCGATGGTGAGCTATATTATTACTTTATTTATTTTGGAGAGATAGCTGCTATCCAAACACAGGATGAATACATGTTAATGACTGAAATGACTTTGGAAGATTCCAATCAACAAAATTTATTTGACTCCACTTATATGCTATTAAAGAATATTGGATACACCACGAATCCAAGGGAAATCATGAATATCTTACTTTACTCTAGATAGATGTCGTAATTCGAAACTACCTTACAAGTTCTCATCAATCAAGTAATTAAACTTAAGTTTTATATTTCTTAGTTGCTTATTAAAGGCTTGTCAAATGAATCGACAATCAAATAATTGTTTGGTGATGCCGATGTTTTGTTGTCTTCAACGCCGAAATACAATCAAATCCAAGTTTAAGAAAATACGTTCGGATAAGATTGCCAGATTAAATAGTGCTACGAGTAGCAACAAACTTAAAAAAATAAAAAAGCCAAGAAATCTCAATTTATTTCATTTAATATCCCAAGTGAATGATGTATATAAATATATTTATTTTATTCATTGCTTAAATCGTTGTAATTAATATATATATAAATTAAGATGAACTATCATCGATATCCTTCTCAAAATCAACATTATAAAACCCTCAAAAAATCTAATTTTTATTTCCAATCGTAATAATATTTCCTAATTCCATTAGACTCAAAACTGATACACAAATTTAAAACACACAAAATGAGATTTTTACAAATCTTAAAACCATAATTAAATAGAATGAAAGATTATTATCAGAAAATAGTGAAAGTTATCCTATTGTGAAAAAAAAAGCAAAATCCTCGAAAAACAACTGTGAATGCTGCATCTATTGAACGAATAAACATAATTAATAAACTAAACTATAAGATTATTTATTTACTAATCAAGCTAAGATCTCGAAAATCGAAACTTAGAATTTCTCGAACATTTTAAGATTCCTTTATATTTTTTTCAATTATATTTAAATTTCTTAACCAAAACTGAGAACGAACACAATTAACCAGATTCAAAATTGTTGAAAAATTGTTCTGAGACCTATCAAGATTACACGGACATTAGTGATAAACATACAAAGTGTTGAGATTATATGAATATTTTTATACGTTTATAACAACTTGATTAATATACAAATCAATGAATCAATTATAAATAAGAATTAATCAAAAATTTATATGATTTATAAGATGATATGGCTAACTGAAAGCTGTTTAAATTAACACTATTGTAAGCATTAATAAAAGTGAAATGAATTAGTATGAATAGCTTACCAATTTAAATACTTCTCCTTGTGTTTTGCCCTTTTTTTAATTAAATAGTTCATTTTTGATAAGATGCATTCGCAATTATCCGCTTGTATACCTTATCTGGTATCAAGAATCAGCAAATTTGATGATGCTTGAAGAATTTTAGAGGAGCATTCCATTTTATGTTGATTATTCTTAAATTCCTTTTAGAAGTTGAGTATAGCTACATCGTATCAAGAATGCTAATCAGATTGTGGAATGCTTTTTCTTATACAAGGTGAATCATTCATCACTGACATCATATGTATCAAAAGTATTAGTTTGGAATTGGTGAATTGAAGTACGGCAGGTTGTTTATGCACAAATGTAAATGATACCTGTTGACTTTTGTTGATTTCTATTGGTAGGTAATAGAGGGGATTATAATTTTATAATAAGTAAAGTAATTGAGAAATTAAGATATTTTAGTTATTGATGTATGTATTTATTTCTTTATTTAGAATATAATTAATATAGTAAATTTTATGAACGAGTCTTAAAGTAAAATATCTCGAAATACTTCATCTTCATATTTTAGTCTTCCTAAAATATAGAAAGTAACAAACACTCCAAAATATCTTGAAGTTAAAGGCTACAAAAATTATAAGTATAAGAGTTATATGATGGATTTGATGAAATCAGATAAGAAGTTATAAAAATTGCTGCCTTTTCATCTTTAGAATTTGACAAAAACACCGAGAAAGAGGTATGAATTAAATGATTCCACGAAATAAGAATTGTTGCATTTTAGCAAATTGGATAATATCTTTACAGAGGGAGATTTGGAAATAATTAAATAAGCTACAGTTACTTAAGGAGCAATCAATATTCAAGCCATGTACAGGAAAACTTTAAAATCATACGAGTAGGATTCGTAAAACACCAGGAGAGCTGACGAAAGTCAATTATGCGATGAAATAACCATGAATAATAGCATAATCAGCAATATTATTGAGCATCAAAAATAATTGACTACTAATCCAAGAGTGATCAGGTAATCAAAGAAAGAAATATACAAAGAGATGAACACCATCAAAGAATTCAAGGTTCTAGTTAAAAACACATAGCAATATAAAGATATTTATGATATAAAAGAATCAGGAAAAAGTATATTAAAATATTAATGCCATAGATCCTTTCATATACCAATTTATCTTAAGGGAATCTTATTTGAGTTTCGCTGAGTTGTCAAGAATAATTTAGGATAGAATTTTATTGGCTTTTGACATAAATCCTCACAATGAATAAGAGAAGGTGTATTACAATTAATTTAGATTATTTAAATAGATCGTAATTAGCCAGCATTTCAAAGAGCAAACCTTAATAAACTTTTTTATTAAAGTATAATGTCCCTATATAATAGTTCTTCAATCCTCACAATCTACCTGAAATTTCATTATAGGATTTTAGGTCAATACTAATTGTGATTCTGTAAAATTCTGAAAATATGGATTAATTGGTAAAATACTTAATAAAAAATATAAAATTATCATAATATGTTGAAGATAATCAGATTAAAGACTTATTTGGTATATTTAAGTCTAAAATACTAGATCCAATTAATTTGATCTATTTATTATTAAACAATAATTGATAATAGAATTAAATCATAAATCAAATATTTCTGTGCCATTCCACAATGGAAGTAAGTTTGAGTTTAATAATATTCTTAAATTATCTTAATAAACGATTCCTAAATTAAAGTTTTCTTAGCAAGTAATCAGTTACAACAATTGACCTTTGCTCCTCTTGGATTTAATCCTTGGATAGTAGGCTGAACAATCTCCTACAACTGTGACATAATAGCCAAAACTATCCTGTTACAATAGTACTTCAAATCCCTTGGGTAGTGTTTAGTATTATGATAATTTCAATGGAATTTCATTTGTATAATAAATCACATCTTCAAATCCATTATTGATAGAGATCCATTTTGTGTTAAAAGTTTAAATAATTGGTTTAATCTAAACCTATTTATCCCCCAGAGATTAAGGAGTGAAATGTTAATTATACACTAGTTACTTCTGTTTGTTATCATGTTAGTATGCTTTGATTAACAGTTGGAAATTCTTTGTCACTTAAATTACCATATCAGTTTGCAGGTAGATTCTTTATTCAAATATGGGTGGCTCATCTAGAGTTAATCTAATTGATTTTAAATTTTGATTACTTTGCTGTAACTTAATAACTGATTTAGTCATCTTAACTCCAAAGTGTAATTCTTTTATTGTTGTAATCAAAGGTGAATTATAATAACTCGGATTCTAGATTGCCATTGTTGATCAATTCATCGAATTTTTTAACTTTGTTTATTAATCCTTTGAGTTTCATCACTACTTTATAGAGTCTTAAATTCTGGATTTCTGGAGACACATATGTAATGCATCCAACGCAATCCTCTTTCTCAGAGTTCTCTTTAAATTTTGATTCATCAAGTTGTAAGTTAATTTAAAAAGTAATAAGTGAGTGAGCATACAATTCTGTAAATTCCTAACCAATCATTGAACTTATGGTCAAACAATTTTGTTGTGTGTGTTATTGAATCATTTCTGGGATTTGCCTAATCAATTCCATGAATTGATCTTGTGATGAATATATTTTAAAGGATACCAATTTCCATACTTGCTTAAGATTTCCTGGAGTTTGAGCAAATTAAAGTAATTTTTGGAGTTTTTGTAAAAATACTTCTTTAATTTAAATATCATCTTCCTCTTAATCTAGTTCTATCAATTTGCTTTTAAGTTATGCTTAAACCCCAGTCAAAGAAGTAATAATTCTTTCATTCTAACTTTTTTATATAAAATTGAAGAGATTATCAACAATTTGAATTGCTAGCTATCGAAAACTCATGTGATTCTTGATACTTATATTAATTATAATAGAAATTGTATCCAGAATTATAGACTCAGATTTCTAGGAAATTATAATGCCATTAATAATTTGAGGAAATGATGCGTCACAAGGTTCCTCTCAAAGAATCCTAGCCTCATATTATTAATTTAGTTTAATAGTGATTAATATGGTATTGTTTAATTTGGACCATAAGATATAGTATTGAAAGCATTCTATTACAAATCAAGTTGACGAGGATTTATATAAGGGAAACACCCTACTAAGCTGGAGAGTCATTTGTGAGTGGTTAATATATATTTGTGAGTATTTAATTGTGTGTGATAGGAGGGAATTTAATATTAAAATGTATTAATAATAAATGAATAACTAGCAGAGAGCTAAAATCTATGTGCTCCAAGGTTAATGGGAGGAGTTTTGTATAGGGTATGTGTACATTGTGCATACAGATGGTGTTAATCCCCCTTTCATTAGGAGTATTTTGGAAACATAACAAAAGTAATGTTGCAATCTAGTGTAATTTGCTCACTTGAATACAAATAAGGAAGAATGGTGCCTCAATTTGAAGGTGAATCCCGATGCTGTCTATGAGTTCTGTGGGGACAACATTATTCAATGGTAGGAAAGTGAAATCAATTTAGACATAGCAATAAGCTTTATTGATTCAAGGTATGCATCCGAATTTTGGAATTAATTATAAAACAGCAGGAGGCATTTTCGTTACGATGATGTTGAATCGACATATCCAATTTTACCATCCCATTAAAATTTGGAAGCAATTTTATCATAGATAAGTGACAGCCCAGAATTAATTATTTAGAAAATAACTAATGATCCTAAAAATTAATTTATGGAAGCCATCAAGAGGATTTTCGAGGATGCAGAAGCACAATCCAATTTTCATGTTCTTGAGCAATTGCACTATGTGATTAGAAGTCTAAGTATTTTTGATAGAGTAATGTAGTTTACATAAAAAACGAGAATGTAATGAAATGCTTATTGAGTGACAAGTATTACGTGACATTGTTTGGCATCATGGAGTGTAATTGTTGGCCCTTATTTTATGTAGATCATTCGGAAAACAAGGGACCTCAGAGAGTTTCATACAGAAAGTTTTTAAAGGATGAATTGAGATTCCATAGAATAACTGAGTTCGAAGATGCAACAATAGAGAAGATTCATTTTAATTATCGTTTGTCCTACTTGAAAGAAAGTGTTATGGCTTATTATCTGTACATCGAAGACCCACTCTATAATGAGTTCAATTTTTACATCCATGAAAATAATCAAAGGATATTGGAGAGTTTGCTGATTCATCATAAAGATCAATTCGAAAAGTTTCTGGAAGGAATCATGGATGACTTTATAGTGAAATGTAAATTTATAAATGAATTCTTTTTATAATTCAAGCCCTTTTTAGCAATCAAATAATTGAATGATGCTTTTGTGGATTGTATTACTGAAGCCAATCTACTCAAAGTTTTGTATTAGCATTCCTTACTCAAAGTCTAACAAAAATCAATGTCATAGATTTGTTTTACAACATTACAAATCACAATTATGATAGCAAACTAAAATCAATAATATTTGTAGGATTTCTTAAAAAATAATCATGATATATTCTGGTAATGCATGTAAGGTCTATTATTCTGCCAAGTTAATAGTTTGAATAGCATAATAATTGATATCATTGAAATAATTTGTTCGAATCCTTCAGTTGAGAAACAATGTATAGAATGGTTAAAGAGATGCTTGTCACAGCCTTTGAATTTCTCTGCTGCTCTTGTATTGTAAGAACTAGTGTAGTGGATCTGCTAACAATAAAAGTCGATTTCATAGGATCTTGTTGTGCTTTCCAATTACATTCTGAACATTTTAAACCAATAGTCGAAGTAGTAAATCAAGGACAAGTTTTTGTTAATGTCAGGGTTGAAGCATTTCAAGTACATTTGCACCACGCCCATTTCTGAAATTTTGTAGCCTTATTGCAATTCTTTAGTGTAGTTGGCTGTGAGCAAACGAATGGATGGAATTATAGAAGGATAGATAAGAGACATCCTGAAGTTCATTAAACTTAAGAATTGCCTTTGTTAACATTTAGTAAGAAATCATATTTATATTGTAGGTCATGATTGTGAAGACTTTGAATTATTCAAGCCATCATCTTTTTGTGCGTTTAGTGGATCAATTTCAAAATGATTACATAGCAGATGGAAAGTTGAATATAGATGATCAAAGAGAATACGAATAGGAAGATTCAGAGGAGCATCAGGAATAATAACCAATTTTGGAGAAGGATGACATCAAATTGGATTTCAGCAGGATAGTCAGGAGGAGGAATGAAGAGGAGGAGGAGGAAGACGATGAGACACATGTGAGAGATTAAAAGCCAAATGGGATCATTTTTGGGGAGAACTGCTTTAAAAGAATAAAACCTGATGATGATTGATTTTATTTATTTACTAAATGTTATCCCAAACATAATCAAACCTTATTCCGAAAAAGAAGATCGAACATTACACTTATTTAATGCATGAGCAGATCGGGAGAGGATACAGTTCTAAGGTGTATAAGGGGAAGGATGAGAACACTGGAGAAGTGGTTGCAGTAAAAGTGATTGATGTGAAGGCAATCAGCAATGAGATCGAGAGATCGTTGATCAATTAAGAGATCAATGCACTCAAGTTAATACAGTCAGTCAACGTTATCAAATTGCATGATTATTATCACACAAACAACAACACTTACATCATCACTGAATATTGCAATTAGGGGGATTTGGGCAAGCTCATTTAATAGTAGGGGGTAATACCTGAAGTGGAGGCCTTTAAAATATTGAGACATATCATCAATGGATTCAAGGAGTAAATTAGGAAGGGAGTCATTCATAGAGACATAAAACCAACCAATATCCTCATTAAGAATTCAGTTCCCAAGTTGGCTGATTATGGATTCTCTAAAATGATTAAGGCTCCCAAAGAGAAGGTATTCTATAAGGTTGGTACTCCTATTTATATGAGTCCTGAAAGTTATTTGGAGAATAAATACTCAGAGAAGACTGATATTTGGAGCATTGGAGTGGTCTATTATTAAATGCTATATGGTTAATGTCCATGGGTAATCAATTCAGAAAGTGAATTTCAAGAATCTGTATCGCAACTGCATTTTAATCGTAACGTTCCCATCTCAGAAGAGTCAAAAGATTTCTTAAGGAGAGCCTTGTAAGTTGATGAAAATCAGAGGCTGTCTCTGGCTGAAATTGATCAACATCCCCTCTTCTTGCGTCGTAATACTACTGCTCTCAATAAGATGAGAGGGGCTTTAGTCAGCAATTCATTCAACAAATCAATCACAAATATGAATGTCGTCAGAGTTAATCAAACCCAACAATGTACAAGGAGTGGGTCCACTTCGCATAAGCATTAAAAATCCAATCAAATTAAGGACAGGATTGGGACTGTTGTGTAACATACATACCAAAGCTTTCATTATGGTAGTTTTTTCATTTATTTTGAATCTAGAATCTCAAGCTGAAGAGGTTATTTGTAATCTCCTAAATCAATGCAAATTCATTTATCGGACTTGTCAATTGATTGATCACATCAAATATTTGCAATCTCCAAGGTTGAGAGAGAAGATTATGGGGTATTTTGGAAGGGAAGTGATGGACATCATGAATAAAGTATGTGTAATACTTATTACAAGCTAAAAGAAGCATATGAGAAAGGAGTCAACAATATTAAAGTGATCAATTTCAACCATTAATTTGTGGTTGTCATACTAAATAAGCACTCATTCAGAGAAGTCTATTTGAGATATAAAGAGTATTATGGCATGTCTTTGTTGGGGGATATATCTGCTCTGAAGGATGTGATTAGAGAATTGAATCATCAACTCAGAATAAATGAACAAAATGAAACTGGTATTTTGTTACTAGATTACCTAACCTATTATTACCAAGTAATTATAAGTAATAATCCTTAATAATTCTTGGATGGTAAGCCCATGAATGAAATTACCCCTAGTCATTATTAAGAAATTAGAGTGAAAATATATAATTTAGAAATATGATGTCATTGATATCTATGTCTAATGTAAATATCAATGATAAAATTCATTCATTATTGTATACTTTTAACTATTATGATTTTCAATTATGGACTTCAAAGACCAATCGAAATCATAAGCGTATCCTATATTATATAATATGGTTTTATTTAATAAAATAACGAATGAAATTAGACAACGATTTTTTGAAAATCCAAACTTATGCTAGTCAGCTTTTTGAATCTCTCCCAGTTATAAAAGAGTTTAAGAATGACAAAGATCTTATCACCTAGCTACAATACTCTTGTGTATGTTATGGTAGAAAATTAGTTTCTCTATTTGATAAATACACAATACTCTAAAAGAAATAGCAAGAAGGTTCTAACTAATTGCTCATAAATTTGGCATCTCTATTGAATGTTACACCTAATGAGCAAACAATCATGGGCACAATTAAATAGCAAATCAAAGCCAATGAGCAATTGCAATCCAAAGTTGAGTATCTGAAACAATCCTAATAAGATGTTGTCTATTAGAAAATGTTGCAGCACGAACAAAAGCTAACGCAAGAGTTATAAGAAGTAGCAGATCGTCTAATAAAAGAATTAAAGTAATCAAAAGATGACAAATAAATCTTGTTGGATGAGTTGCAAATCAAAGAGGATTAATTGAAGCAATATCAATAGCAGTTGCAGTAATCATCCCTCTTAAGGTCTCCCACGAAATAATAATACAATAGTGCTCAAAAATATTCAAGTGCCACTAAGTATTCCAGTTCAAGCAAACAGCCTCGCTTTCAATAGCAACTGATCAATACACTCTAAGCATTGTCCCAGTAAACGAAAACCTTCCTCTCGCAATATGTAAATTAATAGGAATCAGCATATGATTATGATCAATTGGTGACTGATGATGCCTAAATGTTATCCATGAATGTCTCAAACATAGTCCGTGATTTGACTCACATCATTTAACATAAAGAAGAGATCGTTGAAAACCTAATCAAAGGACTTGAAATACAGCTTGAATAAGTCAGATTGGAATAGCAATAGAGCGAGTTTCAATAAACAGATAATAAACAATTGCAATACCAATTACAACAATTATAGGCTATTGTGAAAAAGGCGAAGGACACTCGAGTCAAAGAGTTGGACAGAGCATTTAATTCTGAAATACCTGTATTTATCGTTCCTGATGATTTGATGGATTCCGAGTTGCAATTAACAATTGAGAGACACAATTCAAAAGTGTAACAAAGATTGAACGATTTGGCAGTCTAATTGAAAAAGAAATCAACACAATTTGAATAAATATCATCATAGACTACTAAGATTAAAATTATTCTGGAAGAGGGTTTAAATAGATTGGCAATCATATTGAATGAGCTTTAGAATATGGCTGATTCAAATGAGGCCTTAAAATTGCTTAAATTCTGCAAAAATGAGATCGATTCAATACATGTAAATCTGAATGGTATTGATATTGAGCAATAAATATCTATTGAGATAAAGCAATAAAGACAAAATTGGTTGTAATAGTTGGATTAATTGAAGAAGTTTTATTCAGACCAAACTGAAAAGTTAATCTAAGAGAATGAGCAACTCAACGAGCAATTGGCTAAGTTATAGCAATTAACGCAAGGATTGCATAATGACAATGAGTAATTGATGCGTAAATTAAAATTAGCCTAATAAGAAGAAATGCAATCGAAGGAGGACAAAGATAATTTAATTTAGGAATTAGAATTGACGATTTCTTAATAAGAATAGAATATCAAATTATATGAGTAATAAGAAAAGAAACAAAGATAAACCATGGAATAGATTGAGAAGGAATTGGAGAACAAGAAAAGAGAATATTTGAATTTATAGTAATCTAAGCAATTGGAACAATAGGACATAATAGAGAAATTAACTGATAAGAATTAAGTGTTGGAATTTGAGAATAAAACGTATAAATAATAATTGGATGTAATTGAAAAGGATTTTTAGAAACTCAAATCTTAACGTCAGACCTAGGATTAATTGGCTGAATAAGATAAGTAGACATTGAAAAAGTAATTGGATGAAAAGAAAAAACAATTGTTGCAATTGTAAACTGAGAACAAGAAATAACACGAGGAGGCTGTTGCTTAAATAGAGGAGTTATAAGACGAATTGGCACACATATCAAGTCAACTATAGTTAAGAGAGACTGAGATTAAGCAATTGCATAAGAAGTTGAGTGAATTGGAGGATTTTTCGAGAAAGTAGATTGATGTAATCAGAACTTATGAGGACAAGTTAACTGAGGCTCATCAGGTAAAAAAGCAATTGGAGAATAACAATGAGGGAAGCGATCAAATGTTGTCTCAGTTATAGCATAGGTATCAACAATTATAACAACAATCTAATTAGTTGAAGCATGAAAATGATAAGTAAGCTATTGTTTTGAGATTTTAAGGTTGTTGAATGATTTGAGTTTATTGTAGAAGTAATACACGAAGCAAAAAGAAACTATGGAGTAGGACTTTAAGGATAAAATGAATAAATAATCAGAGATAAACAAAATATTAAAGGAGGAGGCTAGAAATTTGAAAGCTTAGTTGGAATTAAAGATTAATTAACTAAGACAAGTAGAATAGGATTTGCAGGATAAAAATAATGATTTGGAGTATTTTATTATAATAAGATTAGCAAGGCATAGAAAATATGCAAGCAATTGAATCTGCAAGTAAATGACTTCAGACAGAAAATTGAATATTTTGAGGATTTCAAATAAGAAGTACATGTATTTTACAATACTAGAATTTAGAGACTTCAGAATAGTATGCAAAGTAAATACAATAGATGTAGAATGAAAACTTTTAGTATAGGAGGGAGTTGGAGAAATAATAATAGCAGAATTCTTAGCGTTAGAAGACGAATAATATATAGGATCAATAATTGAAGGAGGAGATCAATAATCTGAAATAGGAAGTCAGAAAGATGGAACAATTGTTAAATCAGGAAAGAATGAATTACGAATAGGAAATTAGAAATTACTAGAATTAGATAGGCGAATACACAAAATTGGATTTATCGATGAGATAAAAGTCTGGGTAATCTGGGGGAAGTGCCTTCTATGAGAACCTGATAGAGGCAAAAGATTTAGAGATCGCCAGACTGACAAACATCGTAAAATCTTTGACAGACTTAAGAAAATGATTATAATTTGAATAGTTTGAAAATGTTAAGCAATAATTCTATTTTCATTTAAATATCAAATGATAATATTTCTAGTTATTGCTCCTGCACTCTCATACCTTATTGATCAACATTACTAACCATTAAATTGGTTCCAATATGGAGATACTGTGTGTTATGGAGTAATGTTCGATGCTGGAAGTTCAGGTACAAGAGTTTATGTATATTCTTGGAGTTGCCGAGAAAACAAAACAATGGCCTATATCAACATAACGGAGAAGTCTTTGGAATATAAGGTTGAGCCAGGAATCGATTCCTTTGGGAAAGATCTGGACTCTTTGAAATCGTACATCAATGAGCTCATTTAATTTGCCTACGAGAATGTGCCATACACTATGCACAAGTACACTCCCATTATGTTGGCGGCGACGGCTGGAATGAGAATGATCCCGACTTATTACTAGATATAGATAATATCGACGATTAGAGATTTATTTAGATCAAGCAAATTCCTATTTCATAGAGATGATTGGTGTAGAATAATTACAGGTTAAGAAGAAGTAATTACATATCATTATAAGATCAAAAGGGAGCCTATATGTGGCTATCCATTAACTATATGATAGGTAAATTGGGAATAACGGATAATGAACATGCATTAACTGTTGATTTGGGAGGAGGATCCACCCAATTGGCTTTTAAGCCTCAATCCACGATAGATAAGAGCGAGGTAAATTTGAGGATTCCCAATCACAATCAATATAAGATCTATTCCCAATCCTATTTATATTATGGAATTGATTAAGCCAAAAAAGCCATTTTTGAGAAGGAAATAAATAAACTGGATAAAAATAACCTAGTTTATCAATCTCCCTGCTTTCCCAACGGCTATCGAAACAATTACAGATATAACAAATCTTATATAATTATAGGAACAGGCAATATTAATAATTGCTTAGAATTAATTAATCAATATCTCAATAATGACAAGTCAAAATGTATTTATGAGAATTGTGGTATCAATGGAGTCTATCAGCCAGAAATCGATTCAGAGTTAATCTATGCTTTGGGAGGTGTTTCATTTATGGCAGAATTCTTGAATTTGGAGTAGTACACCTTGGAGTAATACTTTATCAACGCAGTCAAGTTCTGCTCTTTGAGTTATGAAGAAATCCAGAAACATGAGGCTTATGGTAGGAATAAGTACTCGAATGGGAATTATTTCTCCGTTTTGTACGTGTATTCCTTGTTGAGTCATGGGTATGGGATTAAGGAGAATCAATTAATCCGATCTCCCAAGTTGATTGGCAACATCACTCCCACTTGGACCTTGGCTGCCATGTTTTATCAGATTGCCCAGATAGATTGCGAATAAGACAGTCCCATCTGTTCGACTATTATGAATAATTGATGAATTTAATATTAATAGCTAATACAAACTATTGTTTTTCTTCAGAAATTATTTCCAATTAAGTGCTTAATCAGAATTTTCTTTTTTTCTTGTTCTCCAAACTTTGGGGTTTGCTACTAAACTATAGATCTTTAGCAATCTAAACGGATTGTTGTATCCACTCATTCAACCATGGAAATCTTTTATAGTTTAGGACATCCTTAGGGAGATAAATGAAAATATTACTTCGATTTAGTCATTTGATATTGATTCCACTATGAAATTCACATATTTTTGAATTTTTTGTTTATTTTCATCAAGTGCTAATTGTAGGTATTAACCTAGATGAAATGGAAAATGATATTCTTACTTAGAAAACTTGAGTAATGTGATTGATATTGAGGTGATAGAAATAATTGCTAAACGAATGCATTATTCATTTTCTTCATTTCGTGTTTCTGTATGGGACTAGTGGGCTTCTAAAACTTCACACTTTTGCGAAGAATGAATTTAATCATTTCTTCTTTAGTTTTTTCAGCCTATCATGTTGGAGATGCAATTTACTTATAAATATCTGGTAAAGATAAGAAAATAGATTCTTTTGAGTGCACTCCTTTGTGTGCACGATCGAATTGTTTTTCGGTAGGCAAAGATTTATTCTTTCGGAAGGTAATTGAGATTTTTCATCAGATAGTCAATCATTTTAAACACTTCATCCTTTAGTTACTCTGCATCCAAAGAGAGAACGTCTGAGACTTGATTGTGTTGGAGTTGCTTTCTCAAAAAGAGATTCTCTTCGGTTAAATGATGTATTGCTATCTTGTAATTCTCTATTTCGCTTGGAATTGGAGCGTAGTTTATGGGCATGATATAATGTGGGATAAAAAATTGATTTTCTTCCTAGGATTATATTGTTTTAAATTTGGTTACTTATTTGATATTGTTGTCTTCTTCCTTCATTATTTATATAAAGTTTGAGTACTCTAAAAGCAAGTTAGAGATAAAATTAATTAAAGATATTATTGTTTAGCTATTAATACTTATATGTTACAATCATATATTATACATTATCCTTTATGTATATTTATTTAATAAAATAATCATGCCCTAATGGCAAATCATTTGGAAGACCTTTTATAAACATCTCAAAATCTTAAGGTGGGACCAATATCAACAGTGGAGATGGCATAATCACTTTTAATGGGCTGACACTACATTCAAACCGATATTAATACTCCAATTCATCTTCATTATCATCAGATTGTCCATTTTGGCAGATAACTTGTACATCTAAATTACCTTGGCAACCCAAATCTGTATCCACATCCTCCTATTCCTGTCATTTTCTAAAGCTATTTCAGAAGAATCACATTTCTTCATACAATTTTTGCCTCTCATTCAATAATATTGTATGTATTGGATCTGCTACATAATCAAAGAGAAGGACTATTTTATGCTGTATGTCACTCTAATTACCATCTATCAGAGCATGTACTCTACCTTACACATGAAGTTTATGACAATTATATTGTTCTTAATTCAGAACATCTTCCTTGCTGACTTACCCTCATTTGAAGGATTGTTTATTTCAACAGCCCTTCTAATCCTATAGATTTTGAGAAAGGAGTTCCTTTATTTACAACATTTTCAAAATCTACAAGCCTTATTCATGATAATAGATTCTACTCCTCAAGCTATGTGCATAGTCCATAAGGACAAGAATTTCATGCTTTATTCAAATAAGATTTTTGATAATTTAGCCAACAAATTGGAGAGTACCAATTAAGGTGAGACTGATTAATCGCCTGAAAAAAGTTCTACTGTTCATTCAGCGAGAAATTAGTTAAGTTTTTTATAGAATCTATAATTGGATGAATTGAATAACAATTAGACTCTATTTGATTTCGATGATGAGGATCTAGAAATGGAGGATCAATATAAAATTAAAAATGTAACTTATTGTAAAGAAAAAACTCAATTGTTGTCATAAAATAGATTTTCTGTTGAAATCTAATAATTACCCCCCAAAAGTCATTAATAATAATAGAAGTTTTTCTAATCCTTCAAGAATCAAGAAGATGAGAGCATAATAAAAAAGAAGTTCACGTCAGATGTGACTATGAAGATAGAATTCAACAATTCTCCCCAGATCAATATTAATTCGGCTGGCAAGAAGAGTTCTCGTAAAAGATCTCAAAATCAAATCAGATTAAATAGGTCCTCTGTGTATGCAACACCAAGTCGCAAAATCTCGGTTGATCAATTATTGTCAAAGGAAAGCAAAGAGCATCGAAATTCCAATCAAAAATAATCATTATTTGATCAAGATTTAAATATTACACCTAGAAGTAATCCAACCATCAATCATAAAATGAAATTCCTAGTCAATGTTTTAGAAAATTGCAGAATATTCGATAATGATGATGGTTTACAAATCTATTTCATTAATGAAATCAATCAAATCCTATTAAGAGCCAAACTCAAGAAATTGGAATCCATTAAGAAGAATATTCTTAGATCAATTTCCCATGAATTGCTCACCAATCTTAATGCCATTTTTGGATTCATCAAACAATGTCAAGACAAACAATCTTCTAAAGAGTCTTGTGCCTTGCAATTAGAATAAGCACTCTGTTATACTAAACTCTAGTTGTATAAGATATACGATTTCTTCGATTACAGAGACATTCTAGAGGAGAGACTAATCATGAAATCAGATAAGTTTGAACTAAATTCAGTTATTTGGGAATGCGTAGACCTACTCAAAGATTAAATTGAAAGGAAACTCATCTCAATTAAAGTTAAATTGCCAGAGGTTTCATATATCATACTAGGTGATCGATAGAGATTGTGTTAAGTGCTCCTTAATTTGATTGCCAATGCTATTCGATTTACTTTGAAGGGTGGAATTACTATATAAGTTGAGAAAAAACAATACATAGAGTCGATGCAAGGAATAGATGATGTACAATCATTTCATCAATCAGACTCAAATTTGATACAAGTTTCTATAAGTGATACTGGAATAGGGATGAGTGAATAAGAATTATACAACCTGAGAAAGAAGGTATTTGTTATAAGATAATTTTAGTTACACCTCGCTGACGACGATGAAAAAGTGTCCAAATAGTCAGTTGGAATAAGTTTAGGATTGTCGGTGTGCAAGTACATTGTAAAACATTTGGCACCCATGCATTAGAATTATCTCTCGGTTGAATCATAGTTGGGTGTGGGCTCATAATTCTATTTCGTATTGTAATATGATGAAGAGTAAGTTCAATTCGAGCAAAGTAATTTATAAAATTCATTTATTCATACAATCCCCTTCTTAGAATAACAAAGCACTCAACAGGTTCGAGTTTTAAATTATAATAAATTCGGCAAGTCTTAAATTGGAGACTAATTGAAAAGTCTAGACACTAATATTTGTAAATGCAAAAAGACACTAATTGTAGATGACGAGCAATTCAACATTCACATCCTTTCCCACATCGTGAAGCAATTAGGATACGATGTGGATTACGCATTCAACGGCTAACAAGCCATAGAGAAAATAGAAGTTTAGTTAGCTAATCGATGCAATACATCAACATGCATCGGCTACAAATGTATATTGATGGACATTAATATGCCTATTATGAGTGGTTGGGAGGCTGTCTAAAGAATTAGATAAATGGAATACAAAATCAAATTAACTCGAACCATACCTATCATTGCAGTTACTGCTTTCTGTAGTATCCAAGATTAATAGAAAAGCATTCACGAAGGTTTCAATAGTGTTTTAATCAAACCTATAACGAAAGAAAAACTTTGTGAATCTTTTCATCAGTTCAATATTTGATCATATTTTGTTTTTCTAATTACTATTTTTAAATTGTCATCAAAAAATATTATGAATTATTTTTCAAAAATTAATATAATTCATAGTCACAATGACAGAGTAATCGATAAAGTCTTAAATACAACAATATAGAACTATTAGAATGACTTTACGAAGTTGAAGAAGTTTTTCAGATTCACATAATAACAATTTTAATCAAGAATAATAATAAAACTTGTTCGGTTATCAATTTTCAACTAAAAACTCTTGAATTATATTCTTTGATATAATGTTGTAATCTATACAACGTTCTTTAAATGTCACCTTAACATAACATTTAACCCATATTCTTCTTAAGTAGTTATGAAGGATTAATAGATCAAATTGTAAAGACACATTTACAATATTGAATTAATTACACACTTAAGATCGAGATTGATCATTTGAAATTTTGGTACATCTCTTAAATGAGTTAATTGAATAATAATTAATTTTGGCTATTTTATTATGTAATTGTGAATAAATTTTTGATTATTTGTAAAAAGTGATTTTGATTTGATCCTGTGAATCTGAGCAACTAATTTCACAGTGTTGAGAACTTTGAATTGAAAAATTGAAAAAAGAAGAATTATATAAACTTTAATTTAATATATTTTCAATCATTTAAAACTTTTCTAAACTTGGTGTTGTAACATTCAATTAAAATGGCTTACAATTTATTCCTTTCTTCTAAAACCAAAATATATAGCAGATTTTGAAAATGAAATAAAATACTCAGAAATTTGAGTAAACTCATCTTGATTTTGCAAAGTTTCTTGAGGATATTGTAAACGATTAAAATGAGTTGAGTTTAATTTTCATTCAGAAAATATTTAATATAAAAGATAATAAAGTTTTTTCTTGATAAATTTATGAGCCAAACAAAATTAAAAATAGAGTGCCAACCAAAAGAATTTGATGTAATAAGTTCCAAGAATTTGTGTTTTGCTAATAACTATGCTGTAGAAATCTATTTACTACTACTTTCATTCAGTAATTTAGCCTATTATATATATAATGAATCATCCTCATAATTTATGCTCATCAAATTTATATTAACATCATGTCTCACCTTAATAGCAATTGTCCTATAAAAGAGGCTTGATCCAAATATCACAAGATTTATTAAATTTATTTGTGAAATAGTTTCAATCAGTTAATTAATATCGAAAGACGAATGGAATTGTTTAGCCATTCTCTCACTAATATTTGATAAGGGAATTTTATTGAAAAACCAGGAAATTTATACTTATTTATATGATTATCTCATTCTCAAGGTATTGGGGTTAACTTATGCATCACTCTATTGGAACAACTAAGTTTTGATTATAATTATATGCAATTCTATTGTTCTTGAGATTTATTAAATTCTGTTGTTATATGTAACAAATAAGCAAACTCAACAATAAAAATTGGAGAATTTTCGAAAAGGATTTTCTGTTAGAAGTGAGAAAATAAATAGTGAAAACATAAATTTAGTTGATAACTAGATGAAAAACGAAGAAATTACCAAAAATGACATTTTCATGAAATTCCAAGACCAAAACAATAATGAAAATTTAATCAATACTGAAGAACATTGGATAAAGAGAATGCATGCAATACCAATCTCCATTATTATTCTTAGCAAAAAGTCACTCACTATTAAATTTAAGAATTAGACAGCCAGGAAGAACTTTAATACCTTATGTTACAATGACAATGAAATAAATGATTTAATTATGAATAAATTGGAGTTCACACTATTGGAGGACAGTTTAGAAATGCTCAAGAACTCAAGCAGCTTTATTATTAGAAAATAATTTTTGAATAAACCTGTTAATCAATCTTATTCAAGTCAATTTGATATAGAGAATTTAAAAAAGTTAACTCTCTCCAAGATTTCACAGAACTTCTTGAATGGTGACTATCATAATCTCATGAAACCAAATACTAATTCTATTGATTTATACTGCCACTAGATTTTGGATTCATAACAGTTTTAAATCAATGGCACCATTTTTTATAGCAATGGAGACGATGAATTAACAATTATACTATCAGACATCTCTAAATAAATGCAATTGTAGCAGTTCATAGTCAAGGATGAATTTTAAAAGAAAGTACACTTAAAAATATTTTTTAGGTCATAGAATCACTCTCTCATGAACTCAAAACCCCATTAAACAGTTCAATTAACTTTATTAAATCTGCCATAGCTGATGATTAATTACCATTGTGCATTAAGAAATAATGTTTAGAGCCAGCGTCAATTGCCTTGTAGTTGCAATCGTATATTATCAACGATGTCATAGACTTTTCATAATTCTATAATAATAGTTTAGATGTTTGTGTCAAAGAATTTGAGATAAAGGATGTAATTAGCGAAATAACAAGCATTTTTAATTTGTAGTTCTAAAACAAAGGTTTGAACTTTGTGATAGATCTCACTAAGAATACTTCTACAAATATGTCAACTGATTATAATAGGCTAATGTAAATCTTAGTAAACGTGCTCTAAAATTCCTTAAAATATACCTATAAAGGTGGAGCAATTCTCAAAATTAAGAATTTAGAAGATGATGTAATATCATTTTCTGTTTCTGATACAGGAATAGGTATTAAGTCTGAAATGACTAAAAAATTGAATACTTATGTGAATCAAGTTGAGAATTTAAGACATTTTTCAAAATTGAAATCTTGGAATGGGATTGGATTGCTTATTTCAAGTATTTTGCTACATTAATTGAACCCTTAATTAACAGAAACATTTAAGATAAAATCTAAATTATCTGAAGGCACTAAGTTTAAATTTAAAATTAAGTAAATATTAATAGATGATCACAATAACAACACTGATGATATATCTAGAAGAAAGTCTGTTAAATTTAGAAGGAATTCAAAAAAAAATTGTCAAACTAATCTAGTTGGAACACTTATCTTTGTAAATGAAAGTGCATTCAATACTTAAAATCTAGGATTAAATAGTAAGCCAAGACCTAATTAAAATAAAAAATTGAAAGGAAGTACTGATTATGATCAAGAATCTGTCGAATCAAACAATAACTACTAGAATTTATCGGACTAATATTTATAACTATAGAATTAAGAACATAATTTTATCCTCAACATAATCGATAAAAAAAAGCTTAGCGGATCTTTTGAACAACAATCTATTAAGTCATCATCATTGAAGTAAAACATATATTTGATAATTTAGATCAAAAATCCTTAGTTATAGTCAGTTGAAAATAATGGAGAGATAAAGCAATGATTCTGCATTAGAATACTTTAAGAAAAATTTAAGTTGTTAATGCAGAAGGATTATGTCTGTCGATGACGAAATCTTCAATTAGAATTCAATTAAATTGTTGATTGAGAGATACGGTTTTGAAGTGATCATTGTAATATTGATTTATAGTTTAAGTCTTATAATGGTTTAGAGGCGATTTCAGTAATATAGTCACTACAAAAGTGTTCTAAGGAATGCGGATTGTTGAATCTAATCTTGATGGATTATTCGATGCCTGTTATGGATGGTATTTAATGTACTATCCAATTAAAGAAAATGATGAAAGAGAAAATAATACCGAATATCAATATAATAGGATTAACAGCATTTACTAGTAAATTGGAAGTTGAAAGTTGTCTGAATGCTGGAATGCTGGAAGTACTTTTCAAACCATTAAAACTCAATGATTTCTGTGAGCTACTAACATTATTATGATTATTATATATATAAACAGTATTTATAATCATAGAGATGCTAATACATCTTTTAATTCCTATATTTTTAATGGTTTTGATAACACATCGCTCATGCCTGCAATCAAACAATTTCTAATATCTTACTAGCCCGTAAAGGCAGTCAAACCAATTATTGGAATCTCAGGTATCACTCCATCTGACATGAGTTTTCTCAATTCTTTAGTCGTTGCTATCCCGTCCTTTCGTGGCATCTAATAATCCATAAGAATGATAGTCAAAATATTGCATCCTGAACTGCAAGGTTTCAGATTCAAAATTAGATTTATTGCTTCGTCACCACCGAATGCCAATTTAACATCGAATCCAATCTGCTAAAGGAGTCTTTCAACTGATTTTTAATTGAATATTTCATCATCAACTGACAGGATGACATTGCAATTACAACTATTCTTTTTGGTTGCCAATGATTTGAAGATATCTTCTCTATATTATGTTTCCATCTTTCTAAATTGTTTTAGATTGACCAATTGGGATTTTTGAGATTTGCATGACTAAAATAAAGGGTTGTTATTTTTTATTTATATCTTTTAACTTGATTTTATATCTGTAATCAAAACGGGTTAAATTTATACCAATTAAGATATATTAGCATCTGGCGAACAAAATTAAATTTTTGGACTTCTTGACAATTCTGAAAAGTCATCCAAAGTGTTTGAACCAGAATTCAGAAATCTTTCACTTTTCCTCATATGTTAACTTACCTGCGCGAGGTCTTAAGCTAAATAAATTGTTCCATTCATTGCCAATATCTAACTAAGAGAATAGATTTTAGAGATTTCTTAACACTTTAGGATTGTCTGAGCGTATTCTTTGCACTTAATGATTGTTTGATAGTATTTTGTTTCGAACTGTAATTAAAATTTAAAATGTAGAATTTGATCTTCGTACCCTTATTGAATCCAGTTGATTCAATTTGAATTTACTTTTATGATGGAGGACACAGGGTTTGATGCAATAAGGCAACTATCAACAAACCAAACCCTTTCCATTCTTTAAAGGTTTAAAAATCCTTGCTCTCTTCAACATTCTTAAGAGTGACTCTGACTTATTCTAACACATTGGGAGCAATTCCTAATCCAGAATCCTGAACAACAATTTTCACTATATCATTTGGTTTACTACTAAATTTTAATTGTATCACACCACTAGATGTGTATTTGAGTGAATTTTAGAGGAGATTGACTAATATTTAAGTTAGTTTTGTTTGGTCAGTACTAAAATAAAGTAAACTATTCTTTGATAAATCTAAATTGAAGGCTATCTTCTTCATATCAAATTAAATACTAAAAAGGGAAGTTAAATCACTGAGGAAATCTTGTACCGAAAATTCAGTTACATAGAGTTCCAATTGATTTGCATTATAACGTTAATAATCAAGGATGTCATTGATTAAGTATGATTATAATTTTAATGAATAGACTGCTGGCTCAAGGGTTTGAAGTTTCAATTTATCATCGATGGTGCTATCAGCTATTGAGGCTTACAAAAAGTTAATGGCACTATTTAATGGAGTTCGTAATTCATGAGAAAATGATTCTATAATCTCAAATATTTAAATAATTTACTTTGCTTTTAAATTCTTCCTTTACTATGAATTACTGGATTTCATTTTATTTTGATGTGTCATTTATCGTCACAAAGAATTCTTCATCCTTATCAGACAATATTATTTTGGCCTCTAATTAATACTTTGCTCCAGATATTTCTGTTTACTGACAAAATAACTCGATAACGTCCTTTTACAAATTATAGGTTTCGCTTTTGATCGAAGTCAAGATTTCTATTAGCGATCTCTTCTGCATCAAATCATAAGAACTCAATTAGGTCATACAAGATTTCTAATTAAAAAGGTTCGATGAATTCGACTTTTTTTATTTTAATTTTATAATATTTGTAGATGACAATTATACGAATTCTTGGTGATCCGATAGGAGTGAAAAATGCAGTTTATTTAATATAAGGTCTTCCAATTCTTCCTCGTTGATGAAACTATCGCAAAACTATTTGAATAGAGTCTTGTTTTTATATGTAATTTTTAAAGTCTCTTTGGATATCAACAAAATTGATAATGGGATCGCATAAAATCGTTTCTTCCATACATCTTCCCTTTAGTTATTTTCTACTCTCTAAGTGACACTGTGAGAGACTTACTCATAATCCAGAGGTTTCTTATGATTTATTAAGGATTGACTCTCCTCTCTTTTCTTGAAAACCAGACGATTTCTATACATTTCCAATATCACCAAACATAAATTTATAGTTATTGCTATCGGTTATTTTGAAAAAATAGAGATTAAACTTACACCTATGACTTTCATCAATATTTTTTCAAGCACTTTCAATTTAATTGCAACTTTATTGTTTTTAACTATTTAATCGTATACAAGTGGTAGGATAGCAATCAAATAAACCTCATCGTTTAAACAAATGGTTGAAGTCTAAAATATTTTAATCAAACATATCAAGCACAATAATTAATTTTACTGTATTTTCTTTATGTAAATGAGTGAACCCATAAAAATAAGAATAAATACAATCAGTCGAGTCGTGTTGAGAATTTTGGTCTAGTTGTTGAAAATCAACACGATAATCTCAACCAACAAAGACATTATCATATACATGTAATATTCCCAAACTATTGATAATTCAGGTTAAACATCCCTCTTTTTCATGGTTTTCGTCGTTTTCATTTCATCAACTTTATCACTATGATTAAATTTAACTTTTATAGATGGAGTATCTATCGAATTATTTATTGATCTCATTTTTTTTAAATATAAAATAAAATGAATATATATATAGGCAAATTTGAGTATTCCAAAAATATTTGGATAATAATTGTTAATATTAAAAAGAAAATTATATTTGCTAAGTACCAGTAGTTTTTCTAATTTTAGTAATACACATTTCAAACAATAATTATTATGTAATTGCAATTATATCTCAAATTAAGCAACACTAAATTCAATTTAAAAGGCCTCCAATTAATTAATTAGGCAAAATATCTGTTAAACTAATTTTTCCATCGTTTAATGTAAAATGCTTTTACGATGATGAATTATATTCTTTAAAGGAAAAAAGTAAGTTATCATCAATTTGACATGTTGGATTCAACATTAAAATGAGACAACTATTATAATATATTATTACTATTTACAATTAAACTTAATTTAGAATCAAATTTACCAATAAATAAAATTTTGATTTTTTATATGTCATCATCAGATCCAGCCTAAGAAAATTGATATTTTTATACAATATTTGAATAACTTAACATTAATTTTAATCAAATGGAAAATAACAAATGAAGAGTGAGATTATCAATTTTATAGAATAAGAATATTGAAAAAAATTAGAAAAATTCAATACTCGAATCAATAATTTTAGAGTATTTTTCAATCAGTAAAATAATATAATACCAACTATGTAAATCTTACCCCTATAATTTTTTCAATTAAAATATATTCTTCTCTTAAAAAAATTGATATATAAAAGTTAATTTATATTATTTAATGTTATCAATGATGACTCTGTATAAATGTATAAATAGTAATAATAATTATTATTCTATCATTACTTGAAGCCCAGTAGAATGCATATTAAATCCAAGAATTTTTTTATATAGTCTTTACTAATTTATGAATAGTTTTAGAAAAAACTTAATTATTATCTCTATCTGAGCTGGATTTTAAATTACCTAAACAATTTAGTTTTCAGTATCTACATTATTTATAATATTAAATGAACAATTTGGTATATTAAAATTAATTTATATATTATAAGCAATGGCTACTCGTTCATTAGTTCCAACTTTTATAACTAAAACATTTGAGATGCTTGAGGTTAATTTTTTATATATACTTAGGATCAATCTATATCTCATATCGTTTCTTGGACTGAAGAAGGATTAAGCTTTGTTGTAAAAAGCTAGAAATTATTATAATAATAAGTGTTACCTTAATATTTTAAACACCGAAATTATTCAAGTTTTCTTAGGTAAATATGTAGAATGAATAGTCAGACAATTGAATTTATATAATTTTAAAAAGAGTAAACATTAGGATGGCTAAGAGTTTAAACACAAGTGCTTTAGAAAAGGAGTAAAGTATTCAATTTAAGCATACATTTAATAGATAGATGTTGCAATTTATAAAGCGAAGGAATAATGATGATGGAAATTAAGAATCTGTAAATCCTAATCAACCATGTATTTTATTCCTTAATTTGCTTAGCTGCTAAACTGAAGGAAGAGTAAAACATTTTGAGGGTCTGCGCGTCTGATATTAAGGATACTAATACAAGGTTAGATGAGGACATGCAAATATTAAAATAAAAGAGTGGGGTGCTTTTGGAAGAAATGTGGAATCTCAAAAAGGTTGAAACTCATTCTATTGTAGTTGTTGCATAGTCAATTCGATTAAGTTAATCATAAATTGGAGAGGATAGACATCATCATAGGAGCAATGTCTTAACATAAAAAGTTTAAAAGTAATTCCATTGAATAACACAAGACATCTCCCAATACTTCACCACTAAATTTTTACAGAATGAACTCCATACTCTAGAAACTAACCTAAATTAACCGTTGTTTGAATCGCCAAAATAAGAAATAGATGATCAGGAATAAATTAAGGCCTTATTTGAAGAATTGTAAAATCTTAGTAAACCAATCCATTTTGATTGAATCATGTGTTCAAACATAGAAATTTCATTTTTTCTTTAGAATAACAATTTAAATGCTTTTTCTAACATATATAAAAAATAACATTGTAAAATTTTGATACTAAAAAAAATTAATTTTATAATTTTATTTTAAGAGCTCTAATCAAATATAACTCATGTTGTAGTCAGATATAGTATGCTATATGCATCAAGAAGTATCAAAAAAGGATTTCTGATTGTAAAAAATAAGTCAATTTTGGAATTTAAAATATTGATTTTTGAAGACAAATCAGGCATTTTTAATTTTAGAAGAATAGCGAGTATAACATTAAGAATTTTTGATGTTTGTCAAACTTATATTCATAAACAATCAATTAATAAAATCTAAGGAAAATTATGATTGATTGCCAAGTGGTTATTTTTAAAAGTACTTTTTTGGACTTTGTTTTCTCAAGCAGATGATATTATTTTGTTAGATCATTTGAAACATTATTTAATGAGAATCTATTTCTCTGATTTCGTAATTCCAAATTTTATTTGGATTATTGTTATTAAATTTAAATTCCTGACACCTATTTTATGATACTGAACAAATCGAGATGGGTTAACATTAAAAAGATATATTAAAATTTTCACTATTAATTATTATTTAAAAATTAATAAATATTAATACTAACCTCATTTCAAATGACAATTAGAGAATATAGGAAATAGTTCTTGTTTTGGCTTGTAATATTTGGATGCCAATTTTATCTCTAGTTTAATTAAGAGACAATAATTATTAATTAGATTTTTAATGATTTACAGTTACATTTAAGTATTTATGCTCATGTTGTATATGCATAAATTGATAAAGTGATTAATAATAAAGATCTCCAACTACAACCTTTGAAATATTTAATATAATCTTTTTTCAAAAATTTGATTGATTTGTTCTAGTTTTGAATTCAATAGTAAAATGAATTTTATAGATAATTTCTCAAACAATAACAATCAATTTCATGTATTATGAGAGGATGAGAACTTTATTGGTTACTTCACATGTCGGTTTAGTTTCAATTTGTATCTTTTTATTAATGAAATTATGACATAAGAATTGTGTTCATATTAATTTCATATTTTCCAATATTGGTTTTGGTTAACTTTAGTATTGTTTTAAATGTCTTAATTTATATCTTTAATATTTGAATTCGTTTCCCTACTAGGAGTGTTGTGGAGTGATATTTGATTAACATGGTGCGGAGACTATGATCAAGATCAATTAGGAATTATATATTAATAATTTAAAAAGAATGTGACAGAGTCCCTGGTGTAAATGATTTAGTGATATAAGAAAAATATTTTATTAAATTAAATAACTGATGATGCAGAAGAAGCTTACCTAGACGAATAGACAAGCTAAAATTTAAGAATTCGTATTCCTCTCTTATAAACTAGACTCCATCCTAATTGATTTAGAAGCAATTATCTGGATAGATTTTTGAAGATGCACATCCAAAAATCAAAATCATAGAATTTTAGAATCTGGCTGACTTCTCCTCTCAACCAGTGAGTAGTGTCCCGATCGATGAACCGCTGTTTGACCCAATTCCGCCAATAATACAATTTACAGACTATGAGGTACACCTTACTCTTTAAAAGCAAACAAGCCATTACAAATAAAGGAGAAGATTTTCAAGTTGCGTAACAAAGATCGGGTAGCTCGAAGGGTTAAAATATATAAGCCTGACTCGCGCTTATTTTAGGTTGTGCCTTAAGGTACTAATGGAAAAGATGCAGGAACAGGAACTAAGGCATTTATTTTATGATTATCATCCACTAGGTAGCTCCAGGTATGGAAACCAACTTCATTATTCGTTTTTCTCCGGAATCGAAGTCAGATTACAACTATGATGTTATTGTTGAGACAGAAAGGGAGAAATTTGTTGTGCCAATCGTTGCAGTGGGAAAAAGAGCGATGATAGGTACATAATTGTTTGGATTCCTTAGATTTCCCTGATTCTCTTGATTTTGGAAATTGCCCTGTTAAATACACTACCGAAAAGCCAGTTATCATTAGAAATCTAGGAGAGAAGACCACCAAATGGTTCTTGAAACTACCCTTGGGTTTTGATGCCGACAAGAGGGAGGGAGTCTTAGAATATGGCAAGAATGAGCAAATTGTCATCAAGTAATTATCCATATTAAATATACTAACAGATTCTTTCCAACCGAAGCTAGATCCTATAAGAATAAGGCAATTTTATAGTATGATAACATGGAGGCTTATGTGCCCATTATCGGAGTGGCACACAATGGGAATGTGTATCTATCTAAAAGTCAAATTAATATGACTGAAGCCTTTATTGGTCTGCAATTGCAGTAGACATTATAGATTATCAATAAATCAAATGTGAAAGTGGATTTTGAATGGAGGGCTTTTGCAACAGAGAAGGAGGAATAAGAAAAGAAGAATAGATTGAGGAATCAATTGGAAGAGGAAGAAGCTGAGGAAAGAATGCTTATTAAAGAATTGGTCTCAAATGAGGGAGTACATGAAGAATTGGAGTTAGAGGAAGATGAAGACAGTGAGGAGGAAGAGAGAGATGAAAAAGCTATCATTTTAAAGAGACAAAAGAAGGCTGAATTATAATTGGCAAGGAAATATAGAAACATTCGTAAGGCCATTGAGGATGATCTACTTCTATTCATTGATGATATATTCACGATTGAACCTACACAAGGATAGATTTGGCCAAATTCAGAGATGACAGTTACAGTAACCTTTGTGCCAAGAAGTGCCTTTCTCTATTAGACTGTGGCCTATTGCAATATCTCTTGTTCAGAGGAGAGATTGCCTCTGAATTTGTATGGTCAAGGTATGGGTCCAAGAGCATTTTTGAGTGTTTATGAGGTGAATTTAGGAGATGTGTTTGTTAATGAAATTCATAAGACAGAGGTTGTGATAGAAAATAGAGGAGAAATAGAATGCAAATTTGAATTGATGCCAAATGAAAGAGCATTTGGAAAGATGTTTAAATTTGATGTTGAAAGAGGAGTATTAGCAGTTGGTCAGAGAATGCCATTCACAATTACCTTCAAATCCAGCATCCCAGGTGAATTCAAAGAGACTTTTAGATGGAAATTAGAAGGATCTACAGATTAATTAACTATACTATTTATTGGACATGTGATTGCTCCTACATTCAATTTCTAAGATGAGAAAATTCAATTTGGTACTGTCAGTTATTCATTCGAACAAACCAAGAGCATAAGAATGACTAACACATCTACAGTTGCATTTACATATGAACTTAAAATTCCTGGAGATGGTAAATTAGCTGAAAGGGAATTTGAAATCGAACCTAGAAGAAATACTATCTAGCCTAAAAATTTCGATGTAATTAAAGTGACCTTCATTCCAAAATAAATTAAGACATATGAATAAGTTATGGTTGTAGACATTGAAGGTGTCGGTTAAGATATGTTATCGATACCAATTACGGCTGACTGTCAAGCTCCAAGAGTGGAATTGAGACCAAGTGATAGATTGAATTTCAACAAAGGAGATGATTAAAAAGTATTCTTAAGAAATCCATGTAAATCAAGAGTGGATTTAATTAATACATCTGAATTACCAGCCAAATTCGTTGTTTTACCTCAGAATGATGAGTATAAAGTATTAGCAGATTATACAGTGGAACCATCCAGTGGCAAGATCAATGGTAATTCAACTATGTCTTTGGAAGTGACATTGACTACTAAGAAATTATATGATATCACACTGCCATTGTAAATAAATATAGTTGGTACCAATAATGGATAGCCTCATGTGATAACAATTGTAGCATTTTCAGAAGGACCAAAAGTGAAAACATCAAAAACAGAATTGGATTTTGGAAATGTTGAAGTCCTAAAGGATTATTCCCTAAAATTAACATTAACCAATGATAGTGATATTGAGGCTGATTTCCATGCCTTCACAAAGAATAAAGTCTCTATATTTAAACCCATTCAAAAACATGGAATTATAAAACCAAAGGAGAGTTGTGAAATTGAAGTGCTTTGTAGTGCTGACGATGCTGTGAAGGTTTCTGATGTCCTTCATTTTGTTATCAAGGAAGGTGATGACGTAGAAGTCTAATTGAAAGCCAAAGGAATTGGGTCAACAATATTTTGTAAGGATGATTTATCATCTGTGAATATGGGAGTCAATTATACACACAGAAAAGTGACAAAGGAGATCTTTGTTGAGAATAAAGGCAGGAAATAATAAAAATTACAATGGACTCAAAAGAAACCACAATAGAAGAAAGAAGAATAAGATTCGAAGAATAACAAGGCTCCTCCTCCCCCAGAAGAAGAATCAGTATTCTCAATTGCTCCTGATACAATCGTTTTACCTCCTAAGCATGGAATCATGTTCTAATTCAGAGGATACTCACAGAAGAAGGGAAAGATTTCAGAGATTTTTATGTTAAATTCCACAATAGGCACTGAAAGAAAAGCAAATCTACTATTTGCAACAACAATTGAAGGTGATTTCATCTAACCCACTTTGTAATTCTCAGAGAGGAAACTTTTCTTTAAGTATTCGTGGGAGAAGAACGTTCCATTTATGCCTATTTCAAAGAATCTCGAAATCACTTGTGCTTGTCCTCTACCTGTAAACTTTGACTTAAAGTGTCAATAACCCTTCACTGTGAATTAGGATAAGTTGTAATTGAATCCAGGTAAGAGTGCAGTAGTTAGAATTGATTTTGATCCTGCATTTAAATCTGATCGTAAATCTGGCGATTTAGAAGGCAAACTCTAATTGTCACATTATGAACATCCTCATAAGGATCTGATTGATTTGATTGGGTAGGTCAACTTTCCCAATTTAATCATGGAAACAAATCTTATTAATTTTGGATCTATTTTATATGATACAACAAAGAAGATGGTTATGACAATGAAGAATCAAAGTGAAATGGCATTGAATTATGAATGGACTTTCGTAAGTGAAGAATTGTCTACTCAAGGACAATAGCCAAATATCCCAATTAATGAAATCTTTGACATCTTACCATTAAGTGGTTACATGGAACCTGGGTCAGAAGAACAAGTAGAATTTGTGTACAATGCAATTGGAGGACAAAGATTTAAAACTACTGCTGTGTGTCATGTTGATGGTGGTCCTGAGTACGAGGTGACTTTGGTAGGAGATAGTAGTTTATTATCATCTAAAATGAGCACTACTTTGATTGAATTAGGAGATGTGAGATTTTGTGAATGGGTTTCTAGAGAATTTACTATTGAAAACACAGGAAAGGTTACTTTTGAATTTAAGATTGATTTGAGACACATAAAGAAGAAGGGATTCGTGGATGTACAACCATAAAATGGAAAGATTGCGGGAGGTGAAAAACTCAGAATTACAGTAAGAGTCTCACCAGTAATACCTGCAGAGTTCAAGGAAATTATTTTGGTGTAGATAGGATATTATGAGCCAGAACCAATTACCATTATTGGAAGAGGTGTCTATCCTTCAATGGTGGTGTAATTGCCAAGATCTGAAAATCCCTTATTTTAGTAAAAGTTTGATGTTGAAATTGCTAAGAAGAAGGCTGATTTGGAAACTCAGACTAAGAGGGCTTAACTTATAGCTAAGACATAGAATTAGAAGGTTTAAGTTAAGACTTTGGAGTAAGTATAGTTGGAAGTCGAGAGGGACATTGACAGATTTGTGTTTTGTGAATAGATAAAGAGGACTGTTTTGGATAAGTAGGATGAGAGGACTCACTCAAGAGATCAAAAAAGAGAAATTCTATGATAATGTGATTTTGGCTACTTATATTTGTGATTTTGGAAATGTGGTGCTTAATTCAATTAGACAGAAAACAATAACCATCAACAATCCAGGCACTTTGCCAGTTGAGTTTGTTTTAGATGGTAAGTACTTTAAACCTTAGGGATACAATATTGTACCGGAAAGGGTTTTGAATTTGCCAAGTGGTGCTAATATCACTTTGAACATTCAATATTAGACTAAAAAGAACATGGGTTTTGGACCAACTAAGACTGTAGTGCCAATTGAATTGAAGAAGGGTCCAAAGTTTCATCTTGAATTAGTGGCCAATATCACAATACCTTAAATTGTAATTGAGAATTCAGCTGATGGATAAATTGATTTTGGTAAAGTTCTGATTGGATAAAAGAAGATTATCTTCATTAAGATTTGTCAATGATAAAGAGATAGACTGTGAATGGTCTCAATCCACTAGATAAGAATTGACAGCTGATAAGAAAGAGGAGCCTAGATTTGTCTTAGTGCCTAATAGTGGCGTAATTAAACCAGGTGATAAATAATTAGTGGAGGCTCATTTCACTCCTTTGGTTGAAAGCTAGAAACTATTCCTAAAAGTTCACTCTCAATATCAAGGAGAATGCAACACCTTATATATTAAATCTTAAAGGAACTGGAACAAGCATCAATTTATAATTACAATCCTCAATTGATAAACATTGGGCACCATCTTACCCTATGATAAGTTTGCACATTCTGTATTGGAAATCAAGAATCCTACTGAATTTGACACTGAATTATTCTCATTAGATTTTGATACCCTATATTTGTAGGATGATGAAATTGTAAATAGTTATCCATAATTGGAACACACAGATTTTATATTGATGCCTGTGAGGTAGCCAGGACAACCAATATGGTTAAGCATCGTTAGAAAGCATTCACTAGAAGTAAGAGAAAAGATCAAATCTTGAATAAATTACAAGATCCAAATGTTGAAAATAAAGAACAATTGTAAAAAGAATTAGATGATATTGTAATACAGGAAACTATGATTAAAGTTGAATATCCAAAGAAGGTCAGCGAAGATGTCTTGAAAAATATTGTTATCATGGGCCCTCCTAAATGTGGTAAGACTCATTTAGCCAATTATTTGGAGTAGACTCACAGAAGAAAAGTGATTAATATGAATGAGTTGGTTCAATGGAATCAAGAGAATTAGACTTAAGCATATCAACAATTCGAGTAATATTTATAACAGAGATAAAATGAAATCCAATTTGTATAATAAGAGAGAGAGAAATTATTAAAGAAAGCAGGAAAGAAATCAAAGGATCTTGAAGACAAGTGGGGACCTATTCCATTGCATTTATACGAATACTTGAGTGAAGAGGTCATTGTAAAATTGTTGAAAGCAAGGTTGGCTCATGAAGATTGTGGTGCAGGTGCTATTTTTGATAATTTATAATCCAAATATTGGCCTAATGAATTATATTTGATGAAATGTATCATGGAGATTGATTCTCATTTGTAAGTAGTAGTCTTGAAGGAATAATTTGATCAATATGGTTTTGAAATCTAGAAGTTGATTGAATGGCCAGGAATGGAGAAGTTGGCTGAGGAGGACAAACCTAAGAAAGAAGAAATAGTGGATCCTATTCCTACATCGAAAGACAAGAATAATAAAACTCAGACTAAGAGAGGAAAGGAGTAATCTTAGAGTGTAACTAAGAAGCAAGAAAAACCTCTAGTTTCACAATTACAATTATAACAACAACAATAATCAAGATAGAAATCAAGGCCAAAGTCATAACCAAAATCAGCAGGAAATCTTGTGGAATAAAGTTACTATGATGTGTTTTACCCAGCTAGTTTTGAAGATGAAATACAGAAATAGAATTTCAATGACTTGATAACAAAAGTGAAAGCTTTGGTTGAGAATAAATATCATGAGAAAATAGAAATAGCTACTAAAATTCATGACCCTGTGTTTGATGAAGGAAAGAAGGAAGAGAAACCATAGAAGCCAGCAAAGAAAGGCGATAAGCCACCTGAACCAGAAGAACCAAAAGTAGAAATAATAGATTACACACATCTGCAAAAAGGAGAAAGATAATTTAATGAAGTTCCTTTCCATTATAATTTACCATAATTATGCTAAACAGGATTGCAAGTAATACCAGCTCCAATTTATCCAAATCCAAATTCGTTGCCAATTCCTGATCCAATTTATCATTAGATTGTGATGAAGAAGAAGGACAACCTGAACTAATCAATACAAACAGGTAGAAAGAAGACAGACACAAAGGAGTCATCAATACATCAATCAAATGCAACTCTTACTTAGACTCTGAAATACTTTAACATCCTCACACCAAAAGATATGTATGTGAAGGATTACAAAATGCAATCTTAATAAAAGACAGAACATGTTGATGAAGACAAACACAATCTCTAGGAGGAATAAAATAGACATTTAGAGGATATCAATTCACCAAGTAGGGAACAACTCTAACATCCAGATTAATTGAATAAACCAGTCACTCCCTCAGTCAAAGCAAGAGCCAATGTTACTTCAAGATCGATTGCAAATGTAAGTAAGAGATCGCAACAGCAAAAGAATGCAGATTCATCATAAGGAAATGATCAGAAGTATAATTATAAACTTGAAGATTTAACTTAAAAACAATACAGATGGAATATCCCAGCTGGTAGAACATTGATTTTAGTGATCTAATTCTTTACTAAACATACTGGTTCATTTGAAGGCAGACTCAACTTTGACAATTTCTTCTCCATCAAGAAATCAGCTGCTGAAGTCAAAGGAGTTGCTGATTACCCATCTTTAAGTGGATTGCCAAAATAACTGTTTTGGACTGTGAAGAAAGCAAGACCTGCTCTTGCACCTGATTCATACTTAAGCAAAGTTTATGTTTTAGAATGAACAAAGCTTTGATTTTGGACCATTGCTCATTGGAAAGTCTGATAAGATAGCCAATCGAGCAATCAATAGCACAACATTTAGATTGTCTAATTCTGGTAAATTTGATACTGAATTGCAATTCTCCCTATTATCAAGCATCCAAGAGAATAAAGAGATTCAAAAAGGAGTGTTCACTTTGGATCTAGATAATTCTAAAATCCAAATGAACAGTGTTCCATTGGAGCTAAGAGTGTGGGCATTCCCAGATAAACCTTAGAAATTCAGAGATGATTTGATTGTCTAGATCAAAGATAATCCTCTGCCTCTCATCATTCCTTTGGTATGCATAGGATGTAGACCTACTATTGATTTAATTAATCCTGACATAAAATTTGAAAGATTGTTAATTTCTTAATCTGATTCCAGGACAGTTACTATAAAGAACACAGGTATGATAAATGCAAAATGGAAATTAACAGGAATAGAGCAATTGGAAGAGGAGTTCTAAGTGATCAACACTTCAGGTGAATTGGCTCCTACAATGGAAGCTAAGATTGAAATAAGATTCAGAGCAATTAAGGAGAGAAAATTAAATTTGAAAATAACTCTTGAAGTTGAAGATGTGGAGAACATGAACATTAAGTAGGATCCCAAGATTATTAATGTGGATGCTGAAGCATTTTAAATTTAAGTTGATATCAAGTATCCAACACCAGAGAATATTTTAGATTTTGGTAGTGTCAAAGTGGGTGATTTCAAAGATCAAGTGTTGTAAGTCAAGAACATCGGGTAGTATTTGGTGAAAATTAAGTGTCTAATTAAAAAGAAGCTCTTCCCTCAATTGTTTTAATTGGAACCGATGGAAACTGATCTGAATCCTGGTTAATAGAAGGATATTTTGATAAGATTTTGTGGAGTCAAGGAGATTAAGATGAAGACTACAAATGATACTACTGATCTATATTTGGAGATCTTGGAAGGGAAAACACAAGAAATCTACAAGCCTGTTCCTATCAATGTGCAATTCAATAGTGTTTATTCGAAGTATTCAATTAATCCATTAAAAAATATCAATTTTGGACCCATTCAATTCAATGAATCGAAAGTAAGACACTTGGAGATAAAGAATGAAGGGTAATTCGAATTCAATTTCACAATATTTGATTATGCAAATGAGGAATTCAGAAAGCAATTGTTGGACCAATAGACTAAGGAAGCCTAGGAAAAGAAGGAATTGATGAAGGCTATGCCATCTTCATTGGCACCTGTGGATCCTAAGAAAGGACCAAAGAAAGATGATAAAAAGCAAGAGAAGAAATAGGCTAAGCCAGGGAAGAATGATCCACCTCCTGGATAATTGAAAATCGGGCAATGGACAATTATGCCTAGTATTGGCACAATAGCCCCAGACTCTTCTTGTACAGTGGAAATCACTTTTGCAGGATAGGGATAGAAGAACTATGAACAAAAATTGGCAATCGACATCATTAATCGTAATCCAGAAGATTAACCAAATGGAATTGAATATGAAGTACTGAGTGAAAGTTGTATTCCAGGTATTAGTACAACTAGTTATGAATCTATTTTTGAAGAGCAAGTCGTATTGCAATCTCAAGTGAATAATCTATCAAACTTGATTAATTCCAATGTCTTCTTCATAGAGGAAAAGGTATTCAGCTTTGGTACTTTGGTGCCATCTAAAGTTCCTGACGGAGTAGTGGAAAGATTCAAACTCACAAATCCCAACAAGATTCCATGCAGTGTTAAATTAGATGCTAGAAGAAGGTAGAATTATCCCAATGATAACTTCGCATTTGAAGTTTTCCCAAAGCAAGTCAAGATAGCACCTCATGAAAGTGTCTACATCAAGGTTGCTCTTCAAACCTGCTATAATGGCTCAATATTATGGTATTTTTGAGGCTATCGTTGAGAATGGTGAACAAAGTGCCAAGACTCATAAATTATTGTTTGATTTACGAGGAGAAGGAGCCTTACCAACATTGAAATTGGAGAAACCTAAGGATTGGTTGGATGAGAGGACACCTGTTGTTAAATTTGGCAGAGTTCGATTGGGCAAGACTTTAACTATGCCAATCGTCTTGAAGAATGATGGATAGATTCCAGCCACTGTTAAATGGGATTTGACAGCAGTGAATGAACATTTTAGATTCTTAGATCAAAACACATTTACACTTACTCCTAAAACTACTGCCACTTTCAACATTGAATTTACTCCAAAGGAAGTTGGAGTTAAGTAACATTACTTTGTAATGTAAACTCTACTGAATCCCTATGAAGTTACTAAAGTGGCAGTAACAGGAGAAGCATTCTAAGAGGACATTGTATTTGAAAACTTGGATGATGAAGTTCAATTTGGTGATTGCATTATTAATACTGAAAAGAAAATATAGTTTTTCCTTAAAAACAATGGAGCCAACACAATTAGATTCTAATGGAATACATAGGGATGTGAAGATTTTTCATTTATTCCAAGACAAGGTCATTTGAATACCAAAGAGTCTAAACCCATTACTCTAATATTTAAATCCAATAGAAGCATAATTCACAAATCTTTTGCATTACAGTGTGACACTAAGCAAATTAATAAGAAAACATAATCTGAATGGGATGATAGCATGGCAACCACAAAGTATGTCACATTAACTGAGTATAATTGGTTTATGAAGAGAAGAGAGGAAGAGGAAGCTAGAAGATTGGCTGAAGAGGCTGCCAACAAAAAGGGAGCCAAGAAAGTAGATAAGAAAACTGCAAAGCAAGAAATTGTCCAACCTCCCTAACCTGAACCTGGAGAGGATTCCAACATACCCATTTCAGACCCATTACCTGAACCAGAATATCAAGTTATAGATAAGAGTGATAAGAGTATGCCATTGAAGGTGAATGCAGTTGCTGATTTTGCAAAATATGAGATAGATCAGAGAAATGTTTACTTTAAGGAAACCTTGATGTATACAACCAGAGTTCATTAATTGAAATTAAAGAATACTTCGTTGATAGCCATAAATTATAATTGTAAGATAGTGTCAGCAGAGACTGGAACCATAGATCCTGGATACTTTTACGTGTTTCCAAAGCAAGGCAAGATTGCTAGCAACAGTGACGAGATGTTCACTATTAAATTCAGTCCTACAGAAGTTGATGAGTCGAATGAGAGGTTGTTGGTCATCTCAATAGATAATTTGGATCCCAATTAGGAGAAGTTGATAGTTGAATTGGATGGATAAGCAGAAAGACCGATATGTCATTTCGAATTGCCACCTAGCAATTACAGAGATAAGAAGCCAGATTTGGAAGCCAAATACAATGTGATTGAATTTGAGAGTTTGGGATGCAAGGTGAAGAATACGAAGAGATTTTATGTTGTGAATCCCACTTCAGTGGGTTATGAATATGAATGGAAGAGAATTGACGATGAAAAGAACCAGAATGCAAACTACTTTAAATGTATCACACTCAAGGGTGTAGTGTTGTCAGGTAAGAAATCAGAAATCATCTTTGAATATTCACCAGATACATAAGGACAACATGAAAGCTATTGGGTTTTCGAGATTCCACAAGAACACATTACTTAATATTTCCTAATTACTGGAGGTGTGGTTGAACCAAATGTAATATTCAATGTTGGTAAGGTCAATTTCGGTCCCTTGTTGGTTCAAGGAAAGAATAAAGAAACTGTTATCCTTAAAAATTTGGAAGATGTTCCTTTGACATTTTAATTTGATAGGGAATCTTTCCATAATCCAGAGTTCGGTGATTCTCTCACAATAACCCCAGTTCAAGGTACCATCAAGGCACTTGGAGATTAACCAATTGAGATATAATTTGCACCAAAAGTTGAAAGAGAATACAATTACAATCTTTTATGCAATGTGAAGAGGAGACAGAGACCTGTAACATTAAATGTCAAGGGTATTGGTTACATCCTACACAATAATGTGTTATTGAATGGCGTTGCTGTTACACAATAAAATACAGTAGTTGAATTGGGAGATTTGTACATAAACGAGAAATCAAGCAAATAGATCACGGTTGAGAATTAAGGGGATTTTAATTTCGATTTCAGTGTGAGAAAATCAGCTCAATTGTCCAACATTGTGATTATCAACCCAGAGAATGGTACAGTGAAGAAGAATGAGAAGTTTAATATTGAAATCAGATATCAACCAACAGCTCCTTAGAAATTGAATTAACAATTTTCATTATGCATTTCAAGCGGACCTACTTACAATTTCCAATTGATTGGATCTGCTAAGAAACCAGCAGTAGAATTTTCATTTTTACAATATGACTTTGGACCATGCTTTGTATTGAGATAGCCATTACCGATCACCAAAAATTTGGAGTTGAGAAATAGAGATGTGTAGGCTATGGCGATTGAAGCTTTGTATGAGAAGAAGCCCTATTTTGGAGTTTAATTACCTTCAGGATAGGTGCTATTGCCAATTCAGATAGAAACTCATAAGGATAAGAAGGGAATCATACAAACGAAGGAGTTGAATGTTTTATAGATCCCAATAACTTTCACTCCAAGAGAGTTGGTCAAATATGATGAGAGTGTGATCTTTGACATTAATGGATTGTAAAAGGTAGAGGTGAGATTTACAGGAGAAGGTGTTCCTTTGAAGTTAGACTTATTGAAGACAGAATACTAGTTTGTAGATTTTGGAATATATGGTATTGGACAGATTGGAACTGAGGTAGTTTCTTTAGTGAATAATTCATAAAAGATGGTCACTTTGATCTTCGAGTAGGATTTGCTGAAGGAATTGAAATAAAAATATTACATTAAGGTAAGGCCAAAGAAGGAGTTTGTAATTAATCCAAGAGAGAGGAAAGAAATTACTTTGACTTTTAAACCTAAATAGAGATTGCATTCTTTCAAGACTGATCTGTTCTTTAAGATAGTTGAAAACAACGAAGTGAGAAAACTATTGACATTGTAAGGAGCATGCCATGGCATCGAATTGAAGTTGATGGAGGATACCATAGGATTTGGAGGAGTGGTTATCAATTCAAGACTGACAAAGAATGTGCAATTGAGTAATTTGGGAGATGTTGCTGCTAAATTCCAATGGGATACCTCATTTTGTAAGAACTACTTCACCATCACTCCATTGTCAGGAACATTGCCAGCTCATGAAGACCTATAATTTTAGATTACGTTCCATCCAAATGCTATTGATAACGACATTAGATTCGATAAGGTGAAATGCTTGATCTAAAATTCAGATCCATTGTACTTGAACCTCTTAGGCAAATGCATAGAATAGCCAAAAGAATAAATCTAAGAAGTGAAATTTGAGACTGTTGTACGTGTACCCACCTCTAAAAAGGTTACTGTTAAAAATCCAACACCAAAACCATGGAAAGTCAAAGCATCTGTGACTGCCTTGTTGCCTTAATTTAAGGATTACTTTGAAGGCAAAGAATACATAGAAGTCCCAGCCAATGGATAGGCAGAATACGAAGTCATTTACAAGCCTTTAACTATGACATCCAATCCTTAAATCTAAAACTTACAGGATCAACACGAAGGATCGCTCTTTTTCCCATTACCTGATGGGTAGGCACTTCTCTATAATCTATTTGGTAAGAGTTTGCCACCATTACCATAAACTGTGGACACAACCATGAAGGCCAAAAAGAACACAACCTAAGTGTTGTAAGTGAAGAACTGGTTAAAGACAAGTCAAAGATTCGAGGTTACCTGGACTTTAGAACCTGAAGATCCCTCTATTATTCTTAACGGAGCCAACACTTTTGAGGTCTCTAGTGAGGGAACTAAGGAATACAAACTCACCATATATGGACTTAAACAATCTTAAAATAAAGTTACAGTCTATTTCAGAAATGCCATCACATAAGAATTTGTGTTCTTTAAAATTGTAATTATTATTAATTCATATCAATTTAGAATCTAACAATTCAACCCCCAGATCAATTACCAAGAATTGAATTGACATCCATAGTTAGGGAGGTGGCAACAAAGTTGATTACCATTGAGAATCCAATCAATTAGCCTGTTGAATTTAAGAAAGACCAACTTATCGCTGAAACTGACAGTATCTCATTCAATCCTTAATAATTCGTAATCCCACCTAAATCAGAATTCGGTCTTGAAATAGCCTATAGACCTTTGGTGGTGCAGGACATTCAATCCAAAATCACAATAAAATCAGTTCAATTGGGAGAGTTTGTCTTTCCTCTTAAACTATAAGGATTACAGTAGAATGTCTCAAGATCACTCTATTTCAAAGCTTCCTTGGGCACTGAAATGGTCTTGCCATTCAAATTTATGAATTTCACCAAGAAGCCTACCATGTATACATGTTATGCCACTAAATTGGGTCCGAATGGAAAACCACTTCCTGTGAACATAGACCCAAAGGCTAAAGGTGCACCAGCCTAGACTACAGACTTTATTTGCGAATAAGTTCAATTCCAAGCACCTTAATCTGAATCTTTTGATGGGGTTGAATGTCAGATCAGTGTCAAGTATGAGCCCAGCAGTCTCAATGAGAGCAGAGGTATCTTAGTTGTGCAATCGCCTGATGGTGGAGGTAAACATATCATTCTATTTTTAAAGAATATCAATGTCTGTTGATTGGATAAGGAATCACTCCCTAACCGAAAGGACCATACAAGTTATCGGGCGCTAAACCACCTGCTATTGAATTTAAGAATCCCTTCTTTGAAGCTTAAGAGTTCACGTTGAGAATTGACAATCCTGCATTTACTTCTTCAGTCAAGTCCCCTATTAAAGTTGATGTAAGAAATCTAATTGAGTTTTTAGGGTAAAAAAGTATTGAGCATAAACATCACCTACAAAGCAGTACCAAACACAAGCAACAATGGAAGATTAATAATTTCCTGCGGAGATTTGCCACAATGGGTATTCTATCTTTAAGGAGAATGAATAATATTATTAATATTTAATATGTTTTATTATAATTATTAATTGAATGTCATCAATAGACCATAATCAAGAACATAATAATCAATTCCAGATTCTAAGCAAAGTCATCCACCGTAGTTGTCGGAGTCGACGTATTACTAGTTGAATTGGTACTATTCGTAGTCTAATTGGTAGTCGTATCTTTTGAGCCACTGCAGGATTGGCATCTATTCTTGCTTGCACTCCAGGTGTAAGTGTATTCAGACACAGTGAAACATTGTGATTGATCAAGAGTATTAAACTCAATTTCTGTACATTTACCATCTGCAAAAGAACAACCTCTTTTAGAAGATTAGTTCCAATCGTAAAATGAGTTGCATTTTCCATTTGCCTTTTGATATGATTCACAAGTATGAGCATAGCATGAACTAGTAGATAGACCAGTTGCATATTTAAAAGCACAACGATCCTTGGCTGACAAACAAGCCTCTTGATCTTAATCAGCTTGCGTGCATGATTGCATTAGGGAACAGGATTGTCCATTCCATACGCATATACCATCAGTTCCACCAATACTACAAGCAATTTTGGTAGTATAGGTTGAACACATGTCTTTGTTGATGCACTTGGATCCATCAGTAATGCATGATGGCAATGATTACTAACATAGTTATAATGTGCTTCCAATAGTAATACTACTACACATATACATCTAACAAGTTCCTAAGGTAGCATTCCAATTGCATTTACCCTCTAATCCATAGGCAACGGTGCAAGTTTCCTGCAGTTTATATTCAGTACAACTCGACTTGGTTATGCAGGTTATTCCATCGTAAGTACAATTTGATAACTAAAGAGTACATTGCTCATGGGAAGAGCCAGCCAAATCTGGACAAGTTTGATTTCTACATTACCCAGTTTCATTCCAAACACAAACTCCTGTTGATGTGATTTGATCATTTTTGATTTGCTTTCCAATTGAATCTATTTTACAAGATGCTGAATTGACATATTAATTGCATTCGCCAAGACTGATGCACCCATTCAATCCATCAGTTGTACAACTTTTGCTGGCATTTTGACATTCTTAATGAGTCAAATAATAAGCATCAATGCAAGAGGTAAATAACTTACAAATCGGAGGTTGGGTTGAATTCAAAGTGGGGACAGTCTTGATGCAATCACCATCAATTCCAGTGACACAACCACCATTTGTATTTGTTTCATTGCATAATGTAATAGGTACACAACTCAATCCGTCAGTTGTACACAGGGATGAAACCTACTTGCATTCTTAATCAGTTTTGAATTGTATTGATTTACATGAGGTGAATAAAAAACATTAGGCTAACTTATCAATCCATTTGCATGGACCATCTAATCCTAAGACACATGATGATTATGTGGTGAAATCACTACAACTTTTTATTTTCATGCATTTCTGATTCTCTCCAATTGTGCATGAAGTATTGAATTTCTAACAGTCTCCATAAGTAGTACCACTATAATCTTAGCATTCTCCAATGTTTCTACAATTACCTTTATCCCAAATGCATTTAACATTGTTGTAACTCAAAGTGCAATCTTTTTCTTTGTTGATCACCTGACATTCTTTCAAGGTACATTTATTACCTACCCAATAACATTATTCTTCTTTGACTGACTTTGTACATCCTGCTTCACTTGTGGCTGTTGAACACGATCCTCTTTTGACACATTTAGTACCATCAGTAGTACAAGAGGACATGGCTGTTTTGCATTCGGAATCAGTTGTAAATTCATATTCTTCACACACATGTCTCTTGCATTTGTTGGTGTCCTCTGCTGTACAAGTAGGTAGCCAACTAGAACATAATTAAGCAGTATTTTAATCAGGGGGAGCAGCAGAACAAGTTTTGATTTAACATTTGGAGTCATACCAGAAACAATCATTACCACTTCCATCTCGTATGCATGAAAGTTCAATAGAGATTTCAGGGCATTTGCTAGGAATGGGAATGCAACCCAATAAATCTGATGAAACAGTGCAATTATTTAAGTAACTTTGACAAGCTTAATAAGTAGAATAATCAGCAGTTTTTGGAGCAGTTTTACAACTCAATTCTGTGCATGCAGATTCAAACCAAGTACATTGTTTATTATCTTTATTGGTATAACATTGCTATTCAAATTTATAATCACTGCAACTAGCACTGATATCTTGACAACCTTGGATGACTTATTATTGTTGATCATCTAATTTGACAGAGACTGTGCATGTGGCATCAAAATTTTGACATTGCTAATGGGAATTATAGGAAAGAGCAGCAACATTGCATTATCTGTATTGGCATTTAGATGTATTTGTGTTCCAGAAACAATTTTTGTTGTCATTGTCAACAACGCATTAGGATGAACTTGTATATAAGTCACACGATTTTAAGGTTGGACAATCTGGTTCTGAGATTCCTGTTTTCTCAATTTCTAAACAATTGAAATCGATGCAATTCAAAGTAGATGAATTCCACCAACATCTTTGATTAGCATAATTAAACTTGCATTAGATTGATGTCAAATAACTACTACAATTTTATAATTTAGTAATGCAACCACCCTTATTCGTAATAGTACACTGATTACTGATGTTTTCACATTAGCTATGAGTTGTGAAGCTGTTAGACAAAAGATGACAGGCCATCTTCAGACATTTATTGTCCACTGCAATGCATTAGCCTTCTTGAGACCATAGACATGAACTTGCAGTCTATTCGGAACATGTTAACTTCATTTCGACACAAGCATTAAATGAGGAATTGATGGTGCAAGTTGGCAACCAAACTTAACAATCTTCATGAGTTGTTTTCATTGTATCTACATTTAAGCAGGTCTTGTCTTTGCATCCAGTGGTTGAGTCATTTGTGCATGTGCTTTTCAACTTTAGACAATCATTAAGAGTATAAGTAAATGTCTCACCTAAAAAGATTTGATTACAGGCAATTTTATTTGTCATTTCTATGCATGAAGCACCTGCATTTGTTTATTAATTCTATATACATCTACCTCTGGATGAGTGGTAACAATCACTCAAATTAGTATATAGAGTACAATCAGCCTGAATGTTTGTACATGCATTCTTAGCTCTATTGACACTGCAATAATTATTTGAGGATTGTAGACATTTTTCATAGGTTAAACTTGAAGTAGCATCAGTCTTCAATTGACAATTCTTTTCTGAAGCTATGGCTACAGGTTTACATACTGAACCTGTCCAAATACAATAATGATCATTCTTAGTGTAATAGCAACTGTCACTTGATGCAGCACTGCATGTATTAAGCATGCTAACACAACCAGTTCCTGTTCTATTCACAGTACAAGAGTAATCATATTCTTAGCAAGCTTCAAAAGAGATGGTACCACCAGCATAACTTGTGCATAGACCACTACCACAGGTCTTAGTAGTTCCTGATACAACTATGATGCAAAAGTCTCGTTTGCTAGAACAATCAGTATTTACTGTGGGATTAAGAATGGCACCGCAATCAACGTGAGTATAAAGACAGTCTGTTCCTTTAACTACGCAATCCCCCTCTTTAGAATATTTGCATTAAGATAGATCTGTAGTGTATTCAGAACAGAAATCCTTCTTTGTAATGCATCTATTTTAACTGAGATTCAAAGTACATCCCGTGATCCTCTCACAATCCACTTTTGTGGTGTATAGATAGTCAGTGCATATTTTGTTGATGCATCCATTTGAGAAGTTATTCACCTTACACCTTTACAACACAGCACTACAATTAGCATCATTGTAGGTTGTCAATCGAATGTCACTGCAATTTATCTATTGGAGTTCTTGGCATTGATCTTAGAGCCAAATACACTAGACTTAATTGACTGTTGAGTGACATTGATATTCATACTTGTATTCTATACAATTGTTCAGTTTCTTGACACATCCTTGTTGATTCACTTTGCTCAACACTGTGCATTGAGAATTCAACTATTGACATTTCTCGTAAGTATCATAATTACTATTATCTGTTGAATCACTACATCCAGATTCTCTACAGAGTAACCCTGTCCATATACACTACCCTCCAGTCTGATTTAACTTACATTATTCTGCAATAGTGTACTGAGAGCACCTTTGAATGTTGATACATCCATTTGAACTACTATTTACTGTACATTAATTGTACAGATTATTGCAATCCAAATGAGTACTACCAACCAGATTAGAACATATCTTTTCTTTGCATTGTCCTCCTGTCCATATACAATCATTTTGAGTTGACGCAAAACAATTGTTAATGCTCAATACACCACATGAAGAAGGTTTAGCAATGCATCCATTACTAGAGTTGTTCAACACACAATTATTCATATATTGATTGCAGTTTGTCTGATTGAAGGCTGTTAAATAATTCGGAGATCCAACTACATTGGCAGTTTCACAAGATTACTGAACACATTTGTTATTATTCCAAATACAAACTGGTGATGTTCCATATCCACAATTCTATTATAGTTGTCTATCACTACAATTAGATGTGAGATTCATGCATCCACTTTGATTGTTGTTCACTATGCAATCAGATTTAAACTACTAACAACCTCCTGTTGTTGTAATTGAACTATCAGCCATGTTACATTGTCTATCAACACAGGCAGAATTCTTCCATGCACAATGATCACCTGATTAAGTTTGATAGCAGGACTTTTCACTTGTGTATGCCTAACATGCGAGCATTTTATTCATGCAACCAAATCCAGAATTATCAAGGATACAGCTTGCCAGGTATGCTTCACATTCATTGTGAGTCATGTATGTTTTAGGTGCAAAAACACACTACTTTGTAAAACAAGTATTTTTCCAAACACAATTGTTTTTAAAGGAATCTGTTGAGCACTGGTCTTGTTGAGTGATATTTTCACATATTCTATCTACACATCCAATAGATGCTGTGACATTGAATGTGCACTCACTTGAATAAGCTTCGCATTCTGCTTATGAAGTGGCAGATGTATTGTTAGAACATATTTTTAATAGACATTATGAACCATTCCAATAGCATTTAGTACCATCAGTCATATCAATACACCCTGTTTCATTATTAGAGCTGGAACAAGAAAGTTGTTCAATGCATCCATTCATAGTAGTAATACAATTTTTACCAATTTTCTTACATTAGTCATTTGTAGTAAAAGAAGCAGGTGCTTTAGAGCAAAGTTAATCATAGCAACTATTATCTAACCAAATACATGGTTATCCAGAATGATTTCTAACACAAGCAGCCTCAATTTTAGCATTAGAACATTCCGTGATTTTTGTACATCCTCCATTCTCTTATGTTGTACATCCAATCAAGAACTAATTGCATAGTTAGTCAGTTTTATATGTAAGAGGTGCACTTGAACATGTGAGTGTAAGACATTTATTATCAGACCATACACATTACTATGTTTATGATTTATTCCACTTACACTACGACATCAATTTTTAATTTTCACAAGTGTCTCCACTATCCATGCAACCTCCTTGTTCTCCAACTGTGCATTTTGATAAATTCTTTCTACATTCACTATCAGATTAAAATGTTAAAGGTAATTAACTACATTCTGTAAAATCTTGGCATTTATCTGCATTCCAATAACAAAGTAAACCCTTTTAATTTTTAAAGCAGGCTGTTTCAGTTTTGTAATCAGCACAATTTCCTAAATCTATACAATGAAATCCATCAGTCGAGCAATATTATGAAACATACTAACATTCTGTATGCTTTGTATAGTAATATGCACTACAACCTGCAAATTACTAACATTATTTATCTATCCATGCACAACCAACAGTCGATTGACATACAGTATCTCCTAATGGACTACAGTAAGTGACAATTTAAGTAACAACCACAGGTGGAGTGGGATTGGTGACACATTTGTCTGAATCCCAGAGACAAGTGTTTTTAGGATTTTAGCAATCAGGTTGTGAGAGTATTTGCTCACATTTGCATTTGGTAATGGATATTGTGGATGCTTCTAGTAAGATTAATAAGTTAAAGATAATTGCTAGTTTAATTTTCATTTATTTATAATCAAACAAATCCCAATTCTTTTTCTGAATCTTAAACTCTGTTCTCAAGTACAATAGTATTTTATTGCAATTTGATTCTATCTAGATTGATCTAATCCACTTATTGTTTCAAGAACTAGTGTTATTCCAATTGTAATGCATTCTGCTCATGAAACTCCTGCATCAATCTTTGATACTCCTCATTCAAGTATTTATTCGAGTCATCAAATGAATCTGTTGTAATTTACGATAACTCAATCAGATTGTTGCGTAATTGTTCCTTCTCCTTCTTTGCCAAATCCAACTCGTCCATTAATTGCTGCAACAATTACTACAACTAATAACCCAATTTACATCCAGTCTTTGCAAGTGACTCTTCACTGGCATCCTCATGGCAAACTCCTCCTGATCAAATTGTCCCTAATCCTAAAATTCATTGTTATAAGCCATATTATATTAATATTAAAAACAAATTATCTCTTCAAATTATTCTCCACTTTTTCAGCACTCCCTCATAAACCTCCCTCTTCTTTCTTTCCAGTGGAAAAACCCACTTCAAGAATGGGCGAATCCCAAAAAATCTAGTTTTAATTAATTTTATATGAAAACCACCAACGAACCATCCCTATTAAAATATCGAGTATCCATTCTATTAAAACCCCTTATAGATAATCGAGCAGAAGAACAAGAAAATAGTGTTGGAGGCTGACGAAGACTAATTCACTCAGTTTGCCAATGCTCTCTCCATCATTCAAAAATTTCACGATGACATCAAGGCCCAATTCCACGCCAGCTCTCAAGCCCAAAGGAGAACCAAGAATGTGGTCTCCGTCTAAGCCATCAATTCGGATTCAGAAAAATCCAATAATTAGTCGTTTGCAAATCCCAATCCAGATATCAAAGAAGATCAGGATTTTCGCAGGTATCAAGTTGATTTATCACCATGCAGACGCATCCCTCACTTCTTTTTGTCTCGATTTAAGAAATGGGCTAAGATGATGGAACAGGATGCAGCCTACAAGTACCTTCAGAATGTATAAGAATCAAAGGTTATTTAAACATATTATTATAAAGACATCAAAATAACAGCGATTCGAATTGGGAGATCTGCAACGATGCTTCCAAGTACAAGTCAACGAACCAAAGGAATCCAAATTATGCAAGAATCTCCTCAAGGACCTGTTCATTTCCTTCCTATAGAACGAGGCCACTCTACAGATCATTCATTACAACAAAATCAGTTCAATCGAATAAAAAGTACAATATGGAATTCATTCTATCTTAGCACAAATACATATCAGAAATTAAAAACATGATATAAGAGATGTATGAACTTAAACCCTTTGATTCATACTTGTCCTCCGAGAAGATCAAGGGAAAGAGAAACGCCAACAACAATAATAATCAGTCTCCCATCAAAGAAAAATAAGAAGATTTGAGAGAAGAGTTCCAAATCCCAGAAATGCACGAAAAGTACTCCAATGAGAGTTTTAAGAAATACGGCAATGCCCCATCCCTAGTAAAAATGAACAGTTTTTAGTAGTGATTCTTATTAATTTATTCAAAAATTCTAATTTCATTTATATTGATTACTATTAATAAAATAATACGGGGCGAGTGTTCAAACCTTATTCAAACTCATGTATTTAGTTTCCATTATATTCTTATATATATATATATTATATTGCCATATTTATTTACATATATATATTTATAATGTTAAAAAAACAAAAATAATTAATCGAAAACCCTGTCAATGACTTAAGTGTTTGTCCAACCAACAAACTCACCCTTTCCTCTCTCGATAAACCCCTCTTCCCCACTCCTTGGAGGAGTTACCAGCATTACAACATTCAAACACCCACCATCCTAATTAATCAAACTGACAGAGTCTAAGAAATGTCCTTTCAAATAGATAAACTCAAACCTCGCTATAGCAGATCATTAACAAAAAATAGAAAGCAATATCTACAGGACACTGTATTTAATGCTTACGATCCCAAGCCAATGGAAAAGTAAATTTTAAATGGCAGTCGTCTTAAGTTTAATGGAGACTTGAGTATGAACCTCTATTAGGATGAACCTAAACAATAATTGCTCCTTCCTCTTATGTTAAATTTATTTGTTTTACATTCTTTTTAGAACAGAATCTGTCAAGGTTGGTTCAATCACTATTAGTAAAGATGTGGCTCTACCCAAATATCTTGATCCTCCCAAAAGTAAAAGGGTCGGCTTCAAAAAATTACCAGAATACTCTATTCGCAGATTCAGTCATGTTGATGATTTGGTCGAACGAGTCAGATTGCAATAGGTTGATATCCTCAAGAAGTATCAAGCCAAGTCCTTCTCCAAGGACATACAGAATAAACTCAAGGATGAGCTATTTATCATACTTAAATAATTTGAATGATTAATATAAATATATTAATATCATAATAATAATGGCAACAACCCAATTAGAATTGCTCCAATAACTCTACGATCTAAGAAACGAATTCAACGAGCAATTGAAGAAGGTCCAAGCTGCTCCAGAAGTAAGATAATAATTAATTGCAAGAATCAAGGAGAAGTAGCAACATTGCAAGATCAAAATAGAAGATATGCTTATAGAATAGGCCACCTGACCAAGGCTGTTGACGAGTTGATTCAATCAGAAGTAACATCTTAATCATAATTCTAGAATCATTTACGCACAGAAAATGCTTAATTAAAAGCCAGAATATCTGAGTTAGAAAAGAAATGAATAACATCAAATATATATTTTAAAATAGATCTTTGATTTTAAATAAATACTAAAGGGCTTCCCTTTATTGTTTCATTGTTAATCTTCTGATTAATTGATTCAAAATTCTGATTTATTCTAACCTACTTTTAAAGCCAAAAACGTAATCAAAGTAGGACTTTGTTTCTATATTTTTTTTTTAAAGTATTATTTGATTTAGTTCTTATTATAAATGACATTCTATGGTTACTTTTTTGTCTCTCAGATAATTGATACTAATTGATAATAAAAGATAATTAATAATTTATTTAAAGCAATAAATGAATTTTAATATTTCTTATCCATAGTATATTGAAATTTCATTTTTGGAATAAGATGAATCAAAATCTTAAAAACAATTATTTTTTTGAAATAAAAAGCTATAAATTCATGATTTGTACATAGAAAAACCTAATTTTTCGAGATTCTTTTTAAGTTCAGCTACAATCTGATTGTATCAAATTATCAAATGTAAATGGGTTTACAACTAAGTTTAGGCCAAGAAAATGATGTAATACACTCTGCTACTGCATGAGAACTCCCTCATAGATTGGAAGATATCTAAAAGCTAAAAAAAAATTGAAGGTTTTAGCATATTGGTGAATGGGAAATGGGAATACTTCGAGATGGAGAAAACCCATTTAGAATTTTTTAAATAGTTCCTGGATGCAAAGATCTCCTACTAGAACATTCATAGCTTATACAAGATGATATCTTTTTGTGGGAGAGGCTCATATGGACATGTAAAATATCGTTTTCTTATTATAGGTATTTAAATATCAGAATCGCATAAGCGGTGAACAAGTAGCATGTAAATCACTGAAGATCGGATCGAAAAACACACAATAAGTAAGTAGTAACTGAACACAATTAGATATTTTTGCAGGAAGTCAGGAAATTATAGATATTAAAACACCCCAGCATAGTGAAGTTGAAGGAGTTTTATTTGGAAACTAAACATTGTTACATAGTGATGGAATTTTTGGAAGGGAAATCCCTCAGAGAATTGCAGGGACAGAAAAGACTCAATGAGGAGGAAATCATTTTAATTTTAAAGGTAAATAATAATTATATTTCAGTAAATATTACATTGTATTCACTATATACACAAAGAAGGATATGTGTATAGAGATATAAAATAAGATAACGTGTTATTCGCTGAATAGGGAAATTTGAATAGTTTGAGGTTGATTGATTTTGGATTGGCCATAACTTTGAATGACCTCACAGCTCAAGGGAATCGTATCTGTGGGACTCCTGGATACTTGGCTCCTGAAGTGATCAATTAAGCTAAAGATTTGGATTATAAAATTGATATGTTCAGTTTGGGAGTGATGTTGTGGGAGATGTAAGATTCGAATTTACTAATTATGATTAGGATCCACAATAAGAGATTTTTCGAAGGGTGTGATCAAAGCATTCAAGAGAGAATGAACAGACAATATAAGTTTTCGGATGAGTTTACTAAAAATATAGAGAATTAAACTTTGAGACATTTGGTGGAGAAGATGATACATCACAATCCTGATTAGAGATTGACGGCAATGGAGGCATTGAATTATTTGGATTGGAGTTTGATGAATAAGTGTGAGAATGTGAAGGAGATTGACAATAATATAAGTACAGATTGAGAATAGGGGAGAATAGATATTGATTGATTATACATTTTATTATATATTTATATATGTGTATATTTTGGTCTCATTCTTTGATTTAATACTTTTTTCTCATTTCAAAGTATTTTCTGTAGTTTTGATCTCTTGATCTTGAGACAACGATGTCTTTGGCCAATAGATAAGAGTAGAACATCTGGGTGAGGGGCATTCCTTGACGAGCCAATCTAAAAGGATGCAATAAATTATAAACTTGTCATTGTTGTAACCAGTGTTGATGAGTCCGCTTCCTTCTGAGTTCTTGCCTGCAGTCAATAAATAATATTCTCTTTTTTGGATTTGGTCTAAGCAGGATAGATTGAATTGATACTTGATTCCATTTTGTATTTGAACAATGTTCCAATTACTCCGAGACCAAGCATGGTTGTAATAATTCTGCCTTTGGGTTGTCTGATTTTGTAGGTCTTCCAATAGATATAACCCATAGGGTTCTTGATGAATCTGAAAAAGTTTTTGAAGAATCTCCTTTTATTGCCTCTGTCAATGAATTTTTTTTGCATCTAATTGTTAATGAGGAGTGTACTCTGAATTTCTCCATTTCCCAATCGTATGCCTTTCCCATAGATCTCCAAATCATTTCCAATCGCTCTCTTTTATTTGGAGCATGATAATAGAGATAATGTTATCCGAAGGTTCGCATCTTCACATCAGCATCACCAGTGGATTGGTCTCTGATCCAGATATAATCCTATTACATCTTCTCATGAGAATTGGCCATTTTAAATCTTATTTATTATTTAATTAATGCACTAAGAATTAAACTGTCCTCGTTGTGAGATTGCATTTGACATCTATGATCGGACACCATAGATGCTACCAAAATGTGGTCATTCCATGTGCATGCAGTGTCTTCGTGAACAAACCAAAATAATCTGTCCTGAAGACGGGTAAAGCAGTAGCTCTAATTTCTAAGAATTGTCTAGCCACAAGATCTGAATCTCTACCCAGTCAATCAAGCCATTTTGAAAATAATCAATAAGTCTAGTCTCAAGAACTCACAAATCGATTCTACCGAGTTGGGTGAAACTGTGAGACTCTCCAAATGCGAGAATTTCTTTGAAATCATGGAATCTACATCTCTCTGCAAAGAACACAACAAGAAGATCGAATTAGTGTGTCTGGAAGATCACAATAAAATCTGTGTCAATTGTGCTTTGTTTGGTGGTCATAAGCATCACAATGTGAGAAACATAGATGTAATTCAAATCCATTTAAAAATAGGAAGTCATTTCAGAAATCCAGCATTCCCTCGAAGAAACTGTAGATCTGATGCAACAAATACAATCCAAAATTAAATCCCTCAAATAACCAATTATCAATAAAAAGATACGCGACTAAATACGAGTTTGTATAAAGCAACAACAATCTCTAGCAGAAGAATAATTCAAAGTACTCTTATATCACTATAAAAATCTAAGGAAATGATAACTCAATTAATGATGAAATAGCGAAAAGTAGTCGAAGAGATTGAGCAAAAGTACAAATAAGTCGAAGATCAACTAATAAAACGAGAACAACAGTATGTCAATCAAGTAGTCGAAAAAGCAGACTTATGGATGTTAGCGTAATTCCTCCTCTTTATAGTGCATAGTTCTCAAGAACGGATCAATTAGTTCGCCTCCTTAACTGAAAAAGGGGAAATCGCCTTCTTTCTACTCCAGAAAGACACCTCTAATACTCAGGCCAAATAAATTATAGAAGAATTGGAGGATTTCATGAAGAAGTTTCAAACCAGATTGTAAGAGGTTACTCAAGGTTAAATTACTCCTTAGGTGCACTTAAGCAAAGAATTAATGGGGAATTTTGAATACAATTATCCTCAAGTTCAATAATCATTTTTTGACGATCCAAATATCTTGAGAGATGTTTCAATGATTGATCAAAGTTTTTTAAAGGACATTGATGACAAACCTCCTCATAATGAATTTTTGACTCATAATTTATTAAACCCTCAACCTTTTATATCAATCTCAATCCGCTCTCCAATCATAACCTTCATCCAACAACATTTCATAACATACCATAAGTCCTAATCATGAGAAGAAATCATCGCAAAACGAAACATTAACATCTCCAAAATTAAGAAGGCAATCTTCAATGTCTCCAAAAAGACCTACAAAAAAGAAATTTAATACTAAAGTGGAATCCATTTTATTAAGTTGCAATGGAGATACCTTAGACCTCTCTTAATAAGGTAATGTATCCATCTATAACCTGTAGATTTGGGAGATGATGGAATGATTCTCTTGGAAGAATTCATCAAAAATAAGAAGCTTAAGATCCTGAAATTGATGCGAAACAAAATCAGTGACACTGGAGCATCCAAATTACTAGAATTACATTGCCAAATATTGCATTTGTAATCCAATGTGATTACGGAAAGGTTCCTGGATTTAATTTAGTAATTAATATAAAAATAGACCTAAATTCATATTAAAACCATCTATTTGGGCTAAAACCTAATGAATTTATTTAGAGTAAAGAAAAAAATAGAGGATTTAAAGAAGTTAGGCATAACTATTTAAATATGATAATTGATCAGTGTGTTATGCTTTTTGTGTTATGAAATGTGCCTCTTAATTACGATTATAACTCCTATTCATTTTCACACATTAAATCCATTTCCACACCCTGCATCTGTTTCTCTAATTTGATTATTTTCTATAGCAAATGAATAGACTATTCTTCCATATGCAATTTATCCTTAGTCAATTTGCTAATTTCCTTATTCAATCGATAGGACTCTGTTGAATAAGCAACGTAATCCTCCTTCAATTACCTTTGCTTCGTTTAAACTGCCTCATTGAATTAATCCTCTATTTTTTATATATTCCTCTCTGTTTGCTCCTTCATCTAATCCATCTCCTCCTTGATTTGCTTAGACTACTCCTTCAATTGAGCCAAAGTGCGTTTGCTATCCGAAATGTAATTCTAATAAATTCTATCTTAATCCTTACTTGTATTAATTGCTGTGAATGAGTGAACACTTCCAAAAAGTGAATTTATGCATTGGTGTTTTAAAACTCCTCCACATTGAAGGGATACTTGAATCCAAAGGATGTTATTTGATCTGTTTTTTCCATGAAATTCTCAAAAAATGGACGAGTATCACTTTAACTTTTTGAATAGCCTGTAAAATTTTTATTGGTCCTTCCCAATTTATGTTCGAGAGTCTGAAGTTTCATAGCACTTCGATTGGTGGGTAGAGTGGCTTAAAATTTTTGTATTCAAATATACTTTAAGGTGGCTATTTAAAGTATAACAGTTATCTGATTCTAATTTCGGAATGAGCATTGTTATTATCTGAATACATTAAATATTAATATTATTTAAAAAAGTATATAGGCTAACCAAGCTTCTAACTTGGCATCTCTGCAGTGTAAATGCAGCGCGATAACAAACTGCGTCATTCACCCATACTCAATAAATACTTATTATCATTTCATAAATATATCATCTCTCCAATACCCAATTATTTCTTGTTGACCATAATAAAACACGCCAGTTCCATTAGCCTATCCATCGATAAAACTACCAATAAATCTGCATCCGTTCTTAAATTTTAACTCTCCCTTCCCATTTCTCTTCCCATTAGCAACCCGACCAATAAAATGACACCAAGTTGAAAGATCATAATGTGTACATTCAAATGGAGCGTCTGGATTAAGAACTTCTACTCTTTCTCCGTCATTCACTGCCTTCTACTTTTGCTAATGAGCGTGTGGTTGAAATGCACGATTATACAATTTTAATTCCACATTTTCAATCTAAATCTTATATTCCTCGTTTAATTTGACCACAAAGGAGTACAATTATTAGCAATTGGGTCGTTATAGGTCTTGCTCAATGAAAGTCTGATCTAGGAATCTGTGTAAATACTCAGGTAGATTCAGCTCTTTGATTTTAATTTACAGTTCTTTAAAATCGAATTGTTTTGTTTTGAAGAAATGCTTGGGTTCCTTCAATCCTAAACAATAGAGACAGACGAGACCCAATGCAAATACGTCGGATTTAAAGTATTCTATTTGTTCGTTCTAATAGTAATTTGTGGGACTTTAATAATATTTCATGTAGAGTGGTCTGAATAGGAAGGAGTCTGCTATTTTATAGACATATTTCTGTTAAAGGGTGTAAACTCTGAAGATTCCACTAGGATTCAATGCACAATAATGCATTTTTAGATCTTGTAAGAGGGAGAGGATTTTGGTGATGTGATTGATAAAAGTCCAGACTTCCAGATGCTCAAAATTATCAATTTGGGAAATGGGCTCTGGATAATCGAAGTAGACATGCAAATCATCATTTTTCACTTGCCAATGATGGATATTTAAACTGTTTGTGTGTTGAGTCTTTTTCTTCAACTGTTCTATAATCTTTTCATCTCTGAAGGTGAGTATACCGTGTATGATTTTGAATTTATTATCAGCTCGATGAGTGAGGACATTCATTTCTTTGAATCTGAAATTCTCATTATCAAAATTACTTGTTTTATCGAAATCCATTAAAAAATGTGAGGAGTTGTCGCATAATGCACCCATTATATGAATGAAGAGGAGATTAATGTTTAGGGTATATTAAATAAATATTAACAATAATATTATTAAAGAAAATGTATGATGTCTTGAAGTTTTAATTAGTTAGTAATATAAATTAAAGAATGAAAAATTAAACCAATTAATCGGAGATCTGTCAATATTGCAATTTAAGTGACTGTGAATGTTCAGACCAAGAGGATTGGGACAGTTGTGATTCGCCTAAACCAAAAACTCTCTATTCTTTCAAAGAAATCAATCTGCAAAACAAATCATTATTAGCTGAAATCAGAATCATTTGCAAGAATTTGATTTATGTGATTGGCTTGGCACCCAACATAGCCAAGGAAGATGTAATCTCATTTGTTTATTTCAGCAATTAAAAAAACCCGAGTATTTTGGGCAATATGGATAAATCTAAAAATTAATTGTGATCCAAAGCAACACCTTCAATCCCCCCTCTCATGCCGCTTACATAACCTATCGAAATGAATAGGAAGCCTCTTTAGCAATCTTAGTAAATATAATTAATATTTATTTGTTTTGGCATGTGAAAAATTTCCCTTACACGACAGATAAGTAAAGGCATCCTTTGGAACCACCAAATATTGCACCAACTTCTTGAAGGGCCAACAATGCAAGATCAAGGATTGTGTATACTTACATCAACACCCCAAGGACAAGGACTCTACACAAGTGCTCAAAAAAGTATGTACATCTAATAATACTTAGGAAGAAATGAATAACTCCAAGTGGTTATTTTCGTATTCCTAAAAATTAGCCCAAACCAACTTCAAAAAGTTTTACACATCAATCAATTACAAAAATGCCCTCTAAAAATCAATATTCCCAACAACACAAAACATTTTGGATCATATGATAAAGGAAAGAATTGTTGAACCACTTTAATAGCAATAATCATTAAACATACAATAAGAAGAAGTTAAAGAAATACAATAAATCCAAGATTTACAATAACCCATTTATCAAAAACCAATTGATATTGAAAAACGAGTGGAGGCTGTCATCCTTTAAAGTAGTTCTATTTCTTATCTTAGTGGACGGAGATGGCAATACCAATTCGAGATTCAAATTTACAAATAGTAAAATTATCCCATAAGATCATGAGGCAATATAATAAATAAAATAATATCTTCAAAAATGAATAATGACATAAAAATAAATCCATTTTTAATAATCTGTAAATTATCTTATTCAATTTATTATTTAATTCATCAATACAACATTTAATGTATACTTTTCGCTTGACTACGGACATTTGTTGTTAAAATATGATCGGGTGGTATCAAAACCAATATTTATCTCAATGACTAAATCTTCATCTACGATTGGTAAACCCATATAATACTCAAAACTATATACGATAAAAACAAACTAATTAATATATCATTACAATTAATACCATGTTCCTACACCAAAATAATATACTTGCACTATACTAATAATCTCATTTGCTATAGCAAGATTATCTGCTTAAAATAATACCAAAAATTATCTCATTACCGACTAAATATCAGTGAAATATTGCAAAACAAAATTTTAAAAGGATTATTATTAAATAGTGATCATATTTGTCTCATTAAAATTATATTTTAAATTCTAAATTTCATAATCGAATTCTTAATTTATAAATTTAATTAGTGCTGCAGTGTAACCCAATGCTCCATTACTAATTATGCTTCTGAAATTATCTTTCCTATTCATAATATATTATAAATTACTAATCGTATTGTAATTTAATTGTTGTTAAATCACAAATAGGCATAGTACCAGCTGTTGATGAAAGACATAAATCATAATTCAGTATTGTATCAAATCTGCTTTTTTCATTATTTGCATTCGCATTCTCTAAAATTACCTGAGCTACTTCATTAATTAAAGGTGACAAATTGTCTCTAAATTCAACTAAAAGTGAACAAGCTTTCGTTTGATTTAAAAATTGTAGATCAAGATTGGGAATAATTGATTCTGATTTAATTAGACCAGCCAATAGTGTTAATGAATCCATGTTGTGTCTTATTTACACAAATTTCAAGGTAACTGTTAGGGATGGTTAAAAATTATCATTTTTTGCCATATGTAATAAGAATCCTGCCATTAGATACACAGTTAGAAGTATTGTAATCATAAAAGTAATGAAGGCATTGATCCTATTCAGATAATATGTTCTTTATATTCTCGAATATAAGGCACTAGTCGCCTTTATATTATTCTGACCAAGTTCAACATTAGATTTGAGAATTATCTTTTTGGCCTTCCTCTCAGAAAAGCCATACATAACATCACCAAAATTAAAAAGCTTCCAATTTCCATTTATTTGGTTATCTAATTATTCTTTAATTATGGACAACCGATTAATCTAATCAAATGCTTAATTTTCATTTAGTCTAGAAATCAAAAACAATATTGATTTTACAATATGATCAATAAATAACCAATATTTTAGTTATAATCCAATAATTACAAATATGCTAAGCAATTCCCCAATCATGACGGATAAAAAATATTACTTAACTTAAGTTTACTTGTCAATCGTATTTGCAATAACAACTTTAATTAATCGATTATGAAAGTCCAACATATCCAATAAGTTAAGTCTCACTACTCCATAAGGCATAATTTAGGGAAAATCATAACTCCCACTGTTAATAAATTATCTATAAGAAGTCTCTGTTTTTTAGTACAAAATTGAATAAAATTCTTCCAAGGGATACTCAATAGTGACAATAGATTTGTTTTCATAAAATCTTGTTTCCATCGTCGTTTATTGATTTTGCTCTTTTGATAGTCTAGGTACAATAATTACTAAATTGACTTATGATGTTCTAGCATAGTCGTACATTCCTTATAATGTATCTAAGTTTCTTTAGAACATATATGGACTGAGGGTTACAAGTTTATTTTTTATTAAGATTAGGTAATATTCCTACAATACTTCTGAGGTGTAAAAAAAATTGATATTTTAAGGTTGCCTTAGAGTATCAAGTTAATTTGTTTGAGATATTAGGTTTTCGGATATAAATTGAACATTAATAATGTTACTAATAAGAACTCCTGAGCATATAATAAACAACAATGCAGCTATTTTTCTTAAGGGACTGATTAGTTAAGTATTGTGATAAAGTTATTGTACAATTAGAAGAGACTCTTTAGAAGTAGAATTCGTTGATGTTCTTGAAGGGTTCGATGCAAAGTCGTTTTCTTAGTTTTTTATTTATTTCGTTTGAAACCTCAGCAGAATATTTGAACTTTTTTTTTGGATTTAACTAACAGACAAAACCTTTTTTTCACCTTCCTCCTAATCTTCTTCTATTTAGTCTTGCTTTACTTCATTTATTACCTATGAAGATAAATATAATCAAATACACACCTGCATGTCTAATTCAATTTGTTCCACTTCTTCGTTTATATCAATTTCAAAAATTTTGGGCCTAGCAAAGAGCGGTTATCTACTTGAATCAAATAAATTAGATCTATCTGATTATTTTAATTAAAATTTAAGATTATTGTCAGGGATAGAACTCTCATTAAGTTTTTAATTGTTATTCATTTACCTTACTTCTTAGATTTGAATCTGGGAATCGTCACGATTTTCGCTTCTTATATCTTAAGAGAAAGAGTGAGGGCTTTTTGTATAGCTAGCTGAAAATTCTTAGGAAGGTATTAGAGTTTAATATAGTGACTATTATGTTCTTGAAGTTTATTAATTGTTTGCTGTTTAACTTGAAATAGTTTTGAAATCTTTGATTGTTAACATAAAATAGCCATAGTTTCCTCTCTTGAAATTCAGAGTCTTAAATTAAAGACTATAAAAGACTCCTGTTTAAGGCATCTTAGATAAGGAGTCATTTATTTCGACAAGTTTTTGTATTTGATATTCCACATCAGGATGCAATATTAAAAGTGGAATTCCATTGATTGATATATTTTATTTTAACTCTGCTGACATTTCTGAATCATCATATTGCATATCAAATTATGTGTTTATCGTGTTGTAGGAATATTTTGAATATGTTTAAGACTTGTAGGATCGATAATTTTATTAAGATCCTTCATTTCTTTTCTTGAATTAAGAGAATATTAATGAAGAATTTTACAAACATTCTATATGATTATTAGGCATAATCCAAAATGATTTGAGATTATTCATCAAATAATTTGAAGATGATACAATCTGTTGTCTTAACTCTTAAACCTAACTAGCAATTCCAGGAATATAAAATTGAATCAAGGGACCTCTACTTAAGTACTCCTTCACTGGTATTTTTATACTATTCTAATCCTTAGTTGTCTAATGTGATAAATTCATTTTGAAATTGCTTTATAATACTTCTTCGTAAAAGTATTTGGTAAACCCTAAGATCTTTCCATCTATGCCAAATAAAATGATTTCATTATTTGATTGTTGTTTTGTAATTATCATATTTAGAATAAAATCGTCCTTGTCATCAAAAAAGTTAAATAAATTCAAACTACATTATTCTAAGTATCCTGAGATATTTTGACAGAAGCTAGCTTCACCATTTATCATAAGTTTAGAGTGTCCTCTTTATAAATAATTATCCATCAGCTTTTCATGAATCGATGATATGAAATTTGGCATCAGTTAATTGCAATGTTTAATGCCTTTAAGATTGTCTTCATTTTCGTTCAGGAATAGAGCAAGTTGTCTTACATTTAAGTTCAGCAGTTCTCCTCTCTTTTTAACTAGGCTAGACTTGAGGATTATTAATCTATCTAGAGAATGATTTATTAGATTTCATACTTTATATCAATTGCATATTGTCCAAAGTCTCATCTTGTTTATATCTTTCATTTTTTATAAGTTCCTCAATTGACTTCTCTATTTAATAAGCTTAAAATGAATTAGAATATATTCCTGAATGATAAATTTAAATAATTCTTAATGTCAAGATGTCCGTTTGTTGCTGGCCTTTTAATTTGTTATTTACCATATCAAATCTCTTCTCTATTTCTTTTTTACATGTCAACATTTTTTGAGTTGTTTTGAGTGATTCTAATAAATAATGATCGATGTCTTGGTATCCATTGATGAGTTTACTCCAAAAGCTAATTTTACTTTGAATGGTATCTATTAGAATAGGAAATAGTATGCTTGCAGAATGACTAGTCAAATAAGCAGATTGAACATTCAAAGACGACTAATGTTCATTAGTACTGCGAATTGTATTTTTATGATTGGCTTCCCTTTGATATTATTTGGCTCTTGAGTACAATTCAAGAGAAAGATTACTGAAAGCTTGTTTAAAGTAAGTGTTATTAGCTTATTGTAAGATCAATTTTATAAGAGCTTTAAGAGGAGCATGATTGGAAACATAATTGCAATATACAAGAATATTGATGAGTTCCTTGTTTTTTGAATTCGACATTTTTCTTAATAGACATTCGGGGATAGAGTGTGGGGATTTACATTTTAAGCAGTTATGATTTTTTTATAAAAGTGAAAGAACTACCTTCGAACTTTTATCTCCTTATTAGTTATAATATTCAATATTCTAAATTAGACAATAAACATACTTAAATTGTTGTAAAATTGCTTTAATTTTTACATGTAATGTAATGTTAGTTAAAATTTGATTAAACTTGTAATAATAAATTAATCAAGAGAGTAAAAAGAAGAAGTAGTTCAAAGATACTCAATTTCAAGTTTAAGGAAGTATTTATAATAGCAAATATAATCTCTAATATTAGGTATCCTTGTTAATTATTTTTCTTTATATTTACTAATATAAAAATCATATTGTTTATGATAGTAAATGCAAACCTTAAAACTTACAGTAAATCAATAACTTTGAATATAAGAATGAGTAATTATAATGCTTAATATATTGCATTTATTATAATAGTTTAATCTAAATTGTATATTGAGTTGTCTTCCATTAATTTTTCACATCTTCCAAAATATAATAAAACCCCTCCGATTGCCAATGATGCCAGAAAGTTTATAATACTTATGATTATTAATATAATATAGCCATAGCTGGAACATATAGAGCTGTTTGAACAAATATTATCATCGTAAATAAATATGAGTGACATGTAGATATTCGGGATGGCTAGGACTTAATTGTAATAAAACAGGAATTGTTGAAGGATAATTGAGATTACATTTGAGGGATTTTATTTAAATATGAGAATGGCAAGCAATCCAACTGCTGAGCAATGCAAAATGAACATAAGTATAATTAAAAGGATAAGTTATGTGTTTGTTACAGAAGTAACTACAAAGCAATAATTAATGAGTGAAATCAAAGGACTTTTGCATAACGGAAATATTTTACCTAAAGTTTGAAATTGATTTAAAATGGGAATCATTTGCAATTGCTATTTCTTATGCTTTCTTAATAGAATATATTGCAAAGAACACCTAGAGTTTTGATATTCACTAATACATGAAGGATGTTAAAATTATATCTAGGATGAGTCAGAAGATGAAATTATTTAAGCAATTTTTCCATAAAAATTATAATCTGATAATATGTTTATAATTCATAAAGTTGAAATCTTACATAATTAATTGTGCAAATTATAATACAACATTTGATAGAAAAAGAAAATTTATAATTGAAGCCATAATTAATTCAAAAGCATTTCTGATTTTTTATCGGAGAACATATATAGGAAGATAATATTTTGAAGCCAAAACCTGATTTTTCAAAGTTCCCATTTTTGGGATTGTACTTCTCTGCAAGTTGACGTCCTCCTAATCGATATTTGACATGAATGTTAAAGAAATTACCATGCAGAAATTAAAAGGACACATAATTTTGAAATCATTTTGGTGAACCATGATGAAGATGAAAGAGAATTCAAATTATATTATTAAAAAATACCAGGGTAACATACTCTATGGTCTGAAATATGCCAATAAGTTAATGAAATAGAATTTGCAAACCTTAAACTATACTACATTTATGCATTTGTATTAGGAAAGGAATTTAGTAACACATGGAGGCAGAGATGATTTAGCTGATTGTGGAATGAAAGCTTGGAATCATAGAGGATACATAGATGTAGAAAGAAGGAATTATAGATAAAGTGATTAATTTTGATAATTAAATTGCTGATGCATATGAAATTAAAATATTAATTACTATTGTATAAATTTATAACACACTAAAATTAATATAACAAATTATGATGCGTATTAAGTTTAATATTTAAGTTATCTTATATTAAAATGTCGCAATCTCCCCATAAATGGCATCAAGAATCTATTGATTCTCAAAAATCGAAGATGGAGAAAACTGTTCCAATTTGCCCACTTCCGTAAGATGTTGCAACTCTCACCTTACCCAATGGCAAAACTGTTCAGCTACCAGTTTACAAAGGGACTAAAGGTCCTCCAATGATCGATATTACCTAGTTATATTCGAAGACAGGATATTTTACTTTGGATCCTGGATTCTCATCAACTGGAGCGTATAAAATATATAAGAATTGATTTAGATGCATGTCGACCATGACCTACATAGATGGAGATAAGGGAGAATTATTATATAGGGGTTATCCAATAGAGACTTTGGCCAAATACTCCTCTTACATAGAAGTGTGCTATTTATTCATATACGGACATCTACCATCTTAAAAGGAATTATAATTATTTGAAGAGACTATGGTGAGTGAGATGATGATAAATGAGAAACTGATTGAGTTTTACAAAGGGTTTGCATCTGATAGTCATCCAATGGCAATTATGGTGGGTGTAGTTGGTGCTTTGAGTGCTTTTATGCACAAGGATTTCGATGTCAATGACCCAAGGGATAGAGAATACATCGCCATCAAATTAGTAGCCAAAATGCCAACTCTGGCAGCCTACGCATACAGAACAGCTTTGGGATTACCTATTATATATCCAAATAAAAAGTACTCTTTCATTGAGAATTTCTTATATATGGTATCTATTTACAATAAACAACAAGATGTTCTCAACTCCAATGAATGACTTTAATGTTGATAAAGTGATTGTTAAAGCATTGGATACTATCTTTATGTTGCATGCAGATCATGAATAAAATGCATCCACTTCCACTGTCAGAATAGCTGGGTCTTCTTTGGCAAATCCATTTGCATGCATTGCTGCAGGAATTACAGCCTTATGGGGACCATATCACGGAGGTGCTAATGAAGCAGTGTTGAATATGCTCAAGGAAATTGGAAATAAGGAAAATATACCTAAATATCTTCAGAAGGCTAAATCTAAAGACAACTCTTTTAGATTGATGGGGTTCGGACATAGAGTTTATAAGAATTACGATCCTAGAGCAAAAGTTATGTAGGAAATGTGTTACAATGTCTTAGAAAAAACCAAGAGGGCCAATGATATTCTAGAGGTATTCATCTATTTAAATGATAGTTGGCAATTTAACTAGAATAAACAGCCTTGAAAGATGACTATTTCATTTAAAGGAAATTGTATCCAAATGTTGATTTCTATACAGGAATTGTCTATGAAGCCTTAAGCATCCCAACTTCAATGTTTACTGTGATGTTTGCAGTGTAAAGAAGTATTGGATGGATTTGTCAATGGATGGAGATGATGTCAGAAAAAGTTTAAAGAATTAGTAGACCAAGATAATTATATGTTGGGGAGGACCAGAGAGAATATATTCCTATTAAGGATAGAAAAGAAGAAGAAAAGAGTAGAGTCTGTAAGTTACCTATGCACAGCAGCTTATTTGGTCTTGTTAAAGTGTGATCAAATTTATATATGAGAACCATTTATAATATAATTATATTATTCTCTTAAAATAATAAAGAGAATCCATTACTCAACAACAGTTATCACTAGATTTTATTTATAAATAAGCCTTAATAAATATAATTAACATAAAAAATGATTCAATTTACAGGTTTTATCTATTATAATTAAATAGAAGCATACTCTAAAATGAAGTCCAATTAATGAAAATACAAAGCATTTCAAGTCTTGGATCAGATAAAAGAAAACTCTTAAGCCATCTGGATCCTAACTGCTTTACACATCATGAATTGATCCAAGTTTTGATGTAGTAAATGAAATGTGAGCATTCCCCAATTTGATTTCTAATTCTTGTCTTCCAATTTTATCTGGAGCTGGCCATTTTGAATCATTCTCTCTTCAATTATATTCAATTTATACTTAATGATTTCTGATTCTTCGATTATTCTCTTGAACTCTGAAATCACTGATTCTGAAACATAGCATTCCTTTCTGATTAAAACATCTGATTTATAGTTGGAATTATTCGCATATCTTAATCTTCCATCACTCCTAAACTCAAATTCAAGAAATTCATGTCCATACACACCTTTGTGTCCAACACTAATTATACATCTGATAAATTACTAATATCTGAGATAAAACTCATCATTTTAATTTGTTTGCATTTTTAATAATTTAATTAAATAGTGATTATTTAATAAACAAAATATTATTAGCTATAAAATCATATCAGAAAGCCATCAAATAACTCATATAAACAGTTTAATGATGCAATTTTTCACTCAATTTTGTCAATCATAATCTTCAGTAGTTCTTCAAGTTTTCTACAAATTTAATACTTTACCTCAAAAAAGATTCTAATATCAATTTAGAGTGTATTATTAATTGGGAATGAGACAAGAGATTTTTAAATCAATTTGGTTAAATACGAATATCTTTTACTCTTAAATTTTATGTTTATTCTATTTTTTCGCATTTTGGTTCCTATAAGAAAGTTTTGTTAAAATAATTTTTTAAAGATTCAATTATTAGGTTGGATTATATAATAGAAGATGTAATTGTAATATGTAGTCATTTAATATTTTAGGTAATAAAGTGGAGATGATAAAAAATAAATAAATTCCTATGAATATTTTGAACATTAATTATTTCAGATGTATTTTTTTATAGATATCATTCCTAGCCGATCTCTGCACCAAAAGAATCAATATCTTCATCTTAATCCACTTTCTATTAGACTTTTTCTTTTTTTGCAATTGATTTATTGGTTTTGGCTTGACTCTTGCCGTTGATTTGTTTGCCTGTTTATGTGCAATAGAGTTCATTTTCTTATGAGTAACGACTTCTGTCTTTTAAGGCTTGATCGTGATATGACTATGCATTAAAAAATAGTTCGAGTACCTACTAAATTTCTTTTGGTAAATCTTTCCATTCACTAGCAATTAATTTTGTGATTTCTTAAAATTGTAGATCTAGTATAGCATTAAAAAAGACTTGGATATTGTTATTGAAATTTCTCTCTTTTGTCTTAAAAATAAAAGATGAATGCTGATTTAGGCATCTTGGGAGCCAATGGATCTTTATGTTTTTTTTGTTTTTTTTGTTTTGTGACTTATTGCTTTGGTTATTCTTCTGGTTCTGGTGTTGGTGCTAAATAGGATTCAACCAAAGCTTTAAATCGTATTAGAAAATTTTCAAACTTGCTTTGTTCTTTTTTCTATTTATGATATTATCATAATTACATCTTACATCTCTGAATCAAGATTTTGGATTAATAATATATATAAATATTTAACATAATTCCTATCAGACCGAAACTATATAATAAAAACTTAAGTAATTCATTTGCAACACTCATTGAAAATAGGAATCAGACCACAAATCATTGAGGAAGATGCGACAATTTCTGTCAGTAAACCACCTCTCCTTCTCCAAACTGGATTTCATAATCTCAGTATCCATCATCTTCCTCAATCTCCAGTCTCTCTTCCTAGATTTATTTATTAAGGTCTAATTTTTGGGACTCTAATAAAATGTCCTCAAATGACATTCTTTGGGAATCGGTTTAAAAATAATTAACCCATTCTTCTTCTTCAAAACTTTTTTATCAGGAATAAGCGGCGGTTATTGGGAATTCTCAATTTAAGGCATATTAAATTGAAAAGTCTTAGTAATCGAAGTAATTTCAAAGAGATCGCATCCCACACCTTTGTCTTCAAATTTTTTATCAGCCTGTGAGTGATATCTGACTTGAGGAGATGTTGTTGTTGAGATTTTTCGATTTCTTATTTTGGCAGGTGTAGTTCCACCCAAAAGATAGGTTTCATGATTAGATGTCTCCATCCTCCTGGGAGTTCTCTTCTATAGTGTACATTACATGACAATTAGATCCATAGCGATGACCTATTTATAACAAATTAATATATTTATCATCAATATTATAATCAAAGAAGCGTCTTTCCGATTTCGAATACTTTTTTTAAACCACATAGATTGTCAGTTTTAACGAATTGACTTTCGATTTTGCGTTTTTATAAATAGGAATCACAAGTCTTTAATTACTTTGCCAAAGACATTCTTCTACTGACAAAATATCTGGAGATCATAATACAATAAGTTCTTACTTTTCTTATGGAATCAATTGTGCCTTGCTAGTATTTTAAGTATTCTAATTAGATTTGATTTAAATCATTCTGGAGGATGATTGAGTGCTGATGCTAACTGATCTTGCTAGGATGAGATGTAAATTTGAATATTTAGAGGGATTATAAATAGGTTTTTTGGTATTTGATTGTCTCATCAGTAAACTCAACTTAATTAAATTCTCATTCAAGTCTTGATCCATATTTATTTTGTGTAAAATATTTATTTAGTGTAAATGAATTATAAATCATTTTAAATTCTCTTTCTGTCCTTGCATCTTTTACATCAACAGATGCAAATTACTTATGCTTAACTACGATCGATTTGTTGATCTTGGTTATAGAATTCCTTCAGCTACCAAATTTTTAAGATCCATGCTATTATTCTTAATTAACGATGAATTTTTCTTTTTCGAGTTCTGAATAACTAATTTTTGTTATTTTATAAGCGTATTCTAACTGTTGTCACGAGAATGTCGAGGAGAACTGGCAATTGATATAAATTGAGGAGATTTGTCCCCAGCTAACAATTTGGCAAGTGGAGACCTTGCAGAATGCACTTGCTTTTGGATTTCTACATCCTTTTTGTCTTTGATTATAGAGGTCTCACTCAAACTTTGACATTGTTCAATTGCTGATTCTTCGTCAATTTGAGTGAGTTGTCTGGGTTCTGCTATGCTCTTTTCATCAAGTACAATTTATTTGTTGTATGCACTCCAAATGTCATCGATTATTACATTGACGATCATTTACAAATTGGCTTTAAAAATATTTGAATTCAATTTGTAATGTTCTGCTAATTTAAAATCCTTTAAGGGAATCTCTTTTTATATTGCCAATTTCAACAATTCCTATAATGTTAAGTTTAACTCACTTAGATAGTGTATGTGTGTTCCTATTGGAAAATCTCCTTGAATAAAGCGAATATTTTTTCCACGAAATTAGATGCCAATCTGTTGAAGATATTATCGATCTCCAAAAATTTCTGACTTTCCCTCTGTACCCTCAAGAAATCCAACTCTTACATAAATTTTAGATCGTTAAAAAAATATATTAATGACAACAATTATAAATATTTAAATTAATGCAATTCAATGAAGAACCCAGCATGCAAATAAGTAAATCGCAATAATTTAGCACATATAATATATATTCTAGGTCAGATTATAGGCAAATTTTAAGCTGGCAAACTCTAATTCCGATTATTTCGTTTCTGATTTGGCGAATGTTCAATTAGCACTGGCAATTGACTGATCCTTCTCTATTGCAAATAAGGAGTTTCCTCCTAAGAGAGTCTTCGATATCGTTATTTTAGTTATTGATAAATGGGCACTTCCTTCTAATATTCAAGTAGGATCTTGGCAATCACATTCCTATCAGAATAGTTATGTGCCTTCTTATGCTTCCCAGAATAGTTTATTGAATACTATTATTCTTTAATTAATATATAAATACTTAAAAGCAATTCCTATTCTGCCAGGTATTAGGAAATTCTAGTAGGGTTTGGAGAAGACTACTATGAACCAGCTCCTAGAGTTGTTTGTCTATTTCTGTTGATGGTCTCCTGGGTGTCACTATTTTAATGGGCCTCCGTTTTATATTTTTGATTGCTGTAATTAGCTTTGGGTAACATGTTTGCAATGGAAATTTAATTTTTAGGGAATATGATAGTATTTAGCAACTTGCTTTGATCTTCGATTGTTTGTGTTTTAAATCTATTAAAATATGGGAGTTCACTTAAGGCTTAGGATGTGGGTCTTAAGTGTGTTTGGACTTACAACATCATCCTTATGACATTTTGTAAATCTTAGGAATATTGGGAGGGAAGTCTTGGATAGAGACCTACATGTTATGTTGTCTGGAGAAATACCTTTGATTACTTTCTTGTACAGTCCTTCCATGTCTTCTGCTCTAAATGGAGGTTTGAGAGCAGCCATTTCGTAAGTTACACATCCCAACGACCAGATATCAGATTTCTGATCATAGGGCTGATCCTTCCACACCTCAGGACTTGCATAATAGGGTGTTCCTGTTTGTGTGTAAAGCAATCCCTTTTTGGCTACCTTTGAAACATTCATGTCTCCCAGTTTCACATCTCCATTTGATTACAAAAAAATATTTGCACTTTTTAAGTCTCTATGGAATATTTTTAAATCATGCAACGCTTTTAAACCACTAGCAATTTGAAAAGTAATTTTCATAATGTCATTTTCAGGCATAAATGTATTTGATTTGATACATTTCTAAATTTGCTAGAACAGGTCTCCATTATCAGCAAGTTCCATCACGATACTGTTGTATAATTATTAAATATCATTACCATAATGAATTGCTGTTGACATCAATGAAGGCTTCTTTGTAGCTGATTATAAAGGGGTGTTTAATAGAAGCCAATATTCTAACTTCGTTTAAAGCATTTTATTTCTCCTTATCACTCAAGTTTGTTAGGTTAACCTTTTTCAAGGCGTATTCTGCATTGTCCTCAATTCTTCTCACTTTATACACTGTTGAGTAGGCTCCCTCACCTATTATATAAGTAAACTAAACCTAATTTTGACATAATCTTGAAATCTTTAAGTGACATTTATAATTATTTAATATATATATTAATAATCATCATGCTTTCTTTCCACTCTTTCCTTTTTAAGCACTGCCTTTCTTATTTGAGTTCTTGACTGCACTCTTCTTTACTGATTTCTAAGTGCTTTTTTAAGTACTCTTTTGAGTAGATTTTTTTGCAGAATCCTTCTTTGCAGATGCAACTGGAGTCTTTGGTGCAGGTGCTGCAACATCAACCTTTGCAGGTGAAGCAGCTGGAACTTATTTTTTAATTTTTTTTGTAGCTGATCCACTTTCTAATAAATTTTATATCATTTGAATTTACTTTTTCCTGATTTGCTTTAACTTCTGCTCTTTCCTCCTTTTGCCATATTTATTATTTATTATCACTTTCAAATTGAATTCTGCTAAATATCAAATTTACAATTATAAATTAATTTAATTGGCTATTTCTTCAAAATAATGAATATTAAAATCAATCACATATTTTGATCCATTTCATTCAATAAATTCATATTTACAATTTGGATAATTTCCATTCCTAGTATTTTCCACTCAAGATTTTCAAAATTCACAGGATCTCCTCCTCCAAGAACTCCAAATCCAGCAATTTATTCCTCATCATTAAAAATTCTTGTGTATATATATTCCTAAAAATTACGTTTGAAATTTTCTGTATTTTTGTTCAATTCTATTTAATTGAAAGATCTCAATAATCCTTAGAAATAATAGTTGATTTTTAATTAAATTTATTCCTTATTATGGGCTCATAATGCTGTAATGGATAAACTAGATCTCTCAATAATGAGATAGTCAATGACAGTATCAAAAATAGTTCTTTGTTCAAACAATCGATTCATAGTCTCCCATTCACTAATCAAATGCAATGCAATAATGATGAAATTTTGGAGTTAAAGAAGGAAGATTACATGGGTCTTCCACTCATAAGTGAAAATGCAAGCCAAGTCGAAAAGGAGAAACAACAATTTGGTGTCTCCCAATTGACTGTGACTCAAGATCCCAAGTCAAACAATTATTTAGGGAATTCTTCAGATCAATAAATTCAAGAAGGTTGCCATTCAAATCCATCTCAATCTACTCCGATTAAGAGAAAGACAGTAACTTCCATAGGTACTGTCAAATTGGGAGCTGATGTTTTTGTCAGTTTAAAATAGGGTAGTATTGGTAAATTTTATTCAACTGGATCGACATTGGGAGCGGGAGCCTATGGAAAAGTATGGAAAGTAACACACAAAACCACAGGTATGACCTCAAACTCATTATTAAAATAGGGTTAATAAGAGCCATGAAGTAAATCAAGAAATCCTCATTAATACATGAAGAATAATAAAGGTTGTTCGCTGAAATGAATATCCTCAAAAATTTGGATCATCCTCATATCGTGAAACTGTATGAATTGTACCAGGATGCTTAGAATTACTACTTAATAACGGAGTACTTGAGTGGAGGAGAACTTTTTGAGAGAATCAAGGCTATGACCATATTTAATGAGAAGAAAGCTGCAGAGTACATGCGACAGATCCTCTCTGCTGTGATGTATTGTCATGAACAGAAGATTGTGCATAGAGATTTGAAACCTGAGAACATTTTATTCGTTAATGATTCCTCAACTTCGCCATTAAAAATTATTGATTTTGGAACTTCCAGAAAATACGACCCTTCTAAAAAGATGACTAAGAAACTTGGGACTGTAAGAATTTATTTGATAATGTCCTTTTAGCCATATTATATTGCTCCAGAAGTATTAAAGTAGGATTACAATGAAAAATGCGATATTTGGTCATGCGGAGTGATTCTGTACATTTTGTTGTGTGGATACCCTCCATTCACAGGGAAAACCGAGAAGGAAATTATGAAGAAGGTTGGGGAAGGGAAATTTGAATATGATGGTAATTTCCTCATTCTTATATTAAGTGCAGCTGATGATTGGGGTTAAATATCGAAGGAAGCCAAAAATCTCATTAATAGAATGTTGCATACCAATCCGAGTTATAGGATATCAGCCAAGTAGGCATTGAATGATCCCTGGATATTGAAGCATTGTTCATAGATGATCATCAACAACAATGTCAATTTGAGGGTTCTTCAAAATCTCCAAAAATTTTAAGTACTTTCAAAATTCTACATAGGCTAAATCAATCTTCTCTTAAGCTGTGTTATCGTATATAGCTTGTTAAATGACAAATCAATTCGAACAAGATGAATTGTTAAAAACATTCCAAAGTCTCGATAAAAATAATGATGGAATATTGTCAAAGGAGGAGTTGATCGAAGGATACAATATAATCTATTAAGATAAGGAGAAGGCAGAGTAAGAAGTTATTAAGATTCTTCAATTGATAGACTTGAATCAAAGTGGTTAAGTTGATTTTTCAGGTTTTAAATTCATCTACATTTAGAGTTTTTGATGGCAGCTATGAATTAGGAGAAACTAGTTTCCTTGTAGAAGGTCAAGGCTGCATTTAAAGTGTTCGATGCGAATGATGATGGCAAGATCTCTAAATAGGAATTAGAATTAATGATAGGGACTCTGGATCAAGAATTGTGGGAATAGATTCTTGAAGAATGCAATGCTCAAGAATTTATAACAGAAAAAGAATTTATTAATATCTTACTTAGTTAAAAAATTTGATATATTTATTAATGCATGTATTATCTTAAATCAGGAACTGTAATATAAATGATAATCCCTAATCGCAAAGTATTCTAAAATTAATAAATAAATTACCACTGCCATCTCCATTTTAAATAATAATTTAAAAGATTACTGTGCCTTTATTATGCGTGAATGACACATCCACAGTAACTATTTAATCCTTATAAGAAGTGTTGGAAGAACACAGGTTTTAGAGATTAGTATGATAGTCTACGCTTTAATCCCAAATAATGACTTTGTCAGCCAAGATTCTTAGGGATTTAGTGGGAACCCAGGCTTCCAAGAAGTAAACACTTAATTAAAGTCTCAAAATTGAGTGACTTTAGGTGAGGGACACACGCTTTTATATGAAAATATTTTTGTTTCCTATACTAATTCCTCCAGCAACACTTTTTGAATCACATGTAGTTACTGCAATTGGTGAATAAGTCAATAATTGCCAATTTTTTGGATCTGAAAATGTTGTAGTAAAAAAATTGGAATTAACTAATTTTTCCACTTATGTACAGGGAGTAGTAGAACAATCCTGGCTGATTGAGTAGATCTTGAATTAATTAAATCCATATCTATAGTTTCCAGAACTATATGGAGTTGATTCAAACTAAACTCTCACAAAATTAGCTGTGTGGTCAAATGTGTATTCGAAATATGAGTAATCTTCTAGATCATATTGCAAAGTAGTTGTGCAAGTACCAGAAGTAGATGGATCATTTTAACCTATCTATACAATTTCGTCATAATCTTCATCGATTTTCAAATTTATATTCTGTTGAGGACCAGAGGAGTAAACTTAGAATATAATCTTGATCTTTTCATGATCTTCCAACACGAAGTCTTTATATAAGAGATTGTATAAAGAGAGGTAATTCATATTAAGGAAATAAGAATCAGTCAAAAAGGATTTCGAGATTTACCCAGTAGCATCTGAAGGAACATAGCTTCCCCAAGATAATTGGCTTGCAAAAGAATTTAACGTTAAATCATTTTCTATTTCACTCTATGTTAGTTTGGTTCCTGTGATACAAGATGAACCTAATCCTGGAGAACATAAAGTACATGGTGACTCACATGCTAACATATATACATTAAACTCTCTGATTCCAATTGAATCTGTTGGTGATATAGTATCACTCACAAATGAAAACGTTAAATATTGATTAGTGTGATTGACTGTTATATCAACATCATAATATTGCTCTGGTTTTGTACTACTTCCACAAAGAGAAAGCGTCTAATATTTTTTTTGAGAATCGATCCAAATAACAGAGTTATCTAACTGTAATTAATACTGGGAATTTTGCAGTGCATCAAACTTCCAAAACTGAAACGTTATTCTCAGTTAATAATGAGGATCAAGAAAATACTGTCTAGTTAATGTAGTTCCTGTAGAGTATTTTCCAAAAGTTGATATCTCTGTCAAATATAATTGATTAGTTACAATCGCACACATTTTCACTTATCTACTGATTAGTAACTACCCAACCTTCGTTAGAATAGAAACTAAAGCTTGTAAAATAGCTCATCTTTAAAATATACGGTTTGCATTGAGAAGCATCAACGTCGAGGTAGGTACAAAAAGTGCATCCTACTGGACAGTTGTAAGTATAAATATAAATATCTCTGATTCCCCAGTATTTCTATTCTAATAAAGCTAAATACTTATAAAGAAGGAGCTTATAAAGTAGACGTGATTTCCAAAATTAATGACCTTTAGATATGAGAAACAATTATTTCCTAATATAAATATTGTCCAAAAGAATTTGCTAAATTTGAACTCACGGTCTATTCATCAATGATTTCTCCATTTATCTTTGTTTAAATCATTTCATTATCCCAAGCATTTATTCTAAATTATTACATAAAATACGCCCAAATCTTCAACTTTAATTTCACTGTGTGATGAGATGCTGATATTAAAATTAACTTATAGATAGAAACCCCAGCTCCAAAAAAATTATTCCCTCCAAAGATTGATGAGCCGTCTCTTGAATCATATCCTGGGCTCCCTCCAATCACACTCCAACCTAAATGATTATAAACCAGATTGGAAACCTTGATTTGATGAAAAAGTGTTTTCTGTAAAAGCCGAATAGGCTAATTACATTGAACCGATGCTAATTCGACAGATCATTAAAAAAAAAACCACGATCCACATCTAAAACGAAAAAATTATAAATTTAATATATAAAACCTTCATCTTAAAACAAAAATGTTTATTAGGTTTATGACTAATTATAACAAAAAATATAAAAACTGTAGGATTTATAGATAATAATTGATTTGTTAATGTATCTTATCTTTCAATTAAAAGACTTACAATAATATCTGTTTTATCCTGGATATTTGTTCATTATTATTCAAACCAGATTTGATAAATTTATTTTTCGAATTAAAGAATTTTCTCATTTATTGTAATAAAGTAAGTATGAAAATACAAAATTTAAGGAAATAAAGAAAAATTGAATAAATATATTATAAATTCTATTTTCTATTAATTTTTTATTGTCTCTTTAAATTTAAAAGTCTTACATCAATCTATTTATTTTTTATGTATTGATATCGAAGTTTTCTTGGTTTCAAATTAGCATTACGTATTAAATGTGAGATTACTTTTGAATTTTTGATTTACAACTTTTGTTAAATAAAAATTCTATGCTAATGACTAAGAAACAAATTTTGTTAATCATCTTTAATGAAGAGGAGCTATTTCCTCATTTAAGGATAATATAGCATTTTTAATGGTGAGAAACCTATCTTCAAATTGTAATTATACAATTGCAAATGTAAAAGCATCAACTTTATCATAAATAAATCATTTATGTATTAATAACTAAGTATGTTATTTGGAATATTAAGAAGAGCAAAATAAGACTGAATGCAATATGATTTTCCATTTTGTAAATTTGTTTATTCTCCCATCATGCATTTCTTAAGAATTAAAACATGCTGTTTTTATTTATGAATTAGTTTGTTTTTTGCTTCTTCTTCAGTATGATTATTATTGATTTCAGTTTCCTCTTATTATTGTAGTTATTGAATATTAATTATATTATATTATAATATAATATGGATTTAAAGGTTATCATTTAAAATTGTGTTTTGGTAACTTAAGGCAATTTTTTTATGGTTGTTTAAATCGATGAGTTGCAGTATACTTCAAAAGAAAAGAAGACCTAAAAGTTTAGAAGTGAGGTTCAATTTACAAATGCTCACCCCTAATTTAGTAAGAATGTTTTTCAATTCACCAACCTTTCATATGGGGATAGAGTCACTCTCAAAGTAGGTTGTTTCAACACCAGATTAACTTCTGAACCTCAGGAATAACGAAAGTTACTTGAGCATTCGATTCTTTTTGGAACTATGCAATTGGTCCTTACAGTGAAACTATTAGAAGTACTTCGGATTGAAGGCTAATTGTAACATGAATCTCTTCTATACGACCCAGAAGATCAAAGGAAGGAGAAAGGGAGAATTTCTATTTTACTTAGACATCAATCTCATGATCTTAAAGCATAAGTAGAAGATGATGTTGAGAGGATAGAAGAGATCTATTATGATCCATTTGAAAAAGATCAAGCTGTAATCAGGAGAAAATTGCAAAGAGTTGAATTAAAACTTACAAGTTTGAATTTGTCTATGGAACCTATACAAAAGAAACTCAATTTCATTCGAACTGCTCATAAGTAAATATCGTTTGATTTGGCAACTCTCAGATAATAGAAAGATCAAATCGAAGAGGAGAATAATTACTTCTAAAAAATTGTAAACCAGAAAAATGATGTTAAAGAATTGCACATTTAGATCGATTTATTATGTAATACCGATTACGGGTAAGACATTTTAAAGAAGAAACTAGTTTTGCTAATGAATAAATTAGAATTTGAACGTAGAATTTATCACGAATTGTCAAATCACTATTACTAAATAGAAAATGCTCACACAGAGGCAAAGACTAAAACTCAGGAGCTGCAAACACTTAAAGATACTATCCAAGAACAAGACTTTCTCATCAAAAGGTTGGAAGATCAAAGGCCTATTTTAACTAATTTGAAGGAAACTATGGAAAATTAAGAAAATATCATTCTAAGCTTATAGGACACAATCAAAGAAACCTCAAAGAATTTGACTAGGTTAGACAAACAATAATTATTTTACAATTTAGATAAGTTAAGGGCTGATCAACAATTACTTAAATAGAAATAAGTTTAGTTATAGCATATATCGGAGATGAATAAGGGAGAAATTCCACGATCTTTCTTTGAACAATTCAAAAATGATGAATTTTTTAGAGATAATCCCATTATTGTGAGTAAATTTCAAAAAAGAGCAGAGATGCTATTAAAGGAAATAGAATTATTGCAAGAAGGATTAGCAGAGACTAGATATGCGCCAATATAACAATCGCTTCGTCCAAAATCATAAGGCACTTCTGATAATGTAATCCTTTAATTGGAAATATAACAAGCAGAAAATAAGGCAGAAATATTAGAGGAGTAAATGTTAGCTGTGGCAAGAAATTACGCAAAATAAATTGCAGATCTAAAAGCATAATTAAATATAATTGAAGCATAATTACGATGAACTTATCAATTAAAACCATATTTTTACTACATTATAATTGATGCTGCTATTTCTAAATTACCATTTGTCTAATCTAATACAATAATAGCCTCAGCTCTTGAAGCTCCAATATTAATAATTGCTTGTATTGAAGATTCTGGATGTCTAGTATGAGTATTGGGTTGCTATTATTATTATTATTATTATTATTATTGTTATTATTATTATTATTATTATTATTATTCTGGTTAAGTTGAAATTTTAATAGGCTATTCTTCTTCTATTTAAGATTCGCTGTTTTGTCTTTTTAAGATTTCCTATTCTTATTATATACTTATCCTTCGATGAATCTAACCTTCTGGAAGAAATTGTACATTCAACTTTTCATTTGGAAATATTAAACAATTATCTTTTAAATTGATATTACACTAATTGTTTAAGTTGGAAAATTACTTAATATCTTTTAAGCATATCTAATCCAAACAAAAAATCAATGCCATCTCCATCCAAAATAGTTAAAGAACATGGTAAAAACTAATGTTTAGTCAAATAGATTACTTGATCTAATATTTACATTTCCACAACATGAATTCTTCCGATAATTTTTTATGTTCCAACTCCTTAAGCTATACCTTAAAAACGCGTGTCTACCAATCTCATAATTCCACATCTTTCTGCACATGCTTTTGACATTATTGTACTTTGTGCTCCACTATCAACAAAAGCCTAAACAGGATGACGATTAATTGACAATTCAATATATAACATAGTGACAGTTCCAAAACTTTCAGGAATGAATTCTTAAGCATATTCTCGATTCTCTTCAATATTTTTTTTGTTGATCATCTCCTCAATAAGTTTTTAATTTTCAGGGTTAAGGGGATCCTACTCCAATTGCTACATCTTTCGTATGTATTCTTACTATTCTTAGAATTTTTTTTATTTCTAAATGAAAGAGATTAATACTTATTATTAAATGTACTCTATGACACCTGCTAATTTTTTATTTTCAATTGATTCTGCCAATTTTGGATCCTTGCTTCTCATTCCCTCAATCAAATGAGGATTTTATTGGCAATGCTTGATCAATTTGATGGCTTCTTATTCCAAAGGGGTTCTTTATTATTTTTATTTCCTTTCAATAAGAACCAAATCATCGTTCTGCATATTATACTTTGAGAGAGTATCATTATCAATCATGACTTTTCCTCCGTAAATCAATAATTATCTGGCTACTGCTATTTAGAACTTAGAATAGCCTAAAATATACTTCAACTTCTATTAATGCCTTCAAATCCAATACAGTGAGCGTTTATTCTACTTCCAAGATAGAAATTTTATCTTTCACAGGGTCTGTGACTTATATTCTAAAAGACATTTCTAATTTATTTTATTAATTATTTATATATTATATCAACAAAATAATACAGACCTCTATCAATAATTACACTATAAAAAAAAGAAGAAGAAAATTTTACCTTATAAGAAATTCCTATATGAAATTCTGTCTAGCCACAATTAAAATTTATTAATCCCAATATAAAGCGTGCGCATAATTCATATAACACCATTAAGTGATAGATAACCATTATGATGAAGGAATTATTGTTCAAATTTCAAAAATAATTTCAGATTCAAATGAATTTTAAATTAAAGTAATATAGAATTAAAATGATATTATACAATCAATGACGTGTTGCCATTAAAATATACTAAGAGGCATAGTGTGTGTATCAATATGTGAATATTTGAACAAACATGTTGAAATAATAATACAACTCCAATAAATAATAAATGTAAATATAAAGTTGAGTAGTTATATTAATAGTGTGGATTATGATATATTTTAAATCGTTTTTAAATTCTTATTTTTATCACTTAAAAAAATAAAACCATGAATAAACAATTTAAGGTAGCCTTGATAGGTGATTCCAGGAGTGGGAAGTCATCACTGGTGAGAAGTTTAAAGGGAGAAGAGTTTTTATACGAAACACAAGAAACTGTCGGAATTGATTTTTATCAAAGAATGTTAGATTTCAAAAATATCAACTATACATTTAAACTTTATGATTCTAGTGGATGTGAAGCTTACAGATTAGTTTTAAATAGAGTTTTGAGTCAAATTGATGCAGCAATCATTTGCTTCGATGCATCATAAGACAAGTACTAAGAACAAATAACGAGTTGGTGTCATTTAATAGAGAATGAATTAAGAACAATACCAACTTTTCTAGTAGGGAATAAAATTGACATACAAAATTTTAGTTAAATTTCGGATATATCTTCAAAATATCCAGTTTTCTTTGTATCAGCTAAGACAGGAGAAAACGTGTAGAAATGTTTTAATAAAATATTTCTCTCATTGACACCTCAGAAGCACACTATGATTTAAAAAAGCCTGAGAATAAAAAGAGCACTTGGGGATTACTTTGTTCTTGTTGCAAATCAGAATGAGAAGATGATTCTAGAATATTTATTGTTTATTGTTTATTATTGTATGCATGAATAATAATTATGAATTTATTTCGAATATGACCTATCCTTAAGCTGTTGAAAACAAAAATTCTTTTTATAGAGTAAATAAGGAATTATTGAGAAGCAGAATTTGACTGAAAATAATGTTTACTTTTGATTTTAGTTATGGATCAATAATATATTTTAATTCAATTATTTTTACAATCAGAAATTATACATATAATTAAAATAGATGAGTTCAAGAAATGGATCTAAAGAAAGACAAACAAAAGAGATTGGAAAATCTTTATTTGGGGAGCATTCCAAAAACTTACCACCCTTTTTTGCTGAAAATATATTATTTTTAGAAATGGAAGTTGAATGCAATAATGTTACTATTGAAGTTGTGAATCAATTATTGGAATTATACAGAGTATTATAACATCATATAAAGTAGATTGGTGTAGAATACTTTGAATCAATTAAAAGCAATAAGTTTTTGATTTTTAAGAATAAGACTTAGCAATTATTAATGAAAGGAACAGTTAATTAGTGCATGAATGTTGCTTATGAAGAACTGAAACATGAAACAGCACTCAAAAGAACATCACATCCTGAAAATCCAGAGAAAATCCCTCCCTTACCTCCATCGACAAAATTAGTGATTGCATAGAAATCTCAGAAATAATAGGAAGTAGAAAACCAACTCAAATATATAAAAGATCAAGATCAAAAATTGCAAGTTAATCAATTATTGGAATATCACGGATATGAGTCTTAACGTGTCACAAGAATACATAACAAGTAATTAATTTTATTATCTTAGAGCTCTGTAAGAATAGGAAGATTAAGTGTAGCAACGCTTGTAAAAAAGGAGAATGAAATCTGTTAAACTAAAAGGATAAATGGAATGAAACAATTTCAATACTAATTGATTTTCTATCTGTAATATTATTATTATTATTATTATTATTATGTCTATTTTATTTACAACAGAAGAATTGAAATAAATTGAACCTCATCCCTATGAATACGTATAAACAAAAACAAAATATCTAGAACAAATGAGCTCCTTTAATTACACTAAAACTACTTAGCTCCCTTTTATTTCAGTAGCAAAAGCTTAACATCGACAATTATTGGATAAAGTCAAATATTATTAATTTGAAGAAAAGAAATAATTGCCCACATATCAATTCAATACAATTTTTGACGAAAAATCTCAACCTCCTATTAATACTGAAGATGCCAGATAGCAATATTATCGAGAATTTATACTCTAACCCAAGGAGGAAGAGATATCAAAGAAAGAAAAAGAGAAGAATCGATATTTACATATATGTGGAGTCATAAACGCATAGAATCAAATAGATAAAAAGGAATACAAAAATCATATAAAAGAATTGAAGTAATTGCAAAGAGAAGTTGAGTAAATTCAACAATAAACTAAGAAACCATATTATCCAACAAAGGAGATGTGTCGTAATACTAATCTGATCAGTAAATTGGCAACTCCTATGTTGAATATGTACAATGTGTATTTTAAAGGAAATATTTGATGCATTAATTGATGACATTCTCCTAGAAGAAGTAATGAAAAGTTATATATTTTAGGTGCAATATTTGAATGAATAGTAGAATAAAACTATGACTGAGAATGAGCAACCCGAAATCCCAGAGTTTGATAATGAGGAGGTTTAGGAGTAGCTCAATGTTGATGTTAAAGATCTCTTATTAGAACTTGGCAATATTATGGATGAGTACTGATTAATTAATAATTATATTATAACCGTTAAAACAAAATGAATTAACTTGCCAATTACATGCAATGCTAGACTAAAAGAGTCGTCTCTGTTTATTAGCAACAATGTTATTGTAGATCTCCTCAAGGAAGAAAATGTGCAGTTGTTAATCAACAATTCAGTCCAAATGAATAGAAATATATGAAATAGTTCAAGTGCATTGATCAATAGAAATACTAATAACCTAAAGCAATTATATATCTACAAAAAGGAATGTCCCCAACCAACAAATAGCCACTCATAGCTACAAAATTAAAGGTTTAAGATAAAGAAAATAATAATAATAACCATTATTATAATGCAAATATTATCTTCCAACCATGCAAAACTCCCAGGGATACTTTGAAATAATAGTTATTTTCACAATAGAATTCACCGAATATCAAATAACCAACTCCTTAATTTGAAAACCGTTATAATTAAGATTACAAAAACCAAGAATCCCGATTATCAAAATCATAAATCAAATTTAGATTTGTAGATTCTGAAAAGCAGACATCTGATGAATAACAACTTAAAATTATAGCAAATTAATTAAATAAAATTTAAATTGGTCCAAAGGTACCAGACATGTCTCCAAATTCAATTAAATCTGATGAATTCTTAGTACAAATGGACTCAGTAAAGAAATCTGATTATTCTAATAAATCCCAAACAAAGAATGTTTGTATCTAAGCCTTTGAAAGCACTTAATTTGAGAAACATGATGAATAATTAAGTAAAATTTTTGGATCTTTGAAGAAGCTTAAGATCATAAAAAAGAAACAAACTCAGCCTACTCTTTAAACCTAGGTCACTCAAAGAACAATGGAAGAAGATAGCATGATGAAATTGGATTCATAATAGGATCAATATTCAAAACCAATAAGTGGATTATCAGAAATAGAAATTTAATATGAAAAGTTTCAAACAGAATTAACTAATCTGGTATTATATTTTTATGATAAAGGATTCAAATAGAATTAAAAACCATTAAGTTGAGGAACATGACTAATTTATGAATTTTCGATAAAATATTGCAACCCCAAAATAATTAACATAAAATAATATTAGTAGTTTTATTATAAATAAATGTAGGTTTCTTGATGTATAAATAGTAATTTGAGAAAAAGTAATGAAATTTTTGTTTATATTTAGTTATTATCTAAGAACTTCAAATTTAATTTACATATACTTAATAACAAATGTCATTCAATTGAAAAATCTTTGCTATTATTTTATTCTTTCCTTAATGTAGTGTGAGTTGGGAAGGTCAAATCTAACTTTGCGTTTTTCTTGTTGTTAAGTTCGAAAAGAATCATTATTCTTTTGTTGTTATTTTAAAACACTTCTAGGAGTGACACTTTTTTAGTCATCTGACAAATCAGCTGTGTGTGATCTATTTTTTAATTACTAATCTGTGAGCACAGACAAGGATTATTTATTCAGATTCGGTTCCATACTTACTTAAGTTACAGGATGTGACAATTTAGATGGAGAACTTTCTCTAGAAATGGATGGTTATTGAATCAAGAATGGAGCTGATGATGTCGCAATGTTGGACAATTCAGCACCAGTTGTTGTAGGTGTTTTCATGGTTATTGTTGGGTCGTTAATGGATTAAATTTGATCTAATGTTTATTTATTTTCTATAGTATTATGTTTAAGTGTTTGAAATTAAGGGGAATCCATTTTGATTTCCTTCTAACTAAATGGTTAATCAATTGTTTCTTGAAATTTGAAGACAACGCTTTCTTAGCTAAAGTAGGTCAAGCTTCGATTAAATTTTATATTTCTAATTTTAGGTTTTCTTATTTTCCGTATTTGGCTACTTTCAGTTGGAATGTTACATTCTTCAGAGATCAAATACCTTTCAGTTGAGTTAGGTGATCGATTTGATGCTTTTCGATTAGTAGAGAATTTAGTTTTATTAAGCGAGTCACTCGAATTGGACTGTGCTGGAGATCCTGTTTTGCTTTTGCTATTTGAGAATCTATTTGATCTTTTCTACATACTTAAAACTATTTTACCATCTGATCTTAACTTATCCTCCTTCGGATTTCCCTTGCTTGTTCCTCAAGTAAAATAGTATTTTGACTTCCACATTGGCATGCCAACCTATTCTACTAGCATACGCACCTGCAATTTTTTAACTAACAAGTACCCATTTTAATTGATATAATTATTACATTAATAATCAATTTTTGTAAATTTCCTCTAACATTTTGATAGTCTTGATGCAATCAGATTTTTCCTATTTTCCTGGTTTCACACACATAATTAGTATTCCCTTGTCTTTCGTTTCTCTCTTGAATCCCTCCAAGCCTCTGCAAGCTATCATGTGTTGTCCCCCTTAAGCAATTAATTAATAATGCTTAAGTCCTGCTAGTATACTTTTAATAGTTTATTTTATATCATCACTCAATTGCAGATTGATGGTCTTCTCTCCTGATTCTGTTTACAATTATAGTTTGAATTGTTTTGGCATTATCCGTTTGATTAGTTCTTAGAATAACTGCTTCTTGCCACTCTGTTTTTATCCTACGATCATTATTTGTTATGATTGGGGAATGTCATTTGAATTGCCCAAAGCTGCCTATTTTAAGTAGTAATATCTCAATGAATGAATTGTACCATCTTCATTCATTTTCCTCACTTCAATTTTATGTGGAGTCATCAGTTTAAAGTGATCATTCAATCTATTTGCTACTGGGAAATACAAATATGGCTGTTATTAAATGATCTCATGGAGTGATTATGTAGGTATTCTCTCGACAGTTGGTTTTGCTTCATAATGACAGATGAAGGTTCTTAGGTTATTCAGATATTCTCTCGCTGCTTTGGGTGACATAGCCTACCTGAGTGTAGGAGATTGATATTTAGAAATAGTGGATTGATCCTAGTCTCTATTTTATTTGTTAAGAGGTGTTTTTGTTACTACCTCTCCGAAATGACTCTATTTTATAAGTGAACTTTAGCTGTTACTATAATACATATTATTTTTAAAGTAATTATTTATAACATGTAATTGCAATTTTGATCATTCGAAATATTGTATCAATACAAAGATTACATTTATGAGTCATTGTTTTCCAACAACATTTAATTATTAGGTGAGGTTTTCAATTATTAAAACTTTAATGAATTGGTTTATGTAAGAATTAAAAAATAGTATTTTGATTTTTGGACTTATATAATTGCTCCGGGATTTATAATTTAACAGAAAAAAAAATAAATTTATGAATAATTCAAGATCAACAGTCAAAAAAGGAACAAATAATCTTCCAATTTAAACTGGAGACTTGGAAGAATATATGTAATGATTGGATAAACTATATTATTAGATAAATATTATATGATCATTAAAAGAGCTGTGAGAAGGCAGGGAAATATTTGGAAGCAGATTAAGCAAAAAAAAGATTGGGGGAATTAAAAAAAGATTTGGATTAAAAAAATAAGTTTGAGGTCAAGGATAGACATACCAATGAAAAATCAGAAATTGAGAAGGCTCATCTTGAAGAATTTAATCAATTTAACGAATTCTGGGATCAGAAAATGGCTGAATTTGATTAGGAGGCATAGAGAGTGAAAGAATAGGTTCTTTAAAGACAAGATGAAGAGTTGAGTCAATTCACAGATGAATTAGAAAACTCAATTCCTGTTAAACCAAAGGATTCAGCAGAACTACTTAGTTTAAGAAAGACTGAGGAATCTTTGGCAAGATAAGAAAAGTATAAATATATTATATTAATTTAGTTACCAAGAGGCTCATGTCACTTAATAAAGGATTTTATCAATGGAGAGAGATGAATATGAAAGATGGAATTAATAAAGATCATGTAAGATCAAAAATCTGATTCTTCAACTTAAACAAAAACAAAGCAATGAACTTAGTGCTTTACAGTAAAGAATTCTTTCCGGATAAGAAGAACAACGAAAGATTAGATCATAGGAATTGGAGAAGTATAATTTATAATTTAAGAATAGATTATTATAAAAGTATTAGAATGTGAGAAAGGAATTGAGCAGTTAATAGAATTAAGAAATCACAAGACTTGATAAGACTATGAAAACTTAATCAATTATGTAGTAATCAAGAATGAACTCATCCAAAATGTAGGGTTCTGCAATGAGAAAAGGGGATGAAGAAAATTACTATATTAAATGATATTATAAAATACTTTATTATTATGAAAATAAATTTATTCAATCCCAAGACTAAGCATTCTTAATTTAGTAGATCAACCAGGGCGACTTCAATGTTATCACTCAAGAAAGTGGATGAATCAACTGTAGGAACTGTTGGGAACTGGGCATAGACAACTCTGCCTTAAGTTAAAAAAAAAAGAAAATAAAGTGTAATCAATTTATCAAGAAGATTATAATTTTCTGAGGGATCACGAAAAATTCTTTAAAATCAATGATGATGACAACTCTCCATATGGCAATAGGAAATAATAATCTTTGAAAATTTTGTCTCAAGTTGATTTAAATGACATGAATGATGTAGAAGAAAGATTTACTTTTGTTCTGAAGTATTGATTTATTATGTCAATCTAAGATATCTAAGACAATCTAAAATAGGCAATCTGTACAATGTCGCCGTCTTTACTTATGCCTACATTTTGGAAAAGCAGTTTCAATACGACAAAGCAATCTTAATTTGGTAAAAATACTTAGTCTTTTGCAATTCAAATCGAGTCTATCGTTACAAAATTATTGCTTATAAACATCTGGTAGAGCTCTCTCTTTTGATTCAAGATTTCAGGAAAGCCTTAAATTATTCTAAAAAACTCATCAAATACACATTATTTTTTAATGAGTCCAATTACGAATTAAATGCCTATGATTAAATAGGAAAGATATTCTATTACACCAAAGAATAGCAATTAGCAAAGGCTTTCCATGAGAAATTCATGGATGGTGAACCTATGCCAACTTAAAATAAAATTCGATAAGCTGTTGTCAGGATGATAGAATATAACATTCGATAAAAGTAATCTATAGGTTAAATTGACACTGACAGTGAAGATGATTTCGAATTAGATAAACTAGCTGAACCTAAAAATTTAGAGTTTCATCCTATTAGATTTAAAGATGCACTGCTTAAGTACAAACACTTATGGGGACATGTGTAAAAATAAGTGAACCCTTAGGACCTCTAAATGTATTGACTTTTGATAAACGACTATTCTAAAGAGAATACTTTACTTAGTTAAGTAATAACAATAGTATCAAGAGTTTCATACTAAATAGCAATATCTCTATAAAAAAGAATAACCTATAAAAAGTTATTGACAAATTAATAAATGATATCTAAACTTTTTGATTAATTAAAATCATTATATTTATTAAAATATAGAATTTTCAATTATACATTTAATCAAGTGATTATAAATAATAACATCTTTATAAATGTGATTTTTGAACACATTAATAAAAATAATTGTGATTCAAAATGATATGAAATCAAATTTGTAACACATTCTCAAAATATAGTCTTGGCAAAAATAAGATAATGATTAGTTGGTTACAGTATTATAAAACATAGAAATTTAAAACCAAAGGAAAATTTGGTTAGTTTACCACAAATTTAATCATAGAGATATCACACTTTCTAGTAAAAATCTAGTAATTTAAATAAAAATATTTTACATATGGTAAATTCATTAATTTTTATGGCTTTGGAGAATAAAACTCTGCATCAAAATTTATTATGTAATATTTAGAATTTAATAAATTATGGTATAAAAGGTACAATAAACTTATTTCTAATATTATTAATATTTTATTTTCAAGATAAGTTCTTCTACATAAATTTGATTAATTGTAATTTTTATAAATTAAAAATGTGTTCTAGATGGCTTAAATAAAAATAATCTTAATTCTGAAGCACCATTCAAATCTAAAATTTATTTTCCATTATTATTTATATTATGAATCAAAAGGAAAGAGAAAGAAGAAGTTCGTCACTCAAAAAAAATGGTTTTTATGGCAACAGAGATTACGCGATGTAAACTGTGTAAAAGAGGATTTAATACAATATCAATCGAAAATAGAAAAAGAAAAATAAATAGAAGGAGCAGCAAGGCAAAGGTCAATCCATGTCTTAATTTACTTAAGAAGAGGATAATCGAGTCCTTAAATTGGTCCAGGAGTTAGGACCCAAATTCATGAAAATAGCTCCATTCTTCCCTAACAAATCATATAGCATGGTAAAAAATAGGTATTACAAACACTTGAGAGACAAATAATAAGACATATGCAAAATGTATTTTAAGATGTATATCTTAGGAGTTGTGATACAAAAATTGAATAAGAAACTATGTCTTACAAACCTAATGAGAAACTTGATGAGTTAAATAAGCTAATTCTTTCTATAAATCTATCTCCAGAACTCACTTCATTAACCTAAACCTTCCTTTAGCACATTCAGAACTGTCTAACTTGAATCTATGAACATATATTATTCAAATATCTATCCAATTTATTACTGATTGTATTATATAAAATTGCTAAATAAACTCTTTTTGGATTAATTACATTATTTTAATTAAAATAAAACAAGTAATAAATTGCAATATCATTTAATAATAATGGTATTGGATGATTGATATCTTCGTCTATGCTTTCTGAAATGGAAGGTGATTCAGAAATTCTGGAGATATCCAATTTCTCTTTTAATCTTTGTAAGACATAAGAATTAGAGTTTGCTTACTCAATATTTGAATAATTCAATCAATAAATTTTCTTATCATTTTGAAGTAAGTTATATTATGATAAGATTTCAAGTACGAATTATTTTATGACAATTTATGATATTTAATTTATGTGTTTAATAAAATTCAATATTATTAATTTTTATATTGTTATTTTCTAATTTCTAATGCAATTTAATAATTGGATTAGTTATAATGTTCAATAAGAGGCATTATGCATTCTTAAATGATCTATTTGAGGAATATAAATACTTATGTTTTTTATCACATCGATGATCGTAATTACCTTTGTACATTACTTACTATTGATTTAAAATATTATTAACTAACAAAACTATTGTAATTTGATTACAGTTTTATAGAAAAGGAAGAAAAACTTATAAAATATTAAAAAATAGATTGAAATGTAGTTTATAAATTTTGTGACATTTTAATAGTTATTTTATTATTAATCAAAATAAATTATTATATCCAACAGCAACACTAAATTATTCTCCAATGCTAGACTTTGGATTGTACTTTGTAAAAAATTCTTATTTCAATTGTTCCGTCTTCATTTCTTCCCTAGTTAGTGTATGTCTCTTTTATTATTCTGCAACTGATCTTTTATCTTTCTTTTCCTACCTACTCTATATTCTTTATTAAGCTGTTTATTTACGCTTCTTTGGTTATTCTACCTTTAAGATCTAAATTCCTTTCTTTTCTTATTCCAATCTGTAGGCCCTTGCACGAATATGTTCAGCTTCAGATAATGTTTCTTTGACCAAAACTCTCCTGATCGTTCCTTTCAATTAGTCAACATTAGTAGTCTTCCATTTATTTTTTAATTAATTCAGATCATAGAACTTTTCTATCTTCCTTTCAGCTTCCTTCTATTTCTCTCTCTTAGAATGGGCTCTAATTTCAGTTAATTTATCCGAATAACATGAAGCAGTGTCATCCTAAGAAGATCTTGACATTTCTCTTATAGTTTTTTCATCAAAGTGAAAGTTATCTCCATGTTCTAACTTATGTTATTAAAATTCATCTGTTTTCTTTGACACAAATAACCTAATTGATTGCAAATATTAATTGATTTCTTAAATGTTTCTATTGGGAAGTCCCTTCAAAAAATCCTCGGTTATGTGTTGTTTTTATTTTATTAGTTCTTCCAATCTAAAGAATTCCTTTTCTCCTCCTGCATCCAGAATATGTTAGATTGCATCTCTCATTTCATGAAATAACTTCTTTATTCCAGTTTTCTATATTAATAAAAGGAATCAGTACCCATCTCAAAATATCCTCATTCTTTGACTGCTTAAAAGTGCCTAGTGTTTTTCTAATCCTTTGAGTCACTTGTTTACGGTTCTTCATTAATCTCTAAGTCTTAATTAGATCTTCTGCAACCAATTACTTGCAGATGTCCTTTGCTAATGTGTAAGCTTCCTTTGCTCCAGCCAAGTATTTACTTCTGATTGAATCAATGTACCTGAAGTAAAACTCTTCATTGTTGTATGATTTCTCTTCCAAGTAAAAATCCTTTATGAAATTCAAATCTTCATCCTTAAACAATGGAACAATCGCTTACTCCTAATTCGTATATCAAATGTTTCTCCCATGCAACGGTTTCTGTATTCCCTGTGTAACGATCATATTTTCTTAAAGTCACATTTGTTATGTCCATTTTCTTAACGGGTGAAATTGGCAATGCCACTGATAGAGAGTGTCCGTATCTATCTCTTCCCATAGTGGGTTTTATCGTATTGCTATTGCTTTGAATGGATTGCATGAAAAATAAAATTTATTAATTTTAGAAGAGAACTGATTAATTATGTAATGTTATTTTATATTTAAGTATATAAAACCCTTACATATATTAATTTTAATTAAATACAACCCTTATCATGAACATTCAAAATTCACCTTAAGGATAATAAACAATTCAGGGCTTCATTAATCAAGTTCCCTTTGGCATCAAATTATTGACTATAATAACTCTAATTGTCTTTTTCATTAATGCTTTGTTTGATGGGTTCTTTACAAATTACTTTATTGATACTCCAATCAAAGTTTTTCAAAACTTTCAATTATGGAGATTGTTCTTTACTCAATTTATAGAAAGTAATACAATAATATATCACTCATAGATTTATTTGGAGCGATCCTAATGCCTATATTCATTTGTATGAGTCTTTCAGATCTAGAAAAAACTCTTGGCACAGTTGTATTCATACTTGATTTCTTTTTTAAAAGTTTCATGATTCAAGTACTTCTTCTCTCTAATTAGGTCATTTACTTAATCTTGTCCTTGATCATATAGAACAATAACTTACCTTCAAGAGGATTGTGGAATGTGTATTTGGTTTACCTTAGTTTACAGTAACAATCATCATTATTACCCTAGATGCTTTGCTAACCCAAACTAATTGCGAAGTTTTTTCTTCTTTCCTTGTGTCCTCCCTGCAAAAATCATCCCATTCCTTCTTGTACTAATGGGAGTCTTCATGAGTCAAAGCTTTGATCCTATCGCTGCTCTTATATTAGCATATATTGAGGCTAATTACTTCAATTTTATGATCTTTAGGCCCAGTCAAGTAGATTATAGTCATTTAAATTAATTAGCAATTGATTCAAAAGTTGGAAAATGGTTTTCTATTTCGAAATGTCAAATCCAGATCAGATTTCTTTGTTATGACATAAAATCTATAAGGCAGACCTTAAAATCAAGCAGACTTGCCAGTCCAACATGTGGAAGAATACCAAGAGAAAGGAATATAAATTGGATCCAGCCTTGGTTTTGATAATATTGAAACCAATAATAAGTAAACATTCCAATAATTTAGTAATTAATCTTAATAAGACAATTCAAAATGAAGCCTATGATAAATAGTTCTTATATTTAAAATATCGATATATATATTAATAGTTAATTAAATATTCCTCAAATTCTCATCTTTCTTGACTGTTGCTACTACTCATCCCTACTTAAATTATTTTATAATTTCTGATTACATTGCTGATTTACTTATTTAAAAAAAATACCCATAATCCAATAATATCATCATATAATTTACCATTCCATTTATAGCAATTCATTTTAGATATCATCATATCATCAGAAAATTTTATTAAATTAGACTTCCAAATTTCAAATTTTATTTCCATAATCTCTTTTTATTTCAACCTATCCCACCATGAGATATAAGCAATATTATTATTAAGTATTTTGATAATCTGAGGAAAACTTAGAATCTTTATCTTATAAAATTTAATAAAATCATATTCAATTGATTTTTATGATAAAAATTTACTAAATTTAATTCATCTTTCCGTACATATTTATTTAATGTCTGTTGTAAATCATCCCAAAGATTCTCAAAATCTACTTAGATTATACCAAAAAGCAAATGAAGAGTAAGAATAAAAAAGGAATATTTCTTACTTGCGGCACAAATGTCTCATTTTATTATCGAAATTTGTAACCTATTTAGTAAGATCTTTTTTGTATTTACGAGATGGACAGTTTGAGTTCATAATGAGGAAATTAAACTGTGGCAATCTCATATATATGCAAAGATTAGAAATTAATAATAGTTATTTTGGCAAACATTCTTTTTCATTTATTATGGGTTATTAAAATAAATAAATTTATTCTAAATTTCTATAATTGCATTTTAGTTGAACGTACTAAACTATTTAAATTAGAATTAGAGTAAGGTAGAAATGAATACTGATTGATATAGATTAGGTTTAATAATTTTCGATATAAATATAAATAAAAAATATATTGCAATTTAAATAAATAATGCATTCATATTAACAGCAAGAACTTATTGAATTACTGTAAAACCATTCTAATATAGCTATTGATCGCCAATTGATAAGTTAATTGTATAATAAATGTTTGCAAGATGTAAACAGCTGAATTAGTATTTTAGCATAAACAATGCACACTTCCTTAGTTTGAGAAGGTGTACAAGGAGGCAATTTAATTGTTGAGCCAAAAAATAGCGAATTCAAAATAGCAACTACAAGAGGAGCAGGATAATTTAGTATCAATTGATGAAAGGTTGAAAACAACTCCGGCATTAAATAGTAATAATCACAGAATTCCAATGAGACTAACACTGCATTCAGCATCAGTATTGAATCTGCAATTGCACAACAAATTTATGGTTGGATCTTTTGCATTTTACATGAAGATAGAAGATTACTATGAATACGAGAGTGATTTCAAACCAAGTTACAATTTGTAATTCTAGATTGATCAAACTATTGATATTTTGGATGTTGGTGACAGCATCCTATTGGCTTTGAATACAAATACCTAAAATTAGATGAACACTACCATAGTGATACCGACATACTCCTTGCAGTTTAATAAAAATGTTACTGAACTACTGACTTAAAAAGAGAATGGGGAGTTGTTAGAAATTGAAATTACATATGAAATTAAAGTCTTAGATTAGAAGTTATTGAATCTCCAATTAAATTAGGCTAGAAATCTAGTAATATCATATATCAAGAAATTCAAAGATGAATTAGAAGATTATTAATTGTAATTGCAAGACTTGAGATAGGTCAAGATTCCTTATAATAATGAGATTTCAAATGAATTAAATGACGGATAATAAAATCACAGTAGACAAGAGCCATCGCAAAACACGTATACAATTGGAGTTCCAGATTATTATCACAAACCTTTGGAATTGTAAAGTTAGGATTGCTAATTAAATCCTTAACCTCAGGAAAGATAATCAAGTATCATACCTTACTTAATTGGACTCATTTTAGCTTCATTTAGCAATTTATTTATTAATGCGTTGTTTGAATTATCTTTTGTAATGATTGTTTTGATCGTGGTTTTAAAAGAGGATAAAACAACTACATTTACAAAAGCAATGATCCTATTATCATGGATAATGTTTGGATTGAATTTATGGTTGCACCAATCATAGATATTAATCAACATAACAAGTATATAAATAGGGTGGTTAGGATTATGTATGTTATAATTATATAAAATTTATTTAATTTTTTTATGATAAAATAAATAATAACTACACCTTTGTTTTATGTGAATGCCTAGCCACACATAGGTCATCTCTATTCAATGATTTATGCAGATGCCATCGCTAAGTATAAATCTGTAAAATTGCTGACAGGAACTGATGAGCATGGATTGAAAGTCTACAGAAGTGCCAAGCATCAACCACTCTAATAATATTGTGATTCCATTTCCAACCAATTCAAACAATTGGCTAATTCATTTATTAAGTATGATCAATTCATCAGAACCACTGATCCTTAGCATATCGTGAAAGTGTAGAAGAATTGGAATCTGCTCTAAAATAATGGATTTATTATTAAGGACACCTATAAAGGATATTATTGCTAAGTTGAGGAATCATTCGTGAATCATAAAACTGATCAATATTTGGAAGAAGATAATTATTTTTTCAAATTTGACAAAGATTACCTTGAGACTTGCATTAAAAATGCACCATCCAGATATCAAAATGAATTAAAGCAGCTCATAATTAATAGTATTTGTATCAGTAGACCTAAATAGAGGTATTATTGGGGAATTGAGGTTCCTAATGATAATAATTAACTGATTTATGTTTGGTTGGATGCTTTATTAGGTTATTTGTAAGAAGAGTAACATCATTATATGCACGTGATAGGCAAAGATATAGTGAGATTTCATGCATTATATTGGCCTAGTTTCTTAAAAGGAATCAATAACCAATCTACAACTGAATTGATTGTGCATAACCATTGGATCAGAAATAATGTAAATTTACAATATTAAATCAGATGAAAATGTCGAAGTCGCTTGGAAATGTGATCGATCCATTCTAATTACTAAAAAAATACAACTAAAATCAAATTAGACTATATTTCCTTACTCAAGGGCCTTAAAATATGGATGTTTCATTTGAAGAGAGTAAACTGGAGAAGTGTTGGAATACATACATCGATCAATTTAATAACATTTTATTTAGATTGTTCAGGCCAAAGATAATATCACCAAATTTGCTATTATTACAATAGCATTTATTGGATGATCAATTAATATAAACTAAATAATCATTTTTGGAATTACACAAAAATACAAAAGCATTTCTAGATAAAAATTAATTCTTAGAAGGTTACTTAGAATTACAAAAGATCTTTGTACTCATAAATACCTTAATAGATAAAAATTAACCATGGAAAATGCAAGAGCAATTTTAAAAAGAACAATTTCTAAGTTTTATTTGCATTTTGATATCAATGACTTAATAAATTTTGGATATATATGTCTAGACTCCTAATGTCATAACACCATAATTCAAAGAATTTCCTTAAAATAATAATGTTTAAGTAACTGTAGATTTAGAGTAAGATTTAAGATTAAAAAGATTCATCATTAATTGAATATATCATTATATTAGGCTTTTATTAATTAATAGTTTTTATTTAATTATTATTTATTTTTATTGATCTCTTTTATTTCTACATTACAACCGTCATTTTACTCTTTGCATTTTTGAATAATTTAGTCGATGTTTCTTAATTTTAAAGGAGTCAATGCCCGTAGAGTAGATTCTGAAGAGTAATTTTGTTTTAATAACTTTTTACCCTTCTTCCTTTCATACTCTAGTTGTTTTTTATAGATATCATATCTCTATTTTCTTTATTGAAGTAATTCACTAGCCCTGGTTAACAATTTTTGATTATTTTCTTCATTATTAGGACTGTTGAATCTGGTAAACTTAAATTTGGGTATGTAATTTTGGCAAGACTTTAGTATTCTGATGTAATTTTAATCGGGTATCTAGGACTTGAATAGGTGTTATTTTTCCTTATATTATTAAATGATCTCCTTTTCAATGATTCTTTCTTGTATCCTTGTTTCTCTTTGGCTGAGCTTTTCGTTTTTTATGTAATCATCCATTTTTTTATAGATTGCATCTTCAAACTAAGGAGTTGATAATTCAAACACTTTATTGGTTTATTTGGGAATGAGATGATGTATTTTAATTTACTTTGTTTTTCCATATATCTTGTTTACAAACTCATCGTATTGTTGGTTCAGAGGACCAGAATTTGATGATAGTTGGGAAGGAGAATAATGACTTCTGCTTCTGTAAGTTGTTAATTCATTAATATTATTCATAATATAATATAATTTCATTTGTAATATGGTTATGGTATATATTGCGAAGGTTACTTCTAAAAAATAACTCTACTATCCATTGGAAGAATTCTACTTTGAGGAAGCATTTGAGTTTAAGGTGCAGCTTATTATCGAACCATTTTAAAAATGCTTTTTGGTTTTAATTACTATTGCTATTATTGTTATTATTGTTATTGTTATAGTAGGTTTTCATAATTGAGTAATTGTTTCAAAAAGCCTGAATTTGGATTGACTTGTCTACGCTTCGACTTTAATTTCCATAAGGCTTTCTCCATATTCATATTATTTTTGCGCATTAAATACGCAGCAACGATAGTGGGCGATCTACTTATCCCCAAAAAACAATGAACCAATATATTCGTATGCTTTCGATGACGCTCTATAAAATCAAAGGTCTAATCAGCGAATTGTAAAATGTTATAGTCATCCTTATCATGTGCTTAAATCACGTGATGAAATTAAACAATAAGATCTGAATATTAAACAGCTGTCTCTTGACTTGCAGTTAACACAGCTCTGATCTTTAATCGTTTTAAGGTTTCAAGATCTTTGGCTCCTTCATATCCTCCTACATAAATTGCTCCCTCTTCATGTGCTGCTCATTTACATTCAAATTTGGTACTTTATTCCACTATGCAGGTCATTGGATCTGGATCCACTATTTGAGGTACAGAATACACGAATTTAAGATCCTCAATTGGGAATGTGGTTGAGACAATGCTTCTTGAGAATGGATCAGTTATCATTGACATAAATTCAATTAAATTAGAAATTCAATTTCAATACTGTTCTATCTCTTTTATTTGAGAGATATCATTCGCGATTACTTTTATAATTAGAAATTGACAAGCACATGGTTAGATTCTTATGATTTTACTTAAAGAACTGTAAACTCTAAAAAAGCTTTGATCAAGTATAACTCAAACAAGAATTATAAAAATTCTTATTTACATAACTACAGTAACATCTTAATTTTAAAACGATTAAAAACTATGCTATTTAATTTATTAAGTTTGAAGAAATAATGGTTACTTTATCCATAATAACTTATAATTTTTATATAAAATAATTAGAGACCTTGAATGTGATGCATCATAACAATATCGTATGTAAATTGTCGCTATGCCTAATAATGATTCTGTAATTAAACAAAAATAGCAATTTTATTTTTATTTATATAACTCTGATAATTACTAAATATATTTTAGAGGGTAATTAATCAAGATCGGCAAACACTATGCACAATAGTATTTTAGAAAGGGGTAGTTTAATGAATTTGAATTCTTTGATCAGTTCACCCCTTATAGTAGATACGATTGCAATGTTAATCTATAAGGAAGATGTAGATTTTCATGTGTAATTTCATTTTACTATGAATTTCAATTGAATATACCTACATTGATTGTTAAACATCCTTTGTGATATCAATGGCGTATTTAATTAATTTAATTAATATAATAGATATTGATTTTTATAATTCATATATATATATTAGTGTATTTGTAAAAATAGCATAAAAAAGATAAAATAATTTAAATTCATATGTGTGACTCCAAATTGATTAAATGAGTTGAGCTTAAGTTCTATGAGACCGATGACTTAATTTCCATGAAGAATTTTTTTATTTTATTACACCCATTCAAAATTTTGTAGGAACAACGCTTAACTAATTGGTTTCCATTTTTCTAATCTGAATCTTCTTTGATTTTTTTCTTCTTCTTCTGATTCTTGCTTCTGAATTCAGCCCAAATGGCTTTGGCAGAAGAATAATTAATTCCAATAGAATTAGCAGCCTAGTGATAATGAGAATTGTTACTGCTTTAATGGTTTGCTTTTCCTTCACAACAGCCTTTAAAAACAAATCCTTTATTGATTGTGTAATTTTCAAATACTTCTTTTCAGCCAATCGTGGATCGAATTTCAGCATTTCTTTTTCCACTTGTTGCTTGATATCGTCTAAAATTTTCATATATTTAATTAATGCGAAACGAATACACAAAATAATCCATAGATTCAGTCAAAAGTGCGTAATTTGAAGCCATAAATTTAATTAACAAACAAAACAAAAGTTTATTAGAACATAAATGGGAGGATGCCTATTTAGAGAAAAAGAATATGAAGAATTAGCTGTTCAACCATTATAAACATAATTTACAGACGAGGTGATTGTAGATGAATTAGAAGATATACGAGATATTGCCAAATTAAAAAATTGTGAGATCCTGTTCATAACTTTGCTCAATCACAAATGCATTGTTCTCAGAAAACAGGACGACAAAACTATGAATTTACGTGTTATCGAAATAGTAGGGAATCGAAATATGATGTATTTAGAAATTCACAAATAATTATAGTATGCTTTCATGTAATTAAGGCAATGCTAAAATTTTTTCATTGGAGCAGTCACCCTAAAAGACAAATGCTTTATGGTTTTGAGGACAGTCTAAGGATTAGCAGCCTAAGTTTCGGTTCAGGAGATTCAATGTATAAAACAATTATTGTCCAGGTTTGGGCATTTCTGAAAATTTATCAGAAGTCATGAAGAAACGATTTGATGAGAGGTTCCTATGCGTTGGAGTCATCTATATAGAAGACATGGTCATCCTTGTCTTTAGAAAGATATTTCTTAAAATCAAATGTCCTATTCTCCAGAAGTACACTTCGCCTAGCAATGATACCATATGCATAATTTAGTATGAAGGATAGATATATGAATTGAAAAAAAAATTATGAATTTTTAATGTCATCTCACTAAATTCCCTTAAATTATTGTATTCCTTCAAGGGGGTAAGTTGTAAGATGAGCTCAATCTCGCAAGGACCTTTTTCCGAATTATCCACTATTTCTAAATAATCCGAGGATAGGATCTGCTTACACTTAATAAAACTTGCTACATTAACAAACTATCACAATTTGATTCCTCGAATTATGGGTTGTTATTAAATTATTATTATCAAATTCTAACTCAAAGACTCATCTCTATTTAAATTGACCCTCAATTAAGTGACAACCATTACTAACAATGAAATAAACAATAGAAAACCAATTTAAAATAACATAAAAAAAATCTCATCAATCTAATATTGATCATCAATCCTAAGAAAAAATTGAAAATCATAAATTATAATAAGTAAAACTGATGAATAACATATTATAATCTCAGAATATCGTGAATATCCTTATAATTGATATTGTTATTTATAACTAATGAGTAAAATTATTAATTAAATAAAAACCCTTCAAAGTCTTGTTTTTTAATGCTACAATTACAATAATTTAAGTGTTGTAACTCAGATGAAAACAAAATTTCTATTCTTCTAATAAAGATTTCTAAACTTTAGCAATTAAAAAAAAATAATAATCAAAAATTATAATTTGGATTCAAGGCTCAACTTATTAAACATTTGAGGTTTATCTTTATTTTTTTAAAGTCTATCCATCATGCCAATCAAGTATTATACATCCAATGCACAATGGGATGATACCTAAGATATATTAAAATACTTACTAACTAAATATATAGCTGTGGTTAAGGGTAATATTATGATTCCTACGATGCCAACTAATATATTGAGAACCACTTGTAGCCAACATTTTGCATTCATATATATTCTAGCTTCCTGCATGCATTAAAATAGCAAAATTTATCCAAAAAATAATCCAACGAAGAATAAACAAAGAAGTAGGTAAAAGTACCAAAATATTAATAGAAATTTGGTCCAAAATACTTTTTCATCATAGCAAGGCATAAAATGAGGACAGTAGAAAGGATGTAAAAATGTTATTTCCTTGCAACATCCCCAACACCATTAGCATTTACAATAAGAACATGTGATTTAACTACATCCATCAATTTTTTCGATTAAAAACTTACATCTTGGACATTGAACTAGTCTTTCATTATTTTAAGGTATTCCAATAAACTATTTCAAGTTCTCATTGCAATTTATGTCAGGATGTGATTTCTGTCTACAAATTTTGCAAAATTCAGTTTGACAAAATGTACATTTTTCAAAATTGCTAGATGTTTGAAAAATAACTATTTTTAAGCATTGATTATTCGGACACCACATTCTATCAGTGCTTGTTGCTACTGAAATATTATTTTTAAATTTGAGATATTTTTATTTGACTTCTTGAGCATACTTCAAAATAATTTCATCACTTAATAATTCATTGCAATGAGGACACTTTAGATCTTGGACACGACCGCTCTAAATTTGTGTAATTAAATTCATTGTGAAACATTATTCACAAATGTTATGCATCTTATTGTTAAAACGAGTTATATTTTCTTCTGCCTTCCCTTCAAAACAAATAGTACAAGTAATTTTAGTAGTATTTTTAATTTGCAATTCGTCTGCCATTTTAATCAAAGTAGAATAATTTAAATGGTAAACCTGATGTGAACTATCTTATTATGTACAAATAGCACAGTCCTTACTCTCATTATATTAGATAAAATCATGATCGCTTGGGACAATATTTTTGTAGAGTTCATTTGCTGATTCTATGGTTTGACAATCCTTATAAATTACTACAAAAATTGTTGCAATTAATGGAATTTAGTATTCAGTATGCAATTTTAATATTAATTCTTTTTAAGAATCATTAATCGTATATTTTATTTGTTCCGTTTCTGCAATTTCTCCTACATCAACATTTAAATTTATGTTATCCATTATAATATTCTGTTTTACGAAAAATTTATATTTTTCAATTAAATAATTAAAAATATGTAATAATTATACAACTTTGATTAAATTGCATCTTTAGAAGTTACAATTATTTATAAAACATCCTCTATTTACGTACTCTAAGAAGAATTAAACAATAATTTATATATTATGATTATATGTTTGGAATATCTATCATATTTAAAGACTTAGAATAGCTATTAAGGCAGGGAATAAGATTGTCTCAAATTTAGAGTCTGATTAGTTGTTGGTACCATTTGAAGAATTTGAATTGTTAGTTTAATTGCTATTTAAATTGCAGATCTAACATTTGTTTGAATTCGAATTCCAAGTGTATTGATAAAGTGTTTTGGTTAAGCAATCCTCTGCGCTTAAGGTAGTTGGATTAATACTAACACATTTATTTTGACTATCTAATTTACAGACAGTGTATATTTTCTTATCCCAATCATAATAGCCTGTGCAAGTGCCATCAGTTTAAATTTCACATGTTTTAGGTTCACACATGTAGGTGTCTTAATTAGAAACTCTTTCTAATTTCCAGTAGCATCTGTCAGATAAAGTACGGCAAGCTTTTTCATACATATTAGTCGAAGAACAACTGGTGATATCAACGCAGACATTTTTGTTTGCACCACCTGGTAGCCATGCGCAATAAGAAGTTGAGCTTCCTTTATCACAAGCAGCCTATGTTTTATAGACGGAGCATATTGAGATTTCTTAACAGGAAGAGCCATCTTGAATACAGTTACTAGAATAACTTGAACATTGAGTAACAGGATAATCAGTGCATTTCATAGGATTACACGATTTATCAATGCCTGTACTACTGAACCAAGCACATTTTCCATCAGTTCCAGTGGCAGCAATGCAAGAATCGTAAGTTTTCAAAGTGTTACAAGTTGTTTTAAGGATGCATGACGAACCATTAGATGTACATGTAATCAATTGAGAATTGCATTGTTCATGAGTAGTGCCTATTAATTCAGAACACCCTTATATTCTACATTTGTCATTTGCCCATTTGCATAACCCAGTAGAAGTTACATTTCCAGATTGATTGGTTGCTTTACCTAATTTATCAACGAAACAAGAGGCTTAATTGGTGTATTTCTCGCAAGAATCTAAATCAATACAACCACTGATTCCATTAGTAGTGCATTTTCCTTGTGAATATTTGTAACAGTCATCATGATTTAGATAATAGACCGCAGCACACTCAGTGAATTCGACACATTACTATACAGAGGATAATTTAATGGATGTTGGAGTCCAAATACATTAAACGGGGAGTAGAGATTTGACGCCAACATAACAAGCAATTTAAGGAGTTCTAGCACAAGTAGTGATGGATATACAATTATTTCCATTAGTAGTACAAAGTGAATGGATATTGTTGCATTCTTAATGAGTTGTATAGATAAGGTCTGTGCATTTTGTGAAACTATAACATTAATCGTTGCTCCATAAGCAAGGTCCATCTGTTCCTAGGATACAAGACAATTTATTTAATGTGTTTGAGCAAGTTTTCATAGAAGTGCATTTGATTCCATCTGATGTACAGTCATTTTATTGGGCATAACATGTTTGATGATCAGTACCGAAAAGATCTGAGCAAGATTTGCTTTTGCAAGTACCATCTTACCAGGAGCACAATTTACCATCAAATTAAGAAGTACATGCTAATTCAATTTATGCGTCCTTGCATCTACCTTTTTATACACAACCACCACCTTTTTGAGTCGTGCATTTTGCTCCTGGGAAATATTCTTCACATGCTGTTTCTGTTTTTAATGATATATCTGCAGTTTCACATTTTTTATCTAAACATTTGTCATTCACCCAAGCACAGCTTTCACCAGCACTATTAAATTTGCAAGCCTCTGCGATGTAAGCATCTTGACATCTCTTTTTCTCTATACATCCATTTCCATTTGTTGTGCACTTTTTGAGAAAGGTTGAGCATTCTGAATCTGTTTTTAAGGTGGTAGGAGCACTCTCACAAGAAATCTATTGACATTAATCAATTAAGGTACAAGGACCATCGGTTCCTTATAAACAAGCAGATGCGTATTTGTATTCAGAACATTTCTACTGGATGATGCATCCTCTTCCATTGGTTGTGCAATTAGTACCATATTCTTAACATTGTTTATGTGTTGAATATGATTTAGGTGCATGTTAACATTATCTATTATAACATGACCCATCAATCCAAACGCATACTTTTCCATCTGTTTAAACAGTACAAGCACTTTATGAAATATAAGTAGAACATGATGACAATATATCTACACAAGATGCAACATCATAATTAACAATCCGTTAACATAATGTACCTGATAATGTAGCTTTGCATTAACCAATAAAAGAATAATTTTAGCATTTATCCAATTTCTTTTGACAACCCTTTCCATTTGATTTGACTGTGCAACTAGAGAGATAATCTTCACAAAAATTGTGTACTGTAATGGTTAACGGTGCATTAGTACATGAACGATCCTCACATTACTTTTTAACTGTATTCCAGGAACATTTATTATTGTCATCAATTTTAACACATTATTTTTCAACCTCAATCTCAGCACAATGTAATTTTCTCAATTCACACCCTGTACCATCAGCTTAGACAGTGCATTAAGCTAAATAATTTCTACATTAATCATCAGAAGTATAACTATCAGGGGCATTTGAACATTATCTACCAACACATCCAGTATTCCACCCACATTTCTATCCACTGGACAACTGACCACATTAATTCAAAGTCTAAACTTGATCACACGTAGTATATTCATTAATACAACCTTTATTTGTTAATCCGATAGTGCAACTTTTCAACCAATCTCTGCAACCTTTCTCCGTAGTAATTGTGACTGGTGCATCCGAACATACTCTATCCTAACAAACAGTAGTCTTAGCATTCCAACTGCATTTGTTCTCACTACTAGCTTTCCCAGTTGCATTGATTGTCACTTTAGGACAATGATCCTGTTCTAAACCAGCACAACCTGTAGGCTAAGTGATACAACCTCCCACTTTAGCAACTGTGCACCCTGCTATAAAACTCTAACACAAAGCATCAGTATTGAATTTACTCTTACTAGCATCAGTACATAAGGCAGCTCTGCAACTACCAGAACCTCCACTGGTATTCCAAAAGCAAGAAACTCCAGTGCTTTTAATCTGAAAACACTGTTCTCTCATCATCTAAGTACAATCACTTGGTTCATCAGTGCATCCTGTTTAATCAGCTTTGACTGTGCATGTGGGTAGCCAACTTCTGCAAAGAGTATCTGTCTAATAATTGCTAGGAGCATCAGCACAAACTCTGTCATGACATTAAAAATTCACATCGTTGATTGTGATATCAAAAGAACAGAAGCCTCCACTTTACAATCTGACATAATTGCATCTGGCTTCAGATACTCCATTACATTAAGTAGGCTTGTCTATACAAACTTCATTAGTTCCTCCCTTAGTACAAGTGCTCATAAAGGCTTCGCATTCTAGATAATTAGTTTTGGTTTAGGCAAATGTACATACTCTATCCTTGCAACTCGGAGGAGTAGCAGATGCATCCCAAGAACATTGTTTTCCACCCACTACCAAGGTGTCTTCACATTATATTGAATCTGTCACAGCAGAACAAGAATTAAACTAATTGACACATCCAGTTCCTCCAACTCCTAAAGTGCATTGAACTCCCAAAGCCACACATAATGCATGAGTCATGTCTGATATAGTGTTATCGGTGCATTAGAAACTTCGACATAGGAAGGGATCGACAGTCAAATCGAATGTGCATTTTGATTTATCTACTAATATTGTGTCATTGCATTATATCTGATTCTTGATCAAATCACAGGATGCAAATTGTGGTACACAACTTGTTTGATCATCATTCAAAGTGCAACCATCTAAATAACTATTGCAGGTTGCATGTCTATAATTTCCATCGATTTGTAAGGGAGCATTCGAACAACTTCTGTCTTCACAACCATTCCACCCACAATACACAATACTATTTGGATTTGCTACTAACTTTATGCAAACATCCAGTGACTTGTAACCTTTGCATGTGGCTGGCTCTTGAGTACATCCTGTTTTATCACTGTTGATTGTACACATAGGCATGAAGGCTCTGCAATTCTCCTCACTCACATTAGTAGTATCAGCATCTGAACATACTCTTGATCTACAGACCTAAGTTTCATCATTCCAACTACACTTTGATTCACCAGCTAATACAACTGAAAGACAATGATCCTTAGTAATCATATTCCCACAAATGGCTGGTTTTTGCATACAAAGACTTGGGTTTTCAGCAACAGTGCAACTCTTATCAAATTGTTAACATGATTCATCAGTTTAAGTGTCAGGAGGGATATCTGCACAATTCAACAATCGACAGAATTTATTATTTGGATCGTCATCATTCCAACTGCATTTTGTACCGTTTGTCAATGCCTTACATTACAATTCATTTAAATCTGTGCAATTTAAGGGTCGAACTTTACAACCCAAAAAGTCATCATCCACAGTGCAAGACGATAAGTAGGCTCTGCATTCTTCATCTGATTTCAGTGTACTTGGAGCATTTTCACATGTTTTCATCTGGCATTAGGTTCCATAATAACATTGATTAGTTTTATAATCTTATACACAATACTCCTTGGTTGTGATATTTGAACATTCTTGTAAGATACACCCTTATTGATTTGCTTTGATCATGCAATCAGGAGAGAATCTTTTACATGCTTGATCAGTTGTCAGTTCCTTTGAAGCATTGCTGCAAATACGAGGAATGCAGACATTATCTTGGAATGCACAAAATGAGCCATCCGTAAGAGATACACATTACTCTTCTTTTTCATAATTGGAACAAAAGTCCTTTTTGGATTCACACCCAGTGAGATCCTTTTGGACAGTGCAAGTGGAAAGAAATTGGGAGCATTAATCATGATTGATATAGGTATCAGGAGCTTTGTCACAAATTTTAGCCAAACATTTATTTTAATTCCAAAAGCAAGGATCACCTGTTTCTGTTTGAGTGCATTGAATCTAAGTTGTGTATTATACGCAATCAGAGGCTTTGGTTTGACAGCCGAGACCAGCTGACTTGACAGTACAGGAGGTTAGCCATGATAAACATTACTCATTAGTAGTGAATTGATCAGGAGCGTTGTCGCAATTTTTGTCTTCGCACTTTTAACTATTTTTGTTCCAGTAGCAAATGTCACCGTTTTTGTTGACAACACAATTGTTATTTGTCTTTAATAAAGTGCATAATTGTGGTATATCTTAACATCCGTTGAGGAGGTCATTTACAGTACAGGTAGGAAGGTATGCGTTGCATTACAAGTGAGTACTATTGGTGTTGGGAGCATTGGCACAGGTTTTTTCTTTGCATTTGCTCTAATCCCAGATGCATGATTTGGTTTAATCAAGATTTGTTACGCAGGCTTATTGAATTTTTTGATTTTCACAATTATCTTGGCTGGTTTCACAACCTCCTCCTTCCTTGACTGTGCATGTTTTCAATTGTTGCCTGCATAACAAATCTGTGTTGAGAAAGAGAGGCAATAAATCGCAGGTTGTAGGGTATTGACAGGTGGAGGTTTGGGAGTTCCAGGTGCAATACATCCCGTTTTAATCTTTTAGACAGCTCATCTGGTTTGAATAATTTGTGCAGTCGTCTAAATCTATACATTTCTCTCCGTCTGTTATGCATCTCGTAGATATGTTTTAGCATATATCATTTGAGGTGAAGAAGAAGAGAGAACATCCAGGAAATGAGACACATTTGTCTAAGATATTGGCACAACCTTCAGTGCTTTTGCATAGATCAATTGAAATGAGTTCGCAATATGTTTTGATAGATTAAACTACTGGGACGTCTGAACATTTGGTTCCATCCCAAGAGCAATTAAGAGAGTGACAATCTTTTTCACTCTAAACTTGCAAGCAAGTACAAGATTTGTTTGAAGTAGATAGGGTGCTGACCTCAGTTGTAGTCTGCGAATGAACATAGTATTGTAGCAAGATGAGAATCAAAGCGGCTTTGTTCATCTTTTATATTTAAAATATAACTATGTAATTCATTTAATGATGATTTATATATTCACTTTTTGTAGTCATTTTTCACTATGCCCAACCATGATCCCTCAGTTAACTATTCATATGATCTTATCACACACAATCTATTAAAATTAATAATCCACTTTTATAATATGTAATCTGGACAGCTCTTGAATTTGTAAAGGCTCGAAAGATAATACTTACAGACACTATCCTAAAATGGATGGGAATCTCCAGTTGTAGTTAATGCAGCCGTTGAATTTGCCAACACTTTGTTAAGAGATGGAAGAATCCTATTAAAATCAGGTAACAACCCTTAAGCAGAAATGTTCTTCAATCGAGCAAAAGAAGTAGATAAAAATATAACCAAATTTAGATTACAACTCCAATTTCAAACACCAGTGGGATATTTTATACACCCAATTTTGTTCGGGCAAGAGGTAATGCAGTATTATAGATTGTCTAATTGTATGAGTAACAAAACCAATACCAAAAGGCGTGGATGAATATCAAAGAAGTATTGCCCTTTATGGAGAAGTTTGCTTATACAAAAAGGATAAATATTAGCGAGGATGATCAAAATGTTTTAAAAATATATGTCTAATTGCTGTTTCATGGCTGCGAGGTTTGTAGAATGATGCATAGAAAAGATGATATGTTGGATCAATGTAATAAATATGTTGAAATTTTGCATCGTTTGGGTATCACCTTCGACTCTTTGCGTAATCTTACCAAAGATGAATTTCATTAAGAATTCAAAAAATGGTTTTTGTTGTTGGCTAAGGCTTTCTATTATATTGGCAAATCGCAATTCAAAGTTGGATTTGAGAAGGAAGCACTTCGAAATCTCTATAAATCCTGGTAAATTTTTGAGATAATCTATGGAATCGATGCACCTGCTACCATTAAGGCCAGGGATAAATACGAGAAATTGAGTTAGAAAATGGAATTTGAAATGCTGATGGAAAAGGAGAAGGTAGACTTTTAAGAATTCAAGGATGATATCCAAAAGGATGTCGGATAAGAACTGCTCAAAAAAGTGGCTACACTTAAACCAAACAAAACATTTAATGTATACATATTTCACTTATAACAAGCATCACATCATTCAATAAGTTAAGTCATATTAACAAATCGTAGGTCAGTTATCGCAACACACAACCAAGTACCAGATGCCAGAATATGTGAAGAAGGTTCGAATGGAATATGAGGAGAAATTGAGAACCATATCATTTCAATAGAAATACGACGATTCCAGCAACAAATATAAGCAATATCAAATCAAGAATAAGAAGTCCTCATCTAGAGCTGTCTCCACTTATAATCAATCCCTTTTGCCTCAAGATCGACTATTCTCCTCTCCCAAATTGTCCAATCACACTCAATCCAAAAGGACCAGTCTCTATCAATTGGACAATCATCTGGATTAATATAAGTAAATTTAATGTAGATTGTGTTAGAGAACAATTGCAAACTACAGAGTTGAAGAAGGATTCGATTGATGAACTATTGTTATCCAGACCCATGATCAAGTCTGAATATGTGTTACATAGAAAGAAAAACGATAATAAACAAAATGATTCAGCCCAGCCTATTAAAAATACGAGTAAAAAGAAATTCAAATCGAATAGATTGATACCTCGTATTCTCAATAAATAAAGCACTCAACACATCCATATTAAATCTGACTCGTAATAGAGTGAATAAAAAATACATAAGTTATAAACCATATAAGACTAAAACTTCTAATTGTAAAATGAGGATCAGCATGACCCTACTACCGAATCTGTTCTATTCTAATAGTAACAATAATAGTAACAAATTATTTAAGTTCCTTTTATCTAGAAAGTTTAAACTGAAGTGTCAGAAAAAAACGAAAATCTATTCGCAGATTTACTCAATAAATACACAATGGAATAACTCAACTTGGCAGCTTCTATCATTTAATCCTGCTATAGGAAATACACTAAAACTATCAAGTAGGTTCAATCACTCCAAACTATTGAATTGACTCCCATCAATCTGCAGAAACCAATCATTGTCACTTAAATAAGCGAAAAGGTTGAAAGCCAATAGACGGGTCGCAATTTAATGAAGGTCTCTATGAAAGACATGAAAAGTTCGTTCAGAAGAAGAAACTTCGGATTCGATTCTATAGTTAGGGAAATCAAGAATACTGATTCCGATTAAAGTACCTCTAATAAAGCTAAAACTGTATGTTTCATCAATTTCATCATAGTTATTCTAAATCATCAAGGAATTTTACAATCTCCCTGAATAGGAATTGTACTTCCTATCAAAGTTATTCTTTGATTCTGAAATCAAGATTTGGAAACTCTCCAATATCTGCGTTAGGGCCTATAGTGATGCTAATTCTTAGGTTCAAGACACTGAGGAGCAAGAGCAAATACAGAACGATTTTACTCCTGGCGAAATTTGTATTTATTTTATAATGAATCTTAATTAGAAAACTAATTGCAATACATCATGAACATTTTCGCCGACGTTAGATCTATCAAAGCATTACAATTAATAGTATACTTTAAATTGTCTAATGATATGTAACATTACACACTCAATTTCAAAATTAATAATTTTGCTAATTACTTAGATGAATATCAACGATGGTTTTCAAAGGACCGTCTTCAAAATTTTAATGGTTTGTTAAGTATATATTGCAAACAATAATCCCTTTATTAATCTAATAAATGTCAAGTTATTGTATTTTAATCATCTGAATGTGTTCAGGAAATTGTTGCCAAACTATTATACTCCCTAAAAAATCATTATTATTTAATTAGATCTGTCGTAGGGTTTAAAATAATCTCAATGAAAGATGTTATATAAAATCAAATGCAACATGATATTATTGACATTAGGTCCTATTACAAAAACAAACAAATCGAAAAGGAGAACAAAAGATAAATGCTATTGAAATAATTAAAAATTGAACCAATTAAAATAGTTGAACATTAAAAATAAGAACTACCATCAATATCATCATCTAGAAATAAACGACAATTGCTTTTTAACGATGAAATTCAATGCTCCAGAGAACAAAGCATTATAATTTAAGAATCAGATGATAATAAATCTGAAAATTCAAAAATTATCACATCATAATCTCCATCTGATTAAAAACATTACTCCAATCATTTACAATCCATTGAGAACATCTCAGAGAAAGATATTATTCAAGAAATCATCCCACAAAGGAATCCAAAGAAACAATATTCTGTTATTCATAACAGAAATACCTTGACTAGTCCTAGATTTGACTCTTTTATGGCTTCTTAAGCAGTGATCCGTAATCCTATTCAAAGAAAAACTCATGGCAGTCAATTTTTGGAATTTTCGAGAAAATAGAAAGTAGACTTGGTTAAATAAGACGAGTTTAATCTTGAACCTCCAGTCTCCAAATAAAGTCTGGATGAATAAATTAGAGATAGAACACATTCAGATATATAATTCGTCAATGATTTTCTATCAGAATTTCAGTTTGCCAATTTGGCTGATTTTGAGGAATACCAACCGAAAGAAGGGCCAATTATTTCATTTAAAAACTAATTTGAAAATAAATCCACTTACTTTCCACCAAGAGGTTTAATAATCTACCCAGAACCTGAGCCATTTCTGCCTGAATATCCAGATTCATTCATTATGTTGAATGTCACTTTAAGGTAAGACAAATAAATAAAAACTGGATTTGTCTTGTACGAAGAAGGTCAAGTGTATTTGATAATTGACAATGGACATGGGAATGTTCAAAAATAAAGTATTTCAATTGATCCTGGTATCAGATTACCTAACAGAAAAAAGAAGCTAGAAATCTTGGAACATTTGCAAGTGAAAAAAGAAACAAGTTAAAAACTGTCTCTAGTTCAAGAATTGCAATAAGAGAATCACAGACACAATTTAATAATGCTATAGAGATATGTTAGAAGGATGCATCATTATGATGAATACATTTAAAATGAAATACATCAATAATTATATAGCAATCATGTAATACCTCCGACATCCATAAAGTGTTTGAGTTACTTAAATAAAACAGTTTCATTATAGTTGTTAGACAGTCAAAATAAAACAGAAACTGAAGAGGGCATTCAAATAGTAATTGAAACTGGAGTTGCTCAATCCAATGAAGAAGTAATTGATGGTAAGTCGTTTCATTGTTATAGATCGAAGTTCAATATAAGCAAAAACAAATTTTACTATTTTTAAACCAATTTAAGCTTGAAAGTTGAAGTTTGCTTTAAAGAGACCAAGATTCTAGACACAAAACTCTTGTATCTGAGTGAACAATAAGCAAAGTAAGACTTGCTTGTTCTAAAGAAAAACATGCATGAATTGATCAGTCATTCAAAGGTTTTGGTCAAGATTACACTCTACAATCTGAATTAGAATCAATATTTTTATAGAACAATTGATTCCCCACAAGACATTGAGAAAATGCTTCATATTTTCATTAAACCATAATTGATGGGTTATTAGATAAAATCATAAGCCAAAATACAAAGAAGATTAATAGGAAGGGCATTGCAATTCAATAGATAGTTAGTATGCTTAGAGGACAGAAATAGAGATAAGTTTAGCGCATTAGATTAGTTTTTATTGATGTACATCATCGATCCTTTGCAATTCATAAAAAACGAAAACCATAGATTATTAAAATAGACAATACTCTTTTATTATTTCAAATAGTAGTTGAAATTGACTCTGATATCCTCAAGCCGTTTAAGATATTTCATGAAAACATATTTCCATCGCAAAACCTTTAATGCTTAAAGCAGAGTGAGTAATATTGGCAAGGTTTTTGTGGAATGCGAAGTGTATTAATTCAATAAGTTTTATTCTGATTAATTAACCAATGATCACACTTATTTCTACTTTCAAATAACCCCTTAAGAGAGTAGAACCAAAGTGTTTAAACTAGTTTTGGACTTTGCTGATATCAAAAGTATATGCAATAAGGTTGTTTTACAAAACTGCTTTAAAGACAAAGTTTTGCATCAAATCATTAAAATATTGACTGCTTACTTAGTATGCTACAGAACCAACACTTATCATGGAATCAAAATCCCATTGTCATATATAGCCAGTCAATCCAAGTATGATCTTCACAATACATTCACTGAAGTAACATATGGAAGCAACATCCTTGAAGAATAGCAAAATGGCAGAACCTCTCATCCAAAATTGTCGATCTTAATCAGTGATCCTATACTCAGAAAAAAGTCTTAAGCCTAGATTATGGATGTGTAAATCGATAATTTATAAATGCCTGAAGAAGCTAACAAAGTACTCAAAAATACTACGATGTTGACTCCTATTTTTAGAGGATAGAAGTTCATTTACAAAACAACCAAAATTGTGAATAACATGTATGTCATAATCACCATATCTTATTTGTCTCTCAACAAATTTCAAATAGGATTGTACATACCACAAACCTGTAGGAATTTCAGTTGTTATATTTCATCAAATGATTTCCAAAATATGAGTCCTCTCTTTTTAGAATCAATATTCCCATCCAGTCTAGTGACCAAGGAAACTATTGATTAATTTTACATAAATAGATGGAAATTTTCTGAAATGAACAAGATCTTTGAAATGGCAGTCAACCATCCTGATGAGTTTGAAGATTTCTATAGTGAAATGCGCAGCTAAGCTAGAGCTATCCCCCAATCAGAACTCTAAAAACTAACTGAGAGCAGGGTTTCCATTAATAATGAAGAGGAATTCTTAGAAAAACCTTATGATGAAACTCCTAAACTGCTCGAATCTTTTAGCGATTAAAGTAGATAAAATGCGAGATCCTCTACTTAACCACCTGCCTTTGTGAAAAAATAATTCTCCAAGCAATTTTCAGTATAGAACTCTATTGGCCAATCAAATCCTATGAGGTTGTCACTGCCATCAGCTTAATTTCAATAGAAGACAGATAAAAGTCTATTTTATAGAAATAGTCCAAGGATCTCCCATTAATGTAGCATGGAAAATCTGTATTCAAGTGATAAAGATTTGTTTTTTAATCAAATACTTGTTAGGAAGAATAACCTAGACATGATCTCTACTTTCGAAATTAAAATTTGGGAATCACTTATTGACAGAGTTTAAATTACTAAGAATTCATAAAATCGATTTATTCTTAATTTAGATACTTTTAAGGGAGTCTTACGAGAAAATCTATATACGCAGGTGGTTTATTTGGGTAATGAAGTCAATGCCTTATTCGAAGTATTTGTTGAAAATGTCAGAAAACCATTTAACATGTTGAAACCTTATATGCCTATCAGATTAAATGAGAGTTAGAACTTTTAGTTGTATTAAAGAATCACTCTCTTTGAACAGCCTCAAATTGTCAATTTTAAACTGATGCTAAGAAAAGTATTATACAGTTATTATAACGATGAAAGGAGGAATTTGTAGAATTTAAAATTGAATGATTGCAGTGTGGATCAATATGAATTCATAGAATCAGATATTTAGAAGTGTTCAGTTTACATGTTAAATAAATTAAAAAAATAGTTGAAATTGAATCCCTCTAAATTTATTATTTAAGAAGTACAAGGAGATGAAAAATGCCCATAAGTAATTAAAGTCAATGCAAATTATCAATAATATTCCTCATTCAAAGTATTATATTTATCCCTAATTCTTAGTCTTATTAATATACATTGCTTAAAAGGATGGTGTTTACTATGAGACCTACTTTAATATATGTTTCAATATTTTATCAAGAAAAGAAGAAAAAGTTTTGGTTATACTTTGAAAGTATGAAAAATTGCAAAAATACAACTGTTAAATATAGTTTAAAGGATATTTAGCATTGCATACCGAATGCTATTGGATTGTTGAATTTGGGCTTACATTAGGAGTTAGGGAACAGAATATTTCGGAGTTTTAAAAACAGACTTTTGGTATCCACACATCAGTAATTGTTATGAAATTTATATTTATAATTACTAATTGTTATATGAAGTTATAAAATAATTAACCTTAAATGAAATGAAATTCAATTAAAAGAGTAATAAACTAATAGAAAGAAAAGAACTTATATTTCTGTTATTAATTTGTAAATCTTATAATAGACATAACATATCATAAATACGGAAGATTTTTAGACTTTAGTGCACTGGGATTTCATAATTAAAAATTTAAATGAATGTATCATTGATAGTAAAATAATTCTAGATTATTAAAAAGTAAATTATATTATATTTAATAATTTGATTGATTACCTAAGGGTGACTATAAAGAAGGATATTCAATTATGAATTGTATAATGGTTAATTTAACTATACTTGAAGTAAATATATGCAAGGAGAAATTAATCAATAAATTCAAACTGAATGAGGGATATAATTAAAGTACTTTGCTAGTGACACATAAATGATGATTCCTACCTATTTAATAGACATTTTTGGTAACAGAATGATTTTAGTTCTTTTAACGTAACATTGATTAATGTTAAATAAAGTTATGCTTTTGATTAAATATTTAATATTAATATAAATATCAATGGAGGAACATCAATTAGTGATTGAATAATTGGAAAACATGAAGAATTTAAAGCAGTTGTTCCATAAAATGAAGAATGGAAACATACGGATTGTTGATGCCTTTTCAATCGTGATTTATAAATTGATTAGACAATTTAGACCCTCCAGTTCAGAATATTTAGTGCTTCTTTAGGAATTGTTTTATTTGTCAATAGATATGTAATTGATTCACACAAGCGATGTAAATATGCGTAACAACATTAGCAAGTACTAAAAGTATTGCTAAAGTAATTTCCGACATCTGAAAAAGTATAAAGGTTGAAGGGATACTTGTTAGAAGCCAATGGAGAGGATGAAAATGCGTTGGTAGTATACGAGAAGATGTTGTCTGAGAATTTGATGGATCAAAACACAAGAAAGAGGAAAGTAGCATTGTAAAGAGTAATGAATGTGATAAATATATGAAAGAGACAAAACAATGTGGATTAGGCAATAGCCTTATTGAATACTTTTCTCACTTCATTTCCCAATGATGCTGAAGCTTGGCTTGAATTAGCAGACATCTACTAAGAACATCTGAACTACTCTAGGGCCTAATTCTGTCTTGAAGAAGTCTTGTTGCTGAATTCGCAAGATCTACATTTAGCAATTAAATTAGCAGAAGTATTAGTCTTCATTCTAAATACAAGGTCAATTATTCGAATCAGAATTACACATAGGCCAAGAACTATTATTGCTTTGTTCTATCCAAAAACCCAAATGAACCAAGATGCTTGTGGGGTCTATTGCAAACAATAAGAAAGAAGAAGAGAGAAGGAAATGATAAAGACCTAGGGACAATTGTTATATAGGCCTTACAGAAAATCTACAAATAACAGCCAATCAAATATCCATTTGAAAAAGTCGCCCTTGAAATACAATAGTGAGATAAATAAATAACATTGTCTTTATCAATTTCTTAATTCCTACATCACCTCTGTTATGAGATGATTAAAAACTAATTCACTCAGCTCTAATGTCACCTCTGTATGTTCTTCATCAAATTCTTGCCATCTATCATCATTTTCAAGTACCTAATCCTTCAACTAATAGACTTACTTCCTGCTTTAACAATTTGTCTAGTCTCTCTTCTCTCACCTAAGGCAAGATATCATTGTCTATCTAACTTCCTTGTGGCAATAGTATCCCACAGAGAGTCTCAGCCCATTGCACTACTTTGGATGCAGAGTGATTCAAGGTCTCATCCAAATCTTTAACTTGCCTGGAAATCACATTCCTTCTCCAAGGCAATGGCTTTCCTTTGATTCCAAAAGGTCTAAAGTAATCCAATGATTCATTGTAAGCATCAAAAATGGCTTTATTGTGAATTCTCTCCATCTCATTGTTACAAACCTCTTCCTAACTTATCCTCTCTTTTTGTGTAAATATCTCTAATCCCAAAACTGCCTAATGAATGAAACCCCCATCTATTGATTATTCAATCATTTCTTCAGTCAACCGAAAAAACCTCAAGATTTCGAAAGGAGAAGGACCAATACCCAAATTTACAATTTGCAAAAACTGATCCTGATAGTGATTTCTAACTATTAATTTAATGTCTTCCAAATATTAGCGAATATATCCAACATGAGTCTATACATACTATAAATTTTCTATCTATCCTTACTCTTCCATTTCCAATGGAACATCCCTTACTTAAATAAATTATTACTTCTAATCCTTGAATGTATGAAGAAAGAGTCTTGTTTGATTGATTCGAATTGTAGGACACTAATTGTTATTCCTACTCTTACTAATGCACTTTCTTTTGTGGTTCAAGCAAGTTCTCTTCGGAAGAACTCACTCTCAAAAGCTAAATGTCTATAAATAGTACAATACATTGATCTTCAAATCATTAAGTTAATTTTTCAATAGATTGCTTTGACTTAAACTTAGAGGCATCATTTTATTGAAATTATCCACACCTAACTTTTGCACAAATTTCAGATCCTTCTACGTTTTCTGAATGGTATCATAGGCTTTCTACCACCCTTCCTTTATCGCTTATTTATTGTGTTCCAATAATTCAAGTTCCTTTTCGCCCCACTTCACAATCTCTTACTCTTTTACTCCGAATGAACGAGGTGATATCCTCTCTTTAATCAACAAATCCTTCAGTATATTTTTTTCTCTTTATTCTCTTTCCTTAATCAATTATCCTCTAAGTTATAAGATCTATCCAATTTATGTAGGAAAAACATCCCTCCTCTCCACAATCAATTTAGAAGGCTTTAATTTTATCTAGGGTATTTCAAAGTTTTCTGTAAACGCATTTAATTTATTGTATTCAGCATGTTTTATCAAACTGTCAATCAAATCAGATAAAACAATCATGTCTTATTTGACTTACAATTTTTCCAAGAATTCCCTAAGATTACTCCATCTAGTAATTTCTTAATTTTTGAGTTTCTACAATTGTTATAATTTAACATTTTTTTTATCTTTTTTCTGTTTTGATATCTTTCGAATCTTGTGTCCTCTAAACCATCTCTAAATACAGATTGCAGCCTGATCCTTCATTTCCTATTCATAATTCCTAGATTCTCTCATTGAAATACCATCACTATTACTTTTCAAAGTTTTATAACGAGCCTCTAATTGCTTGAATTATTCTTTTAATGACTTTGGCCCTCCAGATTTTCTAGATGTGCTCTTACGATTTGCTACATAACTCAACATCAAGGGTTTTGCACTTGCTTTGTTGGAGGTATCTCTCGGAGGGGATCTACTATTGGATAAGGAATTGCGTTTTGCGATTTCAGCCAGAGATCGCAGATTCTCATCAATGTGCTTACGTTTTTCAGCAAAGGATTATTATTTGACAGATTCAAGTTAGGAGTAAAACTTTTTCTTTTCTTTCATATAGTGTTTCAATTGTTGTGGATATTGGTGTCTTTCGGGTGTGAGTGGCTGGTGATGTGAGTGTTCAATGGATGACATACGATTGCCTACACACAAATATAGCAACAAAATATACGCTCAAGAATTTGGTCGATTCTCCTGGTTCCAATTTTATTCAGAAAGCTCAAACCAAGCCTATCACGATGTTCTTAAATTGAGCTTGGTTTATCATTGAAGAATGTGGCTGCCTTTTTACGACGAACATATTCTGGAGATGAAAACTCAACGGTTTAACTTTGAACCCTTTCAGCACTCACGCTCTTTTTAATCTTAGAGGATTTCTTCTTCTTTTAATACAATTATTGACTCTTTTTTATGGCCGCAGTGCGATCTAAAGATTTCTTTTTCTTTATCTTATCAGTGCTCTTGCCAACTTTGAGTTCACTTTAAGATTACTTAATGTGGGATTTCAAGTTGTCAAACTACACTATTTGAATTGGATCAACGGCACTTGTATCCTAATCCGATGGACCAATAATGTCCACTTCAGAAGCCATTTTCTTTTTCATCAATTTCCCACTCAACTTGATTTGATTTGAAATTCTTCGTCCTTTTACGGGTGAATTGTTTTACATTAAATTTAATTAACAGCCAAGCGCTTAATCTATTTTATTATGATGTTTACAAATCATCATACTTAAGTACCATATCATTTAGAATGCATCCTAAAACACTTCGGGAAACTGAAAATAATATACACAACAACTGTTATTCTATAAATATCATAATTTCAAATTGAGTTTTAATTGAAGATAAATCTACTCAGAAGTGGTAGAATAAAAGCCTGATTTAAAGATTGAAGATGTATGAATGAGTTTGCATAATAATGGAGTATAATTAGATAATACAAGTATTTAATGCTCTTTTCTAAATAGATAAATCTTGAAACTAAAATAAATACATTTCTTACGAATAGATTTAATAGAATTATAAAGGATTTGAGAGCATTAGATTTATATATTGTACTAACAATATATAGATGGAAAGAGAATTGCTATCATAAAAACAAGTAAAATAGATATTTAAAGGAAGCAATCATATGATTAAAGTGAGTCAGCATATCCTAAAAAGGATTTAACAAATTTAAATAAGAATAGATAGATGTAACTTATTTATCATCAATTGTAGTAATAATTTAATTAGAATTTCAAAGAGTAATCGAAAAATGGAACAATATGAAATATAATAATCTCAAGAATGTCATTATTGAAATCTATATTTCGGAGTTGTTAAATAGAAGTAAAAGATAAGTTTAAAATTAAAATAAAATAATTCTAAAATTTTGATGTTATTTTTATACATTATCAATATTTATCACTAGACCGTCATTCCTTGGGTTTCTGGATCTTTTGGTGCAATCTTAGAGTTTGGTTGATCTCCATCTTTGAAACCATAATTCTAAATTCTATAGGCTCTCAATCCAACACAGCAATTTGCCAATGATCCGAAAAACATGGAAACACCGATAATGATTATTAAAATAGTTGTTCTGGATATTCCTGGAATGAACACAACACATAGACCATCTAACACATTATTGAATGATTACTAAAATATTGATATAAATGCTTACCTTCAAAAATGAACAATCAACTCCATTTAACAATTCATCTAAGTGTTACATAATAGTATCGGCATCAGCAATAAAAGTGTTAATTTTACCCATATAATCTTCAAATGTCTTAGAGACATCAGCATTTAAAGTTAAGACATTCTATTCTTTAGTGACAGAATTTGACCACATTGAAGTTTATTTATTGTATTGTGTCTTCAAAACAGCAGTTTCAGCCAAACCACTCTAATCAGCACAAGAAGGTGTGGATGATGCTAAATACGAAGGATGCCAGCATTTCTGGTTAAATGTTGATCCAGTGTCTGAAGCAGATCTCATTGGTAATAATCCATCTGCACATTTGGAAACTGCCAATTCAACACAACCTGAGTTTGATTTGAAATTGTTGAATTTATCAAAAGCTGCCTTTAATGGGACATAGTCTGCTGGTTTTGCATCAAAGACTGTGCCATCCTTACAATTTTGAACTGCTAACAGATTGTTATTCAATTTGTCATTAAAGTCCTTCTTCTAGTCGTCAAATGAAGAGTATTAAGTCTGGAAATCAGAGATTTATTCTTTAAAATTAACCAAAGGATCAGTAGCTGAGGATAAGTCCATGACTTCGAATAGAGATTTGGCTGAATCAGGGAAGAAACAGGAAGATATAATCTCCTTAGTTTCTCCTGCATCGATGAAATCGGTCTGTTAATAAAATTCATAGTCATTGACAAATGAGTCAAGATAATAGCAGACTTCAGCAAATATCACAGAAGATGGATGTAATAGGAGAGCTATCAAGAAGCATAAGATCATCAAAATGACATAAATGCACCAAGTAAAGTGAAGTAATCCTCTTACTTTATAGATCTTCAATAAAACAATCAAAATGATAGAGCAAATTGATACTATGCTTAGACCCAATCCTACACCAAATAATACATTAAGAGCCAAGGATGCATAGGTTCCAGCATTTTCTAAGACTTTAGTATTGTCATAAAGAGTTGTGCTGGCATCATTAATATCGTTTATAAATCCGTCAATTGTACTACTTCCACTTTCTAAAGTACTAGTATCAAAGGAATCTCCTGAGATATCACTAGCATAATCTTCCAATTGCACTGATGTTTCAATCATTCCATCATAATATGAAGACAAAGCATCTGGTTAAGGAGTACATTTTAAATAGTCTTTGTATGTTGACGCCAAACTATTGTAATTTGAAGTATAGGTAGAGGCTTATGAATCTGATGAAGCCATCAAAATATAGTCAAACTAACCAAATAGAATAATATAGATACAAAGTTTTGTGAAGACAAGTAACTCTCAGCTCCACCATCTAAAACTGGCAATGCTGCATTGGTTGCTCCTCTTTTCATGCTAGAATTTGATATCAATTATATTTTACTTATTATTGGCTGTGATCACATCAGTCTTTTTTTGATTGATTGTTTTCGATGTCTTACCAGAAAATGTAGTTTTTAGTTATTTTTAAAAGTCCGATATCTCAGTATTTATAGAATCGATACTATCTGCAAGACCAGATAAACCGGGAAAGGCTCCTTCTGAATTTCCATATACAATATCATAAAACAATGATATCAAGGAACAACGAGCAGACTTCATACCTTTTTCTACGTCACCAGAATAGGATAATCCTGCTATTGATGCTGCGAACAACAATAAATTCAAGATTAGAGCAAAACCAACTGGAACATAGAGTTCCATTTTGGATAGTTTGTCATGTTCATAGTCTCTCTTGCAACATTTCGATGGTGGACATTTTCTAATAATATTAATTGTTCTCTTACTTATCACAACAACAATAGCAACAATAGAAAATCCAACCAAATATAGATATGATCAAAAATATCGCCCATGGGATTATATATCTTAACAGATTCATGACCAAGTTGATGTCTGCATTTTGCTCATTAACAGCCTTTGTAACATCACTTCTGATATTTGTATCGTAGAGATTATCGAGTATTTATTATGCACTATCCCTTTCTGATTAAGTTACTACAAGATCTAGAATTAAAATGTATTTGTTATTTACCTTCTGTACAAGCCTCCTCTTTTTATGTTTTGACATCCAAAGTGGATTCAGATGCTTCGAAGTTCTAAAGTAATAGAATTAAACCTAAGAAAAGTGAAGAGTAAATGAGTTTTTTGGCAAGTTTCATATAAATATATTATTGATTTTGCAAGATTTTATCCAAATTTTTAAATCTGGAAATGACGCACTTGTTTCTATTAAATTTGATCCTATATAATTTATCTCAATTAACTAGACGGTCACAGTATAATTTAATGAAGAAAGAGGAGATTTTTAAATTAAAAAAGCAAAACTGTTGTCAATTTAACTAGAAAGAATATTACTCTGTTATGATTGAATAATCATCTCCTCTATTAAATTCTTGGCGCAGTAAATACAATAAGTTCATAATCACAAAAAAGAGCTATTTAAATTTAAATTGCTTAATAATATTATGAAATCTCATATAAAAAACTAAGATAATTATCATAGCTTGAAAGTTTTAGAGCATCAGTTTAAATTTCTTTGAATAAAATACGAAAATAGATTTTTTAGTGACAACATTTTTAATTATGGAAGAAAAATAACGATTTTATTTGAAATTAATTAATAATATATACATTCATTATTTTGCCTTGATATCTAGTATTTATTAAAACTTGGATTCTTTTGGTTTTCCATATTTTTATTCGAATTCTTTGGATTTTAGTCTTTATGCATCCTCTAATTTTTATTATAAAAATTATTAAGATGACTTACTCTATTGCATCCTACCCATTAGCAACGTTTCTTGTTGTTCCAAATAGTTCATTAAATTTTCTTAATCCATCATAGATTTAGATAACTGATGTTTAACTTTTTTTTACTCCTCTTCAAATTTCTTAACTCTGTCGTCCCAATATAATTAATAATTATATTTCGATTAAAATTCATCCAATTAGACTTTGTTTCTGTTTGTTCTCCTTTCCTAATACATCTATTGCTTCTGCTCTTCGATCGATTTTTAGTGAATACTACTAATCTTCTTCATCTATTTGGCTTGTTCCTCTCGTTCCCTATCAACCTGAGCCTTGGCTGTTTTGATTGCCTTGTTGAGTTAATATCTCTTGATTAAGTTTTCCTCTTTTTTTCTTTGCTCACTACCTGGATTATAAAGAGACTCCTTAGCTGATTTTAGCTTTAATAATCCTTGATATTAAAAATACTTCATCTACAATGTCATCATGAATCTTTTTCTTCTTATACACAATCTCTAATTTCTTGTTTGGAGGTTTCAATAGTTATTATTATTTAATGAGCATATTGACCCTCCCCATCAATTGCTCTATTTATCTCTGCTACTCCACATTCTATTACTTTAATGCCAAAATTGTAGGGTCCTAATAATTCATATATAAAATAAAAATTAATTACTCATCTTTTTGCAATTGTTATAGCAATTCAATATATTGTTTATCGAAATTATCTGGCTACTCTTTTTTTATTTCAATTTACAAAGAACGCACAACTCAAGGTTAATTTTTTTATTCGGTTTTTTTGCATTCTTCATTTAAGCCTTGATGTTATGTATGAAAAGCAGTTATGAAGCGATTAAAACTATCGAATTTAATAATAATTAGAGCTCAATAAGTTGATAAGTTTCTTGTGTGATTTAATTTATAGATTAAATTAAAAATGCTAAAGGTCAATTCCAAATCTAGGACAACCCTAGCAAGCACTCCATAATCTACAGCGGAAAGTAATCGATAGAATCTCTTAATTTGGGATCAGATGTTTGGAAATTTTAACAATCCTCTTAAATCTAAAAATCAGGCATAGAGATTGGCCGCATAAAAATATTAATTGATGAACGATCCAATATGTACTTCATCTCCTTTGCATAAGCCAAACCCATTTTCGTTTAATGAAAAGCTAAGATAAGGTTTTCGAGAATATTTATGCGGGGAACGTTCTGCTCTCAACTTAGTTAATGAATGCAATCACTTGAATAGAAAGGAAGCCAAGTTAAAAAGTAGGATAAAACTAATTAAAAGAGCCAATATGTTCGCAAATTAGTTGTAAATTGGAAACAAATACAAGTCACTACATTAACAAGGACTTACAGATGAAGAAATTGAGAAAAAAGTGAGGGTCTTTTAAAGATTTGAGAAGATTAAGAAACTAGTTTAAAAGAATTCTCAGACAGAACCGAACGAAGAAAACAACCTTAGAGATGTGTAACTTTTTAGACAACTTTATGAGGTGAGTGAAGAGAACAAAAATAAAATAAAGCAAAGAAATCTATTAACTGAGAGAGCTGATGGGTAGCGTGAATTTAATAATGTAAAATACAAAACTCATGGGTAATTAAGAGTTAAAAAAGTGGAATAATAAAGAGGCAATACTGTTAGTTGCGAAAAGAAATCATTTATTAAGTAAAAGGTTCGAGATGCTATTAATGAACAATTGAGAGGATTTTTAAAGGAGCGATAATAAAAGGAGAAGGATATTTTGAACAAAGCCAAAAGGAAAATGCTTATGAAGAATAATCAGTATCAAGGGTTTTAAAAGGAGAAATATATTTTGAATGATCCTCTCAGTAAGGATGTTAAATTATACGCTTATATGTTTATGAAGAACAAAGACAAAGGAGCAAGAACAGACATATCAGAGAGAATGTGCAATACTTCCAGAAATGAGGAGAAACCAAAACATTTCATAAAGAACTTCAACAATGAATTAACATCTCGCAATGTAAGCATGTCTAATGATTCATCTCTTAATTCTATGCTAGAAATCAATATAGACAATATGTATAGAACAAGCAATACTATATAAAGTTAAATTCTTTAAAGCGATGCTGAAAAATTCGTCAGAAGGATTAAACAATTTTAAAAAGTCTAATAACTCAATTTTGAAATCATCAAAGTGAACCAACAGAAACTTTCAAGTGAACGAAAGTCCATTCTGTTTTGATTATAATATATATATCGATTATATTTATCTATTGCGAATCTTAGAGTAATTGGATCCACTCAAAATTTGAAATAAGAAATGTTGATCTCTTCGTTGAATTGAATAAATGCCAATGGATTTGATATTTCGATTAAATTTAAAAAAGATTTCATAAGTTGATAATACAACCAATTTATTATTGCAAATCAATAATTGCATAAATTTAATTATTCATAGAAACCAATTTCATCTTTACAAAAACCGTTCTAACATCGCTTTTATCATCTCATCCATTTAAGTGTGATATGATATGGCTCTATTGCCTATTTGAGTAGCTTATTCATATTATTTTTCACCTATTTCAAATAGGTAATTATCATATGGCAATTCCATCACTTCTTTCCAAACTGTGAAGTGCAATTCTAAGGATATGATGAGGATTACATTCTAATCTTCGCAAGAGAGCAACGTATTAATCCTTAGCGTTGACATGAGTATTTTTGGATTCGGTAAAGAAGAGTTCCTTATCCAATAAATCAAAAGAAGATTCAAGTTAATCATTCATCATTTTGATGAGATATTCAGATATTATGCTTCGCATTAAACTAACTAATTGGATAGATTCTTATTTCTTATTTGGATTTTATTTTTCTCTGAAGAGTTTGTCAACACTCTTCATAAAGAAATCCACCTCTTAACTTTACATCTATTTGAAAGAGCCTATCATAATCTTTGACTCCAATAACTCCAATGTCTTGTATATGTCTTACTCGTCATTCGATTCCAATACTAATTTAAATGATTAATTTTAATATACCTTCCTAGATCTTTTAATGGAGATAGTTGAACTCTTCGAATCTTTTACTTATGTCTTCTGGCTATTAGTGTTTTAGCTTGGCCAGCTCTTTGATATCACCTTCGATTAATTTTTCCTAAATTTAATTATAAATTTACTTTATCTGCAATTATTCGTTTTATCTTTTCTATGACTTCCGGAAATGTTTCCCTCAAAAACTATTTTATCTCTTCTTTCTCATTTTTGCTGCTTGTCTATTGCTACTTGAAGGATTTGATAAACTAGATTATGACTTTGGCAATACTTCTTGATAATGCTCCTTGTAAATTGTAAGGCTTTCGGCTTCAAATTCAAGATTGCCCTTTTATATCATCTCCAACTTCTCCAAAGCTGTATAGTATTCCAATTAGGATAGGAATTCCTTTATCCCATTCATCTTGTTATACAAGTCCATCAAGTGCTACTCCTGTTTATGCACATATGCAAATGCATTAATTGATAGTAGTATAATTAATAACATATTTAATAATGAATAAAGAAGGTCCTGGTTTCTTGTATAAAGTATATTCTATTTTAGAGGTATCTCATTCAACCTATTCAAGCATTCAGATTACGACGATATCGTGAGTTGGAATGACAATGGAGACGGATTTCAAGTGAAAGACATCAATATTTTTCAGAATGACATCTTGCCCAATTACTTTAAACACTCCAATTTCGCCTCTTTTGTTAGACAGGTAACACTGATTTACAAGATTATAAGTTGAATATGTATGATTTTCATAAGACAGAGAAGAATTCCTTTAAACATAAATTGTTCAAAAGAAATTAGAAGTAAAAATATTTTAAAGACAATAAAGAGAGTTGCTTCCCTAAATTAAAAGAAAAGTCAATGATTAAATCATCATACTGCCAAACATCGAATAAATTAATCAAGACTTGTCTATGTTAACGTTGAGAAACTAAGAGTTGGAGTCTCTGTTTACCTACATCATTCAACAAAGTGATAAATTAAAAAAGGAGAATGCCTTTTTATGGTAAGAATTAATTAAGATAAAGTAATACTTATTCAGATTTACTTATCTAGATAAAAAAACGATCACTAATAAGAAAAACTATTCGATTGGCTCACCAATAACATCACTGCAGAGTCTCTCTTTAAAATTCTAGAAAAAAGCATTACTAAAAGGGATCTCATTAAATTGGTAACGAGAGTCTTTGGACAAGATCAGCAAAATAAAAAAATCAAAAAAGACTATATCATTTGAATTATCTTATCATTATGACATATTTCAAAATACTGAGCATGAAGTTATTCTTATGCCTGGTGGTGAAGCAGGCATATAAACTACAATTTTAACATTCTTTGTTTTATCCCCATTTTTCAACTAAGCTGAAATATAATAATTGCTTCCATTCACAATCTGCTATTCCACATTCAATACCTTATCCCATGAATATCCAGAAGTCCCCCCACAAGATGCTAATTACTATCTAAACAATTAGAACTTTGAAAATTTTGTTTTGCAAATGCTATTGCCTATCCCAATCCTTGATCATTTGAATCTGGCTTGAATTTACCTCCTGCCATCGGTCTATGTTCTCGGCAAAAAATGCTTGATAACACTATTAATAATATCAATAATTTCATTAATTATAATAATAATTTATTAATTGAATGTTTTTATAATCTTAATTCCTCTATTTGAAAAGTCACTTATCTAATACTTTTTATTAATATAAGTAATACAAACATAAGATGATTTTAATCAAGAATATACTTTTATCATCAAACTAAATTATTGATTTATTAATCTGAAAGCAAATTTAGTCTTATTTTTTAGGTCATATTGTACTTATACTAATACCCTTATTGAAAAACAAAAGCCAGCATTTCTAAGAGAAAATTATAATTTATAATCAAAAAATTAATTATTTAAGGATATCTTATGAAACAAGTTAAATAATTGATATTGCTTTTATAATATTAATTTATATGAATGTATGATGATTTTCGAAATGGAAACTGTTATTAAAATATATTAATTTTATAAGTATGAATTAAAGCAAAATTATCCAATTTTTAAATTTAGATAAAGAAATGGCGTTTCTAGTAACTTTTTAATCCGAAATTCAAATAAATTCAAATTCTTTTAGATCTAAGGTTTTGGAATTATTTTAATTATTATAATAAAGCATGTTTTTCTTAGTAAATAGTGGTTATTTTCTATCTTTTAAGTAAATGATTGATTTAAGGCTCACATAATATTTGCCCTATGATCAGATATTAAAAATAAGCTATTTCTTCTAAAAAGACTAGTAGAATGTTCTCTAACTAAAGCATCCACTATTAACTCTATAATTTATTTACAATAACTAACATTTTTATATATTACCTGCCAAAATAAAATTTTAATTGAAATATTAATGATAATTTAATATCATTTATATGATATGTACGATGTATTAATATCATAATTTTAGATTGAATCTAAGATCTACGTTAATATTTTGAATTATTTATTTATTTCATGAATTAATTATTTAGTAGTAATATGATTAATATTTTCATTTTTTACTTATTATTTATATATTAGACTTAAGATGGGCTGATGAGCTAGACCCTCTTTTAATTTCCATAGGTCTCCAAGACGTCTACTGATGGAGAGAACTCTATCCTTTTTTTTGAAAATTCAAGGTCGACAGCATATTTAGGACCTATAATATAGATTGAAAATATATACTTAATTTTTATCGAATGCTGGTCTGTCTGATAAAACTGATGTATAGGTTGGTTGCTTTTCCTAATTTCTATTTTAAGGTTTATCTCTGATTAAATTCTAGAACGACTTGCGTAGTAAGGAAAGAGGCATAATGTTTTAAGGAGTTAAGGACATTTTTTGACTAAATTTCTTTTGTTTTTCAATATCCTATAAATTTAATTTTAGATTCTTTTTTTTATTAATTATTTTATTGTTATTACTATTAGAATTAATATTTTAATTAGTGTTGCTTTATTTTCTCAATTATAGTAATTTTAAGTCAATTATGTGATCACTCTATACTCTTAATTTTGGTTTGAATTAAAACACATCTTTTAATGATTCATTAACGAAATTAAAAAAATCAAAGAGATCATCACAACTATTTAATTCTCCAGCATCATTTTTTTAATTTAAATGGCTAACATCCATTTACAAAAACTCTTCATGTATATTCGTGTCTTTCAAATTAAAAGATATGGGCATTTCTTTAATTGATTAAGTCTAAATAGCAGACCAATCAATAGAAGTAAACCAAGGATTTTTTTTGAGAGTATTAAAATCATGAATTCTCTTATTAAAGTCCTTTTCTAGCAAATTCTAGAGTAGATAAAGCACATCAGGACTTAGCTCATCTGAAAATGTGATCTCTTCATTTTGAATCTTATAGAAGATCTCTTCTGTATTTTAAGAGTAATGAGGAGGTATCCCAAGAAGTAATTCATAAAGCAAGCAACCCAAGGTGTAGAAATCAGCTGGATAGGAGTAACCTTGTCGATTGACCACTTCAGGTGGCATATACTCAGGTGATCCACAAAAACTATTTGCCAGTTGGTCATCCTTCAAATCAAGTTTAGAGAGTCCAAAATCTGTGAGTTTAATATGACCCTTAAGATCAATTAAGATATTCTCAGGCTAATATTTAAAATTGGATATGTTACTTTAAGATCTCTATATAAGATGTTATGTTGATGCAAGTCTTCTAAAGCACAAATAACTTCACTTATATATAGTCTTGCCTCCTCATCTGAGAAGCGATAATGTTGAAGATGATAAAACATTTCACCTCCAGGTAAATATTCCATTAGAAAACAGAGATGATCTTTGATTGCGAAGGTTGCATACAATGGGATTACAAATTTAGATTGATTCAATACTTAGGATAAGATTTTCTTCTCTCTCAGAACTTGCTCCAAGCGTCTGCAATCAGTTATGTATTGTTTCTTTATCATTTTAAGTGCAAACAATCGACCGGATGCACAATGTCGAACCAAATAAACTTCAGATGTTCCTCCTCTTCCTATGCAATTTTCAAATTTGAAATCTCTTAGACTCAATGTTGATTTAGGTTATGGTTTTCCGTAGACTGCAATTAAATTTTCTTATTTAATCTTATCAATTGATAGTTAGGCTCATTTATCATTGGAATGCTTACCTCTTTCATTGGGAATTGACAGTAGGTAATCTAAGGTGATAGAGTGAGAAGCTGTTCTTAATGCCACAATCTATTAAGCATTAGGTGTTTCAGGATGTTGATATAACTATTAAATTAAAATAATATATTGACTTTGTTCATCAACTCAGCAGCATTCTTTTCAATAGAAATCTCGATGCTCACTTGTTTATTCTAACAACTAACAATCACATTGATATTTTTTAAGGATAGATTTCGTTTATGATCTAACATATTTGAACAATCAATTATAATTAATAGTATTTTATTTGTTTAAAGTGAAATTCAAATAATGATGAGCTAATTAACAATATTCACAAATCAATTTTCACAAAATCAGGCAATGACTCTCCTATATTTTTGAATTTGAGATCTCCACTAATCAACTTTTCCAAACTTCCCTCTAAAATAATTGTTAAGTAATCAAAATACTTATGGCTTCAAATGTCATCTCCCCATCATGAACAGCAAATCGCTTTCTTTTAGCTGGATTCAATAACACAATTTTTGATTCTCCTTAGAATTCTAATGTTGAACCCCACTAAAATAATTATACCCAATTAAAATTACTTTCGATTCTGTCTTTGCATCTAGCCACATAAACTTGAAAACTGTTCCTCTGTTGATATTTCTCTCATATAATGCGTTCAACCTCTTCAATGCATCTACCAAACTGTTGTCTCTAATGAAATGTTAAATAAACAAATTACGGTTTATCTCCATTGTTCAATAAGATTACACAAATCGCACTATCAATCTTTAAACAGATATCATTTGCAGATCTTTGATGTAATTGAGGAACAACTTGCATCATCCATTCCTTTGTCGCAGCACTATCAGCAGATGATCCACCTCCTGGGACAAAGACTTCGCTGTGAACATTCAGGAAATCAAACATAGGCTTAAACTTATATTCTCCTGTATATGGAAATGGTTTTTTTTCATGAGTCTTTACAAGTACCATCTTAGGGAATTCTTTGATATTGTATTTATCTAGCAAAGCCTATTCAGTTGATCTCACTATACCAAACGATAATTTTTTCTATTTGACATTTAATAAATAGACATACCTCAAATTCGACGCTCAATCCCTTGTAAACAAGTGGGAATCCTTTCTTCTCACTAAATAACAACACTTTGGGAACTGTGGGGTTTTCATTTATAAATGTGTTGATGTTAGCCTCATTAATCTCGATAGCATTGTTGTGGATGTATTTTGAAGCCAACTTCAGGATTCCATCAATTTCAAGAGGACCCTCGTAATCAATGGCAGGAACAGGATATGGAGGATATACTCTAAATGTAGGATATTTAGAGACACTCTCTTTCTAACAAATCCTTTCAGCTTCGTCGCAATCACATGAGGCTATTCTGAAAATGCCTTTATATTCATTTGTAAATTTATCATATTTTGTTGCAAATGATTTACTTTCCCCATCTAACGCATCAAATTCACATATATACCTGAGAATTTGTAGAAATGAACTATTGTAACATATTTTGTTGTTTGTCTTATTTTGTTAATCTATTTCTCAAAATTTATTTCATTCACAGGTGTGACATATGACTTTTTTACATCATACAGTTATTTTGCTAAGGTGCAGGAGAGTAAAATGAAAACCAAAAAGCTTGTCTTCATTTATTTTTTATTTTATTAATTCCACGTAAGAATAAAATTTTAATCTTAAAAGAACATTCTATCAGAAAATTTGTAATATAAATACGAAATATTATATTATAATTTTTCACTATCAGTAGTTGTGTATAAAACTGTATTTATGAAGATATTCCATAATTCAACTTACAACCTCTCCTGTTAATTTAGTTTAAACTATAAATTCGTTAAGTAATAATCAATTCTACTTTAAACAAACTCAACAAATTGTTCTAAGGAACTTTATGTTCTTCAAATTTAGGAGACAAATTCTAATTTACAAATTCATGTAAAAAGTAAAAGAGAACCATTTAAATTCCACTTAGCCTAAATCTTCAATATATTTTTGGATCAAACTATATTAATTCTTTTTAAGTGCAGTAAAGATTCGCATTAATTATTATAAAATGGCAAATAAAATATTGAGTTTCAAATAAGATTGTTAAATCTCAAATATCCAGAGAATGAATGAACAGACACTTTTATCATTTGTTTTCTAAGCATGAATATATTTATATTTAAATAATCTTTTATTTATTTGGGAGATAGCATAAGTAATGAATGGAAAAATTTTAATTAGGAAAATGAAAATAAATGAAATTAGTATGTTAAATTCTTATTGGCAATCTTGTATAATTTGAATTAGATCAAATCCAGTTAATTCAATTTATTGTTATTAATAAAATGAATAAATCATCGCTTCAGTCACCAATCAAATAATAACATCGAAAGATTATTTCTTAACAGTAAGGCAGCAGGCCATTCCGATTCTTGGATAGATTGTAGCTGTTCACAAAGCATAGGATACCACTTATTGAGGAGACTCCATAACGAAGTGAGCGATAATCAAGAAGATTGAAAAAGTACTATTCGGCAACGATGAGAAATTCTAGCTGCAATTGTGTGAATTGTGGTAAGAACAATTCATTTATACAAAAGACTTTTCAATTATTTCCCTTCGAAAGCAAGTATGTTGAATTAATTTTATACATCTTAGTTTCAATCGAAGAAAGAGACTCTACAGGAGGTTCAGGAAGTACGTTCATTGTGTGCAGTTCATCATTCGATACAAGATTGTATAAAAAATACGAGACCGACAAAGGAATAAAATGAAGAAGGCAATCAACTAGAATGTTCACATACACAAGCCTTCTGCTGTAGCCAATTTGCTTGCGGAAGGAATTAAGTAATTTTTATGAGTTGGAGTAAAGGTAATTGAGACAATAACACCATGTTGAAGTTTTGAATGAACATGATTCTGACGAGGAGTTCTATCATTTTAAACCCAAGATGCTTCAAAATCGTAAGTCCTTTGCTCATTTCCTCTCATCTCCCAAGGGATAAAAAAAGTTGGAACGAGTCTACTATGTCAAATAAGCCAATAGACCCATTAGTTAATACATTGCCAATCGCTCAAAGCCGTCTACTACCCAATGTTCTCCCAAATCTATCTTGCCTTAACTGAGTTCATTATATGATTTCAAAAACTCAATCTCGGTCAGACATATGAAAAAATTCTGATTACAACATTTATTTTTTTAATTATACCCATAGAATAGTTCCCATAATTTAAATATTAATAAATATATCCCATGAGAACATACATCGATTAATCCTAACGCAGACTCCTAGACGATAACTTCAATTTGAAATCGTTTCGTTCTCAAGCCAAAGACAAGTGGAATTTGAGTTTGACGAGTGATTTGAATTAATCGTCTTTCAATTCTGTGAGGTAAGAACTACCTCTTATGAAAGAAAGGAGAATCGTTAAGGAGTGCCATCCTTCGACAATTTGCAAGTAAGGATTCGGGACTTATCTTAATCGCGTCAGACAACTTTAAATTATAATTCTAACGATAATTTTACTCCCTAGAAGAATCTTTACTCTCCTCATAAAGCCTATGGGATGAGATAAATGTAATCTGCATTTAGCCAATATATTCAGAATTTAAACCACCTTGGGATAGAATACAATGACTAATTCAAATGAAAAGCAACCTCAAAATTCGAAATCTCAATCTTCTCAATAGAAGCTATTTTAAAGGCCGAGTGATCCTCTATAATTGCCATTGAAAGGGTCATCTAGAAAACAAGGAAGACTTTTGTCTGATGCAGTACAATTAAATGAAATCGTGGCATTGCGAAATAGGATTGAGTCATCAGTAGTTAGTAGATCATCATTGACTTCGACGTACACAATTACATTCATAAATCTAGTTATATAAGTGAGTTAGTGAAATTGGCCTAATCCATCACCACATCTCTAAAACAAGAATGAGTGATGTGAATTTCATATGGATTCTTTTCATATGAAATAATTATATATAATATAGGGAATATTCAATCTTGTCATATCTCGTATTCTTCCCAGGAGTTTTCTTCCTCCAGAATTTCTTCCACTGGTCTTGGATCCTCATAAAACAACTCTTCCCATGTCATAGCATATCTATATTTATCTACACAAATGTATCTCATTCCAATACCTTTCAATGCGTCCTGCAACAACTTCTTTCTGCTTCTCTCCAATGTTGGTTTGTACCAAACTCCATATCCCCCAATTTCTATATAGCATTACTATGACAATTACACCTCTTATTGACTTCTGCCTATGCTACAAGTTCAGCCTCCGAAAATTGTCTTTGTTTATAATAAGCCCACTTTCCAAAGAAATAATATCTGCCCCCATAGAATGCTGTAAATGCAACTCCTCCCAAGACAATAAACTTGATGATATTGTGACAAATGTACAGGTCTGATTCTTCTCAACCACCATGCATTGGTTTCCCAGACAAAGTTTGTCCACTAATAAACCATTTTTATATTAATAATAATAATATATTATCATCTGTGTCCTTTCGGTGGCAACTATTATGCTGATCTTATTGGTCTCACAGAATTAGATTGTTGCGATTAATTATCAAACTATTTCATTGACTTTTGAATCTGCTTATTCAATCTCAAATTTAATTCTTGATCTTCTTAACTATCCTCTGCCTCCTCATCATACAGGTTGTGTTATTCATAGAACTCCCTATCTTCCTTGCTCATCTTCTTATTCTATTTCTTCTCCTCAAATAGCAACTCCCCTATATCCTACTCCTCCAAAGTGTAATGCTACAATAATTGTTGTTCATCGAACTATCTCATTGTATTCGAGTATTTCTTAGCCGACTACGGCAATTTAGGTAATACCTATTGAGTATTTGACCCATATTGGGGAGCTGCTGATTGAATATCCCTCTTTTTGGCATCAATTTTCGGTTTAACAGCCTTATATTTTGTGGTTTCCTTATATTTGTTGAAGTCTATCATTTGATTCAATTCATGCTTTGTACACTTGGGAGAGTAAGCCTCTATTTCTTTGACTTACTCTTCAAATGTATTATGCATATTAACATACTGAGGATCAAATATCTCCATCCATTCAGGAGGGAAGGGATTGCAATTGTAGTAATTGTCATCAGGAAAGTATACGTTATTATATTTATACAGATTCAATTTGCCAGTATTATATTGTCCATCACAAAACTAAAGATAGAGAAATATAATTACCAATCCAACTTAGAGATTCAATATGCAATAATGGCCATTTGCAAAAAACAATAGAACTTAAGCTCTGTGTCTCTGACCTCCCATCTATGAATTTTTAAAGTGATGTATGGTTTTTGTAGATCCCTCTGCCACGTAATTAACCCACTCTGAACCTTAACACAATCTCATCTTAATCTCTGTTTCTGAGAGGAACTTCTCAATGTCTGTAGTTTCACTAAAAAAGTAATGGACTCTGATGACATTCAATTTTAGATTCTCATCGTTGACTTAAGCAAATTAATCATCGATTTATCCTTCTGGAATATCGATAGAATCTGATCTCTCAATTCCACTAAATCTAAGTTATTTTTATTGTGATTGTGAAGTTTGTTATTTATTTGATTTCAAAGTTTAATAGTTATCGTCTTTGATGATGTGTGTTTTAAATGATGATTTTGATTGATGTAAACGATATTGCAAAACTATGTTCTTTAGGTCGGTAACAGGATTACCATTTAGATCTATCAATTTCTTACCTTACAAATCGACCATCTCTAAATAGAAGAGCAACCTCCATTGATATAGTTATTCATTCAATAAAGCTGGTCTATGTTTTGGTTTACTATCCATAGGAACTCTGATGATAGCATCCCCTAATGGAATGTTCTATGCTATGGCGAATTTCTGCTCAATTTCAACTAATTCGTGTTCTCCAACGATCAACATATAACAAACATCACATACTCTACAAGGTCTGGTAGATAAATGAGATACTTTTATATTGGTCAAGTATTTATTTCGCTTTTTTAAATGTTACACTAATTCCCATAATAACTTATAGGTAAGTGTTTTGCTCGCATCGTCTTTTTTGAATATGATGCCACACAACTTGCAATAGACTGAACAAGTCAATTGATCAAGTGTCTTCTTTCCTTAGCCCACTCCCTGAATTTCACTCATGGAGATAGCATTTTCCATAATCAATTATTTGCAATTGAATAACCAGATTCTTCCCTCTGGATCTTAGAGAAAGTCAAAGACACCCGTTTTGATTCTGACAGGGTAATTCTTCTCCAAATAGGTGACAATCTATTCGCAAACCTTCTCGTATTCATAGAGTCCCACTCCCTTGATTTATTGAATGGTGAATGAGTTTTATTGTTCTGTGTTGATGGTGGTTTTATTGGTGATAGATTTTTTGGGATTGGGATCGTATAATTCCATAACGTTCATGATTCGATAACCGTAATTGGCATGGGAGGATTTTGAATTCTTAGTGTAGAATACTAATCGAACTATGGTTGCTTTCATTACCCTTGAGATTACGAATCGCTGCTCTAATTTATTGTTATCTAATTAAACTTTTCTCTCTTTTTATTATCGGAATGTGTAGACAGCCTTAGACATATTCCAATCCTACCCTGTTTGACCTCTACTTATTATGTACGGATTATCCTAATTCGTAAACACATTGGTTCTCGCATCAAATCTGTCATCTTTAACATGACGTTTCAAATATTCCTCGTGAAATTGATGCACCTAATTTAATGGACTTATACTTTATTCTCGAAATCCTAATATCCTATGTCCGTCTTTCTCATCAATTAGCCCGTTGTTGGGTCCGTGTACATCAAAATGTATGTTTATTCAAAACACATTACACTTTCAGGGATGTTGACTCTTATTTGTTCAGTCGGCAATTTTCCCAGAGCCAAAGCCTTGTAGAAAAATATTCCTATTAAAGGTTAATGGATTCAAATTAACCTGGTTTGATGGGCCATTTTTGATAATAGTCATCATTCGGAGGATTGAATAGAATTTTATTCAGAATCTATTGCCAATGCCTCTCCTTCTTCTCGGCTTCAGTTTCTATCTTTGGAGGACTCAATTGCACCGGTTTCTTTTGGGTGATTTGGGCCTCTGTTAATAAAAATGTATCAGCCATTTTATATTATAATTTAAATATTTCAACTCTATAGTTTATGATAATTTATTGTGCATTACCTTAATTGTAATTTAAGATTGGTGCCATACTCACTCGTTTCTATTGTTCCACTTCTGAGTTTACCCCTTGTCCCCTCCTTTTCCATTGAATTAATTCTCAAATTGTGCATAGATAAATTGCATCTTCGTTGACGCTTACTGAAAGAAATGCTTATTGGCTCATAATATAAATAAGGTCCAAATTTAATTAAATCAGTATTCTTGTTATTAACTAAATAGGGAACTTTGGGAAATTTATTATATCAAACAATAAAAATGATTTCGTAGTAACACATTCTTATGAGTGATATTTGCTAATTGGGATTGCTAGTTTACATCAATCTAGGTACGCATTTTCAAATTAAGATAGCCAACTCATTTCTTTAACTCTTCCTTCAAAGTATTCTTTATTCAAGTGGAATAATCATCTCGCTTTTATGCTACTTTTTGAAAAAGGATACTTGGAATAAAAAGTTGGAAATCATAGGCATAATCTTGAAGATCATCTCGTTGTGGTTTGCGTAATAAGAAAGTTAGGAATTCATGCTTTGCTCATTAATTTAAAGCTAAATGTTTTTTAAATCTATTGACATAATAAAACAGCCACAATATCCAATTATGATTGTGTTTTAAATGGCTTTCAATATTTTTCAGATCAGAGGAGTCATCAATAACATTACGATAACATCCCTAAATTTAGTCTAGGTTATTATATTTATTGTATGGTTATACAGAGTGTAAAAACACAATATAATAATAGATTAGAGAGTTAAATTGTAAGAAGCCAATGTTATTATAGAAATTGATGAAGGCAGGGATTCTTTAAAATAACATTAGAAATTCATTCAAACTTCCTCAACAAAAAGAGTGATTCTGCCTCAGAATTCCTTAATATTCAATTAAGAATTGGAACTGATAGACTGCTAAATGGAGTTCGAGAAATTGATGAATCATCAAAGCTATTGTGATTAGGCGATTCAAATAATGTTAAGTTTAAGGTTAAATTATATTTTCGAGAATTAAATCAAGTCTTGCGAATTAAAATAATTAATGGAGCAATTATCGCTAGATCAAAGGATTTTGGGAGTCATCGATAAAAACGATTACATAAAATACGAAGATCATTTAGTGCTTCTGAGTTGTTTATTATATGAGGACATCAAATGTTATTAGATTCAAATAGAGCAGGTGCCATTCAAATTGAAGAAGATAGAAATGGAGGAATCTATGGAAGTGGATATGTGTAGATCCTTGTCTCACGAACTGGGAACCAATTTAAACAGCATAATTACATTTACAGCTATGGCTTTGGAAGACGATAAAGTGGATAAGTACACTAAATTGAAGTTTTTGGATCCTATATGGATTAATTGTGAGTAATTAAGTCTAATAGTTGGGTCAATACGAGATTATAATTTAATTAATTTGTAGCAATTTTCATTAAAATTAGAAGAATTGGATGTAGAACAAGAAATTAAATTTATGGTATCTTTATTTTCAGAAAGCATTGAAAGTAAATAAATAAAAGTAGATTATAAATTTGATTTGCAATGTTTTACTTTAGTGGGAGACAAAACAAGATTCCGATAAGTTCTATTTCAATTACTTTAAAATGCCATAAAATATACATTTCAATCATCCATTACGATCGTAGTCGTCAATGACAATTTGGAGTGCAAGGTATTGATTGAAGATGATGGTGTTGGGATGGTAAAGATTTAATAAATCAATTAGAGTGAAGATGAGGCAAATAATTTAAATTCGTTATTGAAATCCAACAAGTTCATTCGAGTCTCAGAACAATCTGTGGGTATTGGATTGGGTTTAGGAATATCGAATCAATTGGTCAAGAAAATGGGGAATCAAGACAATCAAATAGAACTAAAGAGGATGGCCAAAGGATGTTAATTCAGTTTTGCCATAAAAAACCATTTTTATGAATTAACCAAAGAGTTCACGAGGAAGAAATCATCTCGATTGACTAATAGAAGCAATTAAACAATTAGATTTATTTCTGCCAATTCTTATTTCGAGAATTAGATCAAGGAATAATCTATTTGTTTGAAAGGAAGTATCAATCAAAATAATACAAAAATGTATGTGATTCCATCAACAAAATAAATTAGTTTGAGTCACGAGATTAAAAGTTAAAAAGAAGAAGATAGCGTTTTATCAATTCATCCCCCAATTTTAAGTCCCAAATTTTAATAATCTATAATCCAATGCAGTTTAAAAAGCGATTGTTGTTCAAGAGTATTAATTGTTGATGATGAATATTTCAACATTTAATGTTTAAAATTGTTAATGACTAAATATTAATCAAAATGTGATTCTGCTTATAATGGAAGCGAAGCAATAAACTAAGTGTTGAATAAGAAAAACAACGCCTGCAAAATTTGTGGAAATAAATACTATAGTTTGATATTTTTAGATATCAATATGCCAATTATGGATGGATTTAATACTGTGAAAGAATTAAAGAGAATGATGGGCTAATAGATCATTAATAAGGCATTTTGCATAGCGAACACTGGGTTTTGTGATTTGGAGACTAAATTGAAGAGTTATGAGTCAGGGATGGACTACTATTTAACTAAACCTTTAGATTAGAATGAATTGAATTCGATTTTGAATGATATATTTCCTATGATTGACTACTGATTATAATGAATATGTACTATAATTAATTAAATTGAATTGTGTATTGGGGATGTTAATATGAAAAAAAATTAAATCATTTTAAATAAATTATTAAAAAATAAAAATTCTTATGCCATCAAAGAGAAGAAATAATGGTCGTTCCAAGAAAAATAGAGGACATGTCAAACCAGTTACATGCTCCAATTGTTGCAGATTAGTTGGCAAAGATAAGGCCATCAAGAGATTCACAGTCAGAGACATTGTTGATGCATCATCAAAAAAGGATATCTTGGAAGCATCAGCTTATGACACCAAATAATAATAGTCAATTCCAAAATTGTTCGACAAACTCTAAGTAGTGTTTATATTAACCAGAATAGTATTGCGTATCATGTGCTATCCATGCTCGTATTGTGAGAGTCAGATCTTCTGAGGACAGAAAAATTCGTGTCATTGAAAGAAAACGACCTGTTTAATAAACAACTTAAAAAAAGGATGCCCCCAAGGTTTAAGCTCCAGTCGCAGCTCAATGATCTATATATTACAAACATACATTAATAAATTTAAATTTCCTATTCAATCAAGGGCTTTCTAATTATGTGAGTATAAATAATTTAAAAAAAAATTAATATCTTCAAAAAATGACACATAGTTATGGTTTGAAAAAAGGTACAAGAAGCAAGTTTGCTAAACCCTTCAGAGGACATGGAAACATTAGCATTCGCAAAACACTCCAAACCTTCAAAAGAGGTACATTCCCATCATGAATCTTAGGTGATTTCGTCGATATTTTGGTTGATGGTGCATAACACAAGGGTGTCCCCTTCTAATATTATCATGGACGTACTGCCAGAGTATTCAATGTCAATCCAAGAGGAATTGGTGTCTCATTACAAAGAAGAGTCAGAGGTAGATATGTCGAGAAGAGATTCCATGTCAGAGCTGATCATTTGAGACCATCAAAATGCAGAGAGGAATTTGTTAAGAGAGTCCAAGAGAACGATAAAAAGAAAACAGAAGCCAATAAATAAAAAAAACATATTTCAACCAAAAGACAACCAGTCCTCCCAAGAAATGCTGAAGTCGTCAAACCAACAGCTACAGTCTTTTAACATCCAAAAGCATTTGTAGAAATTATTTGAAATATAATACAATAAGTATATCTATACATCAATATTTAATATTAATTATTAGATGATCAACAAGAACAGTCTTTACTCCTTTTTCGAATGATCCTTCTCTTCTCTCATTACTTTCCACCTCCATTCCTCCTTTGAATTTCATTATATGAGATTTATAATATTGCTTAGATTAATATTATTTATAATTTTTGAGAATATTCATAGATGTAATCCAAAGACTTTTAATTGTAATTAGATTTTTAAGCTTTAAGAGAATCATAAATACAACTGGACAATATTATTGATCAAATTTAAAAATAAAAACAATCACAATCCTTAAAATTAAATTAACTTTCATCATCCAATTTCGAATTCACTTAAACCTTATAGTAATTTGCTATTTCCAATTCCCCCATCAAAGACACTGATAATAATAGTAAATTACCCAATTCAAAGGATTCTGAATAAGAGAAGCTGAAAATTTAGAAGGCTGATGATTTGAAAAAGAAAGGGAACAATTACTATTGTAATGCTAATTATTAATAAGCCATCCTCATGTATACTGAGGCTCTGCAATTGATTTAAGATAATGTGGTCTTATGGCTCAATAGAGCTATCTCATATATCAAATTAAATTAATTTCATCAAGCAATTGAAGATTGTTCAAAAGTATTGGAAATTGCTAATTAAGGGAAGGATGCCTTGAAGGCCAATAGTGATAACTGTTTTAAAGCATACTTAAGAAGAGCATTTGCATACTTTAAGGTGAATTAATTTGCTCTCGCTCTATCCGATATTGAGTAGGCCTTGATTATTGATCCAAAGAGTTTAGAAGCTGAGAAGTTGAAAATGGATGTTGAAAGATAATGTGTACAAAAATAGAAGAGTTAATAAGAGATCAATAATGTTACTCCCAAGAAAAAGATTGTTGATTCAGAATTGAATTATTAGGACGTTATTGACAACTTCTTTTAACAAAAAGACAACTTTGATCTCTTTCGAGCATTATAAGTGATGTAGAAGAATACTGATGAAGCAGCTGCCTATTTCTATGATAAGAAGGGAATTGAAACTTTAATATAAATAATTTAATCGGATGAAGAAGTCTAACATGATTAATACAACGTATTTTATCTTAAAAAATTAGTTGATGGCTAGTCTCCCAGCAATGATCTTATAATGCTATTAAGAAAACAACTAGTTATACTAAGAGTAATTCATAAGAAAATACAATGGAGTTGATCTCTTGATTCAGAAAATAATCAGCTTGCTAGATAAGGCCAATAATAAAAAGAATTCAGCAATTTACGATTGCATCAAAGATTATATTGATGCTTTAAATATTATGACAGATAACAAAATAAGGAATCTTATTTAATCAAATCCAAATTTTGAAACCAAATTTTATTCTTAAATATTCTGTCCAATCCTAAGTCTACATCAAACTGAAATCGAACTAACAACCTCATTATTAAGTTTAAGTGCCAACCTATGTTTTGATGTAAATAGTTCCATTAGAATTGTATTTTATAACAAATTTGATGATATGATAATTGCAGTGATTCAAATTTTAGAAAATGCTAAATTGAGTCTCTCCTCATGTAATTTACTAGTATAATTGTTTAATTATTTGTCAAACTTGTTAATTGAAGAGTAATTTAGACAAAAATTTCTGAGCCAAGACTTCAATAAAGAATTTTTTAAATAGTTTTTCGATATTTTAAAAAAACTTGATTTGCATTTTAAAGAACTGTTATAAATTTAATTAGGCTTTCTAATTAATCTTTTGTATCAAAATGAGATAATCCATTCCGAGTATCTGATATTTGAATTGAGAACTCTGCCTAGCTTATTTGCATAATTTAGTCTATCTAAAGATGCGATAATTTTGGAAAGAATAGAAATTCTTCAATCCTTTTTATAGATTCGAAAATATTATTTATTTAATTAGAAAACCAAAAGCAATTGAGATGAAAATAAGTTGATAATTTAATTCAATTTGATGTGTTTATATTTTATTATATAGTATTATAAACAATTAGAATTCTTATTAATTATTTATATTAGATTTGGAAGTTTGATTGTTTAGAACAATGATTTCTAAAGAATGAATTCATCAAGGTAATTTTATTTGATAGAAGAACACCTATCTTAATGAAGTCATTATTTTTAATTTCAAATCAATTAATTACTCAGTTTAACTCATAAGCATTGTAAAAATACTAAGTTCTTAGAGATTGAAACAAATATTGAAATATCATGGATTCTTGAAAGTGGATAATAATTGATGAATTAAGTGAAAGGTAAGAAAAAAATCATTCAGTATGATATTTAATTACTGAAATTTTACCACAAATAACAAATAGATAGTTGGTATAAGTAAATGGATGTCTGACTATGGTAATAGTATTATTTTAGAAAGTTGATATACTGTTATGTGCAACTTAAAGGAATTGTTAAAATCCTTCAGATCTATAACTATATTAAGACATACTAAGTTTAATGTTTGGATATCTAAATTTAATTACAATTTAATCAGAAATAGTTTTCTGGAATAATTCCTTATTTTTATAATAAGGAGATTTATCAAGAATTTTTAATGAAGAATTGAAATTAATTAAAAATCAATTTATCAATAAAAACAAGAACTATAATAGCATCTAAGATCAGAAATTTACTTGCCTTATGAAGTGGAAAAAAAAGACGATCAATTCCTGGTTTAAAGATTTTGAATATATTCTATATATGAAATTTGCACTTCAATCAAAAGAAATAAATTATAATTTCAAAATATTTAATCAACTACCAAGCGGGTTTAAAACTAAAACAAGGGGCTGTTCTAGGTTCTTTAGAGTTTTAAAATCTTGTAATTAGATGCCACATTACAAAAGCATTAAAGTTAACTGATTTCTACTTTTAACTGCTCTTATTCTTAATCCTAATTCCAATAATGACCGACTTAATTAATTTAATAGTAAAATGTATAATGTAGAACCCATCAGTTTATCAAAATCATAAACTTCAGAATGCTGCTTAAATAACAGAAGTACCACTTTAGCACATAATAAGATAATCGCTTTTGAAAAACGCATAAAATCTTTGTAGAGTCATTTACCTAGATTTTTAAGAAGTGAACTTCTTTATAACCATTTTGGAATATTGCGTTGGGTATTTTGAATAACAGAAGCTGATTGGTTTGAAAGAATACTATCTTAAATAATTTTTGCATTGTCTGTTAAAGCACCTCGGATATAAATGAGGTATATATTTTGACAGACATATTGATTACAACGCTAGAGTCTGAAATAGTTTGTCTGACAGCAGCAAACTTAATATAGAATGATGACAAAAAAAGAGAGAAAAATGATGAAAGTTCATAAGAGATCTACTTATATGTTTTAATTCAATTTATTATTAAATTCATATTCCTTTTTTCAATATTGAAGTAGTTGGATATCTAAAGAGTTTAAGGTTTGTTCCAGTTTGTTTTTGGTAGAGAATCAAATCCTCGCTCACCATAACTGGAGGATCTGATTCTTCAAACAAGAGGACAACTTCTAATTCATTGAAACTGACTTTTCTTGATTCCTTTTTTTCGGAATTCAATCTATTGATAAAAAAGGTTTCTCTAAATTCTTTGACTTGAGAAATACTCGGCTCATCTTCATAATATACTTCATCTATGGATGTGTCTGTGCTGGTGTATGAGCATTGCATAGTTTGAATATTTTTATTAATATTAATAAGATTTGTGGTGTAATTATCAACAACATTAAAAAGTGAGATTACATCTGTATATAAATTTAATTTCAATTATAATCTAAAAATACCAAATATTTATGAGTGATTATTATTGATTTTTACATAATAAATTGAGTTTATTAAATTAATTAAAATGTTTGTAAGTTACTAAATCCATTAAACTTCATTCTCTTTTATGTATAAGAATAAAAAGCGATTTACATAAATGTTAACAATTAATTTATAAAATGAGTTGTAATGATATCAATTCTTCTTCTGATTAAACTTCCCATTTGATATTTGAACCTTCTCCAATCCATTTTTCTTATTTATTTATTATTTATTATCTTTCAGAATTGACTCCAAGAACTTCCGATCAGAGTATCTGTTTAATAGCTCTTTTGAATCATTTCCATTCTATTATTAATATTGATGCTTGAAATTTTTCATCAAAATTAGAGTGTCCTAATACACATCTTAATTAATTGATTGTATGTTAGTCACTTCGCATTTGCCTACTTTTTGGGGTGAATACTACTGAGTGGCTCCCGAATTGAGTTTTTACATATTATCAACACATCTATCGTACCACTCTGAGAGATAAAGGAATATGTGATGTTTCTCCTTTGAAAAATATTTTAAATTAAGATACTTTAATCTTAAGCTTGGGATTTAGACGAAGCTTCGATTATGCTGTCACATCTAATTGAGACTACTACGGCACCAACAAAGGATTCAGCAACACTGTGGCCTATATTGGCATACTTCATTTTATATTTATGGTATATACATGACTTCATCAATTTACTTTGGACCTTCTTGAGTCTCACTGCTCTTTGTCTCCTGGTTTGGCTTGAATAATAAGCTTTAAATACCTTGGAACGCTTTCGTTTCAATAAGGCTGCCTTAATAAAAACTAAAGTTAAAGGTGACTTACCTCCTCTAATTTTTGTTATTCTTCTATCCTCTGCAAATACGATTTCAATTTTCTCTCCTCTCTGCTTGATGCCTGTTCCTTTATGTAATAATTTTAATTTGATGATTATTTCCTATTCCCCAATCGATGAACCTTATATTATTTCCTCTATTGTCCTTCCTATGAAGATGGTTGACTGAGGTTATCCAGACTTTCAGGCTTAGATAGATCATTCGCACTCATTTTTTTATTTTATTAAATTCAAGATTTTTAATGAATTTTTAAGCCCTTTAATATTTTTATTTCCTCAATAATCCTCAACACACTATCATTTCACATAAATCCCTTTTTTCTCTCTATTGATCTATCTTTTTTATTACTAATTTATATATATTATTTATTTAATTACAAATAATTAACAGCCAAATACACTATCTTCTACTCAAATCCATATCTCCAAATCCCTCCACCTCCATTAAATTACTTCTCCATGTTATTTTTATTTCATTATAAATTTCTATCTTCTCTTCACAAAGACTTAATAAATACATTAATAATTTTGGTATTATAAACAAAAAAACTTCATTCATTCACTAATTCAAATTTTATAAATTTGAGTCTCCCTCGCTTTTCCACATTATGGTATTAAACCAAACTTAGAAAATACACAAACAAGTCATGATTATTAAATAAATTTATATTTTTTATAAATTGATTTATTCATAAAACAAATGCTCATCGCATTCTTTTTAGCGTTTTAGCATGTCTTAGCAGATTGCATAGAAAATTCATATTTCACTTATCCAAATTAGGCTGAATGGGTTTATGTATTCATCTTCTTTATTTACTATTAGGCTGTAAAGAGAATCTCAATTAAATTAGAGGGAGAATATGTAATAGGATATGGAGATGATTATGAAGTCAAAGATAAATCAAAGATTTAAATCAAATAAGTACCAGGAGGCTTAACATTTGGACCATCTAATTTTGAGATATATTGTCCAGCTCTTCACAAATTATCCAATAAAGATTTAGTGAAATGCGAAATCCAATTAAACATGAAAGAAATAAATGCCACCTCTGTTCCTTCTAAAGCATTGTTTGTATTCTCAGTAGAAATAGATAATGGCCTTAAAGAAAACCCTGTGTTTGCAATTGAAAACAATTTCTAAATGAGATTGAAAGATTTTGCTAAATAATTGGAAAATATGGCATATTACCTTGAGTACGAGAATTGTGATCAAATGGTCTATTTATTGCCAGATTCATTACCAATTTCATCAGAACAGGTTGCATTGCTCTAAAAATACTCAAAAACGTTACCTGATGATAGTCCAACAACCTAAATAACCGAGTCAATCAAGGGGTAACTGTTTGTTGAAAATTTCTCAATCGATTCAGGTTCAAAAACTCATCTTTATGGTCTCGCCGCCATCATTATTGGTGTAATAATATTGGCAGCAATCAGAGCTTTTAAGTAAATATGCTTCGAGTATTTTATAGCAAAAAGCGAGAATAATCATAATAGAATGATCCTACTAAACAACCATTAAATGAATAAGAACTACCAAAGTTAGCTTGATCCTATATTTTTATGCATTTTTTATATCATCAAATTTCTTATCATTTTGAACAAATATTTTATTATTATAAATATAAACAAAGGATGTAAGAAGCCAGATAGTTATTAATATCTAAAAACTATGATGAAGCATTTACAAAATATAATTAATTGCTTAGTGAGAATATAGATAATAATAACAAATCAATATGCGCCTTGAATTGTGCGATATGTCTCATTAATAAATAAAATTATGAATAGGCTATGGAATTTATTGAAAAATCTATAACTTATAATCCCAAATATATCAAGGCATATTATCGAAAGGCATAAGTTTTAATTTAAATGAAGCAATATGAGGAGGCTTTGTAAATAATATAAAATTTAGATCCGTGTTAAGAAGTCAATGAATTAAAAGAACTTATTAAACTGCAGTTTAGTGATCCTATGTATGTAATAAATGATCTAAAGAGTTGTGCAACTGAAAAGGATGCTATCAAATTCTTTAATGAATTGTATAGCAAATAAGATTACATTAATTATGATAAATTAATGAAGGAAAATGGATTTTGTTAATAGATTCTCACTTAAAAATTCGTATTCTAATAAATGAAATACATTTAATATTGCTTTATCAAATCTCATATGCAGTATTTACCTAAGTGGTTACAGGAATACTTATTAGCCAATTTCGAATTTTATTGCAAGTCTGAATAAGCTTCAAAAGTTTATGAATTAATTAACATATATTGTTCATTATTTTCTCATTTCCAAGTTAATTAGTAAGTGTTAGATTTGATAATTGAAAATTAATACTTTTTCCTAGAGAAATACTTGAAATGCACTGTTTAATTGTTTGTCTAAAATCAAAACCCTGTTGTCAGTGTAGAATTCATTGAGAAGGTAGCTTATAAGGCTAAAAAGGCTGAAGACTTTGACACAAATACTGAAATGTATTATCTAATTGTTGATCTAATTATATTATTGACAAAACCAAAATTAATACACTTTGGCTTTTTAAAGAGGGACACTTTTAGATATCAGGACTTATTGATCTTAATAGGAATCATCAGCAATAGCTAACTGGAATCAATTAGAAAGACTTATACAAATTTGGCGATAAAGTTATTGAATACAATAGAGAAAAAGTTGAATAAATTGAGATACATCAACTTAATAAACTAAATACTAATGATGACATTAAATAACTTTGAATTCAACCAAGAAATCAATGATAATTCTGTTAAATTGTCTGAAACATTGCTAGATTATATATAAGAATATAGAAAAAGTAAACAATTCAATTAAAATATCAAAAAGTTTTGCTTGCTCTTTCTACTTTAGAGTAAAGGTAAATATTTGTAATTGTATGAATATATTCACAAGGCAGATTGCGAAATCTTGTTGGAACACATATTCGAAGATCATAATATCGAAATTGATGAATCTATAGTGTTATTATAATTTATTACTTAATTTGATGATATCAAGATTATGATAATGCAGAAGAGAGAGCAACTTAAAAAGATTTATAATAACATAAATAATCAATTTAAATTGGAAGGTAAAACATCACTTCAGAAGTTAAGACAATATCAGATTTTAGTAGGTTACTTTAATATCTTATTATAATTGACTACGGATAGATCTGCTGAAACAAAGGAAGAACAGAAACAGAGATTCTAGATTAATGATGAATAATATGAATAAAATCGTTAATTTGCTAAGTAGTATTAATAAGACATTTCTGAAAAGTATTTTACTTATACAAACGAATACATCATGAAAGAATAAATTGTAAAATTCATAGCTCTTGAAATGAGAACAATTCAATTACTGTCATCATTTATATTTTAATATTAAGACATACTAAACAATGAAAATGTTGTATCGAAATTACTTACTTAATTTAGTTCTGAAGATTAAGTTCATTAATACTTATTTGATAAATAATGTTTAAAATTAGTATCGAAATCTATCTTATCAAAGAATGAATTTGGAATTCCCTATTTATGTAAATAGATGAGAAATGCAAATCCAGAATTATTTGATTTTAAGGAGGCATAATTGATATGTGATGCTCTCTTTGTTTGTTCTTAGAATGCCACTCATGAATTATTGACATTTTATGCATTATTGGGAATTGTGCAATTGACATCACTGGGTGATTTTATTGTGGATAGAATCATGGATTAGAAACAATACATATAAATATAGAATTTCCTAATGGATGAGAATAATTATATAGTTCATGCTAGTCTAGAGATTTTTAACAATATATCTTTGAATGAAAAGTTCTTAGTACTTTTGGAGGATAGTAAATTGCCTACATTTCTTCAATTAGTATAAGCTTTGACAAAACAATTCTATGAGAATATTGAAGGTAAGCCTGGATAGAATGAAAAAGACTTCAGTCACCCTAAGTAAATATTATAAACATTGTTGGGATTGATTTCAATAATTTCATAAGTGTTGATTGTTCAAGATTATTTCAAAAAGGAATTGCCTCTGATTGTAGATAGATAGTTTTATAATAGAGTCCTACCTTATTCGAATGAGAACCAAATAAAAAAAGTAATAATTGTAAATATATTGATAGATCAAGATAGTTTGGGAAGAGTACGGATATAAACATCATTGAATAGTTTGATTAAATTTAAAATTATAATATAAGTATCATCAAATTTACATCATCCTCTTGGAAATATTTTGGTTGCTATGCTCTTGAAAGTAGCTATGTTCAAGGGTTTAGTCATAAAGTAATCTATACCAGCATCATAGGCCTTCTCCTTAGTTTCCAGATCACTGAAGCCTGTGTTGGCAATGACGTACACCTTTTTAATGATTCGATTTTGCATCATTCTTTTGATAACTCTGACTGTTTCAATTCCACCCATGATGGGCATGTTGATATCAAGGAAGATCAGTTAATACCAGCAATTTTGGCATTTGGGACAGGGTTTGACTAATTTGTTGTTTATTAGTTCGAGTGCCTCCATTCCATTATAGGCTTTATCACTGATGGCAGAGTATTAAGACATTAACATCTATAAGGCCATAATATTGAAGTATTCGTCATCAACAATTAGGACTCTTGGACAGCAAGTGCTCTTTAGCGAATAGGCTTGAATAGTATCTTAGAGTTGGGGTATAATAGATTGTATAGGTTGAAGAGTCTATTTGTTTTCATCGAATTCTTTGGAATAAACAGTGAGATTGCCATCGTCTAGATTGGATTGTCCACTGAAAATAGATTTAAAAGTGGCTTAGCTGAACTTGATTTGTACATCATTGATGTTTTCATAATATGAATTGATAGTTTGAAATTTGACAATGGTTCTATGAAAATTAGATTGTAGTTTTTCGATGTTATCTTTGAATTCAGTCATATTTTTAATGAAGAAATAAAAACATGAGCCAGATTTATTTGAAGTGAATTGAATTTTGCAATCTTCATCAGCATTCAATTTTTTAACAAGTAAATTGCTTATAAAGAGTCCAAGACTTGATCCTATACTATTGTCAGAGACTCTCAACATTATCCGTTGCTCTAAGATTCTCCTCAAATTACTCTCCTCTTGAAAACCCTAATATAAATATTAATATTCTAACCATGCCAATTCCAGTATCCTTGACCATGATTTCATAAGAATACTCCTTTTGTTTGATCAATATTTAGATACTGCCAGTGATGGTAAAACGAACAGCATTAGACACTAATTGAAAGATCACTTAACGAAATCGATCGCGATCATTGAATATGGGAACTAATTAGGAAATGAATGATACAAGATTCTGTTGGTAAAATCAATTCGATTCCTTTTTATTGGCAAGTGGGTTGGAAGAAGTCTACGATTTCTTGGATTTACTCCCGAATGTTGAATGTTGATAGACTCAGATAGAATTGATCAGTTTCAATTGAACTATAATCTCTGATGTTGGAGATGATCAAATTCAATTACTGACTATTGGATAGGATTGGCTAGACAATGTTGTCTTTGACATCTTGTGTGATTGATGACTTTTAGAGGGCAATTTCTGATAAGCTTTGGATGCAATTGAGATTGGTTCCTAGTTCGTGAGATAGGGATTTGCACATGTCGAAAACGTTGTTGTTGATCTCGATGGTGAGTTTAGGAACAAGTTGAAAATGCATTATATAATACATTTATCTTCTGCCCATCAAACCGAAGACGTTTATCAAATACTTCTGAATGTCGAAGACTTGTCCTTGCATCTGGAATGTCTAATAATAATAATCAGAATTAATCTGAGTTTACAACTGGTTCTCCAAGACCTACCTCAAAGTCACAACTCCTTTTTAAGACACAAGCGATTGCTGACTGTTGTCTAGTCTTGAGATAAACTTTACTCCCTAATCCAATAGGTGATTCACTATTTCTTCCTAGTCATCTGTGGATTCAATCGATTTGTCAAATATTTTAAGATCGAAACTGTAGAACTTCATTTTTAAATCTGCTCCCATGACTAAGTATTTCTCGTATGATAACCATTTACTTATTAGATTAAATATTCTTACTAATCTAGCCATGGTTCGTCGTCCATCATCTTCAACGAATTTATCATCGGCATGCTTCTTCTGGATTCTTGGATGATCGCAAAGGTTTGTTATATTTACCCCCCTCCAGTTGAGACTTGAGCAAAGGATTGCTGAAGTTTATCTCCCTCGGACAATTTCCCTTAATACAAATTTTAGACTATCCAAATAACAATTTGCATGAAGTTTATGAGTTAATCATATCCTAAATTAATAAAATTGTTGAATTCGAATAAATTTAGAATCATCATACAAGCAAATGAATATTGTAGCGATTTTCTTTTGTAACTTTCTTAGGTCATGTAAATTTAAAATAGGATTAGAAGGTTTTGATTGGTGCTCAGCCTGACATCCATAATCCAAACAATCACTATCTTTCCCAAAGATGAAACCAAATTCAATTTGTATTTCATATCGACTTGCCATTCAACAAATACTAGTAGTTGTTGTAACATTACAAATAATCCAAATCCAACCATCAGAGAAATCGTTAATAACTAACCTAGTCCGTCCTCAAACGATTAAAAAAGCAAGATTGAAATCATAGCCAAATCCATTACAATGAATAAGAAAGTATTCACAATCAATAATTTTTTATATACCATTTAATTAAATTAATAATATCATTTAATTTTTCTTCTACTGAGAATCTTCTCCATCATTGATTTGTCCTCTTCCTGCAAAGTACATAAAATTAATGGTTCCATGTTAAAGTAATTGTCATTCTTCCGTCTAATCATATTAATAACCAAATTACCCTCCTGTTCGCTTCCCCAAAACAGTGGCCAAATCCCTGAACATCTCCTGTAAACAATTACGTCTCTTCTCCAAAATCGAGTATTTGTGATTTATCCTCTGCACCGGAGGAAATGCCTTCAAATAGAAATCCACTCTCTGCGTTGTCAAATATGCTCTCTAACACAAGACATCCACCAAATTGATTAACTCCTTAAAATTACTAGTCTTGATATTCTAATTCCACCAATTCGCAATCTAATCCCCACACTCAGGCATATCCAACATATCCAACAGACTCTTCATCTTATAATCTGGCAAACCACTATCAAAGAACCCTTAGCACACCGATCTGTAGGCGAAATACTCTCTAAAGTCGTGCATCAATTGAAGCCAAGTCTTAGGCAATAAATAACTCTACGGTAAAACACTAAATAGTTGAATGATTGGAGGCTTCTTCAATTCGATTTCCATGAACTCAATTGTGACCTAAGGTTGATTCAGTTGTTTCTTGAATAACCCCTTTGGCTATATGATTGATTGAGGGTCGATCACCATTTAGTTAAAAGGAGAACCACCTTAACATCATGTTTCATAATTACCATTCATCTAAATGATCTATTTGCCTGGTTTCTTAATACTTGTTAACAGAATCTCTCCATAACTAACTGAAAGTGGATTCAAAGTACCTAATTTCTCCATATGAGCAATAAATTCAATGACTAACACCAATTATTAATCCTTCTTTGTTGGCACGCATCTCAAAATTATTGGATAATCAACTAAAAATAGCCATCTATGTCAATGTTATCAAATTATACTTATCAGGGGATGAGGGATCAGCTTAGCAAGGTACAAAGACTGTATTACCAATAAATTTTTAATTTACTTTATCAAACAAACACATTGCTACTTCTCTCAACCTAAATGATTTTAAATCACACTTCTTTTCATCTGGAGATGGTAAACCAGCAGCCAAATGGAATTTAATTTCGTAAAAGACCAATGGAGGTGTCTGAGTCCTAATTTTAATTTATAATCTACATATCAATTAAGGATCTTTAAAGATTGTACTTTTAGGCCTAAATCAAATTTAAATCTTCATATAATAATCCACTGCTGTCCAGTTGAGGTGAGAGACAACTGGAAATTGTGTTCAAACCCTTTTTATTCTGAGCAAAAATAAAGGAATAAGTGAAGTTCTTAGGGATGCCCTAGAATAGTTCTCTTATCCCTGTAATTGAAAGGTTCTTGAAGTTGTTGATCTTGGTGAGAAGTGTCTAAGACTTAGGAGTATGTTGTGAGAACGGTTTATCCAAGAAATTGATGAGTTCGTCTTACTCGATGAATCCACTTCCATCCTCATCAATTTCTTCAAAGAGATCTATTAGATCATTATTATCTAGTAAGATTCCTAATTTCTTAAACACCTATTGCAATTGAGCCATGTCCAACTCATTTCTATTGGCATCTGTTAAGATATTATATTCACTCTAGATTTAAGCAAACAGTTCGTCTGTGGACAATATGGCTTTCATCAATTAATCCTTAATAATGACATTGAATTCCATTTTCGATATCTTTTCATCATGGTTCTTATCAAAGACTTGAAAATATTAATCCAATTCTTGCGGAGTGGGATTGATACCAAGTTAGAGCAAAGCAATATTCAATTCCTTGGGATCCAACCATCCATTTTAATTTGAATCAATTGAGTTAAATAAATCCTCAATCTATTAATCTAAAGTAGGTTCATTATTTTCATTGACTTCTTTCTAGAATCTCACTGGTTTTAATTGCTAAGTTTAGGCAGGTTGTTGATCTTCATTGTTCTAGTGCTCAGACATATTATCTTCTTATTTATTTTCAGCTATCTATTTTTTATACTCTTCTATGTAATTCTCTTGTTGCGAAAGTTGTTACAAATCTTGTCGTTGAAATGATCTTTTATCGTTGGCTCCTTATTTGAGAGCAGTTTGAGCATTGAGAGTATGATGCACATTGATTGATCGTTGACTCGAAGAACTCGACATGTTGATGTGTTATGAGCTTCCTTATTAATGCTATTGAGATTGGAAGATGTTTGAATTCTGATTATTTTGAATTGGCATCTCCGATTATCCTTAGGAACCCTCCATATTATCTGAGCTTTGATTGAGGATGATCTGTGTTTTTTTTTTGTTTTAATCGATTATGTTAATTTTTAATTATCTTGCCAATGCAGACAAAGTAGTAATTTCTTGTATAAATAGCTTTTCCTTCAATGCCACTATTTCTTCTATGTTTATATCGATAATTATATTTTTAACAACTTCTTCGAAATTAGTAAAGGTTATCTACTTCTATTAGTCTGCTTTGGCAACAAAGTCACACCACAATCCTTTCTCTTTAATTTCTCTAGTTAGGACACTTGAGATGTCTTTGTAGACACTTTCTAAATTTTAAGCCATTTAAAATATATAATAACTATATTAAATTTGTAATGAAATTATAATGAGATGGGTGGAGTATATGGGATTGTAATTGGGAAGCAAGGAGTGTGTTCTTTTTTGATTATTAAAATTATTTTCAAGATTAAATTAAAATGTCTGGTTTTATGAGATTAACAAAAATCAATAGGTTAATGCAAAGGTCGGAAGAGAATATGAAAAATTTGAAGTCCTTGTATGCACCTCAATTTAATCGAGGGTATGATGACGATTTGACTGTGATTGGCAGAATGAAGTAAATCCATTGATCTCATAAGCGTAGTTGGATGAAGATCAGGCAACCCAAAATGTATCCTACTGGCAAAGAGGAAGAAACATTCTAGGCTAGAAATATCTAGAGATTCCCTGAACTCAGAGATAGCTTGTCAAATGAAATTGATCAAGTGCTTGAATTCTTGAAATTGAGAAACAATGAAAAATTGTCGAAAACATTAAAGAATGTTAAAGGAAACAATGTTGATGAGAAGATATTTAGAGCAATGGAATATGACATAAACTCATTTAAGTAATTAGAGGAAAAGTGATTATATTCAAAAGAGTAAATATAAACCACATTCACAACATTTGGCTATCCCTATATAATTCGAATAATTATTTATTCACAATTATCTTTTAATTGTGTTAATATATATGATCCAATTATTCAAATATATCTCCCATTAAGGTTCTGTATACAAATATAGATTGTTTGTAATTAGAGATTAAAGAGAGAAAGGGAGAGTAATTATTGAAATTTAAGGATCGATAATAATTTTAAATGATTCTGAATATCATAATTTGAATATATTAGGATGTTTGACAATGCCAGAAGGATTAGGTGATTTACTTCTTGGTCTTGGACTTAAAGAGGGTCTTGACTTACGAATATTACCTTCAGAGGGTATTTGGAGAAGCGATTGTTTTTATTGTGGTGTTCTGATTTCAGTGTTAACCCAAGGGTGATATTCCACATCAGTTATTCGAGGACGTTATTCGTGATTCTTTTCCAACATCTAAGTAATCAAGTTGATGACTTCTTCACTAAAATTGTTGGGTGGTAATAGGAGATCCTTATTGACAACGTTGAAAATGATGTCTTATTATGATTTCCCATTGAAAGGCACTTTGCCGAAAAGCATTTTGTAAAGAATGATACCCATGGCCCAGATGTCTACAGAAGTGCTCACTCTAGTGACTTTGCCACCCAGAATTTCAGGTGCCATATAATGAAGACTGCCGATGTTGACATGATCATTGTTGGTTGGACACTAGATGCCTGCAATTCCGAAGTCGATTGCTTTTAAATCATCAGAGTCTGGAGAACAAAATAATAAATTTTCCATTTTTAAATCTCTATGAACTATATTCTTCTGATGACAATAAGCTATTGCACTAACTACTTATCTAAAATATTTGCATGCTTCTTCTTCTTAAAATCTACCCTTCTATCGTAATCTCTCTGCCAACTCTCCACCTTCCAAATATTCCATTATCACAGCCATCTATGTATTTTGTAAAGCATATGAATTGAAAACCTTCACAATATTCTTGTGAGTCAAAGATCGCAATACTTCTGCCTCTCTGAAATTGAGTTCTATGTCTTAGGCATTCCCCATCATTTTTATTACCTTAATTGCAACCTGCTCTCCAGTTATGCGATGTCTGGCCAGTGTTACACACCCAAACCCTCCTTCTCCTAATTTCTTTATTGTTTCATATTGGGAAAATGGGGAATGAGGATCGAACTCATCTAAAATTAAACATCCATGAAAATTGTACCTCCTCGAGACGCATAGAATGATTAGCCATCCTTGAAAAATTTAACATCATCTTTAAAGATTTCTACTCCTTGTTGGGTGAAGAGTCTCATTTCTTTAAACTTGGGGAATTTCTGATCCAATTGAGTTTAAATGTCACTCCAACTAGAATTTTGAGCTATCTTCAAATCCAAGTACTTCGAAGAGTCCCCATTCAAGTAGATACGAATAGACTTTATAAATTAGAGAGGAGAATCATCATATTCTTCGTACATCATAAGTTAATTATATATCATTCAAGAAAATTACAAAGTAACGCACATCTTTTTGGTTTGGCTTTGTGTTTTATCATTATTCTGCTCCTTCCTGATTGCAAAAAAAGCGTCTCGTTTTTCTCTATTCTCCTTGCTTTCTACAACTTGATTAGAGTTCCGAATTTAGAATTCTTGTCCTCAATGTACAACTTCTCATTCCTACAGAGCTATTACAACTATCGTACCTCACAACAAATGCAAGATGAGTTCTGCTAATCGTTATCTCACTAATCTTGACATTGCTCTCATGACCTCGTCCCACTGTCAAAGTTGTCAGATCCTTAAAATTCAAAACCAGGATAGTCTAATTTTCAATATCTTCTAACACAACATGGTATTTTAGATTTTCGAGATTATACAATGCTAACACGCTTGTCCCTGTGTACACTATGGAAGGATAGAACGATTAGCAAATTTCACATCTGACACTCTTAGCATTTATTCTAAATTTGTGTATGTTTGTTACTCAGTACAATATTGAGTTTGTTTCGCTTACATTTTCCCAAATAGCCAAGTCTTCAAGCAATCATAATGCACGTACTTGGTACTACCACAACAACGACATAATGATAACAAAGGATTAGAAGTGTTGCAAGTATGTCCCAAACATATTCGGCACATATTTGATGACTCAAATAATGAGGCTTCTACATTTTCAATTTGACTAGCTACATTTTGGTAATGTGTCAAATGTAAGTTGTTTTCATTGCTAATACTTAGCACTTTCAGCACCTTCTTCCCTAACTTTATCACATCATTCTGTCTTATTTGTTACTCATTCTTTGACTGAATCCATAAATCCTCAATCTTATCTTTATCTCCAATAACGAATTATCCTACAATGCAGTGGCCAAATACTACCATCGTCAATTCTGACATTGAATAGAGTCCTTACTCCATCCTTTCTACTCAAATTCTAATCAAAAAATGTTTCATTTTCCCCATTTCTACAAAATATTCCAGGTTCGTTTATCAAATATTCCTATATTCTATAATTTTGCGATTCTCCATCAAACAATTCATAATTCGGCTTATCCCATGTTGTTATTGTTACAATAAGCTCCCCCATTTCAATTAAAATAATTAAATTATTACAAGAAGTATCATACGCAAAATTTATTCAGTAATGTGTTATATTATGCACATTTATAAATAAATACTCATAGACTCCCTAAATTCCTCCTCAATCCAATTCTCTATCTTGCGTTACTATTCCATATTCCACCCATATTCCACAGTTCTCTCTCCATTCCCCATAGCCAAGTTACTATATGCCTCATTCAAGCACACCCACAACATTCCCTGGAGACAATCATTATTAAAAACTGGGTTCTGCCCATTTTTTTATGGCATGCTTAATAATTCAATTATTAATATTTAATATCTTTCTGAAGACTTTATGAATTTAAAATCATGTATTGAAAGATTTATTTTATGTAAACCTGTTTAAATAATTGTGTTATCATAATGTGATTAGTTATTCTTTGAATCTAAACTAAGTTTATTAATAAGGATTATAGATATATATCTAAGGGAGTATAGAAATAATGCATTAATTAACCTGTGTAATATCAATTAGATATGTAAATTATTAATAAATCATTATTCATGAATAAATGCAACAATCACTGTTATATCGTCACTCTTTCCTCCCATATATCTTAGCCTACTCTGCTTAGCATGCTGAGCGAAAGGTGAATTGTATTTAGGATCCAAAGATAATCTATAGGCATAATTAGCAATTGACTTAGCCAATGCTTAAGGATTATTAGGTTCGGTCTTAATAACATCTTCTATGACCACTTGAATTTATTAAGCTGACATATTATCAAACAATCCATCAGTTCCCAAGACTAATAAGTCTCCAACCTAAACTTTATGAGTCTCATCTGTAGCTACATTTGGATTGTCTCCTTCACTTCCAATCTACAATTGATTAATCAAGATACTTGATATGGGAAATTGAATGATTTCTATTATTCTTGAGATTTGTAATTCAATTGATATTTATCATCAACTTTGCGATAAATGGCAAATCCTGAATCTCCGACTAAGGAGGATTTCAATTCACTTTTATTTAATGCTACCACACAAACCGTAGTGCTGCCCTTTGCTTTAGTTACCTTATGAGCTGCAATTATATATTTTTTAGGGTTCTTAAGATCTTCAGGATTCTACTTGAAGGCTTCCTCTAATTTTTTGCATAATTCTTTGCTATACAACCCTGGATCGATTCCCAACTAAATTCAACTTATCAACAATATCAATTACCTCAGCCCATCCACCAACACCATCTGCTACAACAAGGATCTTTTTGTCTGCAAATAGAGCATCTTCACCTCCCTTATGGACTTTCTCAGGATGAGGTATCATATGAGATCCATAATTGAAATAGTATTCTTTGGTAGTACAAAAATTGGTTTGTGTTAGGGTGGTCAATCCAATGGCTGATGCTGACCATACTATTTAATTTCTTAATTATCTCAAATAATTTAAAGAAGGCCTCATAATTAAATTTTAATATTAATGCTTCTCTATTATTATAATATTTCATAAATGTGCCTTGTTGACCAAATTTTGGTTAGCGTAGTCCCAATTCACTAAATTAGTTAAAAACAAATTTGCATAATCGACTCTTCTATTCTAAAAGTCCAAATAGTATGCATGTTCCCAAACATCTAATGTAATCAAAGGATTGTATCCGGATGTTATGGGGTTGTCAGCATTCGATGTCTTGACAATACTGACTTTTCCGTCCTTCTCTACTAACCAGGTCCATCTATTGAGAATTAAGAATATTCTTATACCCTGATCCAAATTAACTCAAAGCGGCATCTGTGAATGCCTTGCTGAAGGAATCCAAACTGTCGAAGCTTTACAATATCAAATCTTTAACTTATCCAGTTGCAGGGCCACCACCTTATTATTTCATACTTCTCCAATAAAATCTAATGACTTAATTTTCTAAGATTACGTGTGATTCCAGTTTTGAGCTGCATTATTGAAAATGGCAACTGTGGCTGGATTTCCAAAAGTATTCTTTACTACGTCTGTAAGACTTTGAGTTTCATAGGGTGTTCCTTTAGTGAGTTCGTTCAACTTGTTCACGTATCCAGCATGATGTTTTCCATAGTGAAAACTGATGGTGTTTGCTGAAATATGTGGAGCCAAGGCATCCTAAGCATATGGCAATGGGTCAAGAACGAATGACATTATGATATTTTATTTAATTTATCAAATGCCTTGCCTCTAAATCCTTTAATAACACTAATAAGATATGTTCGTTTAGATATATATTGGGAGAATATATAATAATCTTATTTAAAATAAGTAAATTTTAATCATCTTACCGATTAAACCGAAAATGTAATCGGTTCCATTTCTTATTCCTACCCTCTCGATTGACGACCACCCTCATTGCTCTAGGCTATCTCATCTGCAGTCTACTTCATTCTTATGATATTCAAACTCAGAATCATCACCAACATTAATATGGGAACAGACATCAACGAAAGGTAGAGCATGTTATAATTGTATTGATTCCCCAATTCACCCAAACTTACCTTGTCTCTGCCTAAAATATATATAATAAAATTTATACTATAGTAGATTGATTGAGCAATGCCTACTTTTTTAGCTTCTAGATCATAATGAGTATAATACTTCTGCAGAAATACTACTCCGAGAATGATTTCGTCATCGTTGTCCAAGTTTTAGAAATTCAAATAACACCTGTATTACAAAAAATAGTTGTATCCGCAATAGGAGATGTAATCCTAGGGAAGTAGGGTTAGGTTTAATTAAGAATTAATATTAAGAATTAGATGTGGGAATTGAGTAGTGTAATGACATACTAATTCATGAAAATAATTATGTTTTACTTATTCGCAATGTAAATTATAGTCATCGTTAAAAATGTTATGCAGACTATGAAACTTTCTGGTCGACAACATAATTTTGGATGTGCCACTATCAAACAAGATTAATTATTTATTTGACTCCAACATATATTAGTGAGTGTCATTTGAAACAAGGACAGAATTGGCATAAACATTCCATAGATCACTCCTTGTAGTATTGACATAATGGAGTTGTCCCACATAATTAGATGGATTTGGCTTACCTAAAGTCAACAAGGAATTGGCAGAGCAGATTTAATCGCTCAACAATAATCCGAACTATTTAACATCTATGATTGTGTGATTATACAGGAGGTCAATAAGATTGGCATCCGAATCAGGATACTACTTGCTTAAACCAATGATTCCATCGGCAATAAGAGATTCTAAATCTTGTACTCTCTCAACTTCGACAACTGATAAATTGAGTGATTGATTGCCGAATTCGAACAATTGTGTGAATTAGGTACCATAGATGCTTCCCAAACCATAGTCTAATCTCTTTTGCATAATCGCTTAACACTTATTGCATTCATAATATTTTCTCCTATCGTTTTGTTTTCCAAATATCCAAAGCGTATCGCTTCCTGTGTCCACAATTAAATTATAAGTGAAATTATTGGCTGTTATTGGAACACTATAATACACCTATTGCAAATTGATGAGCTGAACATCTAGCGATTACACAGATGCTATTATAAAAATTATCATATTTAATAATTAATCATAATCCTGTTTGAACTCTCATCTCGTTACAGAGTTTTTATACCTCTCTAATTGTCTTTAATGGTATATCTTAATCTCTTTAAATATTTAAGGGAATATCTGATGTGAACCTGAAACTCAACATACGATAAATCAAATAATATGTTGGATTATTGTTCATGTATTTTTACAACCATTTAAGACAACTATATAATTTTAAGAGAAATTTCTAAACATCACAAGTACAAGCCTTTTGAAGGTTAATTTCACCGTAAGTATCTTAAAGAAATTTTGTAAATTCAACTAATTTCTCTTGACAAAATTCAATGGACTCAATTAAGGCATGTCCATTATTTATTAATAGATTGATCATTGTCATACCTAAACAAAAGAGATCTTATTATCTAGCAATCCTCCACGCCTGTATAACCTCATTTGGATTTACAATTTTCCCTAAAATTTGGTAGGGAGTTTTAAAGAATTCAGCTTCAAATTCTGGTCTTGATAACTCCTATTCTTAAATTTTTTGAGAGTAACCGAAATCACAAAAACAAATTTTGATCCCTTTTTTTACATAGATACATTATGGATTAAAATTTACCATTCCTTATAACTTAAGCCATCTGTTAATCCAAAATACTAATTGATCAATATGTTCATTTCCAAACCTCCTTTCGATTAACTAACGTCTTCCGTTAGGTTATAAGTCTTAAAATTACATATTTAGAATGCATTGCAGATTCGTGTAATCACGAGTGATATTTTATTCCATATAAGATGTTTATTGATTATTTCCTAAATTCTACCTTAATTGTTCGAGCCCTTACTCAATTGGTAATTCTATGTCATTATTCTCACTTGAATAACAGAATTAATATTCTTCGTGAAATAAGATATTGCTAGGTTGCACATCCAAATGGAATATCCAATTTTTATGAAAATAGTTTAATATGTTGAGTAATCGATTACAAATAATAGTAATTGTCTCTAAATTTAATCTGTGCGGGTGCTAATTTTCCCAATAAAGACAATCCATATCAAGGGTGCCCATATTCATATATGCTGTTGTGATCCACAACATATATTAATTATCGCATTTATCATTCTAAACTTCACATGTATAACCGCTGATAGCCAATTCTTGCAAACAATAAAGTTCATTCTAAATATATTTATTTTTACTTGATTCATTCCTCTCAACACATCTAATGTTAAGATATTATTTTTTAAATTTAAGAACTTATAGACTCGGTCTTCACTCTTTTTACAAATTCCTTGACTTCCTTCCGCAATTTCGACAAGTTGAAAATTTTACTATAACTCTTTCATTTAATCCTATATTATTTAATCTGCTACGTTCAAAGGAATTTCTTATTACATTATTAATTATAATGACATTACCAAAATTTTCATTGCTTGCTAATAAATTGGCCCAAATACGAGCCAAACAGCTAGCCTTAAATTTTAGAGAGGATTAACTCAAGCCTTTGATTTTATCAGATTCGAAAATCAATTAATTGGTTCCAAACTTCTTTACAAGTCAAAATAATTTCGAGTTGTTTGAGCTCAAAGATGAATACAAGACAATACCTGACTCCCAAAACTTTAACAGTACTAGCAACACATTTACTTAATTGAAAATACCTATAGGATAGAATTAGAAATTAAGAACCCAATTTACTAAATTATAAACAAAATATGCAAGAATAGGGAGACTATTGGAAGTGTTAGATTTATAAGTAGGTTTTGTAGGATACAAACATGCCTACGCTGATTTCTCTAATCGCTAAATAACAATAGCAACATTAGGAGTTTACGATTTTCTATTCTATAAATAAGAATTTGATTATAACAAAGACATTATAATGAATTCCTATATAAGTTATGTTGGCAAATCCTCAATTGAAGTTAATAGTGATTTATTTTAAGATAACTAATTGGCTGCTACAGTGTCCTTCGTGATGGTAAGTAGGAATGCAGAAAAGTATGACTAAGCTCAGCCTGTCCCGCAGTTGTTGGATGAATTGCATCCTGACATTAAGGAATCCTGCTTTATTCGCAAACAGCTAGGAAAACTGAACTAATAAAGGCGAATTTAAGAGTCCAAACTATAATAGGAACCACCTAATCAAAATGAATCAAGATATTTGCATGATATGATGAAAAAAAGAGATGATAGTCTCTTTATAAGTCAAACAGAATTAGATAAGAACATTATGATGCATACTTAAGATAGAAATCTCCATGGTAAAGCCTTTGGTGGTCATATAATGAAGGAAATCATTGAATTAGGTTGGCTTGTGGGTTATAAACATGCCATTGGAAATGATGTGTTCATCATCCACATTTTTGATGTAACTTTCCTTGCTCCAGTTGCAATAGGTAGTATAATCAATCAATCCGGAAAGATCTGTTATGTAGAAGACGACATAATGATAATTTAAGTGTAAGTGGATGTCCACAATTACAAAGATAGCAAGGTAACAATTTTGAAAACATCTGAAGTCTACTTGGCTATGAAATCATCAGTGCCAATCAAACAAGTTTAGCCGTAGACATACGAAGAAGCAATGTTATTCTTGCATGGCAAAAGATTGATGGAAAAATTGAAATATGATTGAATATCAAGTATTAACTTCTTAGTGTTTTCATTAGAAATTCTATTCTAAGCACATTCTTTTATAAACTAATCTTTTTCAATCGGAAAGGATAAAACAGAACTAAATTCTCTAAGAATACTATTTATTATTTAATTAATTTTACTAAGCTGATAATAAAAATTCCAACAGAACTGTAATATCAATATAATTGTAAATAGATTGTGATATTGAATAGTAAGTAATCTAAGGTAATCGATTGAAAAAAAAAAAATTTTGACATCAATATAATTTATCATTATAATTCTGTTTTTATTTATGTAAATCAAGATATGATTTACTTATGATCTAAGATTATGGACTTGAATACTTGATTTATTAAGATAATTTAGGTGTAAATGTACAAGTATTAATAATCTATTATTCTTTCTCTTCTTTAAGCTTTTTTATTTTCAATTGCTTCTTTTTTTGAAATATTTCATTTCTATCAACTACTGATAGGCCAACCCAATCTTTGTAATGAGATAAATCTTGTTTGATCGAACTCTCTTAATGTTTTAGCTCTCTGAATTCGGAAATCTACTTAAAAAGAGCCATGGATTGTGGTCTGTACATTTATTATTTTGTTATAGTTTTTGGAGTCTAACTCTGAGTGGAAGTTGTTTCTGGAACCTTAGTATGTTTTTGCGTTTGTGCTTGAACCTTGGGCACTTGAGGTTTAACGAAGAATTTCAAATTCATAAATATGGTCTTTTTCATCTACTAATTTTGTAAATGAGGTTTATAATCCATCTAATTCTTTTTTTAAGTACTCATCAGATTACTTAATCTTGATAAATTTTCTTTTAAGGTGTAGTCATCCAATGCTGTTGATTAATTCATTACTACTAATTTATTAATATCATTTTTAATTCATTATTAGATTATATTGATAATCATACACACTATTCTCACTTCATTTTAATAATATATAAATGCTTCAAACTCATATCTGTATTATATAATTAAAAAGCTCGTTGCAAAAAAAGATATTTATTTGTTTTATATTTTATTTATTGCTTTCCATCATGAGTAAGATATTTTTGAGAGGCGGAGGTTGTGGAGCCTCTAAAAAAATTTAGAAAAAGCACGAATAAGAAATGGAAAGAGGGAAACAAAAAGTTGATTTGACCCAAAAAGAGAGAATGGCTAAGCTTATCCAATAACATAGCGAAGTTATTTTCAAAAACTCACCAATTGCTATGAGTGAGAAGAAGAAACTGATGTCCAGCTTCTAATTCTTCTTGGATAACAGGTAAGAATTGTGGGGAATCATAGTGGATAAGGAGGAATCATCCCAAATTATTGACATCATCTTAACAAATCTCAAACCACTATTGGAATCCTTAAAAATCCTCATTAAAGGGTTCGTAGCTTATTCTGTCTACTTATCTCAAATCATCTAACTGTTATCTTGGATTGTCTTTTGTTTCTATACCAATGCGCACTCGAAAAAAGAAAATAAGGACAGATTTATGAATGTCAAAGATTAAACTGAATACTTAGAGTTAATCACCCAAATAAAGACAGAAATAGATATAGAAAAAAACATCGATAAATACTAGAATAACTTAGAATACGAACTTTACATTATGGAGTCAATATTTACCATTGTTCCGACTGACAGTGATGAAGCTTAGGAAATAGCAGCTTCCTTTCTTATTGGGGCAGCTACCTCGTTTCTTTCCTTCTCTATCAATGATCAATTCTTGACTAGTCTAAAGAAGGGTGTTATCTACATTTACAACGAGCATGATAAAGCCAGCAGAAAGAAAATTCTTAAGGTCATTTTTGCTTTATTATAACTCAAATATGAAATCATAAACAAGATTTAGAAAAGCGAGTTAAAATAAGACTTCATTCACTTGGATCGATTAAATACAGTTTATAAGGAAGTAGTCAGCAAATCTTCAGACTGGCAAGTCTGGTGCACATGGACTAAAGTGTTATCTTAATTATTCTAATAAAAACTGATACTCCCCCTGGAAAAAATATAGAGCCTTAAAATATCAGATTAACATTATATTCATAAAAATGAAAATACAAAAACATGCTGGTTGAATATTGACAGTAGATTAATTGAAAGTGATGCAACTGCAAAATTAATATATCAAAATACAGAAGAATTATAAGAACTTGGTAGATTGTAATATTCAATTTTATACGGATATCAATAAATGCCAAATTTTGAATCATTATACTCCTCCAAACTCACATAATCGATAGAAAAAGAGAATTTTGATGCATTTCAATTCAATTTAAGTTCAGTGTCAATTATGTTGCATAATGCTTAGGAAATCAAAAAAGCCCAGGTCTAATTGCAATAGCATGTTGAATTATTGAGTACGACAAACAAATCTAAGGTTTAAGATATTGAAAACCTTCTTGTCAAAGCAATTAATAACACAATCTTATTGTTGGAGTCCATTTATTCATTGCATGAAATTGAAAATCCAAGAGATAATGAATTAGACTCTCCAAAGTAATAATTAGCGCAACAAAGTGTAATTTTTTTTAGTCAAAATTTATAAAATCCATCCCCTGGTAAAAAAAATGACGATGATAATGTATGGTTAGATGAAATTGTCAAATTGAAAAAAAGTTTAGGCAAAAAATTTATCACCTTCTTCTTAAAAAGTTTACTTCTCAAAACTAACAATTAATCAAAAGAAAAGGCATTAATAGATGACGAAACAAAAGAAGAATACAAAATAGACTTCATCTTAAATTAATCAAAAAAAGAAAAAGATTAAATTATTCAAGAGGATTTTTAATAATATTAATTTAATGTATTAGATCTTTTGGAAGAAATTGAATTGAGAAGAATCAAAAAAAAAAAAACTAAGACTCCTAATTATTCTCAAATTATCGTTAATTATAAGTAGGATCCATTTTAAATAGAAACTCTTTAGTTATTGTAGACGAGACTCAAGTATATCAAAATTAAACCTTCTAAACATCAAATGAAGAGCGAGGAAGAATACAAATTTGGATTTAAAGAAGGAATTAATTTGTTATAGGAAGGATCAGCATTCCTTCGATGGAATCTAAGATTGCTAGTTAGAATGAAGTTCTACATTTAAGAACTAAGTTCAAACTAACATAATGACAAGTAAGCAAATTAACAAACAAATCAAATAATAGACTCCTTAAAAGGATTTTCATAATAATTATCTTCAATAAAAGCTATTCAAAAATGCATTAAGTTTTTTTATAGCAAATATGAGGCTTGTATAAAGTATTAACTAATTGGAAAGGTCTCATAAAAAAGAAATGTTATATATTAAGTTTTGAAAACTATAACTTTAAAAAAGTTTGAAACTCTCAACATGGTTTATTAAATTCACAAGGAAGCAATAAGAAAAGTAAAAAATGTAGGAGTAATTTACATATGCTAATCAATATTTTAAGCTATCTAAAATGAGCATGAGACATTTCTAGAAGATATTGTTCAACTTAAAAGGGCTATTTAAATGATCATCGACATATTAAATGCGAATGAAAAAAACAACAAAAAAGACTAGGATGAATTCAAAATTTTTTTAAATAATGATATTTTCAACTAAAATTAAATAGAAGATCCAGAAAATCATTCTACATGGTTGGCAAATAAGGATGCCCTTTTTAAAATAACTTTATATTATTAAAATTATTGCCAATCTAATAAAAATTGGTAGAAAAAGAATAAAAATTCCTCTTAAGATGTTACTTAGCAAATTGAGAAGAAATAATAATCGATAAAAGATTACATTGAAAAGATTGAACTAGCTTAAGGTTACAAAACGATTTAGGAGGAAGATGACACTTTTAAAACAGAATTATATAAAGAAGTAAAATAGCACCTAAATTCTTTATTAGAGTTAACCATCTAAAATGAATAAGACAATTTAAATGCTGAATGGAATTCTCCTTTAAAAACGAAAGAATTTTTTAATTCATTATTTAATATCATAAAGGACATTGAACATTAGGTTTAAGTCTAATTCGGTAACCTAAAATTTATTAATCAATAATAGGGAGTATTTTAGACATTAATAAATAATTCATTGCTTCTTAGAAAAGCAATTAGTTTATATCAAAACAAAATAGAACAGAATGAAAAGAAAATTTAGGAATTGGTTGGGAATTATGAGGAGAAATTACCTGAATAAATATTTGATCTAACAAATCTATAGAAAATATTTAATGAAGCAAAATTACATCTTAGTCCTAATCTAAAATCAGAAATATTCTTCATCTTAACCCAAATATGGAAAAAGGAAGATGTAACATCAGATCCAAGTTACTATGATTAATTTAAAGAAGCAGCAAGTGACTTAATAAACTCAAATAAATGGAGAGTTCGATAATCATGCATATTTGAATTGCTCTAGTTTAAGCAGAGTTGTCTGACATAGGCTACAGTTGATTTGGCCAGAGGATTATTAGTAAAATGTTAAATATATGAAACTGATAGAAGAAATAAACAATTATTAGATGATGAGGACTAAAATCAAGTAGTGAACATGATCTAGTAATGTTGGGCCTAATCAGAAGAGGATGTCTAAATAAAAATTAAATAAAAGCTAGAGGAATTGAATGATATCGCCTATAAAATAACAATAGAAACCAAATAATACGAGAAATCTAAATACAAGAAAAGGTATGTTGAATTAGAAAGTGAAATATAAGGCATTGTAAAGAATGCTGAGAGTCTTGGAAATTCACTCGGTACGAGTTTACTCTTCTTTTAGGATATCAAACATGATTTAGTCAACATTTAATCTTAGTTGAAGAACTTATAAGGTTCAATTGATTAAATCCATAAGGATATTCAATTATTGTAGGGTAGAAGTATAAAAGACTTACTCATAATTAGAATGTAAAGAGTGTTGCAATAGAGGATTATTTTGAATTCTGAAAATGTGTATGTGCCAATCAAAACGAAAGAGAAGCAAGTGTTAGAAAATCATGAAGATGAAGAGACTCCATTATATACTGATGATTTATTTAGCAATGGAGAGATAAATGAATTTATTTGGAAGTAATAGAAATTGAGTCTATTGATTCATGGATAAGCTGGTTCAGGAAAGAGTACAGCCGCTAGAAAGATAGAGGAATTCTTATGGTTACTATTTAAGAAGAATATGAACATAGCAGAGTCTATCCCTATTATTCCTATATTTGTATCTTTGCCTTAATTGAAGGATCCAATATCTATGGCTATGGAAGAAACCCTAAAATCAGACAATTACAGATTCAATGAGAAATAGATCATCGAATTTAAAGAAGCTATTGAATAGAACTAATTTAAAATAGTGATCATTATGGATAGTTATGATGAAATCAAATCAGAATTTACAAATAGAAATCTTATTCTCTCAAATAAATTGTATAAATGGAGATGCCAATCAGATGAATTGAGATTTCCAAAAATAATTACAACGTCAAGATCAGAAATGTTCACTAATACTGACTATAGATCCTGGTTTTTACCAGAATCTGAAAATCTATATTTGTATAAAGAAATTAGATTGTTAAATTTTACTAGCGAATAAGTGAACTTATACATTGAATACCATACCATTTTTTCAGTCAAAAAAATCATTAAAGATTTCTTTTTTAATAATAAGGATAATTCCGGATTTTTTGCATTCGAAGAATTATTTAATGAAATAATTAAAGTTATCAATGACAAAGAATAAGAAGATGATAAAAAGGATTAATAATTCTTATTAACTAAAAATTAGATTGAACGAATCTTATCTCTGTGTGAGAGTTTTGTCAGTGGAGACATAGCAATAGCGATGAAATAATCTTTAGAGGAAGTTTGGTGTAAAGAATATTATATCAAAAATATAAAACAAATGGATATAGGTTCCTTGTTAGAAACACCATTTATGATTGAAATTGTAGCATCTGTTTTACCTCAAATGATTAAGCATAGATAAGAATTAAATACTTTGAAGGAATCATTTATGAAAAAGCTTTCCTAATAGGATGAAGTGTCTAAAGAGTAATTGTCAAAAGAATGGTCTAAGATAATTAGCAATGAAAAGTTCTTAGAAGAATATCTAAAGGTCTCAAATGATACTGAAAGAGATCTAATTATCTCAGAATTTTTTGGGAAACCTGATAATTCTACAATTGTTCAAGATGCTCTTAAATTAGATCCTCTTTGTTCATATGATTTTTACGATTAATTTTTTGCTTAGTATTTTAAGAGATAAATAAATAAACTTAGAGAATCTGGGGAATCCTTAGTTTACATTTCAAATTTATCTGATCTTTGGGAATTCACACACAGATTAGCAAATGATATGACGTTAGATTCATTAAGCTAAGTACAATACATACCACGCATATTCTTATTCCAAAAAAATAGAGATGCTGATTGGAGAGATGTTTATTTCAATGATGAATAAGAATAAGGTTAAATTAAAAAGTTATTTAGAAAGATAATGCCAATAAGATAAAAATATGGAATATACTCCTTCAATCATAAATCCTTATAGGAATTTTTAGTGGCCAAGTGGTTAATTCAATCATTAGAATAATTTAATTTTAATTTATCTGAAGAGTAAATTGATGGCTAACTCGATGATTTATGTGTTCATAACTTATCTAAGGATTTCATGAATGGCGTTGTAAGGTTTATGGTTGATAAATTAAATCAAAATTAGTATTTGCAAAAGAAATTATTTGAAATTGTCCTTCTAACTAAAAATAAATAACCAAATGATTAATATAAAGAACTAGATTCAATTAAGATAAGTTAGAATATCAAACTAAAGAGAGCTTAAACTCAACTTATGGCCTAGCTAAAGGTTTCGCAAGCCTAATACTCAGACAAAGAAAAAACTTAAAGGGTCATCCAAGCAAGTTCTAATAGTTTATATCTTCTTCATTTATTAAAGTATCCATTTACTGAAGATCTGAGTTCAATTAAAATTAATGAAACTGATTTGCTCAACAGTAACTTCTTTGGAGCAAATTTATCTTTATCAGAATTTAGTAAAGTAAATATCTCTTAGAGTAATTTCAATTTTGCACAGCTTGATTCTGTTTAATGGCAAGACATCTTAATTGATGAACTACCTAGCATTGAAACTTAGATTTAGAATTTAGGTTTGGATATTCATTTTATTTATATAAAAACAGAAGACCTATTGATGTTTAAAAATAAAGATGTAATAAAATGGTTCAATTATAAGAATTAGACAACGGCTAAAGCCAAAAACTGTTCTGAATTTATAAATCTTAATCTAAAATATATTTTGATCTCTAAAGATTAATCAAAAATAGCTTTGTTTTATAATGATTCATTTACTTTGATTTCTAAGAGCAACTCTAAAATTAATTTCCCTGAAGGATTTTAATTTGAAAAAGCCTATTTTACAATTAAAGATGAACTAATTATTGGATCAAAAAATGAAATAATAAAATTAAAAACAGATGTTTAAGATTAGGAAATTGTAATAACTGATAATAATAAAATAAAATTGGATAAAATACAAATTAGTAATATGATTTAAATTGCAAGCTATGATAATTATATTATTATTATAAAAGATAAGGAAATGGTCTTCATTAAAGAGAAGGAAAATCAATATATCTTCTTTACACTCTTGATATAATGTTCGCATCCTGAATGTAGAAATAAACCATTTGATGAAAATAAGTAAGAAGAGGAGATTCCATCACAATGTACATAAATAGAATAATTCATTAGTATTTAGATTAGTGATAATTAGAATTTCTTATTAATAGGATTTAAAATAAACATTAATTCTTAAGGGTTTTTAGTAATTGAAAAATAAAATTTAATAGAGAAACATTAGATTGATAATTAAGAACCTAACAAATAAAAATAATATATTATTACTTCTAAATATATTCAATTGGATTTGAAATAGGAGAAAAATTTAAAATTATTTTTCGTTGATGATGATAAATATATCTTATCATTTTCTGGTAATAAAACTACCTTTATGAGATTATGGAATTATAAGGAGAAAAAGATACTGTCTTGTACTATATTTAACAGTGAAATTCTTTGTGTAACCAAAATAACAAACATATTAATAGCTACTTTGAATAAAGAATCCATAATCTAAATATGGGATCTTTAAGCATTAATCTAATAATAAAACACAAATCCAAAACCTACTATTACATGTTGCATTTTTTCAAATAATAATAACATTATCTCTGGAAACGATGAAGGAATTATATAAATTTGGGATGGAAAAAGAGGAACCAAAATTGGAAAAGACTTATAATATCTTAAAGCATCAGTAACCTCTTTAGTGACATATTTTGATCAATACGAAATTTTGATATCTGGGGATGAAAAAGGAAATATCGCTTTTTGGAACCTTTTCAAACATTAATTCATACATTCTATTTTTATAATTAGTCCTATTAAATCATTGAATATGATGGAATTTAGCAAAGGCAAATTTTAATTAATCACACATAGTTAACATTATCATTATCTACAGTTATGGGCATAAAATTATTAATCTTATTAATTATTTTGTGATCAGCAAAGTAATATCGAAATAGATCAAATGAATTTACAAAAAATAATTCAAATGTTATAGGACAAATCAATAAGAAAATCTGCAAAAAAATTTTCTACTTCTTATGTTGGCAAGGAATGTTCTGCATTTGCAATAGGCAAATACACAAATTATTTTTATTTTGCAGAACCATAATTAAATGGATAAAAATAAGTAATTAAAATTACAATTTATCATGAAGAGTTTAAAGAACTTAAAGATTCCGATACAGTTTAAGGACAACTTATTACAAATGGAAATTTACAATTAACTTTTGAAAAGGAAGATAGCTCAGAAGTTGTATCAATAATCAAAGAGCTCAATTAATAAAAATTTTTGGTAGCAACTCAAACCTATATATTTATCATAAAATTTGAAAAATTCTATATTGAAAATAAATTTAATTACAAAGAGGTTGGAAATATTCTAGATGTTTAAATTGATGAAGATTTATTATTTTGTTGTGGAAATAATGTTGTAATTACAAATATTAGATCTGGAAAGAATATACCTTGTTCAATAAAAGCAACAAACCAAAATGAATAACAAATAGAAATGGTAGGAGAATAAGATCTATTTTGTACTCTACTCTATTATCGAAAGAAAAATACTTTATTTGTAGGCATGACAAATGGTAAACTAATTGAATATGATTTATTATAGTGTAAATCTTAAGTCCATAATTGTCATACAGAATAAATAATATACTTATAAATTCATTCAAAGTAAACATAAAATGGTTTACAGGATATCTTAGTAACTGCAGGTTAAGATTCCTTCATTAATTTTTGGCCTGTAACCATTTAAGACTTAAAATAATGGAAGCCTTTTGATTAAATATAACTTCGATTGGAAGAATAACAAATGAAATAAGCTTTTGGTACTTTGAGTAAGAGAACTACTTTATTTGTTGTTAAAAAGTGGTTTTTATCTTGTTGCTTATTTCTAAGACCTCTTATGTTATTACAGAATTTCTGATTATCATTCAACAGGTTAATATCATTATAACAATAAGAAATAAGCCTTTTACTAGCTTAATTTTAAATAAACTGACCCTTAACAATATTAGCTGTCTAAAACTATGGTATTATAGGAAGCAATAAAGGCTCATTACTAAGAAAATAGTATTTATAAAGCTGAATTTGTTCTTCTTGACCGTAATAGATCATAAATTATCACTGCTGATAATGACGCAAACATTCTTTTTTGGAATCTTAATGGAGAGCATTCAAATTAAATTCAACCTTTCAAAAATATCGAAGCAACTTAAGTTTATGTTAATTTATCTAATAAATTTAATTAACTTATATGCTATTGTTATCACTCTGACTCTCACTCTCACTCTAATGAGAATTTAATTAGAATTATTCTTTTAGATGATTTAGAAAAACAAATCTCTTATAAAATAAACCTAGGTATTGGTCAACCAAAAGTAAAATAAATTCAATTTTTAAGTCAAGACTTAATTTTGATTTTAACAGATAGTCTATATAACAATATAATTACATATTTATTTGGAGAAATAAACAACAAATAAGAAATTCAAGATCGATCAGGTAAATCAAATGGAACAGCAGTATTGATACTAGATTAAGGATAAACTTAAGAAAGTATCTTTTTAACTTATGGATAATTTAATCAACTTACTTCTTACCACAAAATTAACGACAATTATGCTCCAAAATTCAGATTTGGTGAAGGTATCAAAAGGTTTTCTTGTTGTCATGCCAATATTAGTAATTCTAAGTTTATTTCTAAGCATGGAATAGATTTAAGCAAAATATTTTCATAAAAGGGTTGAATGAATATTAATGTATTTATTAAAAGACTTTTTATTTATCATAAATTTTAACAAATAAAAATATGATCCTTTTCGGAATAATAAAGTTAATAAATGCAATTTTATTCATTCTTTTACAATATCATATAATTTTATTTTATTTTCAACATAATAATAAATTTTAAATTTTTCTCCAAAGGCCTGTTGAATCGAAAAGTTTAACAAATATATAAACAATATCTAATTCTGGCGCGATTTGATATAAGTTTGCCATTTTTAATCTAATTAACTATATGAAGGTAAGAAGGAAATAAAGTATTAAATTCAATCCTATTAATAAATTATTATTCATATAGAGATGGTTAACGATAGCGCTATTATATTTCAACTTATTTTCGTATTCAACTTCATTATAAATAAAAAATCAATCCATCAACAAATTCTTTTCTAAGTATATAAAATAAGAGTGCAACTAATTTAATTTTATTTTTTTTCTATCATCTAGATAAATTATAGCAATCAATTTATTCATTGATCAACAATCAAAGGTATAAAGATTATTTATTTCAATAGTAGCAGTGTTGATTTAAAGGAAATACAAAAGCAAATCTAAAATTTATGAAAACCTAAGTATTCTTTCCTATGTTATATTATCATAATTTCTAAATATTTAGAGTGTAAGGAAATATTACAATTGGATATTTCTGTTTATCTTTCATGTAAAATGAATTATGATGAAATTATTGCAAGGATGCTAACAAAGATTGATGAAGGAAAAATTGATTAGACGAATTAAATATAACAAATTAATTTTCTAATAAAAGGAATTCTCTTGATTTAATGAGATAATCGCCTAAAACTAAGCAACAGTATGATAAATGATGAATCAAATTAACGAATAATATATATTAAAAAGTTGATGTTAAAATAAATTATAGTCTAACTAATAATAAGTCCACTCTATATAAATTAAAGGTTTCTTAAAAAATTCAAATTTGCAATATAATTTAAAAAACAAGAAAATAGGACTAAAGGAATTAATTAATAAAATAAATAAATATTAATAATTTATTACATTACTTTTATCTGTAAAAATATATATACTATAATCAAAAAAATTATTCTTTATTTATTTTATGAATTTGATTACTAAAATTTATGTTAGTTAATAACTGCAAGAACTTATTAGCCCAATTAATATAATTTATTTAATTAAATTACTTTAAATTGTTATTAATCCATGAAATAAAAAGTAAATGAATTTATTACTTAACTTAAATTTTTGCAAATAATGAATATTTCCATATATTGTTGCATTATAATCCAAAACAATACCAATCGAATTTATGGTATTATCCATTCGATTTTTATCTAATATGCAATATCAGCTATGTCAATGGATCTTATAATTCCCTCATAAATTCATACATCAATTGAACTCATTAAATTTCATACATTTTTCATTTTTTCTTAAAAGACAATAAATATATGAATGAAAATTATAAATAAAACTAGGAAAATAAAATTGGTTTGAATTAATTGGTCATATAATGAAGAAGTAAAATAGGATTTGAAAAATAATTTAATGAAAAAAATAGAGGCTAAGCAGTGTTGTAAACAAGCAAGGTTTCATAAATTGTTAGATGTTGAAAGTGTAAAGGATCAAATGCTTGTTTCTTATTAATAGGATTTCCAATTATTGAAACATTTTTTCTCAAACTTTGATCCTGACTATGTCGAATACTTAAAGGACATATACTCAACAAGTTTTGATGCAATTTACAATACACAGGAAATATTAAAAATAGTTTAGAGCAGACTTAAACACGGAGAGAAAACACTAAAATAGAGTATCAGAAAGAATTTAATTTAATTGTTATAATTAGAATAGCCAGTTCCAGCATTAGTGTTCTTTTTAAAAATTACACCAACATCATTTGAAATTCATTACAAAGAAGATCTGTTATTAATACTTGATACAATGCTTTAGAAATTTAATTTTGATTTAAGATCTGAGATTTACAAAAGTTTGTATGATGCTCTAATAGAAACTACGGATGAAGAAATTATATTACTTAGTATAAAGCTATTAAATTCAAAATTTGATTTTACTAATCAATTCAATTAGAAGCAATTTGATATACTAGATTAAATTCACAGTTAGATTAGTTTAATTAACTTGCAAGAATCGAAGGATATTATAATATAATTGGTAAGGCATTTCAAAGAATTTCATGAAAAATTAAAATACAAAAGAGAAAGTCTTGATTAAGTTAAGTCAGAGAAATTTCCTTAATTTGTTTTGAAAGTAGTGCTTATGTTATTAAAAGAACAAGAAATAGTAATCCCAGAATTACTTACCTTTTTATTCTTTAAAGACACACCCGATAAGAAGAAATGTATTGCTATAAAGTCATAAGTTAAAGAAATTTAGAAAATGTTTGAAATACCAAGAATGAAAACTTGTTTGAATTTATTAAAGATTGATGACAGTATTTTTTCAAAAGGAGCAATAGGTTATGAGTAAGTTTACTCTATTTGCTAAAAAGAATATCCAATATTTCTGAGTTTGAAATTGAATGGAGCTCTAATCCAATATATTGAATTTCTTCATTCAATGACTCATGTAAACACAGATTAATTCATATAAGTCTTTCATAATACTGCATTTGAAGACTTCTTAACGTCAATATGGAATATTTGTGGTAAAGAAATCTAATAATTATTGTAAAATATCTTAATAGAGGATTTAGAATATGCTAAATATGGTTCAAACATTCTAAGGATTGGCACATTTTTATATAGAATCAAATTCAAACTAGAAAAAAAGATTATAAATAACATAGAAAGAGGTGGAGATTTAGAAGAATAATCAATAGAAAGAAGAGCAGATAGTATGAATCCACTTTTTAAAACATTTATCACCTATTTAGTATCAAAATAAATACCCTTTCCATTATTACTCAAAACATTGAAAATGGATTACTATAACTTAAAAATTGGATATAGAATAACTGATATGAGAGAATTAGTAGTTGATCCTAAATTTAAAAGTTATATGAAATAATATCATGGAGTAATTTGCAATAAATAGGATCCTGATGAAAATTTAGATCATATAATTACAAGATAATATCCAATAAAAGCAAATAATAATGGAAAGAAATATGAATTGAATTGGCCAAGATTAATTAAGAAATAAGTTAAATTAATTTTTGAGAATAGAGAATTAGTACAATAATAACTAATAGAAATTCATTAGAACTAGAATTTTATGAAGGTTTATAATGAATTAATTAAAATAAATGATAATAATAAAAAGAAAATGTAAACTAAAGAAATATTAATAGAATTGGTTGCATATATTAAATCCATTCAAAACCAATAATGATTCATTATTTTATTTATTATATACATAATAGTAAATTATTATACAAAATTATATAAGTAATCAAATAGGTTATTCATACTTAGGAAACTTTATATATAATAATTATAAATTACATGGTAATCATCTAAACAGGTTTAATCTGTAGTATATGTCTATTTGATTCCTCCTTTAAATTATGGGTCTTTGATTTACACTTGAACACCACTAACTAAGATATAAATGGATTTTATTTTGAAAGGTATTTATCTAATAGATGTAGTTTGATTTCCTTAACAAACCCTCCATAATTGTCCCTAATAATTACATTCACTATAAAAATCTATACAGTGATTAATAAGTTATAATTTGATATCTCTAATTCCCCATGATTCTAATATTAGAATGTTTAGTTTACCTATATCGTCAGCTTATAAATTATCAACTAATGAAAAGGTAATATAGTTTTATCCTTATGGTAACTAATAGAAATACGATCTATAATCCAATAAATCTGGGTATAGATTTTAACACACATTAATTCCCTCAAAAGGTCCATGAGTAATTCTATCAATTTCTTAGCCATCTTTATAAATAAAAACCGATTCGTAGTCCCAACTATCGAATTTAGCCAAAGTGAATGATAATTTCATTAATTTTTGTGATGGACTCCAAAATGTTTTGGTAATTCTATGTCCTCCTGTAAATGCACCAATATAATTTATTCCTTAACATTCAGTCACATAATTGCCATTAGTCCAACCATTATTAATACATTCACTTCCAGTAGGTTCTACACAACCCTTATAAATTAAAAGAGGCTCTATAAATAAGATTTTTATAAAGGAAATCATTGTCATCTCAAAAATTTATATCAACTTTTATTTATAAATAGATCATTTTGAAAAATAAATATATATTAGATGTAAAAAATATAAAAATTTATTCCCAATATTTTATGAAACTATAAATGTAGATTCTAAAATAATAAGGTTTTGAATAATATCTATGGATTTAAATTATTTATATGATTTTATTGAATACATTCATCATTTGAAGTACATGTACTTAATTTATATAAATTTTGGATCAAATGATTTTCATTAGAAGAATAGTAGCAATATTTTACTTAAGTCTAATAAATAATGAAATTAATAGAGAATGGTTGAATATCAATTATTTAAGAATAAATTATATTCTCTTCTAAATTAGAATATCCAAGTTTAAATTTAGATTCTAAAACTGTTAATTTATTATTATTGATAATAAAATTACTGATTTATCAAAAAATTGATAGAACAAATTATTGAATATATATATCTATTTAAATAATAAATGTTATTATTTAGATGTTTTATTTATTATTTTAAGTTCAATGTAAACTTTTAAGGTAGCGTACTTCTTAGATTAGAAAATGATCAAGTTGGTTGTTACTAAAACTCATCCTAAAATGATAAAACTTATTTCATATTATGGTGATGACCAAGTTGGATTAAGATTAAGTGCATTATTTAGGCAAATAATAGCATCTACATAGTTTTTGGTCTTAATTAATGAACAGCCTTTATAATAATAGAACATATATATCAACCTTTATTGTAATGACCAAATGGATTATTAGGATCAGATTAAATCGCTTTCTCAAAACAAATGAATGCTTCTTCATATTTTTTCAATTGTTTCAGTGCTACTCCTTTATTATTAAATGATCCTTTTATTTATTTAAAATATTATATTGAATCTTTAAATATTAAATATCTTGAGATGTTATCTATTTATATTATTATTAATTTAAATTAGATACTATTCATATATTAATAATCTCTGCATTAATTAACTTTTTAATGATCTTTTAATTATTATTCATCAAAGTAACAATCTTATTCTTAACATTCTAAATTTAAACACATTCCTATCATTTTACTATCTATTCCTATTAATTAATCATATTAATAAATTTCATTACAAATTAATTCACAATTTATATTTAATATCTTTCTCAGAAATAATCAAAAAGATAATCTTAAGGTGTATATAAAAATGATTACTTTATCAACAGATAATATAGAGAATATATTTTGTTATTATTTGCTATATTATTAATAATATAGGTATAGTTAACAAATAACTTGCGTTATGAGTATAATTTAATTTCATTTTAGATGAATTAATTTAAAAGTTATCATCTGTTTTGAAATTAGTAATGAATAAGTTTGGAGGATGGAATCTTTTGTTAAAATGTTTATTATGCATTAAATGAACTGTTTTAATGGCTACACAAAAAATTCAGTTTAAAACCTAAAGATTGAGGATTTCTTTTGGTTATTAATTATTCAATTCGTTTTACTTTTTTGTAAAATTTATTAATTAATACTATATAAGAAATTTATGGGCTTTAGAGCTGTTTTAATAATTGCGACATGGTAAGAGATGAAAATATATTAGTATTTATTAAGGGATTAGCGATTGTGTTTTTGATATCATAACAAAACCCGATACAGAATAAAGAATAATTGAATAAGACTTAGTATATTCAGGATCGAAAAATTATGGTTGGGGAGTTTGGACAAAATATGAGGCAGGATATGGGAGTCCGGAAGAATTAACTAAAACAATATCAACTATGCATGTGTTGACTGAAAAGTATTCTGAGCGAATAGTGCTGTCCTATTTCATTGAATTAGATAGGGATAAATTAATATTTACTCACCAACTATTAATATAGCATGGAGGAATAATGCAAATTAGGGAGTTGAAGACGGATGCAGCGACAGTAAACAAGAAATGGGTCTTTTTCTATTTTTGTTATAATGAAAACTTGAAGTCTTACAGTATGTTCCTTTATGCAGAAGATGATACGTTTCATGTGGGAATGTCAACAGGGGGACCTTTTGGTGTAGATGATTTGGTGAAAGAATATTATTTAGGCCAAATCATTAATGTAAAAATTAAGAATATAAATAGTTAATAAATCCATTCGATTCATCAATAAATTACAATTTAAGTGTGTTTATCGGCTAGATTAGCGATATGGACTTAAGATATGGGATCTCCAGTTATTACGGAGATATAGACTCCTTTTTAGCTAGTATAGGATCAACAGTTTGTGTAAAGAAGTATGAGTGTTCTGGGACAACCAAGACAATAAGTTTCGACAATCTTCTTCTCAATGATTAAAGTGCTCGTGTCTTATCGAAATTGAAATATGAAAACCATCGTTTCCTCATAAGTGGATGGATCAAAGTGTCTCCGGTTCCTTTGTATCAACAAAGAACCTTAGCTCTATTCAGGATAACTTTGAAGGGTAAATACGAAGACGATAGGTATTATGGGGATCGAGCTTTGTTTTGGCAATATTTGCAAAATGCAGATCAACCGGATTCATCAGGATTGATTGTGACCACTTATCATGAGAATACCCCTTTTATCCCTTATGAAACCAATTATGATGATATAATGAGTTATTTGAGTTCATATTACAGCAAGGCAATAACTGAATGGCATTGGTTTATATATGAAGAAGGAAGAACTGAAAATGTTTATAATATATAGAATACTATTTATTGGGGAAATGGAGGTCGCAACATAAGAACAGATGAAAATCATTTATAAAAAACTCATTTGAGCGAGTCAACTTTATACATGACTCTGGGAGGAGATAAGTTCTATAGTTTTTTTGGTCAAATCTAATAGTTTTAGTTCCAATATTGCCTTGTTGATGACAACGAATACTTTTTAAGTAAGGAGATTCTGATTTCATAATAGAATGTCATTACAGTTGTTAAAGTTGTTTTGGTCCAGCTGAAATTCATTGTATTACCTGTCCTGATGAAGATACTACGAATAGAGCCTACAATCCAAGTCAGAGTAGTTGTGGATGCAAAAACTCCTATGTTGAGAATGGAGATAAGCAATGCGTTAGTAATGAATTCCGATAGCATTCTTAGAAACCCAAGAGTACTTTTAGGATATCACTATTCTTGAGGGGGAGATAGTCAATTCGATTGCTTGTGGCTTAGGTTAGTTTTATGTTTAGTTTGGCTAAAAGTCATATTGTGCTGATTGCCCAGGAAACAGAGAGCCAGATTTTCTGAGCAGAAGGAAATTGTTTTGTGTTGATTGTCTCAATTAATAGTATCATTGGTAATCAAATCCCACATGCACATAAGACTATGAATAACTGATTACAAGTTAAACGAGTGCATATTAAAAGAAGGCCAGAATACCTATAGATTACGAGTATTTCCTTATAAATTTCAATGCTGAAATGAACAAGATAGAAATAGAACTATGTGAAGGTTGTTTGGGAGAGACAACTGCGAAATCTAACTATATTTTGAAGTAAAAATTGGATAAAGAAATAAAAGTGGAATGCAAAACGTGTTATTTTATTATTGATGGAGAATGTATTAATGTTAATAGCAATTGTGATTCTTGTGATTAAGATAAGTGTGTGGAATGCTCATTAGGTTATGCACTTTATTAAAATGAATGTTATAAATGCCCAGTTCTATGTCCAAATGATTGTATGTTTGATGGATCCAAATTTGGGTGTTTGAAATGTGACCTCGGTTATTACTTAGACAAAGTAAATAATGAGTGTCTGTAATGTGGGGCCAATTGTATAATATGTGAGCCTGGAATACCTATGGATGGAACTTCTGTTGAAATGAAGTGTTTTAAATGCATTGATGACGTGGACTACTTTATTGATGCTGATCAGATCAATTGCAAGCTGAAAACTATGCCTCATTGCATCTATCAATATCAAGAGTTCTATTTTCGACATTAATTTTCGAATGATAGTTACCCGTTTCATCTTTAAACAAGTTGGGATTTCAATTTTTCAAAGCCTTCAGCATATAGTTACTAGAGATGTGCACTTTGTGAAAAAGGTTATATTTATAGTTTTTACGAATACGGATCGGGTGTTGACAAGTGCATGCTAAAGTCAGAAATAACAGATGCAGATATCCCACACTTTAATACTCTTGACATTGCTCCTGAACCTGAAGATGATCACTTCTAAATTATGTTGTATCATGAACAAACAATCAGTAGGGGGTATTTCTAGTATTTTGTAATGATGCTTGGAGATTATATGACAGCAACATTAGATGGGAAGTTATATAATATTCCTGTGATGACTAACATCGATAGAAAAGTCAAAAAGAGTCTGGATGTAACACCCTAAAAAGAGAAAGATCTATTACAAGAGTGTGCTACTAAAAATTGCAGGTATTGTATCAAGAATTATGTGTGGTTTATGGAATATTGTATGAGTTGCAATCAGGGTTATTATGCAGACATGCTCTCTGGTTAATGTTATTAATGTTTGGCTAAGTTGCATTGTCGAACCTGTCAATAACAACATAAAGTATATAAGGATGGGTGGAAATGGAAAATCAGATCCTATTTTCGTGCAAGAACTTGTGCAAACTTCTGTTTTACTAGTTTTAGTCTCAAGTGTGCCAGCACAAATGCAGATGATTATGAAGTCTATTGCACTGATTGCGAAGATGGATATGAAATCTATTAAGAAAAATGCATTCCCAAGTGCAGTTGTTCTAAATGCATTGTGCAGAATGGTCAAAATGTTTGTGTTGAATGTCCTTCATCTTTGATTAATACAAATTAGCCCATTCAAACACTAATCAACGACAAATGCACTGATTGTCCTGCCAATTGTGCTTTGTGTAGAGAATTAAATGACGATGAGATCATGTTAATCAATCCTTACTTTAACCCACAATATAGTCAACTTGCCATCTATTCCAAATCCTGTATCAAGGGCTATGAACCTGACAAAACATTGCTTCAGTACCAGTACATCTATCGTGATCCCATCTTAAGTACTCAGATCTTATGCAAACAATACTAAAAATGCTACTAATATTTGGAACAACAATATACGATCTATTGTAGTCAAGTTGATTTTGAGAATGAACTCGATTCGGCTACTAACAGTAATACATTTCTCTACAAAAACATGGCTTTATCTCAATTATTCTCATCAACTCATTTTTCTATTGAATCTGAAAAGCTTTTCGATCAGCTCAATAAGAAATCCATCAAATCAGCAAAGTATATTCTGAATTTTAGATACTACAATGATGAGCCTTGCATTATACCTCCCAATTCTGTGATCTTTTCAAATCTTAGAAAGAACATATTTACTCTCCAATAGTTAGAGATTATTTTCAATGGAGACATCACAAAGCAGACTTCCATTCAAGGCACCTTATCTCTTTAAGATTTCTCTAAGATCACAATATAGAATTTTTAATTTGTTTAATCATCTAAACAAACCCAAATTGCTATTTCTTAACTTGATAGAGTCACTTTAAATCTCGAAAACATCATCATACAGGATTCAGATAATTATAAATTTTAATTCTAAATCAAAGATCCTCAAATTATTTCGATCAACAAGTTTAAAATTATTAATTCTAAAATTGTGGACACTTAAGGGATTGTTGCCTACTCATTTAGCTAATAAATTACTGATAGATTTGAATTATAAGCCAATGATATCACACTTATGAATTCCTAATTTACAAACACCTAAATAATCATTCAAAATTTAGATGACAATTGCAACAATCAAATACATCAAATCACAAAGATAAAATCTATAAAAAATACTTTCACTACATCATCACTATTCGAAACCTACTTTCCCTTATCATAGAGATAATCTAGCTTCATAATCAAAGAGTTTTCTGTTGATGGAGACACACTAACTGACTCCAGTTACGCTATATTACAAGGTGCTCTTGATGTATTGTTGCAAGACTTGACTATTCAAAACAGTGTCACTTATGGAGGAACAAAACTATTTCAATTGCCTCTATTTGTTATTAAGAACTTCTACTTCCTAGATAATAGTCTATAAAGTGATGAGAATAGAGTAATCACAAATCTAATAAATATCGTATATTCTGATTTGGATTCTATCACTTCAAACATCTTAACTTTTGACAATATCAAATTTGAGAATAATTACTATGTTGGTAGTAAGGGTTTCATAGAAATAATTCAAAGCAGTAACTTTAGATTGTTGGAACTGTAAATTACTGATATTACATTGATCAAAAATGATATGATATTAGATAGGACAACTGCTTAGAGTGCCATTACTCTAGAAAACTCTACAATTTACTTGGATGTAACAGAATTACAATTGAAAAATGTACTTGTTAAGAGAAATCTAAATTTGCCTGAATTCACTATAAAGAATGCCAACAAGGTTACCATAACCAAATTCACAGGATAGTTGATTAAATAATTTAACATACTCCATCCTTCAAAATCCTGTCTATCTTCTGTAGATGAAGTCCGACAAACAACTATGTTGTTCTTCTTTAATATCCTGAACATAGAAATGTCGAATATCTTTTTGTCCAATCTTACATCTATAAATTTACCTTTGATTTTAATAAAATCAATTGAAAAGTAAAACAAAAGACAATTAGAAAATATCACTCTATAAAATTGTTAATTTACAGAGAATATTCTTCTAATTACCAAAACGTCAGAGTAGTAAGGAGTATTAGCCATAATATCTGAACAAGAACAAACTATCGTATTTTCGAAAATACAGTCAGAAAGGAATATACAACATAGTTATATCGAAGACATAGCCTTTATTTCTTCCTCGACAATTTTATTAATCACTCCATATTCAAATGTAGAGATGAGGGATTCATTATTTTAAAAGAATATCGTTACAAATGGAGAGAATTCCAATTTAATTTTGGTTGGTAAATAAGTGTCATTGCTGGATACGTAGTTTATAAATCAGAATAATATAGAGTTTGAGTCCTTTGCGAAAAATTTAAATTGGGGATTCTCAAATACTGATTAAGTGTACTTAGAAAATTTGATGGCTTCATTTCCAATCTATTCCAAAGGAGGAGCTGGATACATCAAAGGTTCAGAACTCTTATTGGATAACGTGTATGTGAACAACACTCAAGCATTATTTGGAGGAGGTTTCTATTTAATACCATAATCTTTGGGTTCGTTGAAGTTGATAAACTCTTAATTTTTAAATTGCAAGACAGTAACATCAAATTCAGAGAGATCTCAGGGAGGCACTTTATATGTGGACTCTTCCTAATCATAGTTGGATCTCTTAATAAAGAACACTACAGTAACTAATTCATATAGTCGAAATGAAGGAGGATGCATTTATATTGAACCATCTAGAGTGACTAGTTCCATCAAATTTTAAGATTTTACAATTTAGAACATCTATTCCTTGTTGACTCCTTTCTTGAGAATACCTGTAAGTTTCACCAGTTCTTCGCTAATACTGAAGATTTAATTTTCTAATGTCCAAATCACTAATGCTTACAGTGGGTATTTAGGTTATTTAGAGGAAATTGTGAATTTGAAACAAACTGAAATATAGAATCAAAAAAATAACTATTTGATCTCCATAGATTAAGCAAATGTTTCAATGCAAAATTGTTTGTATAAGAATATCTTTAATTATGGTTTGTTGAATTGTCAAGATTGCCAATAAGTACTATTTACAAATGTCGAGGTCAAAAATTTCACAATGTTATCAGAAGCAATCATGAACATCATACTGAATAAAAGTAATTATACATATTTTTACATTAGAGTATTAAAGTGCAATTTCATTTATCGAGATCGCTGTGGAGAATGTAGTAGAATTTAATGGGGTAGTAAGTATTCCAAATGAAAAGGAAGAGATTCTTGTCAATACGGTTTATAAATGTTATTCGAACTATCAGATTCCTAAGACTATAGATACATTTTATACTGAATAGAGGAAAAAAATACTCTCGCTCCATAATTTCTATGAGATAATTAATGGGAAATAGCCCTTGATTACAATTCTGAAGATAGATTAAGTGTCTATATTGCATTATCTATAATTTTTGAATTTCAATATGGAGCAGAATTATTGTTCAAGTTGTGAAAACAGCATCTTTCAAATTACTAATATTGACAAGGCAGACTAAAAAAATTTGATTTACATCACAGATTCTACATTCAAAAACAATACATGTGGTAAATTTGGCTGTGTTGTGGTATCATAGAAGGATGCAAAATCATTTCAAACATAAAATTCAAATCGAATTTTAGCATCTGATTCAGTGATTGGTAATATCAATGCAGAAGTCAAAATTTTAGACACTGTTTTCATAGAGAATACAGCAACATATGGCGGAGCTTTGTTGATCTCCTAAATCAATACCTTAATCAACAATTGTATTTTTAATCAAAATGCAGCAATGTAATCTGGAGGAGCCATCTATTATTAACATTCTCATGATTCCTAATTACATCTATATAATTCCTTGATCACGTACAATAGTGCCAACGTTGGAGGGGGATTGTACATGGGGAAGTATCAGATGAATGATCCCAAGACCTTGAATAATTATTTGAGAAATAATAAGGCCAAGAGTTTTGGAGACAATATGGCTGACAATCCTTCTTAATTGACTGCACAAGTAGGAACCTAATTGCTGTTAACTAAGAGAATCATTAATAATAATCAATAAATTATAGACCAAATCTCTTTCAGTAATTACACTATAGGTTCATAGAATTACAATTACATTATGGTTCCAAGTGGACAGATAATATCCTCGTATAAATTCTTTGATGAAAATTCTTAAAGCTTTATCAACTACAATTTCAGTTTAAGAATAGTCCCTTTGAATAAACAATATGACAGAATCAAAAACCTAACTGGAACTGAATGCACTATTAAAAGTCGTGAAATCTTAGATTCAAAAGAAGGGGAATTCAATTCAAGTCTAATAAATTTGAAGAGTGTCACTTTCAATTAGACTTCCTAAGATTACAATTTGGATTCTCTTATTGTTTACTTCAATCCAGATTAGAATACAAAAGGGTATTTGCAATTAGAGATCTCTTGCAATTCAGTCTAAATTAGTATGTATTCGTCAGAACCTCCTTATAAATTCTCTTCTTTTCTTACTAATTATTCTCTAAGAATCGACTTATAAGCATTCCCTTGTCAAAGAGGAGAGTACAAAAAACCAGATGGCACTTGTGTTCTGTGTGATGCTCAATTTGATCAGTATAATATACAGGCAGGAGAGTAGTGTTAGATTAAGAACTAATTGACTATGGATGAAGTGAATGCAGCAAGAGTCAAACTAAAACCATTTTATTGGAGACCTTATGAATACAGTCATACTATTGAATACTGTTAGAATTTACCTGAGAATTGTGTGGGTGGTTGGAATCCTGGGAATGATCTGTGTATTAGTGCACATATTGGTGCCCTCTGTGAATAATGTGACATCTATAATGTAAGAGGAAGTGGGAAGTTCTCTACAAGCGCTTTATACAAATGTGGAAGTTGTGAAAATATAGGCGACAACACCATTAAGATTGGGCTTATCAGTTTATGGACCATGATCTCAATTTTAATCTCAGTCAAAGGCACTGTTGATACAGCAAATAAGATAGACCATGAGAATAAATTATCTAAATTGAGAATCTCTGCCAAGAATCCAAAGGCAGGTTTTGGTGGAGTGTTAATCAAAGTGTTGACCAACTATCTTCAAATTGTTGGAGCCATATCAACATTCTAATTGTAATTACCAAGTGTTTTGCAATCGAGTATTCGATCTGTGAGCAATCCTGTTGAATCAATGAGTTTTTCATTGGATTGTTTCTTGATCACCATATCAAACATCAACATCATATACTTTAGAATGATCTGGGCTCTCATTATGCCTGTCATATACATTATCAGCTTTTTAGTTCTATATACTATCGCAGTTGTGATCAATATCACTAAGGCCGATAAAAGTGCTATTACAACAAGTGCCATATATCTATTCACATATTTATAGCCTACACTCTTGGGAGGGTTCATTTCCTTATTGTCATTTAGGAAGATCTCAGACATCTATTGGATTCAAGGGAATGTAGCCTACAGATATGATACTCAAACCCACTTTAATTGGATGATAACTTTTCTTTTGCCTGCTACTCTTTGTCTTTCTCTAGTGATCCCAATTTATATGTTTTTGAGTCTATATAAGAGAAGAGAAAAGCTGGCAGACGGAGAGACCAGAAGAATTTGGGGTTACTTGTATAATGAATATTCCCAGAAGGCCTATTTTTGGGAGATCGTCAAGATTCTGGAAAAGGGATTTATGATTGTCTTCTTGACTTTTTACGAGGACTTGATCATCATTAAGGCAGCCATGATCTTCATTATAACCTTCCTCTATTCAATATTGACTAAGAACTTTAAGCCTTACAAATTACAATATTTGAATTTCATCGATGAGATCAGTACATTAGTTTGTGAAACTTCAATTGTACTAGGAATGACTATCTATTCAGCTTCAAATTCAGATAATCAGGAAATAATTTGGCCTTTCTACATCATTTTGATAAGCATCAATACAATCTTTATCGTCATCATCCTTTGGGAAATCGTACTTGCATAATTGGAGGATTAACAAGAGAACATAGACAAGGTTAGGGAGAAGGTTAATTAGAAATACCCAGAATTATAAAAAAAGAATTGGCTTTTCCGTAGATTACTTACAAATAGGGGACAGCAGTAAAAGAGAGTGAGAGAGAGATTTTAGAAGATCAGACAATACTTAATGAAAATAGTAAGGGCTAATCCAGGAAGATATAAGATGCCAAGTCTTTAAATATTTGATGTTATTTCGAATGAAAAAAACAAAGATTAGAATGTAATGGGGTATTTATCATATTAGAACTCTCCATCAGCTTCAGACAAGAGAGATACCTAAAATTATATTGATTAAATAAGCAAGGCAAAGGTCTACCCAGAATTTATCATTATTGATAAGGTAGAATCGGATTAATGATTTGGTTCACAACTAGATTTGCGAATAAAGATAATTAATGAATAAATTATATCAAATTAATTATTATTTCTTCGTGAACCCAATATCTAAAATAATTGTCAGAAATGCTTCAATTAATATTAATTATATATGATACTTTTTTTATGTTGGGTATCTCTTTTGCCTCTTATTTATTCTTACGTAGATCTAGAAACTAGCTTTACTAACAATAGATTCACAGCTGCTGACAAAAATGGTATTAATAGTCATAACTAGGCTGGACCTTCGTTTATATGATAGATGCAGGTAATGCTGCTACAGTAACAGGTATGACAGGCAATAGAGATACTGATTTAGAAAAAAGCTAATGTTTGACAAGTGATGGATCTTGCACTGATCCAAATGCGGTTTAATACTTTGGCTTAGGTTTGCTAGGTGAATTTGCTGGGGCTTTTAAGGTATTTGAGAATTTGCCTCCTCATTGTTAAATTTATATATCTGTTGATTTGGCTATGTACTCAATTACCATATATTAGAAAGGGGAGAGAAATCTCAACATCTAGATTATTAGTATTGTTGGACATTTTACCTGTGGCAGCTTACACAATCAATCCCAGTGGTGATACTGACTTTTATGAAGCAGTTACATTATAAGGAGTTGCCTCTCATAGTTATCCCTTTGTATTGATTAGCTTTCATACCGCATTCTATGTGCTTCCTAAGTCTATGGGTATTCGCAATTTAAAAATCAAATATACGCCATGTCCTCCTGGATGCTTAATTTGCACACTGATGGATGTTTAGGTGCAATGTTCCCAATGGGTTCTGGGCTATGAGGGATTAGGTTTGACTTCTAAGCTTCTTAGTAATGATGGTTGGCAAATAACCAACTCCAAGGAATAATTTAAGAATCTGAATCAAGATGTAAACACAATCTCCTATGTATATTGCTTGTCTCCAGGACTTGGTCCATTTACTCAAAATTAAGATGTTCAAATAGATCTGTTTTTGGATCCACATTATGAAGTTCGATTCGTTTTCTACTTGATATCAATATATACAGATACTAGATTCCCACCTATGATTGTCGTTCGCTTAGATGGACTGGAAGTGTATTCATTAAATATCAAAACTACAATTCCTCTAATCAATTTCTGTTAATGGGAAGCCTATAATTATGTAACTAGAAAAGAAGAAAAGTTGACAAGAAGAGTAGACTTTAATTACAAAACCACAAAACGTAAGCTCAATCTTTCTCTCAGAACCTAAACTATTACAGTACCAATTATTTATGATCAAACCATTTTAAAAGATTTTTAAGTTTACATCAAGAAATGCTATTCAGAACCGAACTTCCCTTGCGATGAATGCATAGGCCCTCTAAAGAATGACTGTGTACAAAAGGCTAAAGTAACCAACTTTTAATAGATTGCTGCCAATGATTTCTCAACAGGTCACGGATGGTAAGTAATGCTACCAGAAACTGGTGGTGTTTAAATTTGTAATGGAAGATACTATTTTGGCTTGGACTCAACCAAAATTACCACCTCATACATTTAAAAGTCTTTTTCGTTTAATAATCCTCACACTGATATTGAAATATCATTTATCATTCAAAAAATAGATAAGCACACCACTGAGAAGTTTCAAATCTATTTAGATGACGCCTTGATTGAAGAAATCCCGTTTTCAACCTTTGATAGTCAGTTTAGTTATTGTGGTACTAGTGAGAATGATGGCTAACTGTTTTATCAAAAGAAGATTGCTCATACCAGATCATATTCAGTCATTTAAATGAAATCAACTTAAACCACTACTGATGGTATTAATTTCAATAATATTCAGGCCTTTTTGGAATATACAATTTCAAACTCAAAGTTAGAAATGGATAGGAATCTTAAGATTTGTATAATGATTTATCCAATATCCCTATTGTTGGTGCAACTTAATGGAATAAATGGATAGTTACTTAATCCTCTAATGACCTTAAATAGTATGTCTGTGATAGTTCAGTTACGTTGTTAGGTAAACTCTAGCCAGAAATGTAAATCAGAAGATTTGTCTAAAATATAGCTGTTCATACATAAATTAGGATTCAGTTCACTATTTATTTATTCACAAGTAGCTTTAATAATAAAATTTTGACTTTAATCCTTAATAATAAAACTATTTGGGAATAAACTATTAATTGGTACAATTAAAAGGCTTGCGATGCCAATTTAGATACTTTTGTTGTCAAAGGAGATATCGTAATGGATCACGAATTAGATCACGCTTTCTTTGTATGGAGCAGTAGTGTCTCAGATCTAACTGCTTCATGGGGAATTGCAGACTTTAAATTATTTATTTCATGAATTATTTATTAGTAAAAATCATCAATAATTTCATCTTTCTTATTACTTATTAGAATTAAGATGAGTTAAAAAGATAGTCCATCTTTCATTTTGATCAGTCTCAAATATTTCAAATGAGGGAAAGAACTTTTTGATTATTTTGTAGAAAGATATTAAATATAAATTGTGAATTAATTTGTAATGAAATCTATTAATATGATTAATTAATAGGAATAGATAGTATAGTAATTTGAGAGAGTAGATAGTAAAATGATAGGAATGTGTTTAAATTTAGAATGTTAAGAATAAGATTGTTACTTTAATGAATAATAATTAAGAGATCATTAAAAAGTTAATTAATGCAGAGATTATTGTAAAATGATTGATGAAATTGAATTAATATTAGAATACTTAATATATGAACTTAAATAATAATAATTGATTCAAACTGATTAATAAATAGAACTAGCAAATTATCAACCAATATTATCTAATTTAAATTAATAATAATATAAATTGATAACATCTCAAGATATTTAATATTTAAAGATTCAATATAATATTTTAAATAAACAAAAGGATCAAAATAAAATCATACAATATTGTTATTTTATTTATTTAATATTTCTTAGGTTTATAATAAGGAATTCAATTAATTGAATAACAGAATTGGCATAAAGCATTATTATACTTTACTAAGATATCAAAATAATAATAAAAAAATGATATTGCATTATTCTATTTAGGTATTAAATTCATTTAAAATTAGGTGTAATATTATTAGAATTAAATGAATGTTCTAAATCAGGAAAAATGATTGAAAAATTAAAAACAGAATATCCAACCTTTTTTGAAAATTAAATTACAACAATGACAAAAGACTAATCAATTAATCAAAATAATTTAGCTTAGTTATTATTAATAGGTATATTATTAATTATTATTATTAATAGGACATTCCTTATTTCAAACTAAAGAATATCATTCAGCAATTGATATAAGTGATAGGATCTTATAAATTGATAACGATAATATTAATGGTTTAATAGGAAAAAGTAATAATTCATATACAATTAAGTTGGATCATTAATAATGTTATAATAATTTGAATAAGCTATTCAAGTTTAAAATAATTGTTTAAAAACTAACATAAACAAAAGTGTGTTAATACTTTTTTAAGGTATTTATAATTAATACATTATTATTAAATAGGATTACTTCTAACTAAATAAGGATAATATAATTAAGCAATGACATTTTTTAATCATGCAATTTAAATAGATCCAAAATTTGCTGATGCTTATTACCTTATAGCAAACTTATATCTTGATTAAAAAAAATTCGAAGATGCAATCATTTATTTTGATAAAACAATTGATCTTGATCCATATCATGCTGAAGCATTTAATAATAAAGGAGTAGCACTGAAACAATTGAAAAAATATGAAGAAGCATTCATTTGTTTTGAGAAAGCTATTTAATCTGATCCTAATAATCCATTTGGTCATTACAATAAAGGTTGATATATATATTCTATTATTATAAAGGCTGTTCATTAATTAAAACCAAAAACTATGTAGATGCTATTATTTGCCTAAATAATGCACTTAATCTTAATCCAACTTGTTCATCACCATAATATGAAATAGGTTTATCATTTTATTATCTAATTAATAGGAGTGTGTTTAAAAGCCCTAAATTAGATAAAAAAGACTATCATCAATTATAGGATGAGGATATGTAACACCCAACTTGATCATTTTCTAATCTAAGAAGTACGCTACCTTTAAAGTTTACATTGAACTTAAAATAATAAATAAAACATCTAAATAATAACATTTATTATTTAAATAGATATATATATTCAATAATTTGTTCTATCAATTTTTTGATAAATCAGTAATTTTATTATCAATAATAATAAATTAACAGTTTTAGAATCTAAATTTAAACTTGGATATTCTAATTTAGAAGAGAATATAATTTATTCTTAAATAATTGATATTCAACCATTCTCTATTAATTTCATTATTTATTAGACTTAAGTAAAATATTGCTACTATTCTTCTAATGAAAATCATTTGATCCAAAATTTATATAAATTAAGTACATGTACTTCAAATGATGAATGTATTCAATAAAATCATATAAATAATTTAAATCCATAGATATTATTCAAAACCTTATTATTTTAGAATCTACATTTATAGTTTCATAAAATATTGGGAATAAATTTTTATATTTTTTACATCTAATATATATTTATTTTTCAAAATGATCTATTTATAAATAAAAGTTGATATAAATTTTTGAGATGACAATGATTTCCTTTATAAAAATCTTATTTATAGAGCCTCTTTTAATTTATAAGGGTTGTGTAGAACCTACTGGAAGTGAATGTATTAATAATGGTTGGACTAATGGCAATTATGTGACTGAATGTTAAGGAATAAATTATATTGGTGCATTTACAGGAGGACATAGAATTACCAAAACATTTTGGAGTCCATCACAAAAATTAATGAAATTATCATTCACTTTGGCTAAATTCGATAGTTGGGACTACGAATCGGTTTTTATTTATAAAGATGGCTAAGAAATTGATAGAATTACTCATGGACCTTTTGAGGGAATTAATGTGTGTTAAAATCTATACCCAGATTTATTGGATTATAGATCGTATTTCTATTAGTTACCATAAGGATAAAACTATATTACCTTTTCATTAGTTGATAATTTATAAGCTGACGATATAGGTAAACTAAACATTCTAATATTAGAATCATGGGGAATTAGAGATATCAAATTATAACTTATTAATCACTGTATAGATTTTTATAGTGAATGTAATTATTAGGGACAATTATGGAGGGTTTGTTAAGGAAATCAAACTACATCTATTAGATAAATACCTTTCAAAATAAAATCCATTTATATCTTAGTTAGTGGTGTTCAAGTGTAAATCAAAGACCCATAATTTAAAGGAGGAATCAAATAGACATATACTACAGATTAAACCTGTTTAGATGATTACCATGTAATTTATAATTATTATATATAAAGTTTCCTAAGTATGAATAACCTATTTGATTACTTATATAATTTTGTATAATAATTTACTATTATGTATATAATAAATAAAATAATGAATCATTATTGGTTTTGAATGGATTTAATATATGCAACCAATTCTATTAATATTTCTTTAGTTTACATTTTCTTTTTATTATTATCATTTATTTTAATTAATTCATTATAAACCTTCATAAAATTCTAGTTCTAATGAATTTCTATTAGTTATTATTGTACTAATTCTCTATTCTCAAAAATTAATTTAACTTATTTCTTAATTAATCTTGGCCAATTCAATTCATATTTCTTTCCATTATTATTTGCTTTTATTGGATATTATCTTGTAATTATATGATCTAAATTTTCATCAGGATCCTATTTATTGCAAATTACTCCATGATATTATTTCATATAACTTTTTGAAATACACGGTGTTGTTCTATTATTTTAACATTTCCATAAAAAATTAATTATATGGTATAATGTGTATTAGTTAAATCGCAATTAAATTATAAATGGGCAATGACTCATAAAAATATAAGCAACCTCTTTATGAATTATAGAAGTCATGTACTTTCTAAATGAAATATCCATGCTCAACCGTAGCTATTAACTAGAGTGGCTCTCTAATCTTGACAAATTTAGTTTCAAGAATATTAGTATTTGGTTTTGATGGGAAATCCATAAAAAGTATTTCAAACATTTAGAAACATTAATGCTCAATTACCGTTCTTAAATTCTTTAATTTGAGAAATTAATTTATTTCAGGCTCAAGTGACCTATCTATCATCATTATGCCTACAATTCTAAATCCAACAAAATATATATAAAAACTTAAAGGACATAAAGGAATGATCATGTGTATAGCTATTCATTCACTTAATGAAGATCTTATGGTTTCTGGAGATTATGAAAATACAATCAGAATCTGGTCAATGTAGTAATCAAGTTTATAATGGAAATGCATTCAAGAAATCATAGAGCACAAAAGTTAAGTTTATGGGATATCAATTAATGAAATTGGAAATTAAGTTGTCTCTTGCGATAAAAAATAATTGATTTTAGTTATTGAGAAAAGCAAAAATTCAAATGCTTGGTTTGTCAAGTAAAAAATAGAAGCTTATTAACACGAAGGAGCTGGAGTGAGCTTTTTAACAAACGATCGATTCATCATTTAGTCTATTAGTGAAAGTACAATTGACCTATATGCATTACGGTAAGAAGGAAGATACACTAAAATCCAATCAGAAAAACTTAAATATTGCAACAACGGATTAATTCGTTAAAATTTATCATACAATAAAAAAATGAAAATCTTGACTTTAAAAACAGGTTAGAAGCTATTCATTATTAGATTTGATTTGTAAAATAACAAAGATCAGTCTTAAACCAAAAATAATGAATTACTCATTAAGAATGTTTAGATAATTGATTTTAAAACTCTTTTTTTCTACAGGGCAATAAGTGATGATGGCTAATACTTGATAACCAGGAATTAATTATCACAATCTATTGAAGTTAGGTTTCTCAATAAAAGTTTAATTGATTGATTAATTGATATATACATACAATTTTTCTCGTATTTATATAATTATTAAATTTTCCAATATCATCCTGAAATTACTTAGATTGGCAGTTAATAGCATTCTTTAATTTTAAACACATGGTTAATATGAGTCAAATAAATTTTAATTAAATTAATCATAATAAGTAAAGCTGGCAACCTATGTAATATTAAAAAATTTTGATTTATATTTTATAATTCTTATATACCATATAAGATAATCTTATTGTTATAAAAATCAATCAACATTATAGTTAGTTTAAATAATCTTAATCTCAGCCAAGTGAAAATTTAGCACTCCTTTCAAACCATGCTTTTGCATACTACGAATCATTATCATCTAAACAGACCTACTAATTAAGCTATTGCTAAACTTTTTCAAGTTCCTGCAATTTATTTTAATACTCTTTAATATCAACATTTTGATTCTTGTGAATCCATTCTATTGTTTCATTTACAATCAATTAATACTATGACTTTTCAATATTAGAGAATTTAAGGTTAAACTTTTCATTATTAATTGTATTTCTAATAAGATATATAGTAGATTCCAGATTATTCTTTTCTTCAATTGTACTTTTTATCATTTTGTCTTCATCTTCTAATTTTTCAGCATCCAGAATATGTTTTTCAATATATTCCCTCGTTAATCCCTTATAAAAGTTAGCTATAATTATGCTATTACTATTCTTTGAACATAGATCTTAGGCAGTCATAGTAAGAGTATAATCCGAATCAATCTCAGATGTTATCAAAATTTCAGGAACTCCTTTGAGAGCTGGAAAAATACCAGTTAAATTAAATTGTTCTAAAAAAAGACAATCTTTAGTCAAGTATCTATAACCTAAATAGATTTTAATTTGGATTTCAGATTGATAGTCATTCTTGGTGGTGAAAATTTGTGCTTTCTTTGTTGGAATCGTTGTATTTCTTGCTATTAAAGTAGTCATTAACCCTCCAAGAGAACGAGGGT